GAGAGAGAGAGAGAGAGAGAGAGAGAGAGAGAGAGAGATGATGAGCTGCTCTTAAAAGATATGACACAATGCCGAGGAACGACAACTTGACTTGCTGACAATGCTACCCCACGCCTCCTTTTTGACGTTGGTTACCCCCGCTCGGCCACACAACTGCTCTGAAATAAGCCTACGATTTCTGTTTGCAGTTTAGGTGTCAATGCAGTAAGATTTGAGGCATTTTTGTAATTGGATAGTTTCTCCTATTTACTTTAGTTACCGTTATACATGTCCTTGTGTTCATACACCTGTGCGGGCCGAGAAGCCCAGGGCTCAATTTGAATCTATTTCCCTACAGCTTGCCTTGCCTTTTTGCCATTCTTAGCTCTTGAGCAAATTTGGAATACTATTCAAATATGCGATAGCAAGCATGAAATCATCGTCCTTAATCGGATAACAGCAAGATCAAATTCGACCTATAGAATCAACACTAGAACAGGCCAGCGCAACTATTGCGTCCGCATTTTTTGAAGGCTGGTTTCGATATTCAATCGTAAACTCTTCACTATTTAATAGGATTTATCAGTACAATAGCATTCCGAAACCCATCCAAAAAAGAATTCCACCTATTTGTTCTATACTTGGTGCCTAACTGTGGTGGAAGCGGCTTACATCTCTGGCTGCATCCTTAGCATCAGTTGTAAAACCTCTATCCAATTTCATAAGGTATAAGTATGGGCAAAAGAGTTAGAAAACATTCACGAGAAATGAAGACACCTGTGCATACTTTATTTTGCTCTTTCAACCGACTCTTCATGCCCTCTTGAGTCGCTATAACTCCTGCCCCGGACTCGGTCGAGAGGTTCTTCCAAGTCATCCTGCTAATCAGTCCAGTAGCCAGAGTTACAGCACCGCTAAGCGTCAAAGGCTCTATGTAAACTCGCTGGTAATTGGAGCAACGTTTTGCCTGTTGCAGCACTGGTTCGGGCAGCCGGCACTAGGACGGGATATTCAACAAATGCTCTACGCCTTTCCTATTAGGCCCTTTCCCGTTCAATGGCGGCAGCTTCCTAACAACGACTTTGAAGAGAGGAGTACAGCATACGAACTCCCACAAAAATGCATATCAATCTCAATTTCATCAGTCGTACTGACACAATCAGCTCCTGGACTGTCACCATACAATGCACAGGGGTTCCATGTCCTCTGCAAATCTCAGTCAGCTTATCGTGGCCTTGACATACACTCGATGAGTAGTCGTGGGTTTAACACTGGCGGATTTGATTCGTTTGCTCGATGCTATGGAAGTCAATCATTATATTCTTGGTATATGACCCTTGTCTACCTACCTAAACATATCATATTGTAACACATTCTACCCATTTAGCTGATCAGCTTGGTGACTGACTTGCCCTTGTTCGCTCCGCTATACATGGCCGCCCACACGTTTGGCACATCTTCAATAGTGGCTTCTCTTACATCTTCAATATCTACCTTGATCGTTCCCGCCGCAGCTGCCCCAATCAGCACCTCCATCGCTTTGGGCACTTTGTCAAGGTAATCAAACATGAAGAATCCCTTGATAGTAATTCTCTGTGACACCACTTCAAACCAATTCTTGAGAGCCATTGGCTCTTCAGCGTTGTACTGACTGACTGCTCCGCAGACGGCAATCACGCTGTGTTTTGCCATGCGGGCGAGGACAGCATCGAGGATGGCACCGCCAACATTGTCAAAGAAGACATTGACCTCATCTGGGGTGGCAGCCTTGAGATCTTGGACAAATGTTGGGCTCTTGTAGTTGATACAGGCATGGGCCCCGAGATGGTCCCTGACCCAGGCGCATTTCTCATCGCTTCCGGCGATACCAACGACCCGTTTTGCGCCGAGCAGCTTTACGGCGGTCTGGACAACCACGGATCCTGTAGCGCCAGCGGCGGCTGAGACCACAATGGTATGCTCGGGCTTGGCTTCAGCAACATCCAGCAGACCGATGTAGCCTGCGAGGCCTGAGCCACCAAATGCACCAAGGTAGTGGGTGATGGAAACGCCAGCTGGCAGAGGCGCGACAGACTGAACGCCCTCGGCATCGATTACGGCCTTCCCGCTCCACGAAGCGCGATGGAACTCCATGATGAGATCGCCAGGCTTGAACTTCTCCGACTTGGACTCAAGCACCTCGCCAATGATGCCTGAGCGCATAGGAGAGCCCAGTGGGACAGGTGGCAGGTACAAGCGATCACTATCGACAGTGGTACCGATGAACGTTCGAATACCCGCATCGTTGGAGAAGTATAGCACCTTGACGAGAAGCTGGCCGTCCTTTACGGGAGGGAGGTCAACCGTGTGCAACGTAAAGGTCGGGTTCACGCCGGTGATGGTCGGTGTGCCCACCGGCTTGTTAGCCAGGATCCACTGCTTGGTAGTACTGGCACTGGACATGATTCTTGATTTTTGATGTGTAAAATTAAGTAATGGAGAGGAGAGAAAGAGGGAAGAGGGAAGAGGGAAGTCACCAACTGTTTCTGTCCGTTATTTGCTCTCGGCTCTTCCCCTGTTTTTATATGGTCAAACGCCTCAACACATCTGGTGTAAACGGGCCCGAGGCTTGCTCCTCTTTGGGTATTTTTACCGTCTACATACGATGTGATTTTACCAGCCTCCATCTCTTGGTGACACAGCCAAACCAACCGAAAAGGGAGAGATGCTCCGCGTTAACCCCTGTCTCTTCTCAACCTGGCCCGTTCCTAGCTTGGCCGGCAAGTTGGCCGATCCAGGGAAAAAGAAGCATGAATATCACAATAATGCGAAGTCATGTGGCTTCATTACAAATACGGGGTTATGAATAATACATAGAATATACATTATACAATCTCCCTGTAAATGAAGAGCCAACAGGGCTGATTTGAAGAAACGGCGCAAAATCCATCCATCTCGACAGGTGGCAAGTTAAGGATCAGGGTGGGCAAGGGGAGTTGATCAAAGTGCCTCTTAACCCCCGTCTCGGGCTTTCGGTGACGGAGTTGCGGAGGTAGCTCACTCACCTTGATTGTTGGGAATTTGATTTGGTAGAGATTGACGTAGTCTGTTCGCTGTGGCTCGGCATAATACCAAGACCTGTATGGGGGAGGCCTCATTTGCTTGAAGCCTGAACCCTGAAGCTCGTCTCGACCCAGAACCGTTGCAACGGCTGCCCTGCGTGAGAATCCCCTATGATTGGTTCCCAAAGCTAGGGGATTTCCCTGAGCCACTTTAATTTTTGGTTACCCACGTACTGGTGCCGTTCTCGCCTCACCTGGTGGTTTGGAATGACATGTAGACCGTGCATAATCGATGGTAATGAATGAAATGGAAGCAGGATGCGTCGCATGGACCGGGGAAGACTACCGTCCACTAACTCTAGCCCGTGGGTTCGTCGAAGGGGCTAAACATGGGTCTAAATTCTCGGCTCCTAGTCGCCGTTTCAAAGAAGAGAATTCGAACAGCATTTTGCAGATCAGGCACGGAAGCCAGACAAACTTGGATTCCAAAAGAATGTCACTCTCCTGGAAAGTGAGGGATTCTCTCTTCTTTAAGCTAAAAAATATCTACATTCGCGGATCGTTGAGCGGTCGTTTTCTTTATTATCGTTCTCTTTGTCGCCCATTCTCTGTCAAGAAACAGAGTCAGGAGAGTGCCCATTTTACTGAATAATTTGTTGACCCGTCCGCCTAGCCACGGCCTAAGCATTTAGCAGCCGGAGAAATGCCTTGGTTACCAGAGCAGCGGATGCCGATGACCGACGAGGTTCGAAATGAGCTCATCGTGAACTGCATTGTTGTTTTCATTACCTTAGTTGTCGTTACGTTGAGAGTGGTTGGGCGTGTCTCCGGGCCTGGATTTGGATGGGATGATGCACTTATTGTGCTTGCAACGGTTGGTTCAATGCATTTTGCCGTTTCCAGGACCCTCACTTACGATTTGGTGTTGGTAGCCTATGGGCGTCGCAATGCTGATCTGCCAAGGAGTTTGTACGTTATGCCTGCTCAAGATCTTTTATTCTCCATGATCTTTGGATGATTTTTTGCTTACCTTTGGAACGCATGTAGTCTCGACAACTGGCAGCGGGTATAATCTTGCTGAACATCCACAACGTATGTCGATTTTCGTTTTCGATAGACTCGAATCTATGTCATGGTGATCACCTCAGCATGATCTTCGGCTGACCCATCTTGTCTGGCATCTAGTGTTGCCAAACGTACCGTGGATCCTCCAGGTAAGCGATTAACTGATATTCAATATCAAAGAGCATCAGCTTAACGAATCTTGGATCGTCTATAGGTCTCATTCGGAATGCAACCAGTATACATCACCCTCCTCGCCCTATGCAAAGCCAGTATGCTGCGCTTCTACCTCCGAATCTTCCCGACGCAATTCATGAAATACGCCTCGATAATTTGTCTCGTCCTGGTCGGTCTGTGGAACATAGCTTGCGTTTTTGCGTCTATATTCCTTTGCAAGCCCATCTCAGCTCAGTGGACAGGGCAGGGAGTCTGCAGAGCTTACATTCCCTTCATCCAATCGGTGATTGCTACAAACGCAGCAGGTGACTTCGTCGTGATGGCTTTGCCCATGAGGTCCTTGTGGCATTTACAGAAGAGGAAGACGGAAAAGTTGGCGATCATGGCCTTTTTCTCCTTAGCTACGGCGTAAGTGCACTTCTTTTCTACCCTGTCTGACGACTTGTCACGTTCATGTACTGTTTAATCTTTCACCCTTTGTATCAGCTAACTGAGTGTTCTTTCAAAGTGTTGTCGTCTGCGCCATCTTCCGAATCATTTATATTTCGACCGTTGACCTAGCCATGAACGTCACCGGTACCATGCCCACGACCATCCTTCTCTTCATCCTCGAACCCAACCTCGCCATTCTCTGCGTCAGCATCCCCATGCTTCGGCCATTCTTTGCAAATTTTAGAAAGGGGGGAGGTAGTTCTAGCGAGAGAAGCGGGTACCCCTCCGCGCTCGGATCCGGCGCCGGGAACAGTAAGCGATCGAAAGACTTATCGACCTGGGAGATGGGAACATACGGCCATGCTATAAAGGGAAGCCATGATGCAAATGCCTCTCGGGCGGACGATGAGTCGGGGTCCGAGAGGAGATTGACCACGACGTCCATACCCATCATGCAGGATGAAATTCGTGTGCAAAAGGACTGGAGCGTCAGACATGACTAGCCGACACAAGCACGAAAATACAGTTCGAGGTAGCAGAAGTTGCCATGCTCTTATATATATCCAGAGCCGGCGCTCGTTCTCTTCCATCTAACCCCAGTTCCCTATCTGTACTTTCTCCTACGACACCAGCGTATGCAGTATATTCCATGTCGAATAGCAGTATATATCATAGCCATATCCTTTCTATATCCCGCAAGGGAGATGCCAAAGCCCCAGACATCTAATTATAAGGTCAAAACCACAAAGGTCCGGTCGAAGCTTCACTCAAGATTGCTCTACATGTCGGTCTACTAACTGTGCTACGTTACCTACCATGCGAGTCGTTCCATTACTTCAACCTTGATTGCCGTCGTTCAGTGTGAAATTTTAGGTCAATGTGCTATTGAACAAGAAGCAGATTTCGTAACAAGGGCAGTGGAATAAAGAAGTAGTCGTTGAAGGACAGGCAGCTAGTTGCATTTTCTCAAAGAGAGCATTGAAGCAAATTAAAAACATCTTTCAATAATAAGCCACCTTGCATCAACAATAAGTCAACTTGAAGCGTATATTTATTCCGAATTAGCTGACGGGCATAGCCCACCAAATTCGTCTTATTTAGATGATGTTCGCCCTCCTGACCAAAACATCTGCGTCATGTGAAGTTATGGTGCAAAACAAAGGCAAGATTTCTCCTTTTGCGCCGTACTGAACAGCCTAAAAATTGCCGTATCTTAGCTTCCGGTCTATACATGGCTTTAAATTGGTTCCAACGGTGATCGTCCGAGCCGGGCGGGAGCGTGAGGGTTGGCAACAATTGGCCGCTTTACGAGGGGATCTACATAACCCTTAATTTATGAGCAAAACAAGAAGTCGTGAGCCCTTTTGCTGTATTACTCGGAAAACTTAGTAAATTCTATTATCTTTTCCAATTTTAGGGTTATTGTCTCTTTATTCATTGTTTGATGGTTCATACCATGTGGTAAGACGACGGATAGCTGGTGATATTTTTCTCGACCTAATTCTATTTTTTTGTCGCCTAAGAAGTTTGATTATCCCAACTTGTTTTTACTTGAACCATATTAAATTGAACTGAAAAAACCACAGAAGTCTTCTTTTAAAGCAACTACTCTGGCTACAATATGATATGAACATTTCGAGATGCTCTAGGGTAGGGAAAAAGTATTGGGCTAATCTACTCTCGTGTGGGGCATTTGTCTTGTGACTTCAATGTGAGCTTACCAGATTCAAGTGCGGCTGAGTCTCACTGACTCCTCATTCGTGGCTGGTATGGACTATTGATGTCTAGATTTCCTCCTGAGTGTCTAGGTCTTGGTATTCCACGTGAATCACATCTCTCGGTCCTCTCCCTGTTCTACACCTCTCTGCCGCACTCTTTCAGCATCAACACCGTGCCTCCGCGCATCAGGTTACTCAACCGCAAAATCCCTCGCCGCTCCGATGGGTCGGCCTATCCCACCGGGAAATGAGGCCCATGCAGATCCCAACACCCCGGGACAAGACACCGGGCTGGATGACCCCTACCCAGATGCCCTGGTCGCTCCACCGGCCTACGAGGAGGTAGCCCTTTTGGATCACGACAGCAGCATCCGCGCCAACCGCCGTCATGATGCTGAGAATTCTCGTATGCCTCTTTTCCTGCTCACTGGCACGACTTCACGCGATCTCCATAATCTAAAAGGGCGGTATCTTGGTCGCACCAGCATTGCCTGCGAGGTGAACGATGTGCAAGACGAGCGTTCTGATTCGGATCCAGACTTCTTGAAGCAATGGGTTGAGTATATGGCGGCGAGGCCCCCGGCCCCCTACATTCACGTCATAGGCAGACACAACGAAACCAGGCGATACAAGGTCAGTGACGATGACGAGGACAAAGAGTCAACCGAGGAAATCACCGATTTCCGAATTCTCATCAGCATGCAAAATTACGTGTGTCCAGACTCTGGTCCAAATGGCATGGAATTAATCACGGTCGAAAATGATGAGAAAACTTATCGCGGAACCGCGCTGAAGTGGAGGGCCCCCCGTACTAAACCTGACCTCGAAGTCAACCACACCAAACCGGGATTGAATGAGTGGTGCCATCGTTATTGTGCAAGCTCCAGCGGAGTTCGAGTGTACGAGACCTGCCTTCTCCTCTTGCTGTTCATCCCAAGACGAGATGAAATCTAACTCTTGTTGCTGCGTAGATTTCGCCTCACGCGTGTGGTCACTGGTATGGACGAGGATCTCCTGAGCTCGCGCCTCGAAGGCCTCATTCGCGGCACAGGCTACAGGGGCAGACTCTCAATTGAATTCCCCGTTGCTGATCGCGCTGTCGATGTCCTCTCAACCAGCGTGCTCAACGAATGGCGCACGACGACTTGGATACGTTGGGTCTTCTACCTAACCTTTCTTTGGATATTCTCCTGGCCTATCCTTCATTTCATTACTAAGAAATACCACGTGGTGCGTGCAGAGTGGCCGTTCTCTCAGACCGATGACCAAGGAAGAAAGAAGTATACGACTCTCAGCGAAGAGGAGTGGATTGCTAGATTCGGCCCTGCAGTTCAAAGATTGTGTCTGGATCGGTACGAAGGAACGACATGGGAACACCATCTAATTCAAGTCTTAAGGAGAGATGACGCATATTACTCATCTCAGTCAGAGATCTCAGATCGCCCAGGTCTCGTCAATCTTGCCGTCGGCGCATCTCAAGAAGGCCTTGTAGATTCTCTCTCTCAAATGAACAATATCATACACTTCGCGGGAGGGTCAGGCGATCAAGGGGGGTGGGGGTTTGATAGAACCAGGTAATAATAAATATGAACTGACAGTGTTTCATTCAGAGCCTGCTCGAGTGTAGTAAACTAATAATAGTTTCTCATTCTAATATGTATAAGGATGCGTCCACCGTCCAAGGCTGTCATAACCCTTCTATCAAGCTCCAAATTCCCTCTTTCTGACCCTTTTAACATACAGGTCTACTCTTCTCCCTAGGCTAATTAATCTAAATTTACACCCATAGTTCCAGAAACTAGGGAGAGACCAATAGGAGCTAGAATTAAGAAAAGAACAGAAAATGGGAGGAAAATAGATAGGCGAACCTCGACGAAACCCAGTGACAACATCTGAATAACAATACACACCAACCAATCACCCACCACCTCTCGCGAAACCGTATTGTTGTAACTAGACTGGCAGCACAACCTCATAACCGAACTGTGGAAGTCCGGCCCACAAAGGGAAGGAATTAATGATCTTGGTGTACTGCTCATCCTGTCTCAACGGCGCAACGTCGGTTCTGACTCCTCCTTTCTGGGGCAGAGGCTTCCCTTCGATCCGTTCATCAATCCACTTCTGCCAGAATTGGCGAGTAGCTCTGAGAATGGGCACGTGTCCGACACCCGACGCCGCCAATAAGTTGAGGTCATTGTTGGGGTAGTTCGTCCAGGCCTCCTCGACGGTCGCCAAGGTGACATCGTAGGGAACATAGGTATCGGCAGTGCCTTGCAGGACAAGAATGGGCCCCTTGAAATCTTTATGACCCGCATCACCAAGTTTGGAAAATGCGTCGACATACCAGGTTTCCTTGAAGTCTGTCTTGACGTTCTCCGTCGAGTTTGCCAACACCTGGGTAAAAACACCAATCCCACCCTGTATTTCCTTGATCAGATTCAACCTAGCAACTCCAATAGGTGTCATCCAGTCACTGAACTCGAAAGAAGGAAAGATTGATTTCAGCATTTGTGCGACTGTGGGAGCCATGAAGTAGCCCGGGCCGGTGAGCACCCTGGTGGTAGGGCTGGCGGCAACAACACCTTTATACCCCGTGATCAGATCGGCAAATTCACTCTCCTCATAGTGGAGGACTTCAGCAACGGCCCAGGCAACCCCCCCTCCTTCGCTATGACCCATGGCAACCCAGTTGTTGTCCAACGATTCGGGGAAAGTTTCCAGGGCTGCACGAAGGCCGTACACGGCATCGTGGGCTGTGGCTGGAGTAGCGTGATATTGGTGAGGTATCTCACTACCATCCCAGGTCTTTCCGATGCCTAGTCCAGCAAAGTCTGGAGCAAATACTGCGTATCCCGCCTCTGCTAACGCGAACGGCCCGCTATTGTCATACCAGAGGGAGCGATGAGCTGAGGGGGCTTGAGGGCCGAAGAAGCCAGATGTACCGTGAGCCCAAACCACGATAGGCGCTTTTGCTTTCTCATTCAAGGCTTGGCCAAAAGTTCGGGCAGCATATGGCCATAGTATAAAGCCGGATGTAGGAATGACGGTCCCGTTGAAGTTGATAGTCGTGTACATGATACGCGATAGTCCAGTGTTTGCGGGGATGGCATATGCACTAGGGTCGGTAATTCTTTCGACTTTCAGAACTTGGCCTGGCTTGAGTATTGTTGAGTTGGTTAAGGCAGGGAGGGTGTAAAAGTCATCCTCGTTTGGCCCCCCAAAGGCCATCTGAGTTCTGTCGAAGTTCATAACATTTTGAACATTCTGAACGAGAGTATCACTGAGATCACCAGCTTTGATCTGAGCCTCAGTGAGAATAAAGGAAGAATTGAAACCGGTATTGTGAACTTCAGTGGGTACTATTTGCGATGCGACCAAAGAAGGCATCACCGAACCAAAGGTGAAGAGCAATTTTACCCAACCCATTTTCAGCAAGAAAACAAATCCGAATTTAGGTCTGACTTTGGTAAGGTTGAGGGACTCAAATTCTAGACATTGGGTCTCATCATGGGTTGTGGTGCTAGCAACTCCTAGATTTATATAATTCTTGTTGCCTTGAGACAACCGCGTAATCTCTGTTCAGGTACACCAAACTCTTTTACGGATTTAAGGACAGTTTAAAAAGTCCGAATTCTATCTCTAAAGTCTCACCTGCCTAGGATTGAATTTGTCATCAAGCTTATAAGCAATTGGCCGTTTAATATCGGGTACTTCAACCTCCATGATGATCACTTAGTGGAGCTTGGTCCGACCGGAGTCCAGTCCGGAGTCCGGAGCTGGGTCTAGGTGTCTTTCTTCAGCAAGCCGTAGATATTGCACTCAACCTTTTGGAAACAATTTAAAACCATTGCAATCTGTTGGATTTTACCAAGAACCTAAATAAACCACCGGAATATGTTACACTTTTTGCTTAGTAGAAAGGTAAGTGAGAAGAGATATCTTTCTAACAGTAACCTAGGACCTATACTCGATTCCAAATATACAGCCAAAGATTGCATAAATGTGAGCTTTAATCTATCTTAATTATTCATTTTATATCTGGTATTCAAATGAATTGACCAGGTATGCTATAAACTTCCTAGCATGTGTGACTATTCGCCAATGAAGTTTTCTTCAAGCGGCCAAACTAACCCATGATACAAAATTCTAAAGGAAGGAAAAGGCACCGACTATTGAGTTTTAGTAGTATTTATGCTAAACTTCTAGGTACAGTTATAATTTGAGACGTCACAGGTTGGCTTTCTTAATCTGCGGGATGGCTGTCTGCTATCGCAGCAGGTAATGGAGGAAAATGACAAGTAGAGTGTAATAGCTGTGGCCTAGGATATAGCTACGATAGAGAGACTCGAAAGAATAAAGGAACTTGATAACTGTAGAAGCAAAACAGACAACACAAGAATGATACGGCCTGAGGCGGAAGACATGACAACATGCACACGTGTATCGAACCGGAGCTCGTTGTGAACTACTAAGTCTCGTAGACAGGTTCGTTGCTCCACATTAATCTGACGAGGAGCATATGCTGACACGTTTCTGGAGTTGCGCGGGATTCCGGATCACAAGTAAGCATTGGTTAAGAGCATGGAGCGGAACAATATCCACACTTTCGAATCGGTAAAGACCACCAGCCGCGGCTCACAAGTATCGTATGAAGAAAATGGTCGGGCTGTAGTAATGTATTACTGTGATGTAACACGCTCGGCAATTGCAAGTGGCTATCTTCGCATTCCCTTTTCCTTCACCTGCTCGAAAAACTTGAGCTCCTCTGCCATGGCTCGGGTACCTGCATCCAAGGGGCCCACGGTCGGGTACAAGGCCTCCAATGTTACTTCGCGTACATTGACTGATTGGTCGTCTTTGCTGCCTGCCATCAAGATCTCCACGATGTTCCCGTTTCCATACTGTGGCTCCTGCAGAACTTTCATAATCAGATCTGCAACATGTTCCGGCTCAAGAGCTACATCGCCTCTTTTGAGCCTATCCTTGCAATAATCTTGTTCAAAGATGGGCGTCTAGTTCTGAGTCAGTGACGTGAAACGACATTACTCGGGTGAACACAATAACGTACAAACACAGGGCCGGGGCAGACAGCCGAGTTCCGGATGCCAAGGGCCCTGTTTAGGCCGGCGAGAGACTTGACCATGCTGACCAGGGCAGCTTTGCTTGCAAAGTACAAGGGAGCTTGCATGGAGTGCATGTAGCCACCCATGCTGGCGACAAACAGCAGATTTCCCTTGACCTCGGAATTCTGCTGCCAGTAGTCAATCGCAATCTGTGCCAGTCGAATTGGCCCGACGGTGTTGATGGCAAAGCTCTTGTACTGGCCCACCTTGGCGTCCTCGGCGTCCTCAGAAAGGGGTGAAATGCCAGGCGGGTACCAGAAGGAGCTTGATGGGGGCTCATAGACTCCGGCACAGCTTACCACGATGTCAACTCGCCCAAACTTCTCAAGAGCGGTCTTCCATAGCGAAGAAATTTGGGTCCAGTCAGATATGTCAGTCTCGACGAATATAGCAGATGGCTTATTGGACTCAGCCGCCGGGTGAGGATATTTGCTGATTGTCTCCTCGGCTTCAGGCCTCAGGCGCAAATCAGCAATGATGACAGAGCACCCCGCAGCAAGGAGCAGCTTGACGAGCACATGGCCAATGCCTAGAATGAATGAGTTTTTTGTCTCCGGTTGGAGAATTCATGCAGGGATCACTGACCGGAGCCGCCACCCGTAACGACAGCAAAGCGATCCTTGACGGCGTAAGAAGCCATGATTTCTATTTGTGGAAGAGGGACGTGATGGGGAGATGAGAGCTTGAGAAAGCACCTTTTGCATTCATTTGGGCAATGGAAAGGGGGAGGATTATGAATACGTATCAACCAACACATCCATCGTTATTCCCTCATCCGCAGCTTATCCCTGTTATTGGTTGGTCCGTCTGATGAACCTAGCGACAAGGTTATACATATGCAGGAATAGGAGTGGTTCATGGTTTGTACCCAGCACACGACAAGGTTCACTCCTTCGACGTGGACCTAGGAGCACAAGTTTCTCTGACCCGCTGCTATCACACCGCTAGGGACGGTGATCGACCGGGTTGACAGTTTTCAAACTAGGTGAGTGTTGGGCCCCTGCCCTCACCCTGGGAGGCAACCACCTCCATGTTTGCTGAAACCAAGCATCACTACTAGTACTCATCATCACGTAAAAGAAATACTACACGAGTTAAGCTCCAGTGCCAATACGGTCTTATATCTAACACCAACCCGGGCCATCTTCCTTTCTTGAGCTGGGTAGTTGACAGAACCTACCACCAAGTGTCCGTGGGGGCTCGCGAGTGGCAATCCCAGCAATGGCACACCAACCTGTCAGCTTCAAACCTTGCAAATACCGGGGAACACGGGCCCTGGTTCCCCAACCTTTTTTGAGGAGGTGGCTCGTCAGGATCTCATCATGTCAATTGGTTAGTCGAACCATGCCCGCATACGACGTAACGTTGGTGACTAGGATAATGACCAACCGCAGGTCTCGTACGGGCCTCTCATGCAATCCACTCCCGGGGAAACAAAGCTGCCTAAGACACAGTATTCCAAAGGCCTAATTACATGCATCAGTGCTGCCAAAAAGAACCGTTGTCGTCGACGATCAAACATATCAGGGATCGCACATCCCCTAGAAGAAAAAATACCTGCTCACTATTGCTGCTAGTCAACCTTTCAAGTACGACTTTCATCACAATCCATCCGCCATGTTTCCCCCGTCCAACATCCCATCTTTCATCCGGTAGTAGCCAGTCATTATGGCCGAGGAAACCGGTTGGCATCCCGTGAAGCCAGAAGGGCTAGCGCTTGGGACATTCATCACGACAGTCGTTCTCTCGGTTCTGTGTTCAATCATCGTCTTGATGAGGATGTACATCCGAGCAAAGCACCAATCTCTTGGTACGGACGACTATCTTATGTGCGCAGGCTGGGTAAGTGGGATGTCATGGCGCTGACATTTAGGGTTGTTGAAGATCTCAAGGCTGACATCTTCGTACGCAGGCCGCGTATATAGTCCACAATGCCATTGTCAGCACCGGATGCCACCAAGGCATAGGCACTCCCCGAAATAAACTCGAAACTGCCCAAGTAATCGAGGGTATGAAGGTACGAACACGCGTCATCGACTCGAGCGAAACAGGAACCGAAGAGTAACATGTTGGCTGTGGTAGTACGTGTTTATGTGGCAGATTTTCTACGCCGCCACTCTCGTTTTCGTGAAAAGTAGCATCTGCGTCACTGTTTTACGAATTGCGGCTGGAAGAGTTTATATCTGGACACTGCGAGGACTTATCATCCTTGCAGTGTTGATGAGCTCTGTCGGGCTCATCGTCATCCTGGTTCAGTGCCGGCCAGTCGAAGCATTCTGGGATTCATCGAAAGGAACTTGCATGGACAAGATTCTTCCCACGATCTTAACATACGCCGCTTCGGTATCGAACGTCATAACCGATTTTGTTACCGCCACCATACCTATAATTTTAGTACGAAGGCTCCAGATGCGAGCCAAATTAAAGCTATATGCTCAGCTGGTTATGGGCTTGGGAATATTGTACGTGTCTCTCAGACCCGTTGATATTTATACCCAGAACTATACATGGCTGACTCCAACGTACAGGGCATCCATCGCAAGCATTGTTCGTGTACCATACTCGAATGCTTATCTGAAACCCGATGATTTTATCTGTACGTGGCTGTCAATTCCTTTCATACGTCGCTCCATTGATTTCCATCCTAACTGAAACCCGGGTGTTTGATTCACAGACCAAGTGTCCAACATTATTCTCTGGACGGTAGTTGAGTGCGGAGTTGGCATTCTGGCGGGCTCTTTGCCATCACTTCGGGCCTTCTTCAAGAGCTTGGCCAAGGACAAAAGCACGAACCCAAGTGGTTCATACGCTACCGACCTTGTGACTATTGGGCAGATAAGGGCTGGGCAAGATCACTCCCAAGCCATGGAGCTAGGATTTGCGACAGTCAACCGCGACGCCGATATCCAACACGAACACGATAACGACAGCACCAGCCACATCATCAAAAGTACGACAGAGTTTCAGACGGAACGCGCTGGAAGCGACGAGGAAGGGTTATGCGACAGGAGATACTCAAAAGACTCAAGAGAAAGGAGATCATAGTAGTAGGCATCTATGATTCTTGCGGGAAAAAAAAATGATAATCAGCAATTACGTTACTGTTCAGGGCTACAACTCGGCTGCGACTCGATATTGTGACTAGGGAATGAGATCGTATCCAATGTGTATCAACCGACCCGAGTTGAGCACCGACATAGTATCCAATCTGCTTAACAGCCCCCGATTCGACCGAGGCCCGTAGCCGCCACAGTTGGGAAATAGATACATTTACCGGACGAATCAAACGAATTGGATATTAGCTGCATTAAGGCCATGATCTTTTATGTGCAACATGGTATGATGACTTCGCATCAAACCACGAATCTGATCCTACAGCTACAAGTCAGACATCATCTACCCACCCCTCGTGGAGTTCCCCTGAACTGCCCTTTTGCACAGCCATGAGAGGTAGGGCTTAAACAGCGGGCGCATTTTGAGAGTAGAGTGCCGGAGCTGAAAGCAGACCCTCTGCATAGTCCTCGTACGAACCCCTACCGCGCAAGGTATCTTCTAGCGTGGTGTGATTGGACTATGGGGGCTGTGCCGTGTGCGCTGCGAAGATCGTGGCAACCAAACGCGTCTTCCTGTTGCCGAGGAGTCTTGGTAGGGCTGACAAGTGCACCATAGAGGGCTCGGGGTACTCTGCTGTGAAGCCGCTGACCGCTTGCACAATGATGCTTGGTGAGATGCCCTCCATGTGAGCATCCATGTCAACGGAGCCACAGTTATACTTCGATGACTGGGCGGAGGCTGAAGCACCTATTTGACCATCGTCTTGGCTTGTGTTCACATTTCGGACGCATTTAGTCGAATTATTGTAATTTGTTCACCAGAAACTCCGAACTTGCGCCATGTAATCGTAAAGGAAAACTGAACGCAAATCTTGCCTCTGCCCTTTGGGGTGGCAACGGGCCTAGCAAATCAATTCAGAAATTCCGTGAAGACATAGCCGTCAAATACGAAGCTAGCGATTGTGCCTTCCGTGGCCAAAAAAGTTTCGCTGATAAGCCTGAGACTTTTGTTCGAGGATATGAACCAGTCGGGACATCGGCTCTCATCTAGGACGATCAGTCGGTTTTGAGGCGGTACCGATCGGCTTTGGTTGCTTTACTATTTCAGAGATCTTTCGGAAATCCAGAGACCGGAACAATAGAAGCAATCCTCCCTAATAACTGCTTACTTGTTTTCTGTACGGCAACTCTACTTTCTGCTTCATCTACCCTGGCAAGTATACGCTGGTCGTAGGATGTCGCAAATCCGCTGGCACTTTTGAATCGAGCCAAGATGAGCTTGGCTCACCAACTCTACACCATGGCCACGGAGGAAAAGCCGATGCAGGAACGGCCAGAACCACAAGAGACGAGTAAATTAACTACACAGTCTGCCCCAGAGGCTACTCTGAGCCCAATTGACGGAGGCTACGGCTGGGTTTGCGCCGCAGCTGCTGCCGTAACCAACGGCCACTCCTGGGGCTTCAATTCAGCCTACGCGGTATTTCTCGCCTACTATCTGGACAATGATGTATTCCCTGGTCGTCGCCTATGCAATACGCCTTCATCGGAGGTCTGAGCTTGACGTCCCTCCTCTCTGTTTCACCACTTGCGACTATCCTAATGCGTAGGTATGGCATTCGCCCTACCATGTTTTTTGGAGCAGTGCTCGAAACTGCCAGCTTTGTCATCGCCAGCTTCGCAACACAACTATGGCATCTGTTCTTAACGCAAGGACTTCTCTTTGGCGCTGAAGTCGGTCTACTGTTCATACCCATAGCTGCCGTTGTGCCTCAATGGTTTACAGCAAAACGATCACTAGCCAGCGGAATATCCCTCTCTGGAGCCGGCCTTGGAGGAGTTGTATATTCTCTGGCCGCGGGTGCCATGATTAGCAGCCTTGGCCTGAGTTGGGAGTTTCGAGTCATGAGCATAATTGCTTTCACCGTTAATTCAAGCTGCATTTTCCTGATAGGCGACCGGAACACAGCGATTGAGGTTAATCAGGGCGCTTTTCACATCACTCTAGTTAAGCGTGCTGAATATCAGCTTCTTATCGGATTCGGCATCCTTACCATACTTGGATATTTCATCTTAATCTTTAGCCTTGCGGACTACGCTATGAGTATCGGCCTTGATTCCTCCCAAAGCTCGCTCATTGCTGCCTTATTCAACTTTGGTGAAGCCATTGGGCGGCCATTAGTGGGCTATCTTAGTGATAACGCTGGCCGGATGAACATCTCATTTTCGATGACTCTTCTTGCTGGGATCTTACCCCTGGCCGTGTGGGTGAACGCCAAAGGCTATGGGGTTCTTCTTTTCTTCTCAGTCAGCGAGGGACTTGTAGCTGGAAGCTTTTGGGCCACGATTTCACCGCTCATGGCCGAGGTTGTTGGCGTCGTGGACCGGAGAGAGTTTCGATAGAAAGTTAAAGCAAAAGAAGAAGTCAGACCTAACAACTCAATACAATGAATACGAAAGGTTAAAAAAAAGCTTTGCTAGCCCAAGGCTGCAGTTATACGGCAGAAAATTCTATAAACCTTTATACTGATAACTCGCTTGCTGTCAGGACGAGCTGCGCGTTGAATGACTACTAAAGCTGCCCTCTTTACCTGGCTTTATACTTGTCTTGTATTACGCTAATCCACATACTTCAACCGAGCGGGAATCTTTTCAGCCAACTAACCCAGTAAGTATCAGTAGCCCCTTGGCCAGAGTACTAATACTGATACGCCCGCAGCCTTCGATTATAGCAGATAATAATATCTTAGTACCTTTTCTTAAAGGTAAGAAAATAATCTGGCTAACGATATCTAAGCCCAAAGTCAGTACTAGTAATCCTAAGCTCGCTAGCTTTACTAAAGTAATTAATATAGATAAGGTTAATAAGCTGGATGAAAACAAGCTTAATAATCTCTCTGCTGAGCAGCTTCTAGCTCTCTATAACTTTAGGCAAGATATCCTTGGGCGTATACCCGAGGATAAACTTAATACTAAGAATATCTCGGCGTTAAGGAGCAAGGGATTAGAATAGTTCTAATTCCTCGTGGCCAAGGCAGAGTCGTTCCAGCAGAATACCATCAACGAGAAGAACAAGTAGGGCCGTCTGCGGTGGCACTGATAAGAAGGGAGGAAAAGATGTGGATGAAATCAGGGTTTGGAAGAGGATAGCCTTAATAAAAAAAGCTTTTAAACCTTTAACACAATGAAAGGTTGGCGTCGTGGACACCTCATCGGGGTTGAACATGATGTGGCTGGCTTTGGTGTTACCGTCCACTTTCAGTGCGCCCATTGCGCTGCCGATAGTCTCAGGAACGAACAGCTACCTAGGAGCGCAACTGCTGACGGGACTGGAATACGTATCTGCTGCTGTATGCATGATGTTACTTCGCGGATGGAAAGTCATGTCGAATGAGGCGGCGGTTATGGAGCACGACAATCATAATGCACAAACCACCGAGTACGCCATTGGGTCACGTTTGTGCAGCGATCAGTCTTTTCAAAGGCAGGCGTCTATTCACGTTAGAGCTTGCGGGAGAAAATGCAGAGTCTAACTAGAAAGCCTTCTAGAAGCTTCAATGAGATACATTCGATGTGAAAGCTACCTCATCCATGGGCGGCCACCATTGTGACCATGGCCCCTGCTCATCCATATTGCTGTTCACTTCATATAAAAAGCTTTCCAACAGCACACTCGTGTCTGGAGAGTCATCAGTGATTGTAGCTGCATCATCCATAGCATCCCGAGATGTATCTGCCGCTTGCTCCACGCCATCCATCTCTTCCATGTGTTGCTCCGACCTGTCAACAACCCGAAACTCATGCAGCGACTGATGGAGGCCGTTGAAGTCAGCCCTTGGCATGCCACGGTAACGCCCCGTGGTTGCTGCCCGTCTGTAGAGCAGCTAGGCATGCTCTATAGTATTGATCTGTATCATGTCAGCCACGTTGATCCATTACAGGGAATGTAGTGGTCAGGGTACCCCGCATCTTTGGCATGGCGATCTGCCCTTATGAACGCATTTAACCTTGGATTTCCTGAGCGGGAAACTTGGTCAACGGCATGCAAACGACGCCAACCCTATGGACTGTTCACTCACCTACAAGCATCGCACGATAAGCTCGATCGCATCTTGTCGGCTTTAGAATCGGCACAATTTTGAGATACAATGCCCAAGTCAGGACAAGAGAGCGGATCGGATTAGAGATCGGCTAACAACTTCCATGCCAGGGCTCATCGGAATTCTCGGGTTTCGCTCGGTTCTCCAACAGCTTAGTAACTGTTGAAGAAGATACCTCTCATTCCCAATGTTTATGTGGAGAAGTCCGAATCGAATTTGCCGGCACTGGCCATAACACCGAACATAACGAGGAATCGTGACAAGTCAAGTGGGTCTTTCATCGTAGAAGCAGATAGGCGGTGGTAGAAATCTTCTGTAAGTGGAGGTTACTCATCAAGTTGAAGGGGAGTCGACTGAGACCCCTTTACTCAATCACTCCACGCTGTACACATCCCGAAACTGGCCTTGCCCGCTGAAGTCCCCAAAAGCAACAAGTCGATGTCTCACAGCTGTATGTCTCTGCTCCGAGTCCTGGATGGAGTCATCAATTATCAGACGGATTGTCCTTCCTTGAAGCCTCTCTTGTATCATGAGATGGAGAATGGTCCTCAAGTACGACCAGGTAAAGAATCCTGGGTCGGCCTCATCGATGCTCTTGATGTAGGGGATTACATGCTCTAAAATTATCATCACAACCCGAGTGCCCTCACTTAAAAGCGCGGTGATGAGGAGTAGCATATCAACACGGAACAGCGTGAAGTTCTGACGAGTGAAGTTCATGCCGCAAATGATCCCGAGGATCACTTTAGCCCAGGCTTCCGAGACAGGAGCAACTGCCCCTGGGTTGAACACAGATCGGAGATAATTGCAAATCATCCGAGACAGCAAGTACAAAATGTGATCAAGGGCCTTGCTCTCGTTGGTAAGCTGATATGTTACCAACACATCCGAGATGGAATTGCTTGTCACAAAATCCGAATCAGTACCAATTTTGACCCTTGGTAGGTCAGACTCCGCAACCCCTTCGTACCACTGGCCGAGCTGTTTAGCGAAGTAAGTACACTGTTGATTTATCATATGCTGAGTAAGGCTGTCGGAATAAAAGTCTTTCTGTTGAGCCTGGTGGACGTCACAGTCTCTGTTGAGGACCAATTGAAGCCACTGGCTAACTCGCTCGGACGGACTCGGTACAATGTTGCTTTCTTCTTCATCCGCATCTGTAGATGAAAAGAGTGGCAGTTGTGAAGAGTCCATTTGTGGGTTTGACAAAAACGTAGCTTCCATGAAGTATCGTGAGTGAAGTTTCCAAAGCCCAATCAAAACCTCTCGGATCGCGATCTGTTGATCAAGAACACTGCTCATGTCATATGCATCAACAGCAGTTATGGTTTTACGGGTTGCCAGGCTTGAGAACTTCCGATCGCAGCGAAGCATCCTCCATGCTTTAAACAAGCCCGGGGTTGAGCAAGTGCTAAAGTCCATCCGAGAGGCGAGTGCGTCAAGCCCGCATGCATGATTTCTCACACCGAGAGGGGTGCCTACTTCAATATCATGATAAGCCAGGAGCAATGCCGCACCGGCTAGCTGTTCCAGGTCCTCTTTGTGTGGGCTCTCCAGCTGCTCATTGAGAGTCTTGACAGCCGTGTCATAGTATAACCAATTTATTTTGTCGTTACGTCCATATGCATGGACTGCTTCCTTCGCGATGTCATGACTGTTGCCTCGATTTCGGTCCAATTTAAGAAAGCTCGAGGAAAGGGCTAGAACTGCCGCCCGAAAACAGCGGTTTTTGTAGAACCATTGGGGAAAAGTTACACCAACTGGAGTCCTTGGGAGGACTTGCTGACTGAAATACATGAGAAGGGCCTCCTCTACCTCAGGCCGCAGGGGGAAAGATCTAGGTTGAGAGCTCGAGTGGTCACCTGCTGATCTTGGTGACTCTCCCCACGAGTGTGAATGGCTGGTCGAACTTGAAGGGGTGTGTATAGGGTTTGGAGAGGATTGACTCGAGAAGTGGCCGGAGCCACTATCGCGTTCAGTTCCGGCGCCTCCAAAGTCGCTATGGTGGAAGAACTTGGGTCGAACAATATCCCCGACGGTTCGAACGGCAGGACCAATGGTATCATCTTTCCACTGTCTTGTGATTTCGTGAAGTTGCAATCCAGGCGCATACTCGTCCAGAGAAGGTAAAGAAGGCTTAGATATCGGCTTTAATACGCTGCCACAAGTTGAGAATGATGATTCGCCAACTCGGGAAACACTGAAGATCTTGGCCGATATCATATAGTCCGTCTGAGGTGGAAGATGTGTGTTTTCGTATGTCTTAGAAGAATATTCGGGCTGCTCGCCACTGACGTGGATAATCGTGTTTCCTGAATCGAAGGCAGACGACTCCCTGGTCACGCGACCTCCTTCCAGGCCTCTTTTCGTGTCGCCGTGACGCGAGTCCTCTGGTAAACCAACCCGCTGCTCGTTGAAGCCTTTGAAAACAAGCGGCCGCTGGTATATACAGTCTAACCCGCGCTGAACGCAGGCGACACACTGAGGTCGGGTTTCATCGCACTTGATTTTTGTCAACGGTATTCTTTCGTGAAAATCGACCGCCGGTGAAGCCTACCTTTTTCCGGCGATTGCGACAGGCCTGACACCCTGTCCTCCTTCTGCTTGTCTCGACTCTTCGCCTCCGAGCTGAGGTCTCCATGGCAAATGTCAATTCGCTCACAGTTCGAATTCTGCTGAGGATATCACACCACCTATTGACATCGATAGCGGCTGCCGATTGCTTTCTTTCTCGAAGTAGGTATGGTAGTCGGGTCTTTGCGAGGCGCGAGCCCATATCAGCATGACGCCATATTGTTATTCGCGCACGCTTTGGCGAAAGGAGAGCAGGTTGTGTTAAAGTTAGCCAGGCTATTGATATAAAGACGAGTTAAGCTTGACAGGCCACACACAAGAAGTGGGCAGCAGCCATACTTGGCTAAACTAAATGGGGTGAAAACAATCGCCGGTCAGACAGACTGAAGAAAGATATTTTGGGCTCATCCACTGATTGCAAGTTCCAGCGACCTGTAATGGGGCATTGTGGATGCCCAGAATGGCGCAATTTGACCCCGTTCTTGTTGCATCCTCAAAGCCCTGGGTTAGCGTATGCACTTGGATACACCCATCTTGTGCCATTGGTCAATTCATAGTTCATGAACGGCTGGCGATTAAATTTTCCCTTTTGGGTCTCTTGTGGCTCGAGGACCCTTACTCAAGGTTGCTCTGCGGTGTGCCAGATCGGAAATACTCCATCAATATCAAGGGTAAGGCTCATCATGTATAATAGATACGATCCTCCACCCTAGATAGGTGGGATCTTCATCTCCTCTGGACTCTACTCGATCATAGATATACTCAAGCTCGTCCTCGGGTGTCTCATTCATGATGGGTAAACCCTCACACGCCATCACCCACACAACTGCGGAGTCGTCGTCTGTGGACGATGAGGTCGTCGACAATGAAAATGAGCGCAGCGAGCCCCTAAATCCTACGGAACAAAATTCTCAGCTTGTGAAAGGCGCAGTCATTGTTCGTGACGGGAAGGACATCTCCGAGTACGTTGTTAGCACTCAGGATGACGGCGACCCAGCTTGCACTTTTCGCTCCTTCATCATCGGATCTGGTTTAACTGCTCTTGCCGCTTGTATCAACCAGATCTACTACTACAAGCCAGTTGAGGTGTCATTTGCATCTGTTTTCCTCTGTCTGATGGCCTACGTTATTGGACTTGCCTGGTCTAAGCTGCTTCCACGCCGAGAACATGTTGAGAAGTTTTTGCCCTCTCAAGCTGCATGGCTCGGTCCTGTTGTCCACTTTATCAACCCCGGACATTTTGGTCTGAAGGAGCATGCCGTCGCTTCAATTCTCTCTACCTCAAGCGGTAACGGAGCTGCCATTGTCCAAGTGTTTGGGGCTGAGAGGTTATTTTACAATCGTCAGACAGAAGCCGCTACTGCCATTCTCACCATCTTCTCTGCTTCAATTTTTGGGTATGGTCTCGTTGGCCTCCTAAGGTCGATCATTGTTCATCGTAAGTCCAATCGCTCTCTTGTTGTTCAGGAGCATATCAGCTAACATTAGTTCTCTTAGCGACTGAAATGGTTTGGTGGCAATGCTTGCCAATGATATCCATCTACCAGACCTTCCACCGGGACCCGAAAGGCGCCAACAGAGACCGCCTGCGCATGTTTGGCTTTACCTCGATCGGCATGCTAATTTGGGAGCCAATTGCTTCCTACATTTGGCCATGGTTGAACGGCATTTCGATTCCATGCCTTGCTTCGATGCATGCCCCTTCTAGTACGAGGACAGTGATCAAGAACGTGTTCGGTGGGATTTCTTCGAACGAAGGTCAAGGCCTCTTCAATTTCTCACTTGACTGGCAGTACATCACCTCCCGATATATGTCTCTACCATTATTGCAGCAGGCAAACTCCTGGGTTGGAATCCTCATTTCTTACATCATGTGCTTCTCGCTATATTATGGAGGAGCCTGGGGTGCAAAGAAATTTCCTTTCATGTCTACCGCTATGTTTGATGCAACCACTGGAAAGATATATAACCAAACGGCCATCTTTGGAAGGACAGCCATCCTGGATCCCGCTGCCCTTGAAAAACACGGGCTACCCAGACTCACTGCAACCAATGTCTGGGCTAACATGGCGGCAATGGCCGCTATTGGCGGTCTCTTCACTCATATTGGTCTGTTTTATGGTCCCAAGATCAAGCAGTCTCTTACTCGCGCATGGAAAAACGAGCAGCCTGATATACACTACAAGATCATGCAGCAAAACTACAAGGACGTTCCCCAGTGGTGGTATGCTATCGTTCTCCTGGTCGGGTTTTTCTTTGGGCTCGGGGCTATTTACGTCGGGAACACTACACTTGATCCATGGGCCTATGTGGTTGCTATCCTCTTAGGTTGCATCATTGCCCCTTTTTCGCTTTGCCTTTACGGCCTGCTTGGAACAAGTATCTCGACCAACAATCTATCCAAGATGCTTTGTGGTGTTCTTCAGCCCGGAAAGCCCGTTGCAAACCTCTACTTTTCTATGTTCAGTCACGAAGTAACCGTTTTGTCTGTTTTCTTAGCCACGGATCTCAAGATGGCACAGTATCTCAAGATTCCATGGCGAACCATGTTTCTCCTCCAGACCTATGGCAGTCTTCTCGGCACGGCGCTCAACTATGTCATCATGGACAATATTGTCACTAATCGCCGAGAAATCCTGTTGGATCCCATTGGCAATCAAGTCTGGAGTGGTCAAAAGATCCAATCCCTCAACACAAATGCCGTCACTTGGTCGTTGGCTAAATATGTGTATGGCTTCAACAAGGATGGATATGGGTGGATTCCTCTCTCGATTCTCTTTGGTGCTGCTGTTCCCGTAGTCCATTGGCTCATCTCACGGAAATTTCCCACCATATGGGGCCACGATACTCGCAAGATGGTGTCTCCTGTCATCTTCCACAACGCTTCCTCCACAACAGCGGGCACTACGTCAGTCGTTTGGTCTCAGGTTGCAACAGGGATAATATCTCAATGGTGGCTGCGTCTGCGGCACCCTGCATGGTTTGGCAAGTACAATTACATTGTCGGTGGCGGCTTGGATGCAGGAGCCAAGGTCATGATGTTTATTCTTACATTCTCTGTCTTCGGTGGCTCTGGAGCTGAGGTTTCTTTCCCCAAGGTAAGACATCAAATCCGTCATATCGATCATTCATGCAACTAACGACGTTTTTAGTGGTGGGGAAATCCCGTATCTAGCGCAAAGCAGTATGCTGACTACTGTGGCACTGGTTAAACACTGATGACAACAAGTAATACTCCTCATTTATCGAGGTTGGATGAAATGTCTAGTCTTAGTTCATCGGTCTCACCTCAGTCAAAACAAATCAGAAATAATAGAACGTCAAACAGAATTTACGCGTCTCATACACTCGGTTGAAACTTGCTGAATGATATGACCTTGGCTTCTCATGATGATGAAGACCGCCTAGCCATGCATACGTCTAGGATCTACCTCCATGACACACAATAAAACATTGCCTTATTTCATTACTTTGAACCAAGTAACATTGGCAACATAGGTTATTTAGATCATATGTTTGGGATTAAATCTAAGACGTTTATCGGTATAATCGATGGAACTGAGAAGCTCTGGTCGAAGCTACATATTCGGAGAAATCAAAAGTCGTATGCACCATCATGACTGTTCCCGCAGTCTAAATTTCTTCTATGATTCCAAACGCCTCGTTTCGTTCTTATTTCAACGGCGCCCTCCCCGGTACAATTGGTCCAACTCAAGTCTGCGCTGGTCAATCCAAGTTCACAACCACAAGCACAACGTACACACGTTATCCACCCTTCCAGCCGGCGTATCAAGATTGCTATCCCCAAATATATACAGAAACATGATTGGCTCGTTTTCTCCCAAGACCCAGAGTCTGTGTGGTCAAAGACGAAAAAAATTGGACGAACGGGGAATTGAACCCCGGACCTTTCGCAAAGCGCTATCAGAGAAGATGCGAAGCTATTCCTGTTAATTACTGTCCAAATGATTCTTTTCGGCAATTGGAAAACATACCGAACGCCATACCCCTAGACCACACGCCCTATTGTTGGTTTGCTCCGTTCTGCAATTGCGAGATTCAATGCTTCCCGATCCTCTGGGAACCGACAAAGGGCGTTGTCTAGGTCCCAGGCGGGTTCATAATCATACTGCCCTTCATTCTTGATTGCATCCTCGTAACTGAGACAGGCGGGGTGAATCATGTAAACTGCCACGATCGCCTCCAAAGCCCGGAGTTGAGGAATGGCATTCCAGATGCCAATGCTAACCTCTCTGAACTCATCGAAGATCTCCGGGTCTGGCGTCCCGTAAACGACGCTCATTTCGTATACCATCCGCAAGGGAACCAGATGGCACATGAGCATCCGTTGGTATATGGCCGCAAGTAGCACACACTTGAAGTATGTTTTTTTACCCATCATTAGGTTCTTTGCACAAGACTCTTTAGCCACCTTATCTCCTCCAGCATCGGTCTCCAGTGAGTCTTCTTGAATTCGCAGCGTCGAGTCCTTCATGTCCTGCAGTCTTTGACGAATTGTCACGGCAAGTCGTGTCATACCTTGGCTGAATGGGTCGGCATATATTCGCCCAAAATCGTGGTACAAAGGAGCGAGTCTTCTGGTGTACTTATGAAGAAGCAGCATGTCGTTTATCAAAAAAGGTCGCACATCCGAGGTAGATGACTGTTCTTCCGCACACCGGTCGAATGCTTCCTTCCAAGGCGATGTCCTGATGAAGTCGTTCTCTCCGCTCCTGGTAGGATCGCGTAACTTGAGAGAGGTGAGACGTTAGCGATGATATCACGACGTACTGTTGGCCGAAACTAACCAGAAGCCCGTGAATTTCGTTCGTAACCGCGATCTCAAGCGGGTCCTCAAACTTCGGCAATCCCCTTCTTATAAGAGCTTCTCTGATCCCTTTCAGATGCAAATCTGCATACCTCCCTCCATCAAAGAGCTTGCTCGTGCGCTCGAGAAGTGTCATTGCAGCTAGAGTTTCGACTGTGCAGGCCTGAACTGCCACCAGTGCCCGTCGGAGACTCCGCAGAAGCTTCCCGTACTGGGGCATCTCCATCAGTTCTCTTCGTTTCCGATGACGGCGGGAGTCTGACCATGCAGCGCAAAAAAGGTCCACCGAGTCACGCAAACAGGCGCTCGCGCCCAGGCGTCGCGGCAGCTCAGGAAGGTAGCTCATGTGAACACTTATCAGTCCCTCAGAACCGTGATCCATGCTAGCGACGAGACGGACGCTGATTCGGTCCGCGAGAGTTGTGGGGTTGCTTCTGGGGAGCCCGACTTGAAGCAGGAGGCCGTATTCAGCTGACTCGTCACCAACTTTTGAATAGTATACCTTGCGCAACCTCAGGGATGGGCTAGGGCTGCTGGATGGTGTTGAACTGCTGTCTGATCCAGAAAATTCGGCCTGTGGCTCGTCTGGATTTTCACTGCGTGAAGCATTGTTGATAAACTTGAGGAGCTGAGTAGGTCCTGGGCATTCAAGTCTGCGCTGTTTGCATTGCTCGCAAGTTGGCCATGTCTCATCGCACTAGAGAAAAGTATGTTAGCTCGTCCTGACTTGGGCCACCGTTGTGCCTGGGGTTCGTGGAGGCACTACTTTGATCTTTCTCTGCTTGCAAGTTTGGCAGCCCCTTGACTTCGGAATGCCAGGCATTATGTCGATAAGTACAGTGAGAGAGTAAACGTTTGAAGTGAGAACAAAAAGAATAACCTATGATACAAGCAAACAAGCATAAACCAAAGACTGGTGATGAGCTAGCAACAAATATTGTTTCCATTCGGGAGAAGCACCACCGGACTGGTGCAGAACTATATCTGCATGCTGACATCTAATAGACGTTTTTTAAGTTAGCCTGTCCCACACGTCCACACCAAGCAAGATCTTGTGAGTCGCCAAGGGGCACTACCGCCAGATGGGACTTTGGGGATGGAGGATCGGCATGGGCCCCAAGCATCGAGACAGGCCTGCTGTCAATTGATGATGCTGATGGAACTTAGGGGTAAAGGAGGCCTACCGGCGACCTGGTAGGTAGTATCGACCCTCTGTCCTTGAAGGAGAGGTTCGACCTAGGTGAAATGGTGCATTATTTCCCTAACGGGATGTCGCCGGCAGCTCATTGAGTGGCGAGGGCACCTCTTCCAGGCTCAGTCTCGCGGCAGCCACGCGTGTGCCCTGGCAGGATACGACAATAGAGATGAGCGATACCACGTTACCAGTATGACAGCGGTAGGACTGATCTGCCGACAGATCTGTCTTGTCTTCAGTGGAGGGACTGAGATTACACTTCGGCAGTAGATCTTATGATTACTACTAATTAGGCATCCTGATGGCAGTTACAAACGTAACCCGTTGGTTTGGTGCCGGACATACCTGGACGCTGTCTCGGCCAATACCGGTATCGTCAGCCATTGATGTCAGCTTAGGTTATGCTGGACAACTAACGTACATCGACATCACGAAAGGCCTCCCACTGGCTCGATCACGAATTGCGGGGTTAATTTTAAATATCCGGTCTCCCAAGCGATTGCCGTATGCCACGGTGGCCGGCCGTTAACCTCCTTGTCTGCTCTCCACCGAGCCATTGCGATTACTGCTTGTCGGCTGCTGATCCTTGCCTCCTAAGAAGCCTCCTAAGAGGCTAAGACAGACCCCGGTCGGTATATTTCCCCCGATTAGGAAGATTCTCGTACATTGGGGCTCCATCCGGCACTTAGCGGGCTCCCGGACTGGCTCCCATACGAGCTGTAATCGCCGACCAGAACTGTGCCTGCCATGCGTCTCGTCTGATGTCCAACCATGCCGCCTGGTTCGTTGCTAAATTTACCTCGGGGATTTCCAGACATGCCTACCCATGATTTGCTGTGGCCAGGTAGGTTTCTTGTTTTGCTATTTCTGCCCTCTTCTATCCCAGAGGCATGCCAAGCTGTTCAACTGCCGGAAATATATTCAGAGATCACCAGCTGGTACTAGGCCTCCAGCGAGGGTAACAAACTCGCCCCACTGATGTATTACCACCAGGAATCCTCCAACTTCTAAGACACCCGTGGAAATAAAATCTATTGGTTGGTGCGACATTGGCCGCCCCAAGCCTATTCAGCCTTCGGAGTGGCTGGACAGAAGGTAGAAGTGCATTCCTCAGACTGAGTGATCAGCAACTCAGTGTTTCAAGCCTAAATATTTCCAGCGAGTGAAAGGACAAAGGTCTCGTGTCGGCTTAGTAGGCTGCGGAAGGTCTTTTCTTCCATTCCTCCCTTATTTCCCGGGCATAATTACAACTGGTCCTGCTTATTCTTGTTTCCCCTTTCCCGTCTTTTGCTTGTCGGTGTTACATTCGCGAAATGAACGCATCAACCCATCACCGCGGCTTGCTCACCCATGTTATCTGGGAAGTGGTTTGCGCGGGGCAACGGCAGTAGTGTAGGATTGCACATTCACGGCCACCACTATTACAATCAGGCCCTCGCAGGGTGGTATTCTACCAAATCCGGTAGTGTGTGAGGTAGCATAGAGGCGAGATAAGCTCTTTTGCAGAGACGTATTCGGACCTTAAAAAAAGTATCCGCCACGTGCAAACTTGAATCTCGGGATCTTGACATGTTCCGTGGAGTGCTGGTAGCCAATAAAAAAAGAATCCCATGATTCAGAGGATCACCCTCAAGCGACGTCATGCACTTGGCCGAGAAAAGCACAATAGGTGGAAGAACCTGGTAACCGGCTTGTCAGGCTCTTTGCACCACCATGTGGAAGGCCTTTGTACAGGAGACGAAGCATCCTGTGAAGCCTTCACACTACCATTTGTTCAAAAAGGCCTTAATACCTACTGATTTCCCCCCTTTCTCAATTTCCAAGTGCTTACAATAATCCTGGCCACCACCGTTACATCGTGAGTATCTATAGTTCATAGAAGCGTGCCCTTTCCAATCCCGCTTGAACTGAACTTGCCACACCAGAGGACCCTTTTGAACGGTATTATGCCCCATAATAACGCCCTTTACTTGCATTCTTGTTGCCTTCACAAGGACTTTGGATTATTCCTAAGTTCTATTTTGTACACGTGTGCATAAGTTAATGCTTTTTCAAGAAACTATCATGATCTATTTCACGGTGTTACATTGCCATTATATCAAGGAGGTCACGGGGTGACCCCATTGCTCCTTCGTTGTTGTGCACCAGTCGCTCAACTTTCATGGAGGTAGTAGATGCTCAAAATAACTTGTCTCGGAGGTTGACTAGTCTCATCCCCTCGTCGACCTTGAGAGTATTTATAGGTCAAGCTATTTCGGTATCAACTCCGTGCCTCGGAGCAGAGATTCCGCTCCATGCTGTTACACGAGTACTCTAAGGCCCGTATGTCACAAAGCATCCAGGAACTTGCACGGTATGCCTATATGGACTTGGTGAGTAGATATTCTCTCAATCAGGTTTGCAACTCGTAAATATTTCGACTTATATCACCTCGAAGATGAGGCTTGGTAAAAGTTTTCAGTCATATTCTCAAATTTATCTCAACAATAGCTAACACGGAGTCAAGCTATCCGGGCTACATCTTGGGAGTACTACGAAGATATATCTGTGTTGATTGAATTTTTCTTAAAAAGAAAATCTTTAAAAAATTTACGTATAAAAAGGCTCGGGTATAGACCGTAATTTGTGTGAAGACTGTGAAGAAAAACTATGCGTTATTAACTAGTATCTAGCCTGATCTTAGGATGCTATCCCTTAGTTACGGCATTGAGAAAAATTCTCTGAAGATTTTCTGGAAAGGAGATTGTTTTTTTACAAAACATAACGAGTGCTCTCGGATACGAGGACCGTGTTCCGTTTGAAGTCTGTGTGTGCTGCGGCGGCAACCAAGTACCACAATGGTCAGACAATAACCGCCTAAAAGTCTACTCCAACTCCCGTTCGCAAATCTCTTTCCTGCAGCTAAGGCTCCAAACTATACACACTGTCAAGTTATGAGAAAAACTATGAAGTAGGCTAACATACACCAAATCAAATAACCATGATCTATAACCTGCCTCCATCAACTTCGCTAGAGCCAGTAATGACGCCTCTAAAACTTCATTTAAAACATTGCGGAAGAATATAACGACTGTAGTTTGTTACCAAATGGAGCACATACTTGTTTGGGGAAACAGCTGCGCCAAGGAGATACAAACTCACAATCGAGCGCCGTTTCAATACCTACATCTAGCTCAGGGTTTTCACATTAAGCGCAATAACTAGCATGAAGTTTTATTCTCATAGATGATTTAATGTATCGATCTTAGGAACCCCCAACAAACCCACTGGCACAAATCCGCAAATCCCCCAGAAGGAACGGATAATCATACGTGGTATGCCTCCCGACCTTGATCTCGCCCGGCGTCCTATCCAAGGCCGCAATCTTGGCCTTCCAAGCCCGGATCCTCTCCAGCCACCCGTCCTGCATCTCGGGCCGTATCATCCCCAGCCCCTCGAGCCCCTGGCAGACCATGGTGTTCTCCCACAGCCGCTGCCTCCAGTCCCTCCCCTCCCCGCCGTCGAGCCACCACTCGTCCTCGAACCCGTCCTGGAAGTCCTCCGCCGCCCTCTGGCGGAGACTCCTCCAGTGCGGTCTCCACCTCGTGCTTCGGAGGACCCAGACCAGCGCGATGTTGTTGTCCTTGGGGGGATCCAGGTAGCCAATGTTCTTCTCGTCTCTGGTGTACGGCCCCACGGGCTTGACGTCCCTGCGGGGGTCCAGCTCACCGTTGGGGAGACGGGCGTCCCGGGGGTTGATCCTACCCTGCAACTCACAAGCGAAGTCCGGGACGCAGTACTTGATATACTCCAGGCGCGTCTCGACACTCAGGGCACGATGGGTCGCGTCCCCGTCCAGATAGGCAGCCAGGTCCGGGGCGAAGAGCTCGCCGTAGATGGCGAGGTGGAAGAAGGTGCTGTTCGGGTCCGCGTCGATGGTGTAGGCGTCGTCCACGCCCCCGTACCAGAAGTCGGGCGTGGAGTACCACTGCTGGCCGACGCACTGGTCGATGATGTCCGTGACGGGGTTGATGACGGAGAAGCGCAGGGCGTGCAGCTGGCGAATGCGGGACATTGTGAGGCCGCAGTGAAGCAGGGCGAGATCAAGCATGCCGGCCGGGCCGTTTTGGAAGGCGAGCGCCAAGGCTGCCTCGTTGGCGGGGTCGAGACGGGCCCATTCTCCCAATTGGCGAGCCGTGGCGGCCGCGAGGAACTCGGGAGACGGACGGAAGAAGACGCGCGACTGGTTATTGGCGAGTCGCAGGATGATGTTTGGGGTCACGGACTGGAGAGTGGTGCGGAGGTATGTGCATGTCGATGAGAGGGCAGAGTAATCCTCAATATTGTGAAGGCGATCTGCGAGGAGGAGAAGGAGCTCCGGCGCGAGAGAGGCCAAGGAAACCATGTTGTCTTCGATACTCTTGCAGCCTAATTACCCTCCTGGTGGTGATATGTGATGATATGTTGGGGCAGATATAGTTGAGGAGGCAGGAGGACGTCGATTGACAGTGACTCACTCGCCGCTGATGGGATCGACAGAGAAGCCCAACGAGGGGCAGGATTGCTCATGTCAGCAAGACGAGCCAGAAAAACATCCGTTTGCCACTTTGCAGGCTTCGTCAATGCACACTTGATAAAGCCATCTTCTAACTTGTTGTGAAAGATTCATTGCGTCTATGCGCTGACATAATCTAATGGCCAATCCAATCCAATATTCTATCTATAGTTCCAAAACACCACGCTGAATACAAATACAAACGCCGGATATCATACTCTACCCATATCTAATACGCTGACCCAAGATCAAAACATACGTCATTATTCTCCCCTCAATGTTGATATTGCATTAATTGGAATTGTTGCTGATGCTCGCAGCCTCCTCCATCTCTCTCTCGGTCAGCTTCTTGTGTCGTTTGCTGGGGTCTTTGGTCTCGACAGCCGGCCATAAGTCGATGACGAACGAGAAGACGTAGAAGCTGAAGATGAATGAAATGATCCACTCGAGAACAGCGGCTGCATTGGTGTTTCTCGTTCTACTGCACGCGCCGAAGGCGATGAGGAGGGCAAGTTCGACGATAATGAAAGTGAGTTTGATCCAAAAGGACAGGCGAAGCTCAGGGAAATCGCGGTTTTCTAAAAGAAAAGAAAAGAGTTAGGGTTAGCCACAATTCTACAGTTTTAATGGGGGAGATAAAGCGGGAGGCAACATACTGAATTGGAGACGCTGGTATTCCCAGCAAAGAAAAATGGCAGAGATCAGGTATCCAATAATGAAGAGTGCCAAGAAGACCCAGTGCAGACGGCCATGCGTGCCCGTCTTAAAGATGGACAGACAAATGAGGCCCACAGTTCCGACGACGGCAAACAAGAGACTCAAAATAGAGAGAGCCTTCTCGCCCTTTGAGGAGTTGGGCACAAGACGGCCCTTATGCCTTAGCCAGCGCTCGGCGATGAAGGCAGCGTCGAGAAATACAGCCGTGAGAGTACATCCGGTAATGAAGAGAGGCTGTAAGCGATCGGCGCCTATGTTGCTGATGTAGGCGATGGTGGCCCTCTCAGACATGGTGTCGTAGTGGCGGGAGTTTTCGTCGATGATCCATGAGAGGAGCATGCCGAGGAGCATACCCAGCCATACTAGGCCGGAAATTATTGGGAAGACCTAGACAAGTCAGAATTAAGCGAGGCAGTGAAATGAAATGGGAGAATGCCTACCCAGTAGGAAACGTAAGCCGGTCTCTTCATGGTGAAAGAAATGAAGGCGACGGTGATGCACGCTGGGCGGGGAATGGCGTTGACGCTGGTGTTGATTCAGCCAGGCGATGGGCGGACGCCAACCACAGGGATATGAGCAAAACGAATGGATGTGTGAATCGATCAACACGGGCTGGGATGAATTTTAATAATAATTTTCGGTGCTAAATTGAGACCCGGATCCCATCAAACAATTAAACAAACAGGGGCTGCGGGTCTGCGGACATAACGGGGTCCGAACACGCACGCGACAGCTCAATGCCACAGCGATTCAGAACTCTGCCATGGATCGGAAGTTGACTAAGGACTCCTGCGCCTCACTCCGCGTCATCGTCGTTCAGTCAGTCTGACTTCTGCGCCATCAACCACGGCCCGCGCCTGGCTCCAGTCCTTGGGAGTGCGTCCGAGGCTCAGTCAGGCGATGAGCTGCTGTCGCCTCGCTCTTGGGCGCAAATAGCCTAGTGTCTTTGTCGACCGAAGCATCCGAAGCCAATTGACTGCCACGCGCACGGCTTTTTCGGACTATGCCAAGCACCTGATTGATGATGTGACGTAGAATGAATGACAAAGCAGACCTTGAAAACAAAACAAACAAACAAAGGAGAAAAGTATTTCCGGTAATAGTCACGTGCCATTTACATAACTCGCCTACCCTACAGACCTTGCCTCCCGCAATGCGCTCTATCATTTGCGAGTTCTGCTCCCTTTATTGCGTCTAGACAAATTGCAATATCCTATGAGAGCACATTGGAATGCAATTTGAGTGGTTTTTTTTTCTCTTCTTACTTTGCTTAGTTGGTGCGGTTCGTGTTTTGTCAAAGGTTTGAAGTTCTCCATGCGCACCATCAAGAACGCCTCTACACCAATTGTTGTGGTCGTTATTAGATTGTCTTTTCTATCCTGAAACCTATGACTTCCTAAAACTATTCATCAAATCTTTGCATCTAGCATTAATAAGGGGATTGAATTACCTGGTTATATATAGCCATAGCCTACCTGAGGCATTGGCTTCAATAATACCGTCAATTGTCCAAACCACGCACGTTCTCGTAGCCTTCAAGCTTGCTCTGTTAGCGTATCGGCCCCTTGGCCTAATGAACAAGCCATTGCTTAATCATCCACCCCCTAAATTTTAGCCCGCCACGCGCTAAGCACTTTTAGAAGTCTACGGAGAATACGTCATTGGCTAATCGTCGAGGAATCGCATTGTGGTGACTACCTCGTTGCATGTTGGCTTTAGATTCCTGGGCCTGATCTCCCCATCTTTGCACCGATATATCACGAGATTGCATCGCGCATATCAGTACTCACATTATACCTTGAGAGAATCAAACTCCTGGTAATAGTGCGGGGTGTCAGCCCTACCCATGACAGGCAAACATAGATAAGCGGTGGTAGGCACTAGACAGTGATTTGGAAGCTGTAATCACTAAGCTCCTGCCTAAAAGAAGATCATCGCCCGAGTCCTATCTTGAGCTTGCAAGGATCCAATCCTCTGATTTGGTGCGGGGTTCTTGGTATATCTAGAGACAAGCAATCCACCATGATTCCTTTCACTTCTGTTTTAACAAGACGTTACAATGAAGCTCCACTCAGCCCTATGCCTGGCAGTTTGGCTGGCGCAATGTTGCAACGCCGAGCCCATCCCAGAGCCTCCGGGGCCTTACAATGTAGGGGTTCGCCGGCTGGTCATCGATTTCGACAACCCAGACGACCCCGTAAGCCCTAATAACATCTCGACGGAGTATCTTGCGACAATCTACTATCCAACTGAGGACAGCCCATCTGCGCCAGCAAAATATATTGAGCCTGAGTTGGCACAGATGTACGCAGACGTATACAAGTTCAACATATCCCACTTGACCTCCACAAACCGCTGGAACGCCTCGTATCTGAGCAAATGCGCTGGCCCCTCGCTTGTATTCGCCCCAGGCGGATGGGGTCCCTCAACTGATGGCTTCGTGATCCTGCTCTCTGACCTGGCATCCCGCGGCTACGTCGTCGCCGCACTTGATCACCCATATGAGCAGCCCTTTTTGCGCTTTCCAAATGGTACCGGGTTGGTTGGGCTTCCCATCACAACACCGTCCAGTCAGCCTCTTATTGACTTGCTGCACGCTGTACGTGTACGTGAGATGTTGCACTTTGTCCACAATTGGCCGAAGCTTGTGGCAGAATTGGGAGCCCCTTTCCGGAAAACTCGCATCGGCGCTTTTGGCCACTCTTTCGGCGGCTCCTCAGCACTCAGCGCCGGCATCGAGAGCGATGCCATCGTCGCTACTTTGAATCAGGACGGGACCATTTGGGGGAGAGCGGCCCATAACGACTCGTCGGCTGACGCTGGCAAGCCGACCATGTTGCTGACGGTCAAGGGCCACAACAACGACCAAGATCAATCTTTCAAAAACTACACATCGAACCAATCAGGCTGGTGGCGGGTGATTAGTGTAAATGGAACCGTCCATGCGGACTGGACGGATGCTACCTTCTGGAAGCGATGGGGCACGACAAGACCTATGGGCACAATCGACGGTCGACGAATGACAGATATTCGGGGCACGTACGTCTCGGCGTTCTTTGGCGAGCATATAAACGGAGAGGAGTCGCCGTTGCTGGATGAGAATTCTGAGGAATGGCCAGAGGTGACGGTATACGATGGCAATGATATCTAAAACGATATTATTCTGAGGTATAATTATCGGGGCCAATATTGTCGTGATAGAGCCATGCAGCGCACTTGAACCTATTGACATCGAACCAAGTGGCTGAGGTTGAATGTCTATATAAGTAAATGATTGCTCTCGTGCCACCAGCTTCCTTCTAAATGACTTATATTAAAACTCGCATGGCTCCATCTTATTTGTATCATGTTTGGTTGTCGCGAACACAATGATAGTTTTTATTCGTGTCGTGGTTAAGTAAATGTCGGTGACTCAATATTGTCTTTGACTTCCTAATTTGAATGATTGCATTAAGCACAACTTCCTATACGAAGACGATAAACTGGCAAGGTCTTGGCAAAGGTGACATTCAAGCTTCAGCTCGCTTCAGCTTCTTTCAGCTGGCATCGGTAAAGTTCCCGCTTTTTGCTGGCGGTGGATGTTCGAACAGGGATGCAGACTTTGGGAATGGGCATCCAGCGAATGGGGAGACATCTCAATACACTCGTTGACAAGGGCCTGAAGAGGGCCTAGCACGATGCCCAACCCCTCATTTTCAACGGCTTCCCTCGCTCTGCTTCCTCGCCCTCTCTTCATATCATCGGAGCTGGATTGCAAAATGTGGTTTTCGCCAAACCCACGGCTGTTGCCTGGGTTGTTAGTTTATCTGTCAGCATGCCGGCTTTGTCTGGCTGTTGTTTTCACCAATTCCGATTTCTCGATCCAACCGAACAAAGCATTCAATTTAAAATGGGACCAAAACGAAGGACCTGTCACCCTGAGTGTGGTAACTAGCACGTCAGATAATGCCCAGCAGGTAGTCACCATAGCGGGTGAGGACGTTTCGTACCCAATCTCAGAGGTCCATGGGCGTGTGTCTGCAGCTATTTGCGAACGGCAGCAGCATATTACCGTCGGATGTCTTAATCTCTTGACATGACTGACGCTTGATCTGTACTAGAACTCGCCCTAGGAAGCTCGCGTTACTGGACTCCGAGCAGCAGTCTGCAGACGGGAACATATTATTTCAGAATCAAGGATGAAGTGACAGGGGAGGTCAATTACTCTCCAGAATGGAAGTACTCGACAACCAGCAGCTCCTCAGATTCGTCTCCTCAAACAAGCTCAAGAACCACCTTGGCAGCTTCGCGTAGCTCAAGTGATGCATCCAACATCATCCAACAGGCCTCAACGAGCCGTTCGACAGGAACTTTCTCAACCTCTACAAGGTCGTCATTATCAACCAGTATAGTAGTACCTGCGGGAACTGGCGCAGACGACGACCAAGCAAGCAGTACTAGCAATCCCACATCAGAGACACCTTCTTCGGGTCTTTCGACAGGGGCGAAGGCAGGGATCGGCGTCGGCGCGGGCCTTGGTGGGATTCTCCTGTTAGCTGCCGTCGCGTTTCTATTCTACAGGAAGGGCAAGTCGCGTGCCGAGAGACAGAACGCGTCAGTGACACATGGCCAGGATCCTCCAGCGAGCCAGGAACCAAGATCACCGGCGACGCATCGATCTTACCCGGAGCTGGGCGTTACAGATGAGAAGCCGATACCTGAAATTGCTGGGATGCCAATTGCCGAAGTTCCTGGCGCTAATGTTCATGTTAATCCCAAAACTCGAAGCAAGTTTGTTGAGCTGCCATAAATGCCTATAAAGAAGTTAGCACCTTTATATAATAGATACGTTAGTAATAGGATAGCGCCCTCATATTCGACTGAATCAGATCATACTAGCTCATTGATAAAAAGCGTGAGTTGCACATACTTGATTAAACTGGAGTACTTGCTGTGATCGGTGTTGGTGTCACTGAGTGAGGCTTGAAGTGTCTCACTAAGCTTGGATTGATATTCCAAGACGTTCTATAGAATTTGAAATAGTCTCAATATTCAATGCATTCCCACTTGCTAATGTCATGTATCCAGAAGAGTGGGAGATATATTCAGTTTTTAGTATTTCTCTGATCGCTTGAAGGGTAATTATTTTGGCTCTTCTTCAAACATCATGTCATGGCTTATCATTATTAATATTAGATATCAGTTTCAGACAAGCACTCACACCGCCTGGCATAGAGGATCACTCACATGCATGATAGGGTTGCTCCACTCGCAACCGACATCGGGATGATGGCAAAGATAGCCGGTTTAAAGTCATTATCTACGTAGCATAGCCTGTTATCTTACTTGGAAAACCCCGGTCATCCGAGGTTCTAAAAATGCTGGAGCAGAAGTAATGTATCCATACAATAAGAAGGTATAGGCCTAGATTCGGGATTAGTAAGTGCTTGGATAGTTCCCCGGCCTTAAGATGCAGCTGTTTCCTTTGAAGTGCAACGTTACTCCTGGATAAAGTGGCATTGCATCAACTATGGATTCGCGAAAATCGGCTCTCACCACGATTCGATTCATATACCGTTAAGAAAAAAATAACACTATTGGCTTGCACACTGTCAGCCAGGGAATCTCACAGTGCGAGCAGGGGATGATTTGAGACAAAAGCAAAGTCACTTTTCTCTTTAAGACAAAAGAGATTGCGAAGCTGAGCGGGGTGGTTGGCAAACCCCCGTATATCAATGACAAGGTCCCAACAAAATGCCCCGCAGAGTATGCATGTAACACTGGAAGCTCAGTGTTGGGGTATTATCGCTTACCTCGCTTGAATTTTTCCGTCCATGGCTTTAAATCGGCCTTTCCCCTGTATAAGAAAACCAAATTCTACACATGAACAAAGAAGAGGACCCTTATTTTCTGGCCAGACATATTGAAAACGGGCGCAATGATCCCTCGCTGCCACCCATGTGTCGCGTTGCTGGCCCTCTTAGGGCTGGCCTCAGCTGCATCTGGAGTAATCTCACCACTACCTCCGATGGGTTTCAACAACTGGGCTCGCTATATGGACGCCTTGAACGAAACGCTTTTCGTTGAGACGACTGATGCCATGCTGGCAAAGGGCCTACTGCAGGCGGGCTACAACCGCATCAACTTGGATGACTGCTGGTCTCCTAGGGAACGGCTTGCCAATGGCTCAATGACATGGGATACGGACAAGTTTCCACAAGGTCTTCCTTGGCTAGCAAGTTATATCAAAAGCAAGGGATTTATACCTGGAATATATACTGATGCAGGAACCTTATCATGTGCCGGATACCCGGGCGCATATGGTTACGAGGAGATCGATATAAAGGACTTTGCGAACTGGGGTTTTGAGTTTGTCAAGCTAGATGGGTGCAATATGCCAACGGGGACCGAGGCTGAGTATAGAGAGGTGTATGGGAAGTGGCACGAGATCTTATCCGAATTGGAAACCCCGATGGTCTTCTCAGAATCGGCACCGGCATATTTCGCTGAAGCAGCGAATCTGACCAATTGGTACAAAGTGATGAGCTGGGTGCCGGAATTTGGGCAGCTCGCGCGCCACTCCCGAGATACATTGGTATGGAACTCGACCTTGTATTGGCCAGACATCACCGGCTGGGATAGTATCTTGTTCAACTACGGGCAGGAAGTGCGCCTAGGCCGTTTCCAGCGGCCTGGTTACTTCAATGATCCGGACTTCCTGAATGTCGATCACTTTGATTATACTATACACGAGAGACGCTCACATTTTGCACTTTGGGCCTCGTTCTCAGCTCCGTTGATCCTGAGCACTGATATACTTTCTCTCACCGATGAGGAGGTCAAATATCTTACAAATCCTGACATCATCGCCATTGACCAGGACCCTCTGGTTCAGCAAGCATCGCTGGTTAGTCAATCAGCTGACTGGGACGTCTTGACGAAAAGCCTTCACAATGGTGACCGCCTGCTCACTGTATTGAACAAGGGTAGTGCTACTGCTGATTTAACTGTCCCCTGGAGTCATATTGGTCTTACAACAGGCACACGTCATACCCCCTCAAAACTCTCTGTCAAGGATCTGTGGACCGGCCGCTCCCAAACCGTCGATCTCATGCGCTCAAAGGGTTTCACTGCAAGGAGCGTACCGCCGCATGGCACAGCGATCTTCCGCATCTCGAATCCAGCACCAGGATCCTCTGTCCAAACCGTCCCGACCGGTCTAATCTTCAACACCTACTCTCTTAGCTGTTTGACTGACTCCTCTTCACGCGGAGGTCTCATTACATGGGCTAATTGCACCACATCGGACTCTCAGATTTGGAGGGCTCGCGACGACGGCACATTCAGCAGCCTGGCAGATGAGAAGCGGTGCCTGGTTGAAAAGGATGGGAAGATCCAATCTGGAGAGTGCAACAAGCGTGCTAAATGGGACTATTTCCTTTCTGGCGTATTAGTCAATTGTGATTCGAAGCAATGCCTCACAGAAGTCCAAGATTTGGGAGCGTTTGCTACATCAGACGTATGCGGATACATGACAAATGAACAGGTGGTGGCGCTTCCTGTGGGTGTGACTATCAACAGCTAGGCGGATGACGATTCTGTATTTGACTTGCGCATGAATGGCGCTTGAGGGCTTGGTCTGAATTGAGCCTTTGATCTATCATGTTAGATATCTGTAGTTGGAAAGCCAAATGATTGAATCATCATAACTTGTCGTAAACGAGAGACCTCTGCCGTAACGTCGCCACTCCCGCCCATATAAACCCAACGACCATCCTCCTCCCTCTCGTGGTATTTGGCACTTTCTTACTCTGGTATCATTCTCTACGTGCTTTCGTTATGCTAGCGCTCTGTTTCATGACCAACTCTCGCACGCATGTATTATCGTTGCTGATGTAGTCATTCGATCGCTTAATCTGCCCATGGTGCTTTCTCCCTAACGGACTGGATAACCTTTGATCCTGGATGGTATCGAGTCTGCCTTGTGCCATGCTTCCCGTTGGTCGCTCTTTATGCCATGCCGTGGCGTCAACCCCCCCTGCCCCTACTCCTCCCGGGGCTTGAACACACACATGACTTTGCCTGGCTGGGCCGTGACCTGGTCCTTCATGTCCCGCCACATGGTCTCGGGGTCATAACCATCCGCAAACTCAATGTCATAGTGCCGGAGCAGAAGCGTCGCCACGTGGCGAAGCTCGGCATACGCCAGGGTCTTGCCGGTGCACTGGCGGGGGCCGACTGAGAACGGCGTGAAGGCGCGCCTGTCGAGGACGAGCTCCGGTAGCGAGTACCACCGCTCGGGTATGAACTCGTTTGGGCGCGGGAACGCAGACTCAACTGCCCGACCCAGGGTCAGCATCTTGACTTGGGGAAGTGGGTGATGAATGGCTGCTGCCCGAGTTACTCACGTCTCATTATGCCATACCTTGGCGCCGTGACTTTGGTGAATGGGGGTATGTAGGTGTTCTCGAATTGCATCCCTTGCGGCCCGGTGATCCTGGCCGTCCCCGTCATGCCGGCAGGCGGCATCAGGCGGAGGATTTCGTTGATGAATGCGTTAAGATGAGGCAGACTGGCGAGCGCTGCGAAATCGTCCCCGTCCACATCTCGAGTCTCGGCCCGTATCTTATTCGCGTGCTCGGGGTACCTCGCCAAGAACCAACAGGTTGCTATCAAAGCAGCTCTGGTCGTATCACTAGAATAGGATGGGGTGATTAGCCAAGCAAAAGACAGAGTTTACGGTTCATGTGGCTGGCCGTGGGAATCCAGTAGGGTTCGAACCTGCCTGCGACCACTGCGGTGATTGCGGTACCTGCAAGGTAAAGATCTCGATCTCTCAGACTCATAGAGCCTTCGAGACTCTGGTGCTCGTCGAGGAAATACTGAGCCATGTCCGGCTTCTTCTCATTCTCGCCTCTCTGTGTCACAACGGCCAAGAATCAGTGAACGAGCGTCCAACTTGACCATCATACCGGAAAACCCCCAAAAATGTATCTTGGTGCTACGGAGAAATGCTTACCTGGATTCTAGCCGTGAGTCGGTCCTCGCAGAACTTGACCATTCCGAGCCAGTCCTGGACCGGACTATAAAAAGGGACCAGAAGGAATGCCAGATGTGCAAGCCAAATCGCGTCTGAAATGGGCCCAACAAGTGCCAGAGCACCGTCACGGTGTTTGATAGCAGGGTCCATTCTCTGAGAACCCAGTAAGTTGAAATCTTCGCCGAACAAAACATCCCCCATCACGTCGAAAGAGAACCAGGACATGACGTCGTCGATATCCACGGGCCGAGTGCCGTGGGATCTGATACAGCTCGAGAGAGAGTGGGATAGAGCTGCGACTCGGGGATAGAATGCATTCATCGCTGTAGGTCGCCAAAACAGCCGAGTCAGTGGAGTGAGCAACTGGTGCCGCTGGGCGTCTTACCTTTCCCTGTCATGGAGTTGACCCAAGCCTTGCGCCCTTCCTTGTGCAGTTTCTTGTCGCGACAGAACACTGCAGAATATCGCGGCCGTAACAGATCATACCAGATGTCTCTAGTGGTAGTATTACCCCATCCATCAAGCAAATTAAAAGCCGAAGGCCCAACGAGGGTAAGTTCGTTCGGGCCTGCCATATTGAGGGAAAAAGCTGGTGAGCCTGGCTACATCATGGTGCAGAAACGGTGTGGTATCTCTCTCACCAGTGCGTATTATGTCTCCATACTCTCCGTTGAGTTCCTGGAGTAACAGATAGTTTGTTGACTTGCGAATCTTCCAGACATGCCAGAGCTTGGTGGCGGCTGCGAGCTTCGGCCCTGGGAAGCCGGATAGCTTGTGGAAGAAAAGGCGGTAGACCGTCATGCTGCCGAACAGGGCCATCAAGCATGCCATGTCCATGCAAAACACGGCGCCGAGCGCCTCGCCAAACGACGGTACATGTACGACGCGGTATAATGAGTATAGCGCGATGATGTTCACCAGACAAACTCCAACGAGAATTTGTAGGATATGCATGTGCCACTCGCCGCGGATAAAAATTGCATTGTGAGCGAGAAGGCCGGCAAAAACAGAAACGACTATGTGTAAGTGGTAGTCCATATTGTTGTCTTGATGGTTCCGAGTATCAAACACCAAGAACAGTTGGATACTATGCTTGTCTAGAACTTAGACAGCCAACAGTCTACGCCCGGGTGCGTAGTCGGGCAGCTCGTGGGCTTAAAGCGTGTAGGGTGACAGCACGGAGCTTGAAGGAATTAGGATGAGATGTGTCTGCGTGTGTGAAGGGACTTTGCTACGTAATGTAGTATTTGGGGGCGGAGAAGGAGGGTGAGCATAACGAGGGCGACTTGTCTTGGCCTTAGCCATCAGGAAAAGATAAACTGGGTGATCGGGCGCGTCCGCTGGAACCTTTCAGTGATGGCCTAACTGTAACCATCCTTGGGCGTGTATATAAATCCATGATTATAATGATATTATTTACCGGCTTCCTAATTACATATGTGTGTTCAATCCATGGTAGCCGTCGTGGCCGATCCTTCTATGTGCCCTCCATCCCCGTCATAGCCTACATAGCCATCTTTATGTGCATTGAAATATTTTCTAACTACCTTAAACAGTCTGTACATGGGCGCTATAGCCTTCTGGCGTAGAAAGATTGCGGGCAGGCTCCGACGAAACGCGCGTTTCCCGACTCATTACGATTCCCTCTTGAGACTCATGTTCAGGGCTGTCATCCTCCAGGCGGTAAAAGTTATCTCGAGTCAACCTATCTGGGTTTCCGGAGCTTCCAAATGTCCTCAAAGCAACTCCGCGTGGAGGCTCCAGTTCGCTCTGCCCTTGTTTCCGGCTCGATGAAGCGCTGGCATACATAGTTGAGAGTGTCTTCACTGTGCGGCTGGCCAGAGGACCGAGCGTAGGGATGTTGGCGGCAAGAATCCCCAGCCAAATCTCCATCTGGCCCTGCACAGAGACAGTGAATAACTCGTATGCCATGTCGCTGCCGTGGTCCGGTCTCGCCGTGTATATCAGACGCCAGATCATGATTGCGATGACCCTGAAAAGCGACACACAGATTAGCCAAAGACTCTCAATCAAGCATAAGGGTGTGTGAACTCACCCAACTCCAAGACTAAAGACGCCGCTGACTCGGATCTTCTTATCCCAAGACATTTCCAATCCCCAGATGACGGGAAGAGGAGCAGCGACAATTGCAGTATCCAGTCCCAGGTGAACTGCTACAGAAGCGAGCTCCTGCTGCTTCAAGGGCCTGCAGTTGGTCTGCGACAGGACTTGATCCCATGCCGCAGAGGGGGGAGAGCATTGAGTCATGAAGTAAGGGATAAAGACGGGCGGGTAGCAAAGTGTGAGGGCTATCAAGATCCAGACGGCGATTCTGAACAGTCGGTCGGTGCGGAAGATCTCGAGGTACATGAACAAGATGGCAAGCTTACAGGAGCAGGTCGCCAGGGTCCAGGTGAACAGAGTCGAAGTTTGCATCTGTCCGCGCAAGACGTTAGCACCATACAGAAAGTGTCCGGGTCAGAAGACGATTGTTCTATCGGAACTTACCTTGATCAAAGACGCAATGTCGGACCATTCCAGCTGGTCAGTGTGGTATCCGATCCCATGATGGATGCCTGCGTGAAACGTCGCGTTAGTTGTGATACGGGAGGTAGGAGCAGAAGGATACGGATGGAAGCCATACCTGCGCAAACCGCGCCGACAACACCGATCATGCATACTATGCAGAATGTGATTATGTAGTCATCGACGCGGAACTTCCTTGGCCTCACAACAAGGAGTGTGTAGATGCGCAAAGCAAAGGATACCAGAGATAGGAGGGTGAAGATGGTTGTAAGTATGATCAGGTCGCGTCCAAGTGCGCTAATCATACTGGCCGACGTTAAACAAAAGCCCAAACAAGTAGACGATACGATGGGCAGAAGTTTGAGCCGATAGGCATAATAACAGCTGGTTCAATCGTGGGGTGAGGACAGAAAAACGCCAGCACTTGGCAGGTTCTTTTGCATGCATGAACTCACTCGAGCTCGCATGGCATGGCAAACTTGGCGGGACTTGGCGAATGTCACTTTCCTACCCGCCTGTACCTTGGGAATTGGGAAGAAAGCGCGGCAGATGACGATATGAGTTGTCATTCATGTATGCATGAGGCAGCCCGCAATGCGAAATAAGAGAAGACATGCAGCAAATGATACGCTGACGGTATCACACCCAGGTAGCATTGCAGCAGAAGTTCTTTTAGGTAAGATATTCATAACGGCTCCCAATTCGGCCCTTCCGTTTGTTCTGAAGGAGATGCCGATGAATCATATATCCTACTTGGGGGCATCTTGTAAAATACAACGCTCATAGCAACCCCCTTTTCGTGTCGTGACAGGGTGTAGGACCTCTATAATGCCACATATATACGCAAATTAGCCCCGATAGGTGGCTAGGAGAGATATAGCAGGTGTGAAGTGTATTCCTAAGCTTACTGTCGCACTCTTCCGCACGTCCTTGTCCACGGGCCACCGCCACTACCGACATGATGTGGTAGTATTCAGCGAATGCAGCGTACCTTCAATCATACCTTACCCCAGCAACCGAGGCAAGTCTCCACGCACCCTCAAGCATCCATTGATGGCTATATCCTAGTGTATACGAACAGTTACGGCCCCGGACCATCTTGAAAACCTTGCAGAACAAACCCTTATTCCAACCTCGGGATGTCTCCTAATGCCGACAAATTGCATGAGAGTCTAGAAGTGAAAGCAGTCCCAACTTACATGGCTACCTGGGTGGTGAGAACGTAGGGATCTCCACAGGTGCGTTGGATACCACACACACGCCTGTTGTGCCCAAGATCATACATTTTCCCGTCGATCGATGCAGTCAGACGGTGTATTGGTGTCCCCGCCGCCCAATCAGCCACCCAATCAGCCATCCACATGTACTGACATGCCGCACGAGATGGGGGGCAGCATGTACACCATGGCCGTCCACAGACACCACAGCCTCCAGGTGAGCTTGTCTGCCTGAAGGCCGGAGCACCGGAGGCAGCGTACAGCCACGAGCGTACCCAGCGCCGCCTGAGGTGTTCCTACTACTAGGCCCGTCCTCCAGAAGCAGGCACTCGCCACTGGCCATACGAGCATCGGCACTGCGACGCTCCAACGGGCCGGCCGATCACCCATGACAATGGGCGCCGAGCGGCGGCCTCTCGCGCGGTCGCCCTCGACGTCCTGTAGGTCCTGCACATGCATCGTCGTGAAGATGATGGCACTGACGACTGCGTTGCGCGGTTGTTAGTGGCCGGTAAAAAGAGGATGTGCAAATAATGGATTGGAAGCTTTCTTACTGCCTGCCCATATCACGCATTCAGAGGACAGCCCCCCGAACAAACCCGAATCACGCACGGCGGCTGTTCCGAGGGCAACCTTGACAGAGCCCGTGTTATACACACCAAAGGCGGCAGCGATGATGGCGTTCCGGACGACATAGCCCTCGTCGCCTCCGCGGAGGTCGTTGTACATCCACGTCAACGCCATGATGACGAGGCTCTCGACGCCAACGCCAAGCATGAAGTGGTTAAGGGCGACTACGAGCGGGATCAAGCACAGCACTATGATACCATGAGTTAGTTGCATGCTTCTATCTGTTGGAACATAGAAAGTTTCGAGAATGGCTCACTGCAGGTGCGGATCTGGTCGGCCGTCACAAGCCCGCGCGGAACTGGCCGCCAGGGTTTGTTGAGCGCATCCTCGGCAGCCGACTCGGGCAGCCGCTGGTTGGCCAGGTCGAAGATGAACAGGTTGGACCAGTTGAACAGGATCACATGGCCGAGGCGCGCCATCACTCGTACAAGGGCCATCCTCAGGGGCTCTGCTCCGTGAACAGCACCAGCGGCTTCTACCGCCATCCACGGCGACGCGAGGGCACCGCAGATGCCAAAGACGGTGTTGGGCCCGACAAAGGTAGGTGCGTTGGACTCTGTCAACAGCCAGAACAAACATAACAGGCTCGAGGTGCGGTTGGGGATGTTCTCCCAGCCTTCTGGTTGCTTTCTAGCCCCGGAGGCCGACATCCCGCAAGACTTCACTTTTGGGCCACCAGAAGCGCTCTTGTTCGTTTCGTCACTCATTTTGGTCTTGATATGATACGTAGCACACTAGGATTCCCTTCCACCAAGCCATAATTCAGACGGAAAGATATATACATATTCATTCTATCTCATTAAGTCTGACTATCTCGCTGGCTATGCCGAGGCCGGCTACGCTTCCAAGTACCTACGTCATCTGCTCATGCCTACGTATCATCCTATGGCCGTAGGATTGGATCCCAGTGCACTCTTGGTTCTTTGTTGGGCATGTCAATGAATGTAACCCGTAGAAAGATTCCAAAATGACTTCAAACATTGAAAAGGGTGGTGAAATGGCAAGGCGATGCATTTTGCGTAAACCGCCATCTGGCCAGAAATGCCTGGGCCGGGGACAAGGTCCGGTAAGTTTCGTTACGGATGCCTATCGAATCATGGGTACAGATGGGTGTTAAATCACATACCCACGTCTGCAGGGAGCCTCCCCTAAGGTCACATCGCGTATCACCATGGTCGTAGCATAAGCATACTTTGCTGAATGTCATAGCGCGATGTAGCAATGAGAGCGGCTGTTGTAGCTGACAAGAGCACTGTCGATACGCGATGTGACCTTGGACGGACGTTCTCTGCAGACGTTGTGTGATCTGTGCTCAAAAGTCCATTAAAATATGAGCTCAGACAAGAGTCCCTTTTCATAGCGGGGAGTCCGCGTCAAAGCACTTGTATCATGGCGGAAAAGCGGTGAGATATGTGTCGAGGGGAAGAGACGACGCTCTGGAAGCCTATCTGGACATGCTTATGCGGCCTTGGGAATTGCAACTAAGTGTCCACTACGAGTCTCAGTGGACAAAAACAACATGCATGCAGTAGAAAATTTTAAGTACAAGGTAGCTGAATGTATCAGGAGAAGGAATTTTATGTATACATGTATGATTTAGATACCACGCCACGACCCGAACCACTCAATGCTTGTTATGAAGGTCAAGAAGGAGGAAAATAAGTTGTAAAGCCATCACCACACCACGAATAAGGCACTCAGATCGTAGAAATATACTGTGGTTGAACGTTGCTTCACTTTTTGCACAGTCTTCCGTCGAGACGCTGCTCCCAGGACTCACTCCCCACTGCCGTCACGGCGTAGAAGATGCTATCTGGATCGTATTTTCGCTTGATGGACAGCAGCCTCTGGTAGTGATCTCCGTAGAAGGTATTCTGGAAATCGGGAGCTTGGAAGTCAGCCTCATTTAGATATACACCTCCATCGGGCGTAATAGCCTCCAAGGCAGGCAGTAGCTGATGAGTGATGCTGTCTTGCGCCCGTTTATTAGCCTCCCAGTCGGTATAGTTGACGGGGGTACCAATCGCAGCACTGAAAATGGTTTTGCGGAAATAGGGGTTGGCGGCGACCTCATCGGGCGACGAGACGGAATGTGCGACGTTGAAAGAGACCCCCGACATGAATGTTTGGGAGGTGATGTCCCGGATAGCTCCCACGAGGGATGCCGTGCTGGCGTCGTCTTCCACGAGGGTGCGAGGGATCAAGCGGCCGCCTGCGTTGAAGTCCGACACATTCCACACGGTCCCCAAAGATCGATAGCTCTCAAGAAAATTGGGATATTCAGCAGAAGAATACTGGTATTGGAGTCCCAGCTGATCCATCTTGTCCAAAGTTGGCTTGAGGAGCGCGTCTAGCTCTGCCGGGTGCAAGCCAGCAACCATGGCCGGCGAGATCATGAATCCGAACGGGGCTGCAATCCAAACTACCCAGGCACCGGCATCGACAAGGCTGGGCAGGGACTGTAGGAAAGTCCCCAGAGCCGAATAGATACTATCTGTGTTGTCCCCGGTGTTTGGCAGCATCAACGAGGCCGTCGAGAAAAACGTGTCCGGGAAGGCCTTGATGACCATGGAGAGGACGACGCCATAGGTGCCGCCGCCGCCGCCCCTCAGAGCCCAGAACAGATCCTTGTTGTGGGTTCGGTCTGCGGTAACGATGTCTCCAGCCGCCGTGACGACTTGGAAGGACAAGACTTGGTCGGCAGCAAGGCCAAACTTGGACGACAAGATACCAATGCCCCCTCCTTGGACATAGCCGCCAGTGACGCCTACATTGGGGCAGTTCCCAGCGACAACCATCAAGCCATGGTCGTGAGCAAACTGGTAAAGCTCGCCTCCTTGAATGCCGGCGCCTACTTTGAGGGCTGTTCCCCGGTAATCTGAGGATGGGTCCTGATATTGGGAGATCAGGTCGATGGATTTCAGATGCTGTGTCCATATTGCGAGTGCATACGCTCCCGTTGATTTCCCTAGATAGTCATGGCCACTATTGCGGATGACGAGCCGGATATTGTGGTGTTGGGCGAACTGGAGAGCAACTTGGATATGCGTCACATCGGTGGCATTGACGGTGTAGGACACAATATATCCTGGGGAGCAGGGAACGTCGGGCCCTAGGAAAGGATTGCAGGTGTTGTTGGTAAATGGATACGCCATGGGCGACGAAGAAGAGGGCAGGTGAGTTGTCGCGGAGAACCAGTTACTTCGTAGAGCATCGCAGACACTCTGGTCGTAAACGGACGCGTTGCTTCCGTCACCGCCAACGAAGGAGAAGTGGCACGGCGCAGCCAAGGGTATGGAGGAAACGAGCTTCCCGTCTACCGTCTTGTTGAAGGCGTCCCAATCGTTCTTGGTCGGCCATGCCGCATCACCGGGAATGGTGCGACAGATCGGCGCGCTGTCCTTTGCATAGCGAACGGCGAGTCCGGCCGCAAGAATGACGACTGAGAAGATTGTAGCAATTCGCCGCGTGCCCATTCTGTACTGAAGCATTGTTCAATGCAGTAGAAACAGTAACATGTTTCTGCTGAGCAGCGAATCTCTCACCAGGCGGGGGGATGATGTATATGACTGTTGGAGAGTGCTTACCAACAACAACTCTGCCCGGGAAAATTGCCCCGAGGGCCAAATGCAAGGGGTATTCAGGTGGCTCGTCAGCACTTATGCCCCTGGAACCTGCGTGATACGCATTACGACAGACAGGGACGGGCCCTCACATCCCTCATAGCTGCGTCCCACACCACGTTGTGCAGCCAACATAATGTAACTTTCTACCTCGACCGCGGTCTGGGCCGGTACCTATTGCGTACGCCAAGGTACCTACTAGTAGTAGGCATAATATTATGTATCGGGTTGGACACTCAGCTGAAAGGGAACCCCGCTAGTGCGAAGTGGCATGTGATATATAAACACCAAGGCCAATATACCCCCGACTGTAGATTCATACCTGATGTGAGATTTTCCAGGGCCAGCAGCTAGGTTCTCGATCATGTTTTCCATACTGGCACAAAGCGCCGTCTCTTATTTCTGGCTTTTGCCACTGACCGGCATTGCTTACTTTGGACTAAGTGCTTTGTTACCAGGGAAGAAACATGCCAGGTTTCCTTTGGTTGGCGCTTGGGATGCTTTGATCCCAACATTCATCCACAATGTCATCTTTACTCTCTCCGCCGCATCTTTGCTTAAACGAGGCCACGAAAAGGTATTATACCCTACAAGGTCACCCGGAAGACCAGAGGCACTGCAGGGACTGATGTTTACGGGCGTAGTTCCCAGGCTCGACCTTTCAGCTCATCAGCAATAACGAGGCCATTGTCATCCTGCCCCATGCGCTGCTGAAAGAGCTGGCTGGCCTGCCGGTTACAGTGGCAAGTCCACAAAGGGCATTAGAACGAGATCTGCTTGGTCATTACACGGGAGTGAGCCTACTCGTTGAGAGCCAACTGCACCATTCTATAATGCAGAGGAGGTTGACGCCGCGGATCCCGTTGCTCATCCCGCGGATGGAGAGGACGGTAGCCCATGCATTCGAGAAACATTTCCCCAACGATGATGAATGGATTGAGATCCAGCCCTCGAAGATTCTCGGCCCGATCTTGGCCAAGGTTGCGGCAGAGGCCCTCGTAGGTCCTGAATTCAGTCATGATCCTACCTGGGTGGATATCTCGACTCACTATACGGAAGCAGGTGAGCGGAACAACCACGATTCCTTAAGTGATCTACTTCAGTACTGGACTAATATCGGGTCTCGTTCCTAAAGTCTTTGCTACCGCCGCAGCGCTGCGCATACTCCCGACCTGGATGCAAGGAGCTGTGGCACCGCTGCTCCCGACATTGCGCGCCGTGCGCCGTTACTTGGCCCAGGCAAAGCGGCTCCTGAGTCCCCGCATATCGGACCACATCAGGCGAAACGACGATTCCGGTGATATTGATGACTCCTCCGACGAAACCAACATGCTGGCGTGGCTCGCAGGCCAGGCCAAAGGCAAGGATCGCGACCCGGAAGCCATCGCACAGGCACTGGTGCTGCTGTCGCTCGCCTCGGTGCACACGACACTCCTGCGTGTCGTCGGCGTGCTGTACGACGTGACGGCCGCCGGCCACGACCTGCGACGCGAGCTGCTGGACGAGATATACATGGCCGGCGTTGCAGATGGCGGCTGGGGACCCGACGCCTACGGCCGGCTGCGCAAGATGGACAGCGTGATGCGCGAGTCGCAGCGGCTCTCGCCTCCCGCTGTCATCGGCATGAAGCGCGTCTTTGTGCGTGAGCACACCTTCGCCGACGGCACGCATGTTCCCGCCGGCGCCTACGCATGCATGGCCATCCACGCCATCGAGAACGATGAGTCGCACACGCCGGACGCGGATCGCTTCGACGGCCTGCGCAGTTTCCGCACGTGGGAGGAGGAGCGCGAGAAGCAGATGGCCGGGAAGAGCAAGGCCAGTGCTATCAACAGCAGCGGCGGTAATCCGTTCCTCTTCGAGACACCAACCCCGACGAGCCTGAACTTTGGCTATGGCAGGACGGCGTGTCCCGGCCGCTTCTTCGCCAGCCACGCCATCAAGATGGTGCTGGTCAAGTTGTTTGGCGACTACGAGTTCCAGTTTCTCCCTGGCAGCGGGCGGCCGCCGAACGTCATGGCCCACGAGTTCATGTTTACATCCCCTGAGCAGAAGATCCTGGTCAGGCGGAGCACGAAAGCACTTTGTCCGTTTTAGCGGAACTCCCCAGTACTACGCAGCCGTCAAATCTTGAGTTTATGGACAGATCTACCCTACCTCTGAGACGCCTATGTTGTTTTCGGGTTTCTGATGCCGCCCGTAATTGTTGGTATGCTCGTAGCAGAGTGATTTGGGACGTCTACGGCCTTCGGTCTCTCCTGGATCGGGATTCTCCCGAGGACTCAGATCTAACCACTTCCGGTTCCATTTCATATTGAGGCTCGCTCGTCAAAGGCCTCAAAGAACTCATCTTCAGAATGATTAAACCGCCATCACTCTTCGTAAACGGGAGTGAGACGTGAATAAGATGACGCGTGTATTTCATCACATTGCTCAGAGAGTACTTTTGGTTTACAATAACACGCCTGGCAGAGGCAGAAAGAAAGAAAAACACCCTTTCATTTCCATTTACCCCCTGTGCCACGTGTATCCATCAAAAATACCTCCTAAATGATCCACTGGATTTCACGTGATGTAAGCTTACAACACTACAAAATGAACATGTGACATCAGCGCGAACAAGGCGACATTTTTTCCATTCATTACATTAATTACGTCTATTTGCCAACCAGCCGACGCAAAATCAAGCTTAAAGCCAAGAGAACTTCTCCCATTAAAAATTGTTTTGTTGACGAGCTTCACTTATCTATCAGAAGCCATGTGTTTTGGCGTATGTTGGCAGACTGATATTCAGGAATATCGGATGAGCTCACTCATATCTCGCAGATAAAGTCCAGCAAACCGAAGCATGACTTCAACAACCCGCCACCAGGAATGGCGCGTGACAATATGGGGCGGTTATATATCAAGCCAGAGAATCGCAACAAGAAAGCGTGGAAAAAAGCGAAGAGGGCACGAGAGAAGCCACGATTTGGCTTCTACCTCCCCGGCCGGACCGACAAAGGCGGAGCATAAGGAGTATTGAGATACGATGATAGTCACAGTGATTCGTTTTAAACCATATAATCCCACACTATTCTAGATACTTGACTCTTATATGCATCCGAATAGTGAACTAACCGTATGGGCCATCGCCGCCAACCGCGCCAGCATTCTTGCCTGGGGTCACATCGTCAGCGAGGTGCTAGACTTTGACGTCCTTGTCCAAGTCGTGGAGAGCGTGTATATTGCAAACTGAGTTATGCGGGCCGCATCTCATCACAGGCTCATGCACAGCGTCTTCGCCTATATAGATAGCAAGGACTATCTACTATAGGTCGTCTTCTTTATATCTATATTTATCATTCTCCTCACCTATATAGACTTGTCAAGTGAGTGTAGCAGCATTATGCGCGTCCTGGTTTGAAAGATAGATGTGATTCCCAACACAGACAGTAGAGTGGAAGTGTACATCTGGTTTGTCTCCTTAAACTACTTCACGGTCTGGCATGCATATCTCCGATTGCAGCGAAATGACCTACCCCAGGAGGGTATGGAGCCAAGTGCCGGTTCTGGCTGATCTTTCCCGTTGCACTTCTCTTGGTCGTAGCGATGCTCCTTGTGTCAGGTATTTATGCAAACATCAACCCCAGGGTAAGACTACTAGATGCAGGCATTTTCTTTGAGCGAAATGCTAATAAGTGTTCCAGAACGTGCCCTTAAACGTTGAGACAATGTACCAATTCATAATTGGCATTCTTTTGAGTAGTCCGAGTTTGGTGTTGTATGAAGTTTCGACTCGTGGCGGGTGGAGTGCGGATCTCGCTGCACCGATGATATGCTGGTCTACCACTGGAGGTAAGCGAGTGGTTGTGTAGCCCCTGAGGTTCGCCCATACGGTACTATTGACTCAATCAAGGTGGCTTCCAGGAAGAAATTACGCTTCGCAGCCTTATTAGATAGAAAATTAAATCCGGACATAGAAAGCTGGGCAATGGAGAAAACACTCATTGATATTATCACCAAGAGAAGCTATGCTCGACTAGCCTGACGGCAACACCCTTTCTCTTATGTGCAGTAACAACCATTCTGGCCTCGTCTGCCATCCCTCGAGGGCCACATATGAGAATGACGGTGCCTCCTTGGCCATGAGTTGTGGCTAGCTCCGTCTCTATCACGGCCCTAAAGTCAAATCTTTCTCCAACCCTGATATGAATATCAACATCACCCCACTTCCGTTCAGTCTGGTTGTGACATTCCCGATCTCCTTTGACTACTCTAGGCTCTCCCTTGTGTTCAACGCGCCCCCCAATCATGTCTTCCACGGCCTTCAAGAGCCCTAAACCCTCCTCACGTAAACCCCAATAGAGCGTTCTTCTGCCGGCCGGTTTCTTGAAAAGGACTTGCGATGCGGCGAGTCTTGGCAGAACTGCGGTGATTCCCACTCCACCTGCAATAATGACAAGATTTGGATGATTTGGAGTCGGTTGGCCATGAAAACTATGGCCGAGAAGAGATTGATGGTTATAGCACTCAGCTAATAGAGGTACCCCTTCAGGCTTACCGGCATGGGCTGCAAGAAGAGATGTTGTACCATTTTCAACGCGAATAAAGAAGCTTGCTCCTACTTTTATTACATGAGCAGCTGAGTCACCCTCCTGCGGCGAGGTGGATGACGAGGTTTCGCCTGTCGTAACGACACTCGTCAATCCAACGCACTTTTCGGAGTCAATGACTTTCGGTTCGGGAGCTTGAACATGGTTTGACCCCGTTTCCGGACCTGTAACTTGAGACATACCGATTGCCGAGAAGGGGTGACTTTCCCAGACTCGCCACGTGAGAGTAGGGAAGTACATGTAGGCGTGGCCTGGACAGTTCAGGCCGGGCACGTCCACGCGAATGTACTCGTCGCCAAGCTTAGTGATATAACCCCTTTTAACTCCATTTCCAGTCATTCTTACTGCCCGAAGCACCCAATCACAAGCCCAGATGACAGAAGCCATGATGACCCAATTTTCGTATCCCCATTGACGTTTGTAGCGGTAGATGATGTGATACCAACATCCGACAATAGACAGAATCGCGAGAACGATATGCGCCGCATGGAAGAACTCGTACATTTTCTGACGGACTGGCAGTAGGGAGAAAGGGAGAATGAGCACGAGGGCGAGCGTCGCGATGATCCCCCAGTACCAGTAAGGGACAGCCGCAATTTCGCTATGGTCTTGAGAGATCCCTACATGAATATGCAACCAAAGAGCCGAGTGAATAGCGGCTTGAAGCACACAGAGAAAGGCAACCCAGCGATGGATCAACAAGAAGGTGGAGTATGACCAGCTTGTCAACCAGAGAAGAAGGTTATTTCGACCTGCATACAGAATCAGGAGCGGGAGGTTGGCAAAACTCAGCATCCCAGTGCGGTTTGCCACATAATTGAGGATTTCCTCCCAGAGGCCATGTTCCCACCAGGAGTTTGGTTGGCGAGGCTGATATCCGATTGCCACAAATACGACATTGATGACAATCAGGTACAGAATGAAAAGAGACTGGCCTCTAGTTGGGACGAGTCCCACACCTAATATCGGGCTGGCGTGGCGTCCTCCGAACAGCGGAGGCTCAATGATGTAGCCATGAAATTGGTCAACCAAAGTGGCAGGGAAGGGTATGAACCGGAGCAGTGACAACAGGATCGGGATTCCAGCTCCTGTGACCAGGACAATGAGGCTGTTTTTGTTTAGTAATTGCCTTGAACCCCTTCGAGAAGAGGTTACTCACGATAGCTTTTGATGGTTAATTTCCGTATATTCGAAAGCTGTGTTACCATTCTAAGCCGCGGTATAAGATTCGTCACTAACAAGGGTCGTCCTATTGAATGCCGCTTTTTTCGGTAGGACAGTGGTTGGCGGTTCGTTTTTCACAAGAGCAAGGGATTCCTGGTATGTATATTTAGGCATTGGTTGGTCCAATTCTCGTCCTACTAGTTCGGTCTCCCAAAACGTTTCCAGTGTTGAAACAGCCACATTCTCATCCGGGCAATGTGTGTATATACACCAAGCAGCCGAGAATAGGTAAGGCTCGCTCAAAGCCAGGCACTCGGCCGACACCGTGCTGCTGTGGTGACCATTCAGGTGAATGTCGCAAGGAATGGACGAACGTGGCAACGCAGACCGGCAAGCATGCGCACACTCAGGCTGGTACATGATAATGGGATAGCCGACCAGGCCGTGACCAGGACGCCCAGAGCTCTGAGCAGATGCTAGTCTTGCCCCAGAGAGAGACAGAAGAGCTAAAAGGCCCTTCTTAGCAGCGTCTAGCATCATTACTGATGAAATGGTAGAGACCCAGTGTATTAAGTGAATGAAGAATGAAGAACGAGCTTGAATGCAAGCAGGAGACACAAAACAATGCGAGACAAGAAGGTATTTATCAATTCATCAAATTTTTAATTGGAATAAAATACGCTGAGAACCCGACGAGTAGCATGAAACTAATAGTCAGCCCCTCGGTAATCGGAAACCAGCCAATGCGAGCCGACATAATTATTCAATTCAATTTTATCACGATTGATAATTGCTGGGAAATTTGCTCGCCAAGACTTTTGTGCGACGGGAAGAGAACAATTGAGCAAGTTTTTCAAACAAATGTCACCCTAGAGCAACCCTGAAATAGCAAACACCTCTGTCCGACTTGTTAATTTACCTAGACCCAGTGCCGTTTCATTAGAGGGTACACTGGATGAACCTTGAATTTAAGCATAACGGATTTTTGGGTTGGATCAAATGTTAAGTAGGTGGATGTTGAATTTGAGTCACTCAAAGATTATATTGCCCATTGTCAAGTTTGCGAATAGAACGATCGGATTATTAAGGGCTAATAGTAGGTGAGAGAGCTATGCAGCTGCTGAAAAAAAGGGGAAATTCCCAAGCACCAAGAATTTAACAACTTGACACTATACCCAGTATCACAACAAATTAAAATTAAGGGCTAGAAATAAACTCTCAAGAGCAAATGATTTCATATGTCATCTTATAGGAGAGCGCTATTAGCTCTACTTTGAACAGTAAGATAATTCTAGCACGTGTCCATTACCATATAACTCGAACATAGATAATTCTCAAGATAGGATTTAATAACCACGGCAATACAAAATGACCCCATTACCATTCAAGGAAATGGACCGCTGCCTCCTGGAACCCGGGGCCTAAGACAGAAAGAAACGATAATGAACAAAACTGATTCATTGCCTCTTGTACACTCATACCTTGATCACCTCAGCACGGCGCAGGGAATCAACTGGGAGTTGCTGTCTCTTGTATATGTGTATCACGATTCTCTGCGTCTTGTTCCACCTAGTATTCGGGGTTCCTATGGGCCACCTGGTCTTGGATGTATCCTCTCTTGGCAAAGGATCGCTTTTTATTGCGTAATTGAGGAGATCGCTTGCGGGTCTTTTTGCTGCTGCTGGGCTTCTTCTGCTTCTCGGATTCGGGAGTGGGTGAACGTGATCGAGCGTTCTGCTGGACCAGCCTCCTCATTTCCTGCATCATCGTTTAGGCTTCTGTCTTTTCCCTGCTGCTTCCTGAATGGGCAGCTTGAACTTGAATGACGGTGCGAACACCAATTCCACCCATCGTTGCTTTATATCTGCCCACTGACCAACTGGACATCCGCCGTTTATCACTGAGTCCTTGCGACTGGTTTCGATCTCCTCGGAGCTGGCTTCTGCGCCTTCCTTTTTACCCTCTTTCCAGGTGACGCGATAGCTTATGGAAATGGCAGATACAAAAGTTGTCATGTAGACGAAGCATGCCAGGAGAGTCGCGAGTGTGAGGCGCATGTTGACTGATGTTCTAATTCACGGGTCAATGTCCGTTATCCGAGCACAACCAAAAACGATAGAAGAGTTACTGACTTGAATCCTTTACGGGTGATTCGTGATGAAAGTTGATTGGCTGTGTTGAAGAATGTAGTTTAAAATTCAAGTTGAGTGTTGCTGTTATGGTTTTCCTGACTCAACCAGCAGCTACAGCCGGCGGTGATTTCCTAATTCCAATCAGGCCGACATACTAACGGTTCTTTCCTTCTCCACTCAGGGCTCCCTGTCGTCTATTGCGATTATTTGTTCCGCTTCTTTCACAACTCGTTTGCACAATCTACTGTGTACTTTGATCTCCCTGATATGTGCCCACAGCGAGAGATTCGGCGGAGGACCAAACATGAAAACCTTTCATCTCTTCCCCCAGCTTCCACCCGAAATTCGCAGTCAGATATGGCACTGCGCGCTACCTAATCTCAAACCGGGAGTGCATTTCTTCAAAAGAGGCTGTTGGACCCCGAGAGAATTGACCTCTTCCGATGAAGATTACCTGCCTCCACCGTATGATAACTGGTACGCGAAATTCGACTACAGCCGGATCAACAAGACATGGTTTTCTGTGCCTCTTCTTCACGTCGACCATGAAGCGCGCAAGATCGCATTACTCTGGGCAGGGCAGCATCACTTGCAACTTTCTTTCCACCTAGACCTACAAGAGCTAGCTTTTCTTCGCAGTTACGGCCATCAGTATGATGCGTTTTATATTACCCCTGATGCTTTCGAATCTCTTGTTATGGAGCTACTGGCCGCTGAGGACCGTCGGTTTATGAACCGACACTTTTCAATATATACATACATCGATAAGGTTATCATGCCAGAATCGCTCTTCGAACAGCATATACAACATATTGGACAAATCTTCAAGACTCATAATTTAGAGGCGCTTTACATCTGCAAATCGGAATTACAACCCAGTCAGGGGGCCCTGGGTCCTTCATTTCAGTATACACCATCCGGAGGGGCAAGCTTGAGTTGGAATGCGGAGCATCAAAGGTTTGATACTATTGAAAGTGAGGGGGAACAAATGAGTTCTCCCAGATGGTCTCAGATCTTGAGAGAGGCAGCGCAAGTTCTCACTACAGACTTTTCTCAAGATAACCGCAATAGTGGGTTTGTCCTGATTCCTGTCAACATTTATAGGGTATAACAGTGTGAATATTTCCTGTATCCGTATACGAGTTAGTTTTCATGTTGCCCTACTCTCTGTGGGGGACAGATCAATCCTAAGACTTGGACCGTGTCTGTCAATTTCATAGGTAGGATTCTATATGAACCCCAAAACTTGGCTATCTGTTTTGACAGTAAAAATAACAGTAACTCGCAAGAAACTATTTAATAAACCATATTACTCCCACAAGAAACTCGGGTGTTACATAATGCATTGATCCAGAGCTTGAGGGAATACTAGTAAGTAGTTGAATTACATTCGGTTGCCGCCAATAGCCAAAAGAAACCCAAGAGTAACGTCCGCTATCAGCCGAATGGCCTTAAATCATTCCCAAACTGCAAGTTACGGGCCCCACGGAGGCAGATTTCTCCCCAAAAGCTCCTTCGATTGCCTTTCAGCACATTATGGTGATCTAAAGGCACTTAGCACTACCATCGACCTTGTAGCAAGTCAAGCCCTTGTTTTTGCACTTGGTCTTTTCTGATGAGGTGCACGTAGTGATTGCACGGGGGTCAATGCCCGCATCTTCCACGTTCCTCGGATCCGAAACTTGGATCTCCTCAGCATCGGCGACGGGTTGGGCGGCGGCAAAGGCAGTTGTAAAAACCAACATTGCCATGAAGGCGATCTTAATGACAACCATGATGAATACGGTGATATTGACTTGACGAGGTGTTGGATTGAGAAATGTTGCTTCGTAAAGGAAAGTTAATAATCGAGTAAGAACTGATTCAGGGATGCCCCCAGTAAAAGGATAAAATATTCACAGCTACAATGGCACGTAACGCACTGGGAAAAAAAAAAACGGAAAAGTTGGGAGAAAGGGTGTTGGCGACACTTCTTATACTTGCAATCTCTAGTCGTTACAAGCATTGCCAAAAAGGAGCGTTGTGAAAGTATGAGAAACGTCATCCGCGTCGTCATCTTTTTTGTATGGTCTCAGTCCAAGGCAAGGACGGCGCACATTTTGCCCTTTTGATCAAACGCCGAGCCAAGGGACACCTTGATCCATGAGCAAGAGCAGCATGTGGAACAGCGGAACCGTATCTGCCCCAAACAGGCATTCGCCGTGAAGAATAAGAGGCTACTGGCAGGCAGAAATCGGCAATTCCTATTTCCGCGGTCCTTTTTAAATAGGAAAATTTTCCAGGCTTTATTTACTTACCACTTATCAATGAATCTGATCAACTAATGTGACATTGTTGATCAAGATGGAGCAACAGTATAAAGCAAAAAGCTTATAGCCTAGTAAGCCTTCCCTTGGGTTGGTCAAGCTTCACCATCGGCTACCCCCCAACTGATTTCAAACCCTCTGCCCCCGGCACCATAGGCATGAATTACGGGAGGTTTGCTTTCCGCAGAGTTCGTGTTGCCGAGGGACTCGGTTTCGAGTCTCAAGCCACCCTCACGAGCCAGGCGTCGTCCGACAATTTCTTGGATGACTGACATGTTCTTAGGCTGGCTGGGGAACACTGAACAACGCATATTCTTCCAACTCCTCTACTCCTGTTATAAGGCGGTGGCGGGTTACAGGGTCAGGCTGTCGGCGCCAATCGTGTGGCTCTTTAGTGCCGCCGATCACTGTTCCTCCAGAGAAAAATCTAGGTATAATGAAGTTCCATGTACCATCCATATTCTGCCGCGTAATTGTCTTGTCAAAACAAGTACTGTTCGTCAACACGATATGTCCTAAAGAACAATTAATATTGATACAGAGCTTTGGGGAGGAGTGCCACTAGACTGTGTTACCTCTAATTGGAAATACCTTTGAGTCATTGAAGCCAATTCCTGAAGCATTTACCACGAATTGGACGTTAGATGTAATGATCGATGCCTCATCCACGCTTCTGAGGGTTGCATTAATCGTTTTCCCACCCGCAATAATGAACTTACTCAAAAGATCTCCGCAATATACGGGAGAATTAATGCAGTACGATTCATACTCAAACCCAAACGTAGTTCCGTTCGGCAGCTCTTCCGCTGTCAATTCGGGAGTACCCTTTTGGTCCGGAATCAGCCTCGAAGCTCTCTGCCGTTTGAGCTTCGAATTCGTTCCCAGGTGCCTCGAACACTTCAATAGCCGGAGTCAAAGTCAGTCCAATTTGGTTTCCAGTTTTGAGAAGGCTGTTGAACTTCGAGACCGTCTGTTTTAGCCAAAGACCCTCTTGCCGTAATTGCGCGGTGATGGCAGGGATGGGCCGGACATGGGCCCCAGCCCACATAGAACTGTATTCGATTGAATGGTGTGTGGGAGCCCCAGGAATAGAAGTAGGCCATTCTTTGGAGACAATGACAACTTGCCAAGAAGATTTGGATGGATCATCACGAAGTAATTCCTGCAATGAGAGAGCAGAAGATAGGCCAATCACACCGCATCTTGCCCGTGAGTTCAGTTATGTCCCTCTACTTGATGAATCGGAAATACTTACCCGATGACAATAATTGTTGGAGTCGAGTTATGAATCATGACTTGAATTGTAAGAATGATACTGGACTTTGCCGTGGAGTTTCTGCTGCGTAGGGTGTTTATGACACACTCTTCAACAATTTTCAAGACATAGAAGCTTAAGGAGGATCTGTCCGTATTATTTTTATCATAGATTGACCTCCTTGTGAATAGAAAACACACCAACTGCACGCGTTTTAGTACATGTTCATAGCAAGGTTCTGATAGCCACGGCCAAATGGGTATTGGGAGCAGATCGGGAGGCCTCGGCTCAGCCGATCTTGGGTTTAGTCCATCCGATCAGGCGTCCTTGCTTTCCCTAGGCTTACCCAGTGACCCCACGAAAAGATAAATGACTCGAGCAAGCAAGGAAAAATAGCTTATAAGTAATATCAAACACATAAACATGCGAGAAGTTCAGATGGGCCATGACTGTGAGCAATTATAGATAATATTAAACCCCAATCATGGTCACATTTCTCAGTTGGCTTCCAAATATTACATCAAAATATTGGCAAAACCTTCAAACGTAGCCAATCGTAAAAGGGGAAAGATGCCAAAAAGACAAACTCAAGGATACGCCAGTGGGAAATAGATCTTTTGTTATGTGATGGCCGGTATCCGAGGTGATAACGCACAGCGAGCCCTCGTTGCATATATTCTTCTTCTCTTCAGCCAATATTTCGATTCTAGGATAAGCAATCTATATAGGGCATTTCCGTCCTCGTATCATTTAAGAAATATATCTCGCTGATTCACTTGAAAACATGTACAGAGACATTTTTCTAGCACATAGGGTCCTTCTCGAACGCTTCTTCAGCTGTTCTTTTCCAGCTTATGTATTGTGAACAGATCTTGTTATATTGGTCCTTGGAAGGCAGTAACTATAATGCCCTAATTGCTGTGCGCAATCTTTAGCTGTGCACATATGTCCTTCACATACTCTTGTCCCTTTCTGATCAGCAACATATGCATAAAGGGTGGGGTACACCCTTATATCGACGCATAGTAACATTTACACCACAAGCAGCCAATTTGGCACCATAGCTCTCTCCTTCGTCCCTGAGAGGGTCACAGTCTGCCGTCGCAATAAAGGTCCTGCACAAACCTGCCAATTCTCCACGGATAGGGTTATGCCAGAACTCGGGGCGCACTAGATCGTCGTCCTTGTGCAGAGCCGAGTTGATGACCTCGCCGCAATAGGCGATTCTCTTCCAGCTCAGGCACGGAGAAAGGGCATTTTCTTGATAGGATGGGTATGGCGAATCACTGGGCTGCTTCAATGATATGAATTCGTCAACAGAGGGAACTGCGAGGAGAGCTGCAAGGTATGATTAGCAAATTGTGAGTTTCACAGCAATACATCAGTCTATGGTGATACATACCGAGCTTCAGCTCATAGCCCTCGTTCCGAGCAAGCTGCTGGCACACGGCGGTGATCTGCCCACCAGCAGAGATCCCTCCCATGGAGATAGAGTCGACGTTGGCATTAATAGTCTTGCCTTGTTCTCCGACCTGGATGCCTATTATTAGGGTGGCTGTTAAAATCATGACGTGGGTTCGCCTTTCTTACTTACCCATTTGAATGCTGCCCAAACATCCTCATGTCCCTTGTACCAGAAGTGCTCTGCGATAAACATTAGCTAAAGTTGACTCAGCGTTATGAAATGGGATTGACCGACCTGGCGAAAGTCTATAATCAAGATCCAGTACCATAATACCAACCCGATCTCGCACCAGCATGCATAATTCGGCATCTCCAGTCAGGTCGCCAAAGATGAATCCGCCACCTGGAATTTAATATCAGCCCCATAGTAAATCATATAATCGTCGAGCTGTTCTCACTATGGACGTTGATGTGAATAGGATATGGGCCATCGCCGTGTGGTGAAGTCCTTGGATTAGGTGTGTAGCATCGAGCTTTGATCATATTCCCATCCGGCCCCGGGATTTCTATATCATTCACGAACGGCTCGAATGTGAAATCTTTGGCCCAGGAAGCGGCATATAACTTCGGGTATTTGCGAACATCCTCCATGCTAACCTGGTGGGTAACAGGTTTGACGGCGATGTATGCATTGTAATACTCAATGAAGTCTTGGTCCAAACGAAGAATCATGGATGGGTGAATCGGACTGGGAAGATCCTTCTGGGCCACCTGTTTGGCTCCGTTGGGAGCAGTAGTGTCGGTAATAGCAGAAGGGGCCATCTTGGGGGATCATAGATCGATAACAATGACTGTTTGAGACAAGACTCCGTTCCTGGAAACTACAGAGCCAAGGCCGAGTTAAATATGACCTATGAAAACTGATTATAGACGTGGCGAATTCTTCAGTACTAGTATTGGGGTCGCCCCATCCTGCCGAAGGGATCGGTCGAGCCGATCGGTACGACGCTGCTTGCGGCTGAGCTTGAGATACACATCGGTTGCTGATCCCCCAGGGATCCGCTGTCTCTGATGCCCCTGATATTTCAGACACCGAGGTAGTATCGGTATGGAGTGACTTGATGGCCACTACGACATACGTATTCATCAAACAGAAGTTTACACCAATCTAATCTAGCAATGAAGAAAGCCGTTAGATTGTAGTGGGATAGAGACTTTGTAGCGAAGACTGGATTAATGCATTACCGTTAGTAACTATTCCTTCTATTGCTTCGATATCTTGATTGCCAATGTGATCTCCCAACCAGAGGGGCAAAGCAATGACTAGTGGTCTTTACATCTCGTTCGGAAACTGCGCAGGTCTTTTTTTAAGCAATATATATCATGAATGGGAATCTCCTCGTTACCAAACCAGTCTCTCCACGAACATCGGGATGAGTATTGCACTTATCACAATCAGTAGTTCATATGGACTATGGATGGGATGGGAGAACATCAGGGGGAATCAACAATGCAAGGGATCCTCGCTTCAGATTCCAAGTGTAATCAATATCAACCCAACGAGATGAAGTTGTTCCGCTACCCAATTCCACCTTGAAATCCCTGGGAAACATTCGGTAGTGCTCTTGATTATTAGGTTTATATTTATGATTATGTGTGTTCTTAGTGTGATGGCCACAAGCCCCTTTTGTATCACATCTTACTTGGCATGTCGTTCATATTGAGTGATAATTCAGGTCATGAACAGGTCAGGATCCACGACATAGTAAAATATTCTACTATCGAAGTATTCTACAGGGATATGGAATAGGAGAAGTAGAATGCCGCATTTAAGAGCTGTATCTGAACATCTTGTCCTCAATGTCCGTCAGATCAGTCTTGGGCATGCCGTTCTTATCAAGGACAACATGAGTAGATGCTTGAGGACCACTCTCTGCCATAGCAAGATCTCGTTTCTTATTTTCCCGAGTGCAAATGAGGCGATACAGTCCCGAGACGAGATATAGCGTGACCCATGTGACGATGGCTGTAATGACGCCGTTGGTGTATCTTGGGCTTTCGGTCCACAGCTGAGGCGATCCGATGCATCCTGCGCAGTAGCCAATGAAGAACATGGTGTTGACAGTGGCGCGCTTTGTATTTCCCTTGATGTTGGAAGCAGAAAGAGATAGAAGAACGGACATGACAGCACTGGCACAAGACGCCTGATATTGTTAGTTGTTTGGCTGCGCCTTGACTTTGGATTGGAAACTTACCAGCCATGCTGCCACGATGACACCCCAACGGGACTCTGAAGGAAGCTTCAGCAAAAGGACACAACCTACGAGGGGTGTGATGTTCAAGATCCAGACCACAAGGACTCTGTTCTTTGGAAAGATTTTGCAAAGCGCAACACCAATCCAAATAAAGCATATCTGGACAGCTCCAGAGGGCGCGGTGAAAAGCATGGTCTGAAGCTTGCTGTAGCCGATCCTGTTGATCATCAATGTTGCAAAGGTCAACACGGGGGATTGCATCGTAACCAAGACGCCGAACATGAAGATGAACCAAGCCCTGGGGTCCAGCATCGTTTCTTTGAATTGTTCCATAGAAAAGGACTCCTTGTCTCCACCTTCACGGTCTTGTGCCATCCGTGCGGACAGAATCTCTTTCTCTCTCGCGTTGAGAAACCAAGCATCTTTCGGTCCGGAAGGCATCAGGGTGAAGAATCCAATTCCGGCGGATACTGTCAAGGCGCCGCAAACCAGGAACATGGTTCTCCAAGGCTGAAGGGGAAGTGCTGTATTTTTGCCGATGCCGTACATGATCAAGCAACCAAGAACCTGGGCGAGACCATTCATTGTAACCCAAATAGCTGTGCGCGTTGCGTGTTCCTCCTTGCGCCACCAGATAGAGGTTATTGTCACGAAAGCAGGGGAAACAGCGCCTTCGAAGAAACCGAGGAGGAAGCGGACGGCGGCGAAGCCGGCAAAGTTTTGAGGGGCGGCGAGACAGAGGCAGACGATGCCCCAGACAACTCTATACGATGAATGAAAGTCAGTCAAGGGGGCTTTTGCGTGGATTTCGGGCAGCTACTCATACACTGTTGCGCCGACAAACTTGGTGAGGGGAAACCGACTCATGAGGTAGATGAATGGGTATTCCGATACAAGTTGGCCGACGTAGAAGATCGAGCTTGTCCAGGAGTATTCCTTGCTGGTCAAGTTGAGGTCGTCGATGAGACCGAAGACGCCGGCGTAACTAAGACTTTGCTTATCGAGATATTGCAGCATGAAGGTGAAGCACATCTAAAATCGCCGGACTGTTATTCTAAGTCTTTATCGGGATAAGAGAAGCGGATGACCACTTACAAACGGCAGGACCACCATGTCAATTTTCCTGAGTACTCTTCTCTCCTCTTCAGGAGTGAAGGTTGCTTCCACAGTTTCGCCAACCCGCTCATCGCTACCGGCCTCGTCGGCAACCTTGCTCGCATTCGTGGGCTTGAGGTCAATTGATGTAGTCATGTTGGAGAGAATTGATATGGCTTCAGGGGCGATTGTTTCTCAGTTGGGCTTGAGTTGGTGACCGGGTAAAAGGTCAAGTATTTATCGACAACGCCATCCCAGCAGTATCGATCATTTGACTTTTGAGGAGACCATCGGCCATCAACCAGGTATCCACCCTGTTCCCCAGGTTTATCGCATCACCATGGCCCAGAACGACTGTCCTATCAACTCTAATCTGGGGTAGACCACGTTGCCGGGCGGGGCGTGGTCGTCGGAACGATGGACGCAGCGTCGGCAGTCTGCCACTTGGCCGCGAAACGATGCCATACTATCTGCCGATGACTCCACTGCTTGTATCTCTAACAGATAACCCGCTAGATAATAGTATCTGACGGCTGATCATATCCCCACGAGTCCAAGCTTCCGCGTGCCATCAACAAACGTGCGATCCGTCTACGGAGAAGTATGAGGGGAAGCGCTTCTGCAGTATAAATAATAGGGCAAACCTAATGTTCTCTCCTTCGTAGCCAAATACGGGTCGTATTCATTTCCAAACTCTCCTTTCCATTCCATCAGTCTACCTTGATCATCAAAGTGCAACATCATGGCGCCTCAACCATCTGACATCAAGCCTTGGCTTCAAGACGGCCCCAACGCCCGTGTCTTTGTGAACGCCAATGTCGTAGACGTCGCCGCGTCCGCAATTATTCCCAATGCCACGGTGAGGGTCTCCGACGGAAAGATCGAATCTGTCACCACGGGTTCCCCCAGCTCCCCTCCAGCAGGCTACACAGTCGTCGACTTGGAAGGCAAATACCTATCCCCCGGTCTCTTCGACTCTCATGTCCACTTCTGCGCTGTCCCCGGATTCGGCGATTTGTCCATGGCATTTGGCAATGACAACGACGTCATGGTCCTGCGTCAGCCATACGTCGCCTCGCAGATGCTGCACCGCGGCTTCACCAGCGTTCGCGACTGCGGCGGTGCCCAGCTCGCCCTAAAGGAGGCAATCGAGGATGGTGTCTTCCCCGGGCCCAGATTATTCATCGCTGGCCACGCTCTCTCCCAGGCTGGTGGCCACGGTGATATCCGTGGCCTCCACGACGCAACAGAGTGCTGCGGCGGTCACACCAATGGGCTGGGCCGTCTCTGCAACGGCGTGCCAGAGTGCATGACGGCCGTCAGAGAGGAAATCCGTCGCGGTGCTGATTTCATAAAAATCATGGGCTCTGGTGGTGTCTCCACGCCCACTGACAAGCTGGAGCACTTGCAGTTTACCGTCGCTGAGATCAAGGCCATGGTCGAGTGCGCTGACAATGCGGGCACATTCGTCACAGCCCATGCGTACACATCCAAAGCCATCCGGCACTGCATCGATAATGGCGTACGCGGCATTGAGCATGGAAATTTTGTGGACGAGGAAACAGCCAAAATCATGGTCGAAAAGGGGATATATCTCACACCAACACTGATATCTTACAACCAAATGGCTTCCGAGAAGTGGCAGGGCTACTTACCTCCTGCCTCGCAGGAGAAGAACACGGCCGTCTTCAAGGCGGGTTTGACGGCTCTGAAGATTGCACACGATGCGGGAGTGAAGCTCTGCTACGGTAGCGACCTCTTAGGCCCTCTGGGTTTGGCCCAGACTGAGGAGTTCAAGATCCGTGCCCAGGTGCTGCCGCCAGCAGCGGTCCTGCGCAGCGCGACCATTGTCCCAGCTGAGATGATGGGAGTGCAAGATAGTCTTGGGCAGGTGAAGGGAGGTTTCATTGCGGACTTGTTGGTGCTAGATAAGAACCCGATGGAGGACGTGACGATCCTGGATGATACAGAGACCAATGTTTTAGGTGTGCTGAAGGAGGGTAGAGTATACAAGAGCAGATGGCAGGGCTTGAAGGAGGATTCCCCTATTCCTATTAAGATCAAGGCCGCTTTATAAAAACAAAGGAGCATCCGTCGTTCAAAATATTACAAATTTCAACCTGAAAAGTTACATCTGACTAAAGTCCAACACATCCATCCCTGTTAGCTCCATCAGGAACGTTTGCTCATCGCCAAACCCTGCTAACGGGAAGAGCCCTTCTCCTGTCTGGAAGCCTTGCAATAAGGGAGCCTCTGAGAATTCGGTGGAGGTGGTTGCAGTGAGAGATGGTTCCGTTAGTAAAGGCTGTGTGGGCACCCAAGTGTTGGTTCTCTCGACAACGGGATCGTAGGGAGATATCGAGTCGTCTTGCTGCAGGATACTTGACGCTTCAGCTCGCGGTGGCGGCGATGAAGAGTCGCCACGAGGCTGATGGTTTGCGCGGGACAACCACTGAGCCCACCGATTATAATCGGCTGCCGTTGCAGGTGTGCCAACAGACAGCGGCGGCTGGGGGCTCTGGCCTGCTGCGTAGAGCTTTGCGACGGCCTCGTCTGCAATCTTCTGCAGTGCCTCAACGAACCGCACGCCAATCTGTGCTGTCACAATCCCAGCAGACATTTTCTTAAGGCAACTGAGCCCAAATTCTACCAAGGCTTCATAATCCGAGTTCCTTTCTATGATACCCGCTAGTATAGTCACGATTGTAGCAATGCTGCAGCCCTGGAAGTCGGTAAATGAGAACCTCGTCATGTTTCCGGTGGTGGCGATGCTCTCAAACAGATGCAGCATCTTCCTTGCCGCCCTAATGCAGGCCGAAGAGAGAGCATACACAGATTCGTCGGGCTTGTCACTGTTCGTCTCTAGGTTACTCGTGGCTCCTAGGCGGGTACGCAAATAGTACCGGACGACAGTGACAGTATATGATTTACCCATAGCTATCCATGCGTAGTAGTAGTTCAGATAGAGGTGGAAGATACCCCGATAGGACGATTCTTTTGGGTGAACTTTGAAGACTTTGAAGTGTGAGGGAAGAGACCGCTTCCATTCCTTCAAATCAGCCTCAGCTTGGTTGTACAATGTCATCCTTGCACGCTGAGTCGTGCAGTTGCTATATATCATCAGCAATTTGTCATACGCCCGTTGCTCGCGCGGGGAATAGCCTACCCAATTTCAATTGCACGATCAAGGACCATCGCAAGTCTGGCATTGGCAGCCTGCTGGATCAAGTTGTCGAACTTTTGTTCCGTGTCTATGGGTGGGCATGGTTTCGGTAAAGGAACCGTGATTATGCTTGGCTCAATCGCACGAGGGCGGTTGAGCTTGACGGCGGTAATCCTTGAAAGGGCGTCAGTCAAGCCATGGCATGTCAAACACTTCCTCACAGTCTGACCTTTCAAGTGCATATATGGACCACCAAGTTCTATGCCGAGTTTCATTCTCTCGGTCGGTCAAGGAAGGGTCGTCGGTACACTGGTGAAGATCGAATTCCAGGGCTTTCCTCAACGCAAGCCCCAAGTAGACATAGGAAGAGTTCAGGGCGCTAAGCGGCATCAAGTATACACCAACAAGGTACAGAGCCTGGATCGAGTAGAGTGAGGGCATCTCTATTAAGTCAGGAATTAAGGTGCGTATTTGGCGGTGGAAAATAGTACAAGGATCACCGTCTTCACTTGGAGACCTATTTTGCGAACCTTCGGGTTTCTCGAGCGATGTGAATTGGCTTCCCAGGGCAAAGGCGGCGAGGGCCAGGCTAATAAAGCCAGCATCTGTGCGAAGGGGGGATTGTACGTCGTTGTAGAACTCGTCGATTTGCGACAGAAGTTTCCCTTGGTCGAAGAAGAAAAAGATGTCGGTCCCACGGTGTATGCAGACGTAAAGTAGGAAGTCGGCAACCGGTCGAGGGGGGAAGCCATCGATCGCCCGCTGCAGACGACGAAGATCCCAAGGTTGCAACGATCGGGGCCCAGTGATTCTCTAGAATCCATTAGGACAATCAGAAACACTAGATATATATTCCGGCGCATCTCTTTCTCTTACCGCTTGCATAGCCACAATTTCTTGCGCTTCAGGCTGGCTTTCCTCGTCGAGGGTGAAGGCCTCTCGCAGTCGTGATAGGAACCGTGGCCATATTGTTCTTTCCGTCTGATCTAACAGTAATATTTGATTATTTACAATTCTTGGTCCATTTTTGTCCTTGGAGATATTTGAGGCCAATACTTACGACTGTCGATGGTTATATGTTCTTCGGGGGAGTCTTTGGAAGTGTCCACTTCGCGTACTGATGCTGTCACTGTGGCAGGGGTTTGGATAAACTCCTCCGAGGACATCACCTCCCTATCTCCAGATTAACACGAATAAAATGTCCAACGCTCATCCTCTGCTTGCACCTACTTGTCGAATCGGCAGGACAACTGCTTTTGGGCACATCTCTGGCAGATCCCCACTGTTGTCTCTATACATTTACTCTTTCTCGATTTGCACTGCTCACATCTGCAATCGTACTGAGTACAGGGGTTACCACAGAATGACGGGTCACTTACGCTCTGGGTGCTCTCTTACGCTGGCTGTCGGGAACGCGTCTCCGACGCCGCCGACGGGCCAGAGCGGCAGAGTTCATGCCTGGCATGGGCATAGCCGGTCACGAGTCCCGGCGTTACATTCCAATGCGCATGCACGCGATGGAAACAGTCGGTTCAATGGCCGTGGGATGAGGGAGGGGTTGAGACATGGCAGACTGCCGATGTTATCGGGAAAGTGGACTTTAACTTTGTGGCAGATTGCCGAACCAGGACCGCTTATCACAACTACCCTAGACCAGCTGATATGTAATTATCGCAGAATCGTCCGACCGTTACGTAGCCCATCTGATAAGCCATTCGTCCATTGCCCCCAATACAAGGCAATGAAGCTCATTCATTAGATCTCTGGACTCAAGTGGCCTAACCACCTTTACGTAGTCACCGGCGGTAAAGCATTGCTGGGCTCATGAGATCTACGAGCAACTTATATCAGCCGCGAATTCCGGTACCCAGGCCAAAATGTCAGCTTCGTCTTGTGCTTTAGGTGAGGAATATAGTATAAATATTAGTGTTGGCTTATATTGGTCGTATAGGATGTTAAACGCGGCATTCTTCTATCTCCGTCCCTCCAAAATGGCTCTGCTGCAACGTTTTAAAACTAGTAATTCTTCCTGACTTTCAGGCCAACTAAAAACCTCGCCAAATCACCAGAACTCCACTCTCTATCCCGTTTCTGCTCTTAGCAAACACCACACCCTATATCGTCACTTTGGTTCTCGTGCCAATCCCACAGGCCAACCACACCGCTCACTCGCCTACTTTCATCCAACTAATTCTAAGTATACCAGGCTATATTCATTTTTGGAAGGTTGCTCGTGATGGGTTGATTAGCGGGTGACGTCCGATAGAATGAGGGGAGGAAACGGAGGACCTCCGCCTGTTAGGATTACCCCACAAAGATGCAGATCGTTATCCTTGGAGCTTCGTGCGGAGGCGAGCCGAATAAGGTCAGAGTTGAACTCTGGGGTTAGTGTTCCACTCTAAAGTTGCTTATATCTGGGGCAGCCATGCCACGATTGATCTGGGGAAATGTTCAGGATACGTGGCCCAAGCTGTCAGGACTGGTTGAGGGAACAAAATAGAGTCTCTTCAAACATTCTCTGTACCAGGTTTACATTCTTCTTCCATATATCCCAAGCATATCACCCAAAAAAAAACGACAACATATCTTAATTTCACTTGAAACCATTTTATTAAAATGGCGGACGAAACCATCAGAAAATCCCGGGAATCTCTAGACAAAGATGCCAAGGAACACACTGAACATGTCGAGATCGAAGCTCCATCCAAGATAACGCACTCACGCGGCGAGTTGAGCGAAGAGGAGCTCTTGAATCTTCGCCAACGATATCCTCTTCTTGCAAATGCATCTCCAGAGAAGCTTGATGCTTTGAACAAAGCTGTACTGAAGAAACTGGATTGGCGCTTCCTCACTGTAATCACTCTCATGTTGCTCATGAAGTAAGTCACTCCACTCCCATTCCTCATACATGCAGACTTTTTTTAACCTATTTGTGCAGTTATCTCGATAGAATCAACGTTTCCAACGCTAGACTCGCCGGAATGCAGAAAGACATGCACATGAGCGATGTCGAATGGTCAGCTGGCATTTCGCTCTTCTACGTCGGATACATCGTCTCTCAGGTTCCCGCCAACGTCATCATCGCAAAAGGGCGGCCAAGAATCATCCTTCCCTGCGTCATGCTAGCATGGTCGGCGGTCACCATCTGCATGCCAGCTGCCAAGTCTCCGTGGGCTTTCATGCTCTGCCGATTTCTAGTAGGACTCACAGAAGGACCCTTCCTCCCAGGCGTCGCGCTACTATCGTCGTCGTGGTATGTGAAATCCGAAACGTCTTTCAGGATGGGAATTTGGCATGCGGGAAACATTGTATCCAACGCTTTCTCCGGCTTGCTCTCCGCTGCCATTCTGACAAACATGGACAATCTTGCTGGGATGCATTCCTGGCAATGGTTCCTCCTGTTAGAAGGTACAGTTACCCTCCATTTAGAAATTCTCCGTTTCCAAGCCTCGTATACTAATAAATAATAGGCATTGCCAGCATTCTGGTTGCTCTTATTGGCTTCTGGGCACTACCAAACTTCCCAGACAACACGGGCGGTGGATATTTTACTGAGGAAGAAACACAAATGGCCCAATACCGGCAGCTTGTTGACGCAGGAGGAATCTCCGAGGACGATGAAGGAGACTATTGGGGAGGCTTCTTCCAGGCTTGCAAGGACCCTTTCACTTGGTTATTTGCAGGGATGCATTTTTCCATCATCATTGGTCAATCATTCAAAGACTTCTTCCCCTCTGTAAGTTCCAAGTTATTTTTTAATCAGCCTATCAAAGCTAACCAGTTTCAGATTGTGAACACACTTGGATTTAACAAAACTATCACGTATCTCATCCAAGCACCACCATACATTGTAGCTTATTTTGTCACTTTGCTAGTGTCATGGTCGTCCGACAGGCATCTGGAACATTGCTGGCACATTGCTGGCTCCATGCTTGCATGCCTAGTTGGGGCTGTCATCATGATTTCTACGCTCAACGTCCCGGCACGGTACTTCTCCATGTTCCTGCTCTGCACTGGACCTTTCATCAGTTTGAATGTAGGTGGCTGTCGGTAGTCTTGGCTTGGTCAATCGTTTCGCTAATTGGAGTATCTTCAGATTCAAATTCCGTGGGAAGTCAGCGTGGTGCCCCGACCACGCACAAAGAGAGCCGCTCTGATCGCTATTGCCAACTGCGTGTCCTCTGTTTCTCACTGGTTTTCCCCCTACTTCTTCCTAACATCCCAGGAGCCTCGGTACCAAACCGGAGGAGGTGTGATCATTCTAGGCAGTGGTCTCACGATTATCTTTTGTGTGGTCACAAAATGGTATTGCCAGAAGAAGAACAAGGAAATTGAGAAGGAGCAAGAGCAGACCGGAGTTGTTAACAACTGGAGATACGTCACTTAAAGAGCCCTTGAGGCTATTATGAAGGTCTGATAAAAGATTCAGATGATTTCATCTAGTAGCAGATCAGCTAGCTAAATCAGCCATGGAATACTCATCATAGGACACCGGGTGCAAATACTTCCAAGGCAGGCTTCACTATGTAGGGATAGCAAGACCCCGATGTGGCATTAAATACGAACAGATATATTATTGTCATGATAAATTCCGTTTCATTTCTAGTGCCTGTACCATCAACGTTTGAGCTGGCACAGGGATCGAGAAGTCTCCGTTTTGACTAATGGTTGAGTAGTCAAATACCACACTCTCTGAAGTGATCAAATTTGTGAAATTCTGCAAAATATCCCGGAAGACTGTGAATGCAGAAAATACTTCCGAGACTCGGGTCAGTAGCTGGAGTGGCTTTTGCGTCAGTACCAAGACCTGTCGATCAACTCCAACCAGTGATTCATTGCTTGTGGCGCGGTGATAGGTGACCCAGATGAGACCGACTGCTGTCGAGAACACTTCGAGGCCATCCACACTCGTAAGAGTGCAATCGTTGGTGGTCGCATGCCTCTCAAGAGCCTCAAAGTACTGTTCGAAATCCTGAGTAGCCTGTGTCATAATCATAGAGCTCTCGAGCCCACCTCGATTTGCCTCGCATATGCAAACAATTGCAAGCAGAACCCGGCAAGCTGAGGAATGGAAATGATAATTATGAAAGGACCTCTCATCTTCATTGTCTATAGAGGCCATGGCCAACGGGGCTGTCTCTTTCCAGTGCTGATAATTGCTGAAGTGATACAAGGTGCCCTTTCCAGGGTACGCACGAATGTCGTGTAGAAGCTTGGCCTGGTGGACATTCCATGCATGCAGCTCGTCAAGCCTATATGTCTGTTCCCGTGATCTTGATGGCCTCTAAAGTCATAACATGGTTAGTATATAACAAACATGCAAACGGGGGAGGCTTAACAAACCGCGGAGGTAATGTCTTCGTCTTGGATATTGAAGGGCCGACCCGAGGATGCACTGAGAATACTACTTCTGCGTCAGGATGATCACCAAGTTTCGGTAAGATATAGGATTGACGAACGCGTCCAGTGTATAAATGGTCCAAAAAACACGGCTGCTGCTCTTTTGCCCTTCGTCCTGGGATCGATGATCCGATACTCTCGCAGTATGCATCCCCCCTGCGATACATCGAGTCATGGCCAAGCCAAGGAGATGCCACGCAGAGCCCCCAAATGGGGTGTACATGGCTAAAACAGCCATCAGTGTCAGGCACTGGGCTGCCTCTCGATCATTAGCCTGAGCAAATACCCGGGGCATGAACTGGTATGCCGTCAAAATGAACAGCGTCGCGAAGCTCTCAGTTTGCCTGTGCCCTCTACCCATTAGCATCCCTATCGCTGCTGCTAGATATACTCGTATGACTTTGCAGGGGGACTCGGTGGCGGCCTTTTCTAGTCTTCCCTGTTCTTCGCTCCGCATCACTTCGTTGTAGTCATCAGAGAGCTGCGGGCCATTGATCAGAGGGAGACTATGCTGGAGCAAAACCAAGACGCGATGCATGGCATTCGTAGGCTCTGTCATGGAAAGTGAAATTCCTTTCCGCAACAAAGTGCGATGGAAGTCACCCAATTGGCCCACAACGGCCTCATTTTGACCTTGGGACTGAAGGATATTGCTTCCTGAAACACTGGTTGAAGCTTGGACAAGTTTGTTGAAAGAGATATTTGAGGTATGTAGGATTGGGTCTCCTGTGAAGCCAGCCATGGCTGTCAGAGATAGAAAACCTATCTCAGTCTGTAGCGTGTCGTGGTGGGCATTTGCTGCCAGGGATTGGATGTCCGTGCCATCGCCACTTTGCCCACTTGTAGAAGAAGTGAGTGGTACCGAGGCAGCACTGTTCAGTCTCGTTTCCAGGTTTGAGATTCGGCGTTTCATGGATTCAATATAGCTATGATGAGCCTCCGGGTTGTCCGGGTCCAGCAGGTTTCCCAGCCGTCGCTCAATGCATGGGGTCGAGGCTTGCCGGCACTGCCCACACTTGGGTTTGACTCGATCGCACTGAGCCCATCCATATTAGAATGAAAACAGAGAGAAACGGCCAGCTCATGTAGATCTCTCACCTTCTGCTTCCTCACTCTGCAGCGTTCACAAGCCTGGGGAATCAACTCTTGCATTATCGAATACCTTTGGACGTTGCAATAACTACAGGGTAATCAGAATGTTATTCTTAGACTCGGGCTTACATAACGAGCGCTTGATACACCCAAGAACCAGCCAAGAGGAGGCGGAGCCTGTGGCGCTGACGCTCTGATGTGCACTGCCAACCGACGTGAGATGAACACTTTGTGCAACGATGTGACTGGGAGGTTCGACCTCGGGCAAGCTCCGGTGACAGGGACGCTGCTCCTCCCTTCGGAAATCTCTGCATTGCGTGGCTGGAGCCTTGAGTGAGGGGGAGTAAGTTGAATGTGGTCAAAGTTCGTCGGAGGTCCGCCGGAGGTCCACCGAAAGCTCCACCGGCCTGTTGCCGGATCCGATCTCCATCATACAGGACCACAGGCGAGGACGAGCGAACGAGTAGGCAATCCTCTGGTTGGCAGGTGAAGAAGTCGCCGAGCATCGGCAAATCAAGAACCCACAAGCTGTGACTCTAACATCAAATGACATTTAAAAGCTGGGGTTCGCATGCATCGTGATAATCTCGGAGTGATGAGCTAGCCTTGCCTTTAACGGACCACCACTCACTGTCCTTGCATCAATACTATCATCTCTCTAAGTCTGCTGTCACCGGCTTATCTCTTTTCCTTACCGAACATTCACGATGACTCTGACTCTTACCAACACCATCAAGGACAAGCTTGTCCGCAATGAAGTAGCCTACACTCTGAGCGTCAAGCTCGTGCGGTCAGTTGAGATTGCCGGCATTGCCAAGTCGGCCGGCTTCGATGGCCTCCTCATCGATATGGAGCACTCCTCCTTTGACCTCGACACCACTGGCCAAATCTGCATTGCAGCTCTGTACGCCGGCATCGCACCCATCGTACGATCCCCCAGCAAGGATCCCTTCTACGTCTCGAGGATCCTAGACGGCGGCGCCCTGGGTGTCATCGTACCCCATATCCGAAGCGTCCAGGATGCCAAGGACGTTGTCCAGGCCGCCAAGTTCCAGCCTGTTGGTGTCCGCTCCTCCACAAACGGCCTGCCCCATTTCCAGTTCCGCTCCCACCCCGCAAAGCTCTCGAACCCCGTGGTCAATGCGAGCACCCTGGTCATCCCCATGGTTGAGACTCTCGAGGCCCTGGAGCTCGTGGATGAGATCGCTGCTATCGAGGGCGTGGATTCGCTGCTAATCGGCACCAATGACCTCTGTGCTGAGATGGGCATCCCCGGCGACTACGACAACCTGCGGGTCACTGAGGCGTACCAGCGCACTATCGACGCCTGCAACAAGGTGGGCAAGTGGGTTGGTGTTGGAGGCCTTCACTCTCGCCTCGACCTCGTGGAGAAGTTCTGTGGCATGGGTGCTCGGTGGGTTATGGCTGCTACCGACGGCCCTCTGCTATTTGGCAGTGCTTCCAAGCGCGGGGGAGAGATGGCTGCTCTCAACACGAGGGTTGTGGGGGCTGTAAACGGGAATGGAAAGGCTTAGGATGGGAATAGAATAGAATCATTAGACTAGTACTTGAGTTTTTACTTTTGCTGTAAATAGAAGGCATATACAACCGTTTAATTACACCGAGACTGCCGCACAACTGCATAGCTCTCTCACTTGCTACTTACTACTACTAATTACACCGAGAACCCGTGATTCTCATCGCTGTGACCTTAATTATACGAAATCCATCCTTTGTGGTGGTTAACGTTCGGCATCAATCGAAATGAACAGATATACATGATGAAGAAGTTGATTCGGCTGTAATGATCCTGCAAATTGTTCATGACGAACATGTCGGCGCTCTTCCTAAGCTGCCAGACGGATTCATCAACGACAGCAACTTTGGTGGGTGATCGTTACCAGCAGTAGTCTACTTCTTTGACTGCAACCCCGCAAGCTAGACCATTGCAAATGATAACGCAGTATGGCATGCGTCTTCTGACCGGTCGGCCAACGTCCGATACGCCCCAAAGTTGGACTACCTCGGCCAGGAGGTCGCACTCGGGAGACCTCCGGTGGAGCAGGCGGCCACCCCACGCTCCCTCACGGCCTCTCTCCTAGGCCTCGAAACTGATGGACATTAATGCGAGACTTGCTTGCATATCCAAGCAGGAGCGGATAGCGGTATTCGTCCGAGGTGATAGTCAATGGAACATACTACTTGTGCACTCCTCATCGGAGGTTCAAGAGTAGTTTGTGACTCAGCGGGATGCTCCCGGGGACATATGACAAGGGATGGCTGATGAAATTCTTCTCTCCTTCTCTCCATTAACTAAATGCATGAAGATTTATATACAGCTTCAAATTGCCATTTTCTACCAACCCCACAAGAATACCATTTCCCCCATACACAGTTGAATAGACACCATGGCGCCAGGAACCCTTTTAGATAGCAGCCGGGAGGCCAGCCCCGTCGACGACCGCCGCCCTACCGTCTACCTCCTAGACAAGTTCCACCCAGAAGCCATCAAGTACTGCCAGCAGCGCTTCAGGCCCATCCAGCCCGACGACAAGGAGCACGTCCACTGGCGGCAAAATGCCCAGTACCTGCTCATCCGCTCCTCCTACCTTACCGCCGATGACATCGCCGCCTGCCCAAACCTCAAGGCCGTCGGCAAGCAAGGGGTCGGAATCGACAAGATCGACGCCGACGCGTGCGCCGCGAGGGGAATCAAGATCTTCAACACCCCCGGCGTCAACTCCCGCGCCGTCGCGGAGCTCGTCCTCGGGCTGACCATGGCCGTCGCGCGCGAGATCCCCAAGATCCACGAGCGGCAGGTCCAGGGCAAGCTGGTGCCCAAGGAGGTGTGCTCAGGCCTGATCCTGCACAAGAAGACCCTCGGTCTTCTGGGCATGGGGAACATCAGCGAGTCCGTCGCGCGCATCTTCCGCGGCGCCTTTGACGCGGAGCTGATCGCGTACGACCCGTTCGTGCCGGAGACGGCGTGGGCGGACATCCCGCACAGGCGCGCGGCGACGGTGGAGGAGGTCCTGAGGGAGTGCGATGTGCTGAGCATCCACGTGCCGCTCACCCCGAGCACAAAGGGACTGGTCTCCTACGACCAGCTGGCGATGATGAAGCCGCACGCGGTTCTCATCAACGCCGCCCGCGGAGGCATTGTGCATGAGGAGGATCTCGCGCGAGGTCTGCAGGACAACTTGATATGGGGAGCGGGATTGGACTGCCACGAGCAGGAGCCGCCAAGCAAGGCAAAGTATGGCGCCCTCTGGCAGCAGAATGTGGTCAGCACGCCTCACATCGGCGCTGCGACGGAGCAGACGCAGATGGAGACGGCCATTGCGGCGGTTGAGAGGCTGTATAATTTTGTACAAGGTTCTTGAGGGGGGTGAAGATGGACCAGACCAAGAATTTTGTTATTTTGTTTAAATAGTTAGTTAGCTTGCTTGCCTCAAGAGTGTTCAATGAAACGAGGCGTCATCCTTCAAAGCTAAATTGCGAGTCAGTCCAAGGGAAGGCGTTGCTGTCCGCAGTCCCCCAGGCGTACTCTCCCAGTCCATTCTCCAGAAGCTCCATGAACTCGTCTGTGAGTTCTGGCCATACCTGATGCTCCGCTTGTAATTGATCCAAGCCGTGTTGCTGGCCCATGTCTGGCGCCGAGGCCGACAGCATATGCAGAATTTCTAAACTGGAAGCATGATCCGAGTTTAGTTGGAAACTCGGGTCGTGGCTAGGGATATCCGAGGTCTGGAGTTCCGGCACGGTAGTTTGAGGCTCGGTACGGCCAAATATCGGGGCGGGTGGTAATTCGAGCTGCTGTGTCGATGTCCCGGTACCCGAGGAAAAATGGCGTAGGAAATTGTTGGTAAGCATCTCGAAGACGATGGAGAAGCGCCCGGCATCGGGCATCTGGTTTCTGAAATCCTGCAGAGTCTTGCAACATAGGCGCAACGTGGACTCCAAGCTGGCAATGGACGAGCCTGAGTGGCCGTCCTGTCTCTGAGCACGCATGGAAATCCAATAGAAGACAGATAGACCCGCGGTAAATATGATTTGGAAGTAGGTTCGCGTCCATGATATCCAGTTATTATGGGCCATCTTGTCGTAGAGCTCTATGGTCGCAGTCGCGCAGTCAAGGGACATTGTGAGCAGGTCGAGCGGTGGCTGTCCGTTCCTTTTGGGCGCGATATACATGGCCGACCTCACCAGGAGCAGTTTGTCCTTGGCGAGCAGGAAATCATACCATTCTGGCCTCTGGTAGAGGGAAGTGGGGTGAGAGAAGACGGGAGCCTGGCTTCGCCAGGTTTCCAGCTCGTTGAGGAATTTATAGAGCCGGACGTAGACGTCGCCCGACGAGAGGTTTTGAGAGGGCGTAGTATCGCCACTAGCACTGCCAACGCCTCTTCCATTGTAAAAGTCGGAGTAGATCCTCGAGGTGATCCGACGTAGCTGAATGACGCAGATGAACACGGAGAGTTCAGTTGGGGCAGTAGGGGGAGGGGCGGCAAGATCCGACAAGCGCGTTTTATCATCAGCCTCCTCGATGGCGGCATCAGAGGCGTTGACAGGCAGGTCGATTGCTATGTCTCGATCAGAGATGGCAAAGGGCCGGCCAAGAACACTCGAACTATAGCGGTCGAGGATATAGCAGTCCCAAAATATACGGCTGCGATACTGCTCATCTAATGGGCTCATCGGCCACTGCGGAGGTAGGTGCATGTTATGTTCAATGCATTGGCGCATACAGAACCTGGAGAGGTCCCAAATAGATGTACCTATTGGGCATTAGTTAGAGTCCGAACATTACTCATTAAAGGAGCTCATACCAATGTGGTGATACATGCCGAACCTGGCGATGAGCAGCAAGTTCTGAATGGCATCCATGCTCCCGATCAAGGGAACGCCGCCTAGATAGCCCTGTGCAGCCAGGAAGTAACCGAACGGGTGGTCCTCACATGCGCCAGTTCGAAATCTAGGGACAGCACTAAGAGCAAATATCATAAAGAGGCGGAAATAGTCCTGCGATGAAGCAGACTGGTTCACTTCAGGATGATAGACTCTGTTGAAGGTTTCCATGACATCTCTCCGCATCAGAAAGGTGTGATTTCTGTGAAACCTATCGAAGCTATTTGTCCACGGCTTAGTATAGACTCAAAATACTTTGAACGGTGGGAGGACTCACTATGTATCCAGGAGCCCCAAAGCCTCGTCGACCAAAGGCTGCTGGTTGGGTTTCACGGCCAGCTCCGGCACTTGGGGCCGTTCTGCCAGCTGCCTGAGAAGCTGAGGTTCGCAAGAGCGCCATCTGCTGTCGGATAGGATGAATCGCAAAAGATTGTGACCACTCGCGTCGCCGACAAAGGCGGTCGAGTCCGACGGCGATGCAGTCGAGGGGGTAGGCCCGTCGACCACAGCGCGATCACCAGCTGCGGCTTGCACCGGAGGAGCGCCACTGGCTCTCTGACGCAACTCTTTCTCCCTCTGCTCCAATTGACTGATCTCGTCTCTCGAGTACTGGATCGACGTAACGGGATCAACAATGATACACGTCTTCACAGCCTTGGAGCAGCCACTGCATTTGGGGGCAGCCCTATCACAGCGAACCTTGCGCAGTTTGCATCGCTGGCAGGCTGGAGGGACCCTGGCAGGGGACTCTGCAGCAGGCATTTTCGAATTGCCAATTGAGCGATACCATGGCAAGCAGAAGAGTCCTTGGTGTATGCGCGCGTAGTTGAAGGTTGAAATCAGGGATGGGGTTGGGGAAATGCGGAGGCCAATGGGGAGGATTTTGTTTTCGGGGAAGTGCCCAGTTTTAGGTGTCAGGCCAGTAAAAGTCAGTACGAGCTAAGGCATGACTGGGGCCAATGGGGGACATTGAAATTGAGACATCCCTGGAAGAGTGATAATAAACAGACTACTTTCTATTATGAATAAAGATATTCAGTAACAGAAAATGAAACAAAATAACAACATATACTGTATTCTTTCTTGAAGAAAATATTTTACCAATACTTAGTAATCTGACAATACCTGTCGCAGACTTGGAAATAACAGCTCACTGTTTGAGTGTCTTAATTTTCAATGTCACCCGCTTGTGGGGCCATCTAGCTGGAAGCGAAATTTGTCCCCTCGTGAACGTCCTACGCAAGCGGAAGACGTGATTACCTCTTCAAAGGGTCTTTGAAATATAATTCCTGAGCTTGATAATTCTATGAATATGGCTGATATCTGCCCAATCTCTTCATTGAATTATTGATAATCTAGGAGTACGGAGAGATGATTCCCAAGATGGACCCCTCGATTACTCACCCAAATTGTTGACTAATCAGTCTTCAACAAGCCTACCCTACACACATCTGGTTTCGTTGGAATGGTTCGGGTTTTCCATTTCCTCATCACCAGCGTGTCATCTCATAAATGAGATAAATGATTATAAGTGTCGAAATGGATTATTTTAGCCTGAGTATAGTTTGGAGTCAGATGCGTCAGAATATTTGGTCATACAACAGCAGTACTTCGGCAACTAATTTGAAATGAGAGATTCGGTAGCCGAGCACTTCCTTTCATTTCTCTACCACGGTCCATAGTCATACATACAGAAGAGAGATAACAGTGTTATATTTAAGATTTCTGATCCCACAAATTTGGTCACCTATGCATGCATTCATTCTACATTTTCCCCTAGATGAGGCGTCTGGAGAATGATTCCTGTTTGGGCAATCAGAAATCATTGGTGTCTTTTGGGGCTGCGCCACTACATCAGTGTGGAGAACCACAAGCACCAGCCACCATGGTCCGCTGTGCTTGTTGCCTCGATATGATTGGCTGCTATTTATTTTTCAACCAATCATCAGACGCGTCAGGCAAAATGTCACCCCACTCTAGGTGCCACTAGGATCTCTCCAGCGCCCGGCCACAGGCTCCGCCTTAGGGCTGGTAGGGAAGCGAGGCCTGTGATTGGGCTGCTCGCAATGGGCCGACCAATGAGCGGCTGCGGTGCCAGATCTCGCTGTTGCCGAGATGTACCGAACCCGCTGTAATTCACTGGGCTGAACGATCAGCGCACTGCCCAGAGTGACGTAGGAGAGTTGTGATATGTTCATCCCACCAGCTTCATCCTGCCCCTCGCGGTATATAAAGACTGCTCTGTCGCGTAAGTTTATTCAGAATATACTACATATTTCACAAGACACAAAAGAAGCACTTTCAATCAATCAAATAAACAAACATTCACGCATACACTGAACTAGAACACCAAGACATCTGTCACATTCAAGTTACCACTCCAACCATGTCATTCTTCACCACCCCATCAAACGACAGAAAGGAAGACCCTTCTTCCAAACTCACGATCGACCAGGATACGGGCCGATTGTCCACTTCGTCGAGAGAGTCTGACATCCCGCCTGCCTACAACGATGCTGTCGGCGGCTCCTCGTCACCATATAGCTTCCCCACCACTGGCCAGCTCCAGATTCAAGCTGTTGGCTTTGACTACAACTCAGCCCTCATCGGATCTAAATTGGAGACAATCTCAGTCGACCGCGTAGAGACCGGACAGCCAGAATACACATCCATCCGACTTAAGCGAAGCTCAAACTCTTGCGCCCTCGTTAGCGCTTCAGACCGAAACCAAACCCCTTTGATTTCAACCATATATCGATGGGGACCGGGCAGACACCCTAGAATGCGGATTTTCCCTGCCAACACTTCTGTGTCTGTCGAGGATGCCATCAACGCAGACAAGGTAGAGTGCGAGTTGATTGACGTCAAGAGCCGCTCCATGCTCTCCCGCGCACAAAAGTTCGACACATCTTTCGGCTCCTTCGAGTGGCGGTACGGCAGCCGGGGTGAGCGCAAAGAGGACCACGATGCATCTTCGCTTCTGATCCTCGAGAGGACCGACTCCGTCGCTTCGGCGGCTGGTGCCAAGGCCGGGAAGAGGGGCGTTCGGGTCGCTCAGCTGGTGCGCAGTGACGAGTTCCGCACCCCCGGTACAACCCGGTATATGGGCGGCAATGGCGGCAGGCTGATGATGGATCTGAGCTTGTGGACGGACGACAAGAAGGCCGCCGCCAAGGATGTCGAGGCGTTTGTCGTGGCGAGCTGTATCTGTATGCTGAAGCGGGAGGCGGATCGGTTCCGAGACAACACGATTGCCGCTGTGGTATAATTTCGCCGCTCATTGATAGAAGTTGATAATGCTTTACTTTTAGTTCGTTTGGTATTATAGCATGTTCGGTCATTTCACCATAGCGATCTCATGTCACATCATGTTTCTCAAATACGTATCAAACGCTGACGGTGTTCTCTTCTCTGTCAAAGTGAAAGAGAACAACCCACTCACGCTGGTCCGTCTTTATCCAGATATGTGCCGCGTAAAATGATTGATAGAGCTGCCATCGAGTATCATGTCTCTAATCCTACTTGAATTTGCCGATTGATCAGTTTATCCTCAAGCGAGGAAGAAAATGCCATGGGTGTAGCAAAGAGGATAGCCAAATACGACCTCCGTCTCATCTTGCGCAGAAATTTCTACACCATGTAGTTTGTGAGTTTATATGGTCGTGACTTGATCTTCTCGCTGTTGCTCCGTAGTGTGCTCGTCCTCATAGTCATGAATCAGCGTCGTGATGACATCAAACCCTGTACTCCAAGCCGCCTCCCGCGGTGTGGGATTCCAGGGCCGCGCCTTGGAATCCGTGTACATCTTTTGTCTCATATCGATGGTGGGATCGCTCAAGAGCTCCCGCACTATGGCTTCGTGCCCCCCCTGGACTGCAAGATGGAGCGGCCTTGCGTATGAGCCAGAAGGTATCTCGGGTGATATCTGGGCATTTTTCTGTAACAGGAGTCTTACGGTTTCAACACGACCGGTATTCACGGCAACAGCCAGTGGTGCCCATCCTCGGATGTCTTGCATGTCGATACCCGGTTCCGCAGTGCTCAGAAGTGCCTGTACAACGGCGACATGACGGTAGTGGCACGCCCACCACAGCGCAGTCCTCCCTTGCAGGTCCGGTATAGCTGGTTTGACTCGCTCGTCGTTCATTAGTCTCTGCACTGCCGAGAGATTGCCTCTCTTAGCAGCGATCAACAGCGGTGTTTCATTCCCAGTATATCCCTTCTGGAACTTGTATCCAACGGACCCTATCCACTCCCCAATCGCTTCAGGATACCCGACCCTGTACCCCTCTATTTTTTTCGATTGATAGTTTGGATCAACTCTTGGGTCGCTGAGTAGTAGATCTATCATTTCCATGTCATCTTCATTGGCGGCGATTGACAATGCAGAGCCGCTCCACCCGGCATTCACATCGATTTGTGGCATAGACAGCAGAAACTCAACAGTCTCCCGAGCAGCAGACAATACCGCGCGGCGTAAAGGAGCACCAGGCTCACAGTCCTCTTGAGTGGTACAGTTGGGGTCCAGTTCCCCGGATGCGATGAGCCTCCTAACCTCCTCGGTGTCTCCACGAGCAACTACATCGTACCAATGATCCACCGTGATGTCATTGCTTAACAGGAGATCAGCTCCGGGTCGTTGTTTGATCATATTCACAACTCCAAAATCATAGTGGTAGTGATAGACGAAGTCAGATGTTGGGATTTTGATATCCAGCCTGAGCCCGGGGTGGCGCAGGAACGATCTGAGTAGTGGCGTGTATTCATCACATTGATGAAGGAGGGTCCGCCACAAGGGTGACATCTTTTCAAAAGGAATATTGGGGTCTGTGAGTTTGTGGTTCAGTAGAGCATGAATGATAGACTCGTTGTTTCGATCACAGGCTGTGTAAAGTGGTGTTGCGTCGGTCTCAGGATCCATTCTATGATTTGGATCTACATCCACCCGCTGGAGTAGTGACCTGACTGCTGATTCCCGGTTTGCAGCACATGCTGCCCGTAATATCGACCAATGTGACTTCAGTGCTGTATTTGGACTGAGATTGTAGCGATCAAGTAGCAGGTTCAAAATGCCTCCATGGTCACCGAGAATAGCCCGCCGTATAGGACAGAGCTTTCCAGCGCCGAACAATGGCTCCTTCTCATGGAAAGCAAAGGGCTGAACATCGTCTCTGTTAATGAGAATGCACACGATGTGTTCATGCCCCTGCTGAATAGCTACCAGGAGCGGGCTCACACCCGTGTCGCGGCTCTTTGCATTTGGGTCGACACATTTGAAACTGAGAATAAGTTGCAACGTATCCGCCCACCCAAGTTCTGCAGCTTTGCGAAGTGAATGTTCGTATGGACCTTTGACGTGTGTGCTCAGTGATATGCCACTTTGTCTTAAGAGGAAATTGGATGTCTCTCTTTGGCGATGTTCTATGGAGACGCTGAGTGGAAAATTGCAAGTTTGTCGGTATCGAAAGCAGAAGTTGATATCGGTGAACGAATGCGACAGAAATGCTTTGACAATGCTTAAGTGACCACCTTTGCAAGCTGCTATAAATGATTTGTTCACATGGCGAGGACTGTTGCCCAATTCAGTGCTAAGGAGATATCGGACAACATCGTGATGGCCCTGTTCAGCTGCAGCTTCCAAAATTGATCCCGCGTTACCAACGACATGGACGTTAGCGCCATGCTCTACCAGCAGCTGAGAAATCTCACCATGTCCATAATATGCTGAAAGATAGAGTGGATACCCGAAGAGCTCGTGGTAGCTATTCACATCTGTGCCATTGACAAGGAGGCATCGGACAGCCAACATGTTTCCCTGGCAGGCGGCAAGGTGCAACGCGCCGTATGTCTGTATTGCTCGGAATGTAGTGCCTTTCAAGTTCATTGTTTCATCCAGAAGACAGGCATAAGCGATTCGCAAAGCTGTAGGTAGATATTGATCCTCCTCTGGACAACGGATGACATCTCGGAGTACCCAACGATGGCCACGATGCGCCATTAACCCATCACATGCTGTGTGCAAGTATTCTCCTTGCAAATTTGAGTGGCCCGCATTCCAGGCGCCTTGTGAGGCCAAAAAAGCTGAGCAATCTTGTAAAAAAGAGAAGAGTTCATGCAAGTTTATTGTCTCATTCTGAGCAAGTGTGGTGAGCAGCCACCTGACAGTGGGCTCTTTGAGGTAGGCAGATCTGTGCACAAAAATATCTATTTCTATTTCCCGAAGAGCTCTATGCGAGATAAAAGCGTTCAATGATCCTGATATTGTGAGCAACAGTGAGTAGGAAATCGCGAACTTCGTGAGAACCTACGAGATATTCGACGCAGCTCAAGATACTGGATCCATTGGGCACGGTATCGAGCACGCCCAGGCCTGTGCAGTGCCTCGGCCCTTAGCTGGCTGCTGGGGAGCAGCGGATGGAATATTTGATCAAGAAGCTCGAATGGCAGGTTTTTGAGCGACATATTGGCGAGCTGAATGTTTGACTGCTGCCGATTGAAAGGATCAGCCAGCAAAGATGAACAAATTAGCTCGTGAGTCAGACAAATGAACATCGAAGTCACCTGACATAACGGCCTCCACTCTCCCCTCACCAATCCAACCAAGGAGGCTGAATTCGCCGATGGAATATGCACTCCAATAGAAATCTTTCTCAGAAATGCTGTTGCGGTAACTGACACGGAGGCAAGGCCAGTGCCGGTGGAGTTAATTATTCTGCGAAGTTAACTTCCGCATGGCTGTAGCCTTGGGCTAGCAGAGTATATTTTCCGTTTTTGTATTCGTTCTGTTGGGATTTTGTTGAGATTTAAAGGAGAGAGATCACGTAGAGGGTAATTACTTAAATATAATTAAAATAAGGAGCATAATTAATTTAGGTCTGGTATACTCCATATACATACAAGTTATCTACTACCCGGAGTAGAGAATCACCATATTTCCATACTTTCCTCTGTTTGTTGTTACTATTAATCATGTGCCAGTTCATTCTACTACCTCTTATTTTTAAAAATTGCTGCTTTCCTGTCATAAGAAAACACCCCAACTACGTTTAGTCCCGACTTTCAGCTGTCCCAATCGCGATTGATAATTTGATGAACTTTAGTAGGGTTTTGTTTTAGACTTGCGGTATTATTTGATCATTGAGGGCCAAGATTAATTGCGAAACGGACAACACAAACAAACTTTGATTGATTCGCCTTGTCTGACGTGTTCAACGAGTGTTCCCGTCAGATAGTCCCATTGATGTGGCAGATTCTTGGTATCCCTCATAAAAAGTTCCCTTCTGATATGCGCTGCGGCTGATTAAAGGGTTTCGTGTTCTTTGGCTACCAGTAAGACTGGCCGCGATATTGTTCCACAGGCACCATGATATTGTGCCCATAAAGTGTCTAGTCAACATGTGAGAATATTCAACTCAATCGATAGTACTAGAGACCCCGTTCCCTCTACTTGTATATCCCGGTGAAAATATGTCAAGGGCCTGATAAGTAGCCGTAGTGGTCAAGTAAATAGAGCTCTTTAATCAGCCTAGCTACATACACGAATGCCAACAATAGAACCCAATTTGACGTCAGCAGCTGAGATTTGGAAACAACGTTGAGTTTTAAAAGGCTCGTCACGGCCACGGAGATCAACCTGCCTAGATTGCAATGACCATGAAATATCAATAGGACTTCTATTGCTAAGATACCAAGCAAGCATGAGGCGCAACGAAAATTAGTCAATTAGATTGCATATCGTCATCTTGCAAGACTGGCTAGACACGGCTACGAGTCACATAGACTTTCCATCAGTCCCACACCATGGGCTTACGTCGGGGGAATATATTGGCCAAGATGACCAATTGGCTGTTCTTGATGTACCAAGTGGCTGACCAGAAAGTCTGCGCCAGTCTTGGAGATATAAACAAATCTACTCCCGAATCAATGAACTACGCTGGTGACCCACGAGAATCTGCCACGAGTCTTCATGACCTGTTAGCGATATCGACTCTCTGGTGCTAGAAACGAAGAGAGTAGGAATGCAGCGATGATTTTTTGTCGCCATTGGGGTAAGAATCAAGGTCGTTTGTAGCAAAGAAATTGGCACGCGCCTAGAGACATCGAACCTAATACAGGCGTACGATGATGATACGTAAGAGTTTGAGTAGAAAGTTTAATAGCAATGAAAGCTGCCAGGGCCCAACAACCCAACACAAGAAACATAAAAGATTGGACTATAGGCTTTTCTAGCCCGCCTAAGATGTAGTCATACGACAGAAAAATGCTTTGAACCGAACCTTCATCCTAATAACTCACTTGCTGTCAGGACAGCCCCTCGTCGAATAACTATTAAAGCTGCCTTCCTTCACCTGGGTTCCTTCGTCTCGCATCGTCTTCTGGTGCCCAAGGCTAGATCACTACAGTTATCTGCAGTAATCCAAAAGAATAAGTAGGACAGTACGATACAAAGAGAGGAAGGGGTCAGAGGAACTAGCATTAATAGGAATACTTTTAAGCTTTAAAAATACTGTAGAAGAGGTATATAATAATAAAGTATCAAGTAAGCTTCTACTTTAGTATATTCACCTACTCTCTATATAATTAAATATTAAAACTTATTTTAGGTTTAGATATAATTTCATAGATTTCCTTATAGCTAGGCAAAAAGGTTGAAGTTTAATATATTATAATACGGGATATAGTGTTATAGTGTTGAATTCTCTTGGTGCTCGGGTATTTCCTTTTCTTTTTCTACCGGCGACGGCGTAACTGCAAGGCTCTCTCCCCCTCCAAACTGATGGATTTTCTATCGGCAGGAAGACCAGGCCTCACCATGGCTTCCCAGGCTTGTCTTCGTCTTTCAATGGTGCCCATTTTGCCTCCTCACGACCCCTCGTGACGTCCACGAAGCTTTTCTTAGAGTACCACTTGTAGTCATGGGCTTTTAGCTAAATCAGCCGCTTACATCACTGGGTTCAGAAGCCGGGGGCAGGATCCTTTAATCTGAAAAAGACTAATCGCCATTGGCCACACTAAATAATAGTGTAAAACAGAGAGTTCAATGCATAAAACAGAGGACTCCAGCTCGTGAGGCTTACTGTGCAAGTAAAAGATATAAGTATCCTTCTTGCCTCGCTTTGCAGAGAAACAGGAGGGAAAAAACCTCCATCGCCATCACTCCTTATCCATAATTCTATCTCCAGTCTGTTTGACAGCCTACACGAACCCCAACACTATATATATTCATTGTTATGGCTACCTTTCATTATTTCTCAGCACTACCGTGTGAGTTGAGGCTTTAAATATGGGAGCTATCCGTTCGCCCAACACAACCTAATATGGTCGGAATTCACTATATCTCTATGACAGAGCGGTTCAGAGAAGACACAAAAGCTGTTAATGCTGTTCCGCGCATCGGTTACGGTGACGCTAGCAATCGGTCGGCCTATATGTGGGACTCCGGACTCTGGGCTACTTGCCGCGAGTCTCGCAAGGTAACGATGACAGCGTTCAAAATGGGGTTTTGGGAGGCGAGGAGACGAGAAATAGAATCCATGATGAAACGGGGCGAATGGGTATGGGGTGAATGGGTGGGGGGCGTCTGGATGCCCGATCCAAAGGAGGAAGACCGATGCCTCCCGCTTCTTCAAAGAGTTTCACCACGCCAAATAGGCTCGACGACTACGAATGAGCCCTTTGACCTGGTGGTCAGGCCATTTCAGGACATATGTTGTGTCGACATCAACGTTCTTCTCTCGATGGAGGGGTCGTGTGAGAAGATGCAGGAATTTTTAATTCCATTTCTCGCTGGGGTTTTCCCGTTCACGGACGAATTCCTTCCCTATGAAGCCAACCCCGTTATTTTCGAATTTGACCCAAGTTGGAATGTTGATTTTCCAACATCTTGCTGGATTCTCTTGGATGAGTTTAGTCCAAGAGGACTCATAGCTAACCTGATATGCGAGCTCATATGCCATGATGGGTAGTTTCCATATATATGGTTACTAGACCGTTGTGACCGCTAGGATCAGACGTCACTTGGATCATCCTCCCGCAAGTTATCCCAGCAGGTGTTTCATGATTGCGACCACGAGTACATTGATATTGGGTTGGATTATAAAACCAAAGGTGGCTATTGCGAAACAGCCACTTATTTTATAGACTTGTTAGCAAACGCTTTAGATGGGAATGAGGACGTGCTCTTCTCTCACATTGACGAACTTGACCGGTATGTGAATTGTGGGTATGACACAACGGACTACATTGGCGTTCTTGGTTATAGGTAACTGGAGTAGCCTTCAATGTCCACATAATGATTTATCACCTATGAGAAGACCCAATGTCATACACATAAGGAAATACAAAACCAAATGTAAGATCCAAGTTGAAGGGGAGATGGGTAAGGGTGATCCGTTTGATAATTACTCCAAGCCAACTCTCATCGAGACTAGATTAAGATTTATAGGGCTGGTTGGGTTCGGCATGTTCTAGAACAAAAGTGCGCCGGCGAGGTTGCTGTGTTTTTATTTTTACAAATACAACAAATTGGAGCGGGATGGCTAATTCGATAGAAAGGCCGGCCAAATAGGGCCACCCTATCTTTATTCTATTTAACATCATATAGAACATGTAATGTGAACTTGTAGCTGCGGGTGCCACCCATAAGACTACGTGTGGATAGCACGCTGCCGATCTATATCGTTATCAATTCAATTATCTTTAGTATATACATTTGCGTCTCCTGCATTGCCTGAAATCAGTGCCCTAGAAGGAAACTAACCAGGTATCCGGGCGGCACCACGAGGAGGTTGCAGGAGTCAAACTTCGCCGCCCATAATTTGACACCATCTTTCCATTTCCCCGATGTCAAATTACCCTCGGAGATTCTGAAACTCAACAAAACTGAGAGCGAACTCAGGGAAGCCGGAACTATATTGTAGAACTCGATAATACTAGAACATATTGCAGACTCAATAACGCTGGAATTATCTCCTTAGTAAATTCCTCTTCTTATTTCCTCCTCTTCTTCTTTCTTTCTTTCTTTCTTTTTCTTTTTTCTTTTTCTTTCTTCTTTTCTTTTTCTTTCTTCTTTTCTTTTTCTTTCTTCTTTTCTTTTTCTTTCTTTTTTCTTTTTCTTTCTTCTTTTCTTTTTCTTTCTTCTTTTTTTTCTTTCTTCTTTTTTTCTCTCTTCTTTTTTTCTTTCTTCTGTTTTTTTTCTATTATAGTTATAGCGAGTAAGAAATACGATCTGACTCAGCAAACGGAATATCAAAGACCTAACAATCTACCTACAGGAGAAGGCTCGAAAGGAGGAGGCCAACGTAAGTAATGTCGCGCTCGAATAATTCCCTGTTACGTTAGGTAGTCACTATTCCATACTAATGCACACTCTAGAACATCATTGCAGAGCGCCGGGCTGCCCGCGCTGCTGCGGCCGGCGGTAGTCCCTCCTTGTTGGAGGTGGTAAGCCACTTCAACTCGTTCGAAATTTTAGCTTCAGAGCAATAGTAACAGAATAGTAGGACTGAAAAATTCACCGTGGGATCGGTAAGTTTATTGATCCTTGACTGTTACTGTGTAGCCATATTGCTGATATTTACCGCAGTTCGGTTTTCCCTTTTTTTTTGGAACGGGCTATGCCTGTGCAAGTAGGTGAAATAAAACATAGCATATCGAGATAGTTCAGCACTGAAATTAAATATAATATCACAAAAATAACCTAGTACTGAATATAATATTAAGCTAAATATTATAGAATAGTTTACTATTCTCTTCTTATTCTCTTCTTATTGTGTTTAATTAAAAAATGATCTCCCTGCCTCACGCGGAAAGAGCTTTGGTGTGCCGTGTTTTATTCCAGCCACTTGCCATGTTACTGTAGATTTTAGAAGGACAATACACTGATTTTATATTGTTTTCATGTCATTTTGCTCTTTCGATCACTTACTCCCCCTAATCTGACGCCCTTGGCTCAGCTTCCGGACTCTTCCAATGTTTGAATTCTCTCGCCCCGAGATTGAGATCAAACATCTGATCAATCTCCAGGGAACTTCTACCTTTCATCTCCGGAATGAAGTACCAGCACAAGACCGCAGCTAGCAGACAAAGGCCAGCAAGAATAAATCCTGTTTTGCCTCCCAAATCTCCCGCGTCGGGATTGTATGTATAAGGCAGAACGAAGCTCATCATTACTGAAGTTCCTTGCTGGGCCACTCCACCGACAGCTTGCGTCTTTGCACGCAGTCTCAAAGAGCTTGTCTCTCCCATGACTGCGTAACTCCCTGGCCAAACGCCAACACCACATACGATGATGATCAAGGTCAGCAACCCGGCGGTCACGTTGGCAACGACCGGTCCCCTCCAAAATCCAGAGATACCCATACTGGCCCACAAGACTGTTGCACCCCCGAGGGATATGAGGATCGCTGGCCTTCGATTAACTCTAGACATGACCCAGACGCCAGCGGCGTTCGCGATGATGCCTATTACGACTCCGGCGATGAGGATCAGAAGACTCGTACTTGATGGCATACCAATCAACTGCAAGAAATAGCTCGATTTCCCTAAAAGGTCCAGGCCAAACATGGTCGGGAGAAAATTCGCCAGGATCACGATCAGCGTCCGTCTGAGGTGTGCCTTGGTGAAACAAGTCATATACGTCGCACCGTCGGACATTTTTTTCTCTTCGGCAATACTCGTGCGGATCTTGCGCATCTCAATCATCGGGTTTGCCCGTGGCGCATAGAGCTTTTCCGTCGCCTGGAAGGCTTTCTCACTGTGTCCCTTCTCTTCGAGGAACGCTGGACTCTCGGGCATAAGAGCTCCAACTATGAAGGGGGCGATGACCAAAATGAACTGAGACCCAAATGCACCAATGTATCCTTCCCTCCCTTCAACGTTGTTGCAAAGGTAGATCACGATTGATCCCAAAAACTGACCCATCAGATTTCCTGTAGGCACAAGGGCTAGAGCAGAGCCCCGTAGACAAGTCGGGGCAGTTTCAGATATGTAGGTCATGGCAGTGACTTTGAGAAGGCCGATGGAGAGTCCCTGGATCACCTTCCCTGCAAAGAACATGCCCCTTTTGGCTTCAATATCTGGGGGTAGGTATGAACAAAGGATAATGGCAGCGCCGGCACCAGTGACGGCACTTCCTGTAAAAAGACTGTTTCGACGGCCAACAATATCTTGGAACCAGCCTGCAAAGAGAGACCCAATCGCCATCCCCAAAGGTGAAGCGGCTGTCCACAGAGACAACCACATCGCTGGAATGATGAGCTCGTCCTTGTAAATTTCTCCATAGTCTCTCTTGAAGGAGTCAACGGCTGGAATGGAACCAACCAGGACAAGATCGTAGCCCCATCCTAGAACAACCAGCATGAGGGATAGCGAATAGGCGACCACTTTGGGGTATTTGCGGGCAGCTTTGGCTAATGGAAGCGAATCGTCAGGGTCTTCCACATTGTCCGCATCATTAAGAGGATGCATATCATCGACCTGATCTGGTCGATAGGATGTCCCGGAATCGGATAATTCAATGAAATTGTTTCCGACGACTCCCAAGTCCTGGCTCGCACCACCCTTCTGATGATGCAACATACTGTCAACGAGTAGCTGCTGGGAGATACTTGTATAAACAGATGGGGGCTTCCTCCGAGTGAAAAGATATGAGTATGAACAGGTTGAGTTTTGAGCAGTGGGCGAAGAGATGACAATGATCCGATAATCCATTCATATTCCTACCGAGGAGAGCAGAGGTAAATATACCGACGATGAATTTACCCGTACTCCTCACCTGTCAAAGCGTAACATTCTATCCTTACCGCGCGGCTCATGCTCGTGAGCCTCGGCCTTAATAGATTGACACCCATCCTGACCAGAAAGGCTGAGTTACGACGTGAAATAAGCCTCAAAATAGATCGAAACGGCGTGCAGTAAGCTCTGTTCTAGCCCATCGGCAGTGGGGGAGGGCTAAGCATCCGGAACCTATGCCCGGGACGTCACATTCGTCAGCTCCCGAGGATTTAAGTCTCAAACTAGGCTGGAGAATCCTTGTCTGCCGTGAGATCGAACGGCTAATCGCCCACTTTCCGTGTCCGACGGAGTTGTCAAACGGGGAATCGGACATTCGGAGACTACTCCAAAACTCCGACTGGATACGCTATTCGACATGTGCCTGGGGCTTGGCCGCGTGTTTTCAAGGATTAGTTGAATTCCACATCACTCGTGATAACCAAACCATCAACACTGCCTTGAAACCGGGGTTCATTGACAGGCCTTGGGTGGATGCTGGGAGCGCGCGCCAAGTCGCAACCACGGTATACTTGCAACAAGGCTGTAACTCCCCCTGATCCTGGGAGCCACTCGCATATATCAGCTGCCGAGTGCCACCACTCAGGGCTGAGAGCAAGCACGTAACCTTCATTAACTTTATCCTCAGAATGTCGGCCGAACCTAAAGACTCAGCTATGGGTTCGCCCCCAATCTGCCAAATCGTGACGCCTATTGGTAACATGGGCTATGGTTTCGACGAAACCACGACTGCATATCAGCTTGCTCAACTCGTACCGAATGGAATTCCAACAGCTATCATTCTTGACTCCGGCTCAACCGACAGTGGCCCTGAGAAGCTGGCCCTGGGTACCACCACTGCCCCAATTTCAGCTTATCTCAAGGACCTGATCAAGTTGCTTCGCCTTGTTCATCAATTTCGGGTTCCATTGATATTCAGCTCCGCTGGGGGCGATGGGACTAATGACCACGTCAATAAAATGCGGGAAATCATCGAGACTATTGCGGCTGAGGAAGCAAACTCGTCAGTCCTCACACCTCCACCTCTTTGGATGTTCCTTCTTTAACCCTATCCTAGTGATTATTTCATAAAGGCCATCTCAATCTATGCCAAGATCGACAAGGATCTCATCCGTGAGAGACTTCAAGCGGGCCGTATTGTAGGCTGCGGAACCTGCGTACCTCCCCTTGCAGAATCAGAGATCGAGTCGTCTGCTCGAGTTGTAGCTCAGATGGGCCCAGAACCTTTCATTGATGCAATGGAGGCCAACCCTGATTTTACCGTCATTATCGGAGGAAGATCCTATGACCCGGCTCCCTACGCTGCCTATGCTAGCTTTCAGCTGAAGCGCCAATACCCTAAGATTACAGAATCGGAAATCCAACAACGGTACGGAGGCTTCGTCCACATGGGCAAGATCATGGAATGCGGTGGTGCGTGCTCTACCCCCAAGTCACCTGGCGCAGTTGCCGTCGTATACGAAGATGGCACTTTTGATATCAGCCCTACGTTCCCCGGATCCCGTTGCACGCCCTTGTCTGTTGCGGCGCACGCATTGTACGAGAATTCGAGGCCGGATGTGTTGGGTGGGCCTGGAGGGGCTCTTCACCTGGAAAACTCCAAGTATGAGCAGCTTCCAGATGGACGAACAACTCGTGTGAGCGGCTCAGAATATCGATCAAGCCAATCACAGGGTTCCCCCTATCAATTTAAACTTGAGGCGGCTCGTGTTATTGGATATCGCTCCATGTTTATGGGATCTGTTAAAGACCGTGAGCTTACTCTTTCTTCGGTTTTGACGAGCGCTAATAGATGTCACAGATATATTGATTAGGAACATTGATAACCTGTTTGGACGGATAAAGTTATACGTCAAAGAGCAGCATCCCGATGTTACAGGAGAATGGGACCTTGGCTTTCACGTTTACGGTCGTGGCCAGAGTACGGCAAAAGGCCCCGGAGAGCTTTTCATTATCACCGAAGCTATTGCCGAGAATCAAAAACTGGCAACCAGTATGGCATCTAAAGCTCGAGTAGCCATGATTGTGAGTCCTCCGATTTCGTCCAGTTGCGTTATCCTTCAGCTGACATTGAGCATAGCACGGTCCCTATCCAGGAATGAAGGCAACGGCGGGCAATTTCGCATTTGGCATTGGTGGAAAGATGGAGATTGAACTCGGCAAGTGTGCCAAATTCTCCATATACCATCTCATGGACCTCGAACCAGGCGAAGAGAGGTTGCGGCCTACTCTGGGCGCTGTCAATGAAAGGAAGCTGCTAAGCTATGCGACATCCATCATTGGAAATGGAAAGCCGACCCCATCAGATGACACATTCAGAGCTGAAATCGCCCGCCTCCGCGATTCGCTCCCAGCTCCCGTCGCGAAAGGAGCGGTTCACGTCGCTGCAACTAAGTCTGCTGCACCTAGCGAGCCACCTGAGACTCTTTGGGACCTTGCTGCTGTTCTTCGATCTAAAAATGCTGGTCCATTCGATATTTCCCTCGACGTGATCTTTAAGACTAAAGAAGATTTCCACGCGGTCAAGAACTCGGATTTCCTTTCCGCCGAAAATGTGTCGCGTGAACTTGAGATCGATAAGAAAGATATAGTATGGATGGGCTTTTTTGAACCAGCGCTGGCTTTCAAGGTAACAATACCTCGTTTCCGAGGAGGGAAGAAAACACCCGCTGGAAGCTTCATGGAGAACGACGTCCATGGATCTCAACAGCATGTGGGCTTGGGCACAATGACGCTGCCTAACAGTTTACGGGGGCCTTCCAAAACGTTGTGGGAGAGGAGCCAGACGTCGGCGGCTGCATATGTTGCCGTTGGGGCATTTTTAATGACTGTTGGTGGCGTTAAGGGTTTCTTGCTAGGCAGAGCTACATCTCGCTCCAGGTGACAGAAGGTTTAGTTCGTTTGTTATAGTCTCTAACTTTCCGACGTCGTGACGCTGAATGTCGTTTCAAAGCGATACTGGTTAAACATGGTTACTTTTCGGTTCGGATGGTCGGACGTCTTTCCTGGCTAGGCGAACATATTTTGCAATAATAATCAATGTCATATCTTATATCTTGTGCTGAGTTATGCTTATTTCTAAGAAGCAGGCAAAGACATGCTCTGGTATTAGAAGCTGCATCCTGCTCACTATATAGTGGAAACGCTACAAGACTGGAAACCGAGCTCTTTTATTTTATCGTCTATAAAATGCATTCTAACAAGTACGTATAATATCAAACCGGCATTTATTTTACTTCCCTTCCTTTATCCTGAGCGATAGGTCCCACTATCGAGTTCCTCCGTTTTGGCTGGGGATCTGCCCATCCTTTAATCTCTCTAGAGTTTGAGGCTCGGTCAAGCCTCGATTTAACGCAATCGACAGCCTTAGAACCCGGTATCTCCACCATTGGAAGAGTAGACGCTTCCGATCGATGCAGTGTTTTCACCTGCAGCAACCAAAACATATAGAGGGGAAACTTCGACGGGCTGCTGAAGGCGTCCAAGAGGCAAAAATGCGGTAGCAAACGCTTCAACTGACTCCTGAGTCTGCCCTTGACTGGTAAGAAAGTTGGTATAGGTCATTCCTGGGGCAATGGCGTTAACACGGATGCCCCTGGGAGCTAACTGAACGCCAATAGTTCGTGCCATCGAAACAAGAGCGGCCTTGGTGGCAGAATAATCGACGAGATAGGGCACGGCGAGACGTCCGGTGGTAGAAGCAGTGAACATGATGCTGGATCCTCCTGGCATAAGAGGTGCGGCCGCACGAGTCAGGAATAGTGAAGCATAGACGTTTGTCTCAAAGGTACGTCTGATTTGCTCTCCTGAAATTTTCGAAATGTTTGGTTGGTTGGTGGCTACGCCAGCGTTGCTAACGAGAATATCAAGCCCACCCATGGCTGCATGAGCCTGCTGGACAAGGTCGGTGCAGAATGTCTCATTGCGCAGATCTCCTGGGATGCCGTGGAACTTAACCCCGGAATCCTCAACATATCGCTGAACTTGATCTGCATCTGATTGTTCTTCAGGAAGATAGTTGATTGTTACGTCGGCACCCTCTCGTGCATAGGCAATGGCAACGGCTCGCCCGATACCAGAGTCACCGCCAGTGATCAAAGCTTTGCGCCCCTTGAGACGCCCATTCCCGACATACGACTGCTCTCCACTATCGATGGGGGGATTCCAGTTTGACTGAAGACCTGGGAAGGTCTGGTTGGGGAGTATGTAGCGATCTGGGAACCTGGTGCGAGGATCAACGAGGGAAGATGCTAAAATTGTCATTGTTAGTGAGGATAAAGCTTCGGATTTAAGCCTTAGAAATTGAACTCACTGTCAGCCACAACGTTGGTGATGTGAACAAGTCCTATGATGGTAGTACCGAGGTTGAACTTCATTTTGACTTGTAGTTGAAAAGTCTTTGGCTTGGTGACAACGTTTGGGGTGAATTGGACGTGGGTATGGGGATTGCGGCCGTGTGGTTTCGAGATTGTAGGATGGAATGGGAACGAGGTCGGTCTTATAAGAGTTTATTCTTCGCCAGTATCGTGATAAAGTGTGAGATTCTTACGACTTCGTCGCTTCGGCCCCAAGTCTAACTCCGGCAACGTCAACGCGAGGCTCATACCTTAGTTACGGACTTTTACACTGCCTACAGTAGCGTCACCCGAACTGGCGGAAATAATAACCCCATTGCCCAAAATCCGTTTGTGTCTGCTCATGATGGATAAAGATCTATGGTGACGAATCCTTACGGAGCGCGAGCGGATCGTAGGATTGCCTTATTCCGGTCCACCAATCGGAGGTCGAGTAGCCACGTGTGGTTCTCCCACGTATTAATTAAGTCGGCACCCATGTTAATGGCCTACCCCCCTTAATAGCCCACCCTTAACGATTGAAGTATTTATTACAAATGCGAATTTAATAGTATAATTAATTTTTTAAATAAAAAAGGAAGCTATTTAAGTTGCTAGATGAAGTATAGCTCTTTAAAGATATAATTCTTAATTTCCCTAGCTGATATCTCGGTATCTAATTGACCCTTATAATGATCCCTTGTATTAACGATATTGGATATCTTGATAAAGTGTTTATTTGGATCCGGATGAATAGTATACTGTTTCTTCGGCTGCAGGAGGTTATTTGACTTCTTTAGCTGTGTGTTTTCGGTGGTTGAGATAGATAACTGTATTTGCTGTTTATCCAGGCCCTTATAGATCTTATGGAATAGCAATCGAATTATCGGATCTACCTCCTTTTTATATATAAAATCCCGTATTAAGCCGTGAAGCTGTTAACTTCCTTTTGGGGTGGTTATCTTGATCTCTTTCCTTTTTAATCCGGCTACTGGTGTAGTTGGGGGTGTTGAGGGCTGGGTTTGAAAGGTGTATTGAGGTGAAACTATATATGGATTTAATAAGGGAATCGCTATATTAACTGGCTATATTCCAGATGCTTTCCAGCCTGCTAATATATTAGAAGGTGTTAAGGCTGCTTGCCTAGCTAGGTGATAATACTTAAGGAATATTGCCTTCCCGATTGGTGATAAATCCGTCTGTATTTGTTGTTGCAAGAGATAATGATGATAGCTTCCCTTGAGGGGGGAAAAGATAGATAAGTTAAGCGGCTGTAAAACGTATGAGGAATGTGATGGAAGGAATAAAAGCTAGATATAGTTTTTAAAGTATTCCTATATAAATTTAATAGTTTTATAACTCTTGTGGCTGTTAATAATAAGTAAATACTAATAGGGTGGTAAGGGTCTAGTTGATGGGATAAATACCTCTCTTAACTATACTAATATGATTGAATTGGAAGTCTACTCCTTATTAGAAGCTGTAAAATGCTAGTCTTTGAGATAATCTAATTCGTTAGGAAACTACTGCTGTTGAACTATCTTTCCTTTAAATATAATAAGAGGCTTAAGGTACCTATCTGTTATACTTATATATTTAATTATTATGGTCTAATAATATGTGCCGGGCTATATCTGGGCAGCCTAGTTCTTATGAGATAACCTAAGAACTAGGCTATTATCTCTAATTCCTTCTATAATACCGGCTTTATCTATATTCTAATGATGATGAGGAGGGATCTTCTGGATGTTAGGAATACGCTTGAGTATAAAGAACTCCTTTACTTGATTAGCTGTAGCCCTGTTAACCCGAAGGAAATTAATTCTCTTGCCTTGGAGTGTTCTAACCTCCGGGTTATGGTATAAGAATCCCTCTATCTAATGTCTTCTAATAGGGTTAAGGTTACCCTCTTCGTACAGTAGGAATCTAATGATATCCCTGACCTTTGTATGGCTCGGAGGGAAGCCTATTGAGTCTTGAATTAGGATCTATTTCGTTAAACGGGCTTCCTGGACCTTTGAGAGCTGTTGCTGGGTCTCTGCCTCTTATTGCTGTATTTTACGGCCAGCTATACGGTTACGTAGGGATGTCCTAGGGACTCCCTATCGTACCGTGGCTTTCCGCTGCGAATCGCCTGCTTCTATATCGCGGATAGCTAATTGAAGATTAGTTTTAAGATATTCAGATATCGGTGATTCGAATGGTGTTATTTTTATTAAAAGGGATAAAAAATTACGCGAGGAATCGCGGAGTGATGTATAAAGAAAAGAGGGAGGTTGGGATATGTGAGGGTGGGCTATTGAGGGGGGTGGGCTATTGACATGGGTGCTGACTTAACCTATGCTACTCTTTCTAATCACTGTTCTTATATTATGATCCTTAATAATTTCGTAGAAAAAAAAAACAACTTAAAAGAAATAACCGTTTGCTAAGTCGCGGCGCTCCCATATGTGAATAGGTTCATAAGAAACCGCTATGTTTCGCTGGTAGAAAAAAAGGATTTTTTTTCATATCCAAATTGCCTTCATTTTAAGACGAGTCTTTCTATAATATTACATAATAATAACTGCAAGTTTAAGCTTATAAATTACACACACGATTGGATCCAGTAAGCTTAAATCCAAAGGCCAGCTATCCTTATTCTGCGACTCCAAGTGACGAAGCTATCTCAGAGCGCATGGCATAAGAGCTATGCTCTGGCATTTACAATAAGAACTGGTGGCGTGTTTTTCCCAAGCACACCGCATACCTTGAATAGTAGTCAAAAGCTACCGAGAGAAGCTTCTTGGCTTGTCACCGGGGCCACTGTTCCCAAGTACAATGAGGCGGATGGAATTGCGTCTATTTCCTGGATGATAGAACTATAGTACGATGTACAGTTCCTGGAAATGGCTTTTTATTAGTAGGCCTAAAATAAAGACATTAGCTTCACTTTGTACACAGCAATATTAAGGCCAAGCTTCGAGCAAGACTTTCGTCTGTTAATGTACAATTTACTAATTTCAACGGGTTGCTACCTTTTCAACTACAGCTATGCAATAGGTAAACAAGCCGGATGATGAAGAATCCCTGGACCCTCACTCGTCGAAATTTGTTATCTAGACGGACTGATGGCGCTTTGCTACAGGAAGGCAGGTAAAGGTAATGGTATCCTACATTACTGGTACCTTCGAGAGGTTTGACTTTTAGAGTCTCACAAAAATAGCAACAGATTCCACAATATTTGCCTCACTTTGAGCCGGCCTACATGGTGCTCAAGTTATTTGTGACTAGTATCCGAGATTCATCTTCTAATCAAGATAAGTATAACATGAGAGAGGCAACTTACTTGTAAATAACCGACTCTACTACAGGAAGAACCTGGGTAACAGTCTTGTAACACAAGTAAATGGGAACATTCCATTGTCAGGATAAATACATAGCTGAACCAGATATTTTATGGGACCGTTGTAACATTTTATCAATGCATTTCATAAAACTCGTAGGCATTGTATATTATCATGAGACAAGTAGGTGCATCGGGAAAGGAACCATAATAGATGCCTTGCATTTCGATCGCCGAGTCCATCTCCTGCAGAGTAAAGCGCATTCATGTTTTATCCTGCTTCAACGCGTGTCGAGTTGTAGAAGCACGCAATCGAGCCCCGTGGGACATCGCCGTGGAATCACAACAGGGGTATATGGTGATGATTACAAATCCAAGCTTACAAATGCCTGATGAATAGCGTCATCAGCCTTACCCTGAACTGCTCTTTGCGGACTTGGGAGAGGCTCATTTCAAGCACGTATGGGGCGAGTGGACCATCAATGGCCCGACCGAGGGCGAATTAAAGGCCCGAGAAAATAGAGTTATCGAGATATATGGCGACTCCTCCAGAGTGATGTGTTAAATACTCACCTTTCCTTTAGGTTTGGGCCAACAGTTTAACGCTGACCAAGAGACTTTATTACAATTGCGATACAATGGGTTTGAACATTCTTATCACCGGTGCAACTGGCTACATGTTTGTCCATCTAACGCAAAAGAAACAAGTTTCCGCAAGCTGATCAAATAAAAGTGGTGGCTCTGTTCTTTCAGGGTTGCTCTCAAGCGACAAGCCGCGTTTCGAGAGGAGCCAGATTTTCGTGGCCGTCCGCTCTGAGAGACATGTAAAAACATTAGCAGAGCTAGGAGTCAAGGTTGCTTTGATCGACCTCACAGATGAGGCATCTGTCAGCGAAGGCGTCTTAAACAATGACAGTAAGGATTTTACCCCTGGATTATGAATATGGGAGCTAAGTTCATTTAATGCAGTCGATTTTATCATTCACACTGCGAGTGCTCTGGAACCAGTACAGGCCAAGAATCTCATTGTTGCTCTGGGAAAAAGGCACAATGCGACCAAGAAGGATGCCTTCTTCATTCACGTGAGTTTGATGTCCATGGGAAATTCGACGTAAATGTACTGATAATGGCCGGCTAGACTTCTGGGACCTCAGCCTGGTCCTCTGCGTTCGGCTCGACATACGGCCTAGTGAAGGACACCGATCCTCTCTTTGAGAAGGAGAAAGCGATAGCAGACTCATTCCCAGTTCGACAGGTAACGCGGCCAAAACACTGAAAGCAAAGGTTCACGGAGAAGAATTTACTGACTTGATAGACTGATGTTGCTGTTATTGAAGAGGCAGAAAAGGCTGGCGTGACCAGCTTTATCATCCCGCCTCCTATCATTTGTATATAAATGTATTTATCACATGTGCTTAAGGCCATACTAACCCTTCTTCTTAGATGGCCGTGGCGATGGCCCATGGAACAAGATGTCAGCGATGATCCCCGCGACTATCAATGCCGCCATTTCGCGCAAGGTGGTTGAAAAGTTTCCGACCAATGCGGTGAGTGTATCATTCTCAGGCCTGCCACCGGCCCCTTAATTCTTGCTAATCCTGCGGCGATAGCGGACAATGGGCACTCACATATCTGACCTGACTGCGTACTACCTGCGTTTGATTGAGAAGATCCTGGAGGGTGCCGACCTGCCAAGTGGCAAGCAAGGGTATTATTTCCCTATCGCGCATCGGTTCAGCTGGTGGGATGTTTCGGATAGGATAGCTAAGGCCCTTGAGGCTCGAGGTCTTGTGAAGGATGGCGAGGTGCGGGAATGGCCAAGTTACGATGCTGCGGCAGAAGGGCTTTCCCTTCCTGCTGCAGTGATACCCAAACTTTACGTCGCTGAGTACATTCTTACCCTTCAATATTGCCTTTATGATCTTGGTTTTCTGACGTATAATTGCAGTAACGAAGTCATTGGTGAGAATAAAAGTCTGATTGGTTGGGTACCAGAATGGGACGAGGATAGGTTCTTGGCGCAGATGGATGACGAAATCAAGAATTTCTTGGACCTGGGGATAGAAAAGGTTGGTCTACTTGCTGCTGTCAGCCAGGGATTGGGCAAAAGGTAGGGGTCCCTTGGCTATATCTCCAGGCCAAGAACCGGCTGTATCAGGTCGTTCTATTCGATATACATTTGTCAAATTCCATATTATTTATATCACCAAGTGTCGGACTAGAGTCACTGAAGGAAAGAAAGCCTTAATGCGTGGGGAGGACATATCGTAATACGTGAAGAATTTGGGATGAATGTGTCCAGTTGGATGAAGTCGCTGGATGGAAATGGTATAATTCTTCTATCCAGCTTAGCTGCGGTGTCCTGAGAGTTATTTCTTACGCTACTTTGTATTCACCCTGCAATCGCCGCTTGGCTGAACCCCATGGAGCTCCGCAAAAGGGTCATCGCAGGGATCGGTAATACGATTGTGTTCAATTGTTCCCTGGATCTCAACTGCAAAGTCCTTCCCATACATTTCCTCAATAAAGGCAAACATCATGTCTAAACTGGAAGTTACCTAGGATAAATTAGTATCGGAATCACGGGGAATCCTGTATTATGGAGGTTGAACTTACACCGGAAGAGGTCCAAATATTTCCGTCTACAGCCCATCTAGCTGGTGACACCCAGTTCACATTGGGACCCATGGCAGTAATAGTTGACCAAGCCTTCTTATTGGTAGTGGCTCTTTTCCCATCCAGAACTCCAGCTCTTGCAGCAATGCCTGCGCCAGTACACGTAGAAAGGAGATATTTGACACTCGGGTATGTCTCGCGCACGAAGTCGATGACTCGTGAGACATTTCCAAACGTTGCTCCTGCTCCTCCAGGGATGAGCAGCACGTCGATGTCTTTTGGCGGACTGTCATATGTGTGGGTGGGATTCAGAGAGAACCACATGGATGAGTTCATGACATTGAGGGAGTCCAAGGCGGGCGCAACCCAAACTGGCTCGTAGGTGGGCGCGATCAGACTTAGGTTGAGTTGTTTGCTGAAGGCAAGGTAGAACAAAGGATTCAGGGGCCCAGTCACATCAATCGAGTCAAATGAGTGAAAAAGGGCAACCGCAAAGTTCTTTGGTGCGGTTTCTTCTTCTTAGTTAGTACTCGTCTTCTGGGCTGTTATGGCCTGTATACTCACCATTTGAAGCCGCTGTGGCAGAGACCGCCCAGAAGACTAGTTGTAGGAGGGTGCTTGACTTCATAATGCCTAGCCAGGTTGACGATTAGCCCGTGGAGTGCAACGAATATGGCATGTCTTTAAGACAATAAAAAACCAAAACATATTTGATCCAGAGAATCTTCCTACTTATAACCCAGACGTGACACCGTATGTGACAAACTTGGCCAATGAAGTTAGCGGACGCGTAGAATAATTCCGCTAGGTATTTGAGCATGTTTCACAGGGATCCAAGCAGCGGCTATCCTGAGGGGAACATAAAACCCTGCCTAAGGAGTAAATGAGGCGAGAGCGTGCCTTTGGAAGGCTCACCCTTGAATCGCTTTAAGCTCTTCATGATTGTATCTTCGATTTTATCCCTTTTCCTCGAAGACATCCACATGTAGCCAAATGCTTCAGTTGTTTAATCCAATTCACCTCCATAGCTCGTTCAGATAACCCTCGGACAGCACGGAGCCAGGGCTTGGTTTGGCTTCCCCGAAAATGGTCTAGGGCTTACACTGTGAGCATTTTACTTGCATGCTCGGCTGGAATTGCTTATTCGAGCAGATACTTCTTTCCACCAATACTCGATATCGTTTCCATCTTTTCGAAATTATGGCCTAATGGTAAATGTGAAGTAAATTGACGATAAGTAAAATCCTATTCTATGTCATAGCCTGTTTACGCCGCACGCCCCTACTCTTGTTGAAGACCTGCTATCTTGTAAGCTTAATCCATTAGCTCCTTGCTTATTCCCTGCCACTCGACTGTGGGTTATTAGAGGCTGGTCATCTTATGATACATTGCTGCTCTCCTAGGAACTTTGGAATGCAAATAATTAGGGGGCTTGGAGGTAGATGATGTGGGCGAGAGTTTGCTCTTTGGATCGTTCTACAAGCTTAGAACAACACAAGCTTCTATGTCTTCCTTGCGCTTAATGTATTGGCATTTTCTCCCATAGTGGAAGGTGGGAAGGAAGAGTGAAAGAAACCAGGGTGATTGACGGGTCAAGTTGGCGAGGAAGTATGACGGATTGTACAAACCTATCTCTGGGTACGCGCATGCATGATTTCTACATGGAGTTGAACTCTCATTCTCTCCCCCAACTCATGGAAAGCGAACCCTATTTACATAATAAATGAAATGATAATATTTTCAGTACCGTTTAATGTAGGAATCACGGACGAGGAAGATGTCTTCAGCTCCCAATTGTAGCAAGTTCGTACATCAGCGTCCGGGGCTTAAATCCGTGTCATAGTCTCACAGGTCAGTCACCTTCCTAAGTAGATCGATTGAAATGCAACTGTAGGGATAACTCGTATTTCTACCAATAAACCGTGATCTTTCGTTTTCATTTATCTTCAAACGTCGCGGGGGATCGACTCCCGAAACGCCTTTGCCGATAATATATAGTGTGCAACTGCCGACGCAAATGTACATTTGTATACTAACCTCTTCTATTAGGAATCGGCAAGTTTCTCAGTCACACTGCTCTGTCTCACAATGCAGATTTATTCTCTTCTTTTCTTCAGTAGGTTAGCCCTGGCTACCACAGAGATCAAGAGATCCACGCCCGCAGATCTCGTGCTTCATCGAGATGCTACTCGAGCCCAGCTCATCGAGCACAAGTACATTGTCATCCTCAAGTCATCGGCGGACCCTTTGGAAATCTCTACCAATTATGACGCCACCAGTGTATACAATACAACTCTCAATGGATTCGCTGCTTTCCTCAACGATGATGAATTAGAGGCACTGCGATGGGAGCCAAATGTGAGAAATTTTGCTTCATAATATATTGTGTTAGCGAACTAAATAGACTCTATTCATACAGGTCCAATATGTGCAACAGGTGCAAACCGCCAACATAAGCTCTGTGATGTGATCACACAGGAAAATGCCGGTTGGGGTCTTTCGAGGATTTCAAATAGCACAGTAGGAAGTACTTCGTACAGCTACGACGAATCGGCCGGAGAAGGAACCTGCATCTACATTCTTGACACGGGAATATCTGTGAACAATCCAGAATTCGAGGGCCGAGCAACCTTTGTCAAAGAATTACCAGGCGATGGCGTTTCCGATGACACTGTTGGCCATGGCACCAGCGTTGCAGCCTGTGGTGCATCGAAGACGTACGGGACATCCAAGAAGGCCAAACTACTTGCTGTCAAGGTGGTTGGTGGTAACGGAGAGATTGGGGACAGCTCAACCGTTCTTGCAGGAATGGATTATATTGGCCAAGAATACATCTCGAGACAAGAAGAGTGTCCCGCTGGGATTCTGGTCAACATGTCTGTCGGCACTCAACCTCCAATGCAGTCTATGAACGACGCAGCACGTGCCCTCGTTGAGGCGGGATTAATTGTCGGTGTAGCCGCGGGAAACTTCAATGAAGATTCTTCCAACCGATCTCCAGGAGCCGAACCTCTCGTTTGCACCGTTGGGGCCACTGATAGTTCTAATAACCGCGCCGACTTTTCCAATTTTGGTGAGTTGATGGATATCTACGCGCCAGGGAAGTATGTCGACACTATCGACAGAATTGGTGCTCCTGTAAGTTAGACGCTTATTGGGCATCGGAAGCGCAGAAACGCGTCGAGGGAAGAAGTCGCTGGCTATAGGGTTTGCCAGATATCATCCAGCGGGACCTCACTCGCTTCTCCATATGTTGTCGGACTGGCCGCCAACCTCATGGCACTGGGGGGTTATCCAGGACCTATCTCTATGTGTCAGCGCTTGCAGGCACTCGGTGTTGAAGACATTCTTGGAAATATGCCAAATGGTACCGTCAACATTCTAGCCAACAACATGGCTGCGACCAACTAATGATATCCACGCGGCCTTGCAAGTTAGGTGTGAGAGACACTATTACGATCATAGTATGTTATACAGAATAAAGATTGTGCTTTCAATTCATGCCAAGTAATTGTAAAATCGCGTCTCCTGCTCCAAAGCAATCTTTATGTATAAAATTTGGATCAAAAACAACGCTACTCCGAGGATCTAGGTTCACTCATAGGGTATACGAGGCCTTTCGTGGAGTATTTAGACGATCTTGATTACGAAATGCAGGCATATGAGTCAACTGATCTATCAGTGGGATAGTTGGATGGACAAGCTGACACAACGTGGTGAGACCAAATGATGTTCCATGACACGGCGAATGAAATGGGGAGCCTTTAGACAAAGATTGATTTTTTTGTTCATCTAATGAAGATGAAGATTATACATATCTATTTTAGTTTGGGGACTGTGGAATCCTTGTAGTTCCTATTATTCCAAACTCATCCCTTCCTGTGGTTAAGAAATAGACACGGTGTATCATGAATGTGAGATATCCTTATCCAATGAAACTAAGCTATGAGTGGTATTAATTCTCGCAAGTATTACTATCTAATGATCCTATTTGGAATTTGATTTCATATGTACTAATTAAACAACATTTTCCCCCTCTGAATGTTGACCACGGCCGGCCATATCGGGTGACAAGAAGCGGAAACGATCAAGTGGATATCAAATTCACAATCGCGCGTATAGAATTCATTTTACTACTATTTCGGTCGAAGTTAACATGGTTTGTTAACCTTTTTATAAATAAATGTATATTCTTTCGCTTAACTTCCTTGTCATGACCCCATTGGTGGCGAAACCCTTGGCAAAGGAATCCTACCATGTAACTTGAGTGGTATTGGAAGGCAGTGTTCTGCCCACCCCGGTATCTAGTATCAGCTGCTCATCCTATACGCTTTCTAGATTCATAGAGACTAAATATCTGCTACTACTATTTGGGGAAAAGAAAAATCCTGTGTCCCGGGTGTGCTAACAGCATGAATTGTCGCATGCAGAATATTGGCTGATAGGAAGACTAGCATCAGATAAACGAGACAACGTGTTAAGGTTCGCCTTTGATAGGGGGATCCGGATTTTATTCCTAGCTGCAAATAGCTGACGGATTCATCTGCAGTGATCGCATGATAAGATGATTGCCCTTGTTCTGTGCCGTCTTTGTGCATTCAGAGGTAAGATAAATGGAACTTTGGATATGTCCACATTCAGCCTTAATCTATCCGACACACGCCGCATTCTACATTCGACGCTTTACTCCAAGGTTGAAAACGCAGGGAAACTGAAGCTGGGAAGCTAAAAATGTTTATGGCACGCCTATGTTGTACGTGTCTATTGGCGTACACAAGGAATTGGCATGTTTATAATGGAAATGCCACCATGTACAGTCAGCTTAATCTCAAACGGAGCAGATGAGGGCTGCATCTACTTGTGATCGGCGATTGACAGACCCGGTATCATTATGCAGTAAGAGTAAGAGCGCATTTGGGATTTTGTATGCAGCTGCAACTTATCCCCGGAAAGGAGCACCCCGCTTCCGCACAGTTTAGATTAATCCGTTCTGTGCATAGGAATCAATAGCTGGTGTTTCTCAGATAGGGAAGATTTGCCATATACGCTTGACCCATAAGGCCGACGGCATATAGTGTGTGATAATTATAGAACCATGTATGGTACACAAAGACGAGAGTAAAAAGTGTATAAAGTCCTAGCGCCGTCAAAAGATTGTCTCCCAAAAAATCCAATCAAATACAGTCTCTCCAATTTATCTTTTCCTTGTTTCTTTCATTCCATACACTTTCATACATCTAGAGTTATTCATTTTCCAATTATACATTCAAAATGGTTGCTATCACTCAACTTCTGTTCACCGGCTTGTCCGCTCTTTTGATGGTTCGGAACGTGGGTGCTTCCTACCTCGATGATTACGACGGCTTGGCTCTGCGAGACATCTCCGACAGCTACCCAGACGAAGTCTTCTACGAAAAACGCCACACAGGAAAACTCCCTAAACCCATTCTCAAGGCTGGGCGAGCTGCCCTCAAGGTCGGCCACAAGCTTCCACGACCCATCAAGAAGCAAATCAAGAACGCTGCCGATGGCGCAATCAACGGAGCCGTAAAGGCTTCATTCGCGCTGTCGAAGAAGAAGAATCAGATCAAGAAAAAGTTCAAAGGCAAGCGCGATGCTGAGGAGCTCTCCAGCCTGATCACCCGCGAGATCATGAACAATCCGGAGATTGAGCATATCTTGACCAGGCGGGCGACAGGAAAACTGCCCAAACCAATCATCAAGGCTGGGCGAGCTGCTCTCAAGGTCGGCCACAAGCTTCCCAAGCCCGTAAAGAAGCATGCCAAGGCCGCTGCCAATGGTATAATCAACAAAGCTGTGAAGGGTTCGATGGCGTTGTCGAAGAAGAAGACTCAGATTAAGAAGAAGCTCGGTGGCAAGCGTGATCTTGGAGAGGATTATGACTTTGAGGTCCGTGACTATGATGACGAGATTTCGTGGGAGTAAATACTCGCTCTGTCAGGTTTATCAGGGATTTAGCCCCAGGATGACTCCGCGGGTTGAGCATTTTGTGTATACCTCTAGATTCTTCACCATGTATCAACTTTCATTCTTGATTTTTTTCTCCCTTTTATTTAGTTAGTTTTGGAAAAGACAAATGTGAATACTCTTGAATTTCAGCTCGAAGTATTATTGTTACCTACCAGTTCTCCTAGTGATGATGAAGGTGAGCTGATAAATGATGCTTGCAACATCCCTGCTAGTCCTGACTGCATGTTGTTCTCCGAGACTCACGTAACTATCAGTTTCCGAAACTCACGTCTTACTCCGAAACTCCAGCGTGTGATTTCCACTGACACCCAACGTGGGGTATTTGAGGATTGTTGGTATAAATAGAGCCGCCAAAGGCGTACACTTCGTTTGATAATACCCGGAAAAAGCAACTACATCGTCGAGAAAAAATGTCTGCCGTAGACAATCGAACAGCATCTTGCCTTTGCCGAAGCATCTCCGTTACTTTGGCAGGTGAGCCGTCGCTCAAGGTCCTCTGCCACTGCGACTCATGCAAGAAAGCGTCGGGAGTAGTGTTTCAAGCAAACACATTCTGGCCCAAGGAGGTAAGATAACCCTCTGCAGCATGAGAAAGAGTTTTTTTCTAACAAAACTTCAAGAATGTTACGGTATCGGACCCGGAAGGTATGCTGCAAGAATATAGAGACACCTCTCCTGACTCTGGGAGATACGTGCTGCGCTCATTTTGTCGCAATTGCGGCTCATTTATAATGATCACGAACCCTACACATCCTGATATATCGAAAATGGTCATCGTGCCCATCGGCATTATCAATGGAGAAAAAGAATCCATGATCCCGGATCATGAGTTTTTCGTCAAACAAAAGCTGGGATGGTTGGAGTCTCGGGACGGTGTGCTTGAGTATCAAGGGATGGAATAAGACCATGACAATGTCGTTCGTGTCTAGGCCATGAACTAAATTTTGTAAAAGAAAAGAGCAATTGTTTCTATTTTGAGAGACAAATAACATGAAGTACCCTAATGGTCCAGATGATACCTTGATGCAAACTTCTCAATCTCGTCTAGATCCCAGATCTGGATCTGATGAAGTTCACGAGATCCCTTCCAGGACGAAACAGCGAGTCTCCCATATCCCGTTGTGACATTGGCAATCAAACCGACTGGTTTCTTTAGATCGGTAAGGTAGGTCTTGTTGCCCCAATCCCACAGTTTAATCCGGCCATCCGTGGTTCTAATCGTAACTACAAACCGCCTTACTTTGACAAGTCCACGCATGGGAGCATAATGTGCCGTGAAGGTCTCAAGATGGGTGCCGTCTTGTTCCCAGACTCGAACACATCCATCGAGCCCAGAGGTGATCATGCGGCCATCAAAGTTCGTGTACAGTTGTGTCTGTCTGGCCTGTGCTTGACGTTCTGCCACCAGAGTTCTGCATAAAAGTTAACGGCTAAATTTATAGTGCCGTGCTTCTTGGAGCGTTACTCACCCAGTTCTCCAGCCCCAGATAAAGACATGCCCACTGCCACCACACCCAGCTCGAAGCGCATTGTCAGGGCTGAATGTCAAGATGGAGATGTAGTCTGTATGATTGAAAACGCGAACACACTCCCCCGATGCAAGATCCCATATTCTCACTGTGTTGTCAGCGGCTCCGGAGAACAGGAACCCATCACGGAGTTCTAATGTTCGAATGTGGTCAGTGTGGCCTTTGAGAATGTGAGAGGGTCCATTCTGGCTTCGATCCCATAACATGATGTCATATTCGGCAGACGTCGAAGCGTATTTGGAGTGGCTGTTGACGAATTTAACAAGCCCTGTTGATGTCGTGAGCCCTGTAAAAGTACGTATCAGAGCTCTAAGTGACAACGTCAGCGTGTTTGCTACCGGCATAGGGAGGTTGGCCACACGCACCCATCTTCTAGATTCCATAGTCCAAACTTGCTCGAGCCATCGTCCAATTTCCCAGAGGTAAGCAGCAGGTTGGATTCGGAATGACAATCAGCGTGTACGACCGTTCCGGTCTCTAGCACAGCGTGATGGTTTGCACAGATTTGACATCTGTTCTCGCGGCATGTCTGGCACTGCATACTGTGCACAAGGCAATTCTTTTTTGCGGCAATCATGAACTTGCCGGTAAGCATGAACCCATGGACCATTGAATTGGGTCCGACATCAAGAAGAAACGTGGTGGTAGCCTGCATTTTGGATTTCGAGGTTGAAGATGCGATGGGACTGTAGGTGCGGAGTTTAATCGAATCATATTTCCGGTCAAGATGTTCATATGGCTACTCTTAAAGGGGGGTAGCTCCTATTGTTTCTGCCTGTCATGCATGGGGAGGTCAGCGAGGAATCAACACGCCTTCGCTGACACCCCACCTGCAACATAGCCAATACACAGCGCACCCTGGCCATTGTTGGTTGTTTTCTAGAGCATGGACCTGAATGACTTACAATTATAGATTAACTCGAACGGTTCCATATCTTTGTTGTCCTGGTAAGCGGCAGAACCGTAAGCGTGTTGTGCTTGTAGTAAGAGTATACTGGGACCTTGTAGTAAACTTTTTGAAGATAAGGTGTGACCCTGATCAAATAGCAACACGTTGATAATTAGGTGAACCGACTAGTTTCTTTTGCCTTGCCACGTTCATCTCAATAACTAAACCGGCCAGGCAAGACGGAGAAGGGAGCCGATTAGAATACTGGCAGGCAGTCGAACATAAATATTTGCATTTTATCCGTGCGTCCTGACGTCTCTAATGTTTACCTTTTGTTTACCTTTTATCGCGTAATCAAATTCAGGCGATAGAGCCTAAAAACCTAAATGCATGTTGACGTATCACATATCTGCACTTGTAGTCCACGCATGATGTTTCAGCCACCTACCACTTGAATGACCTGCTAAGGCATCCTCAATTCATCTGCTTTCTGCTCTAGGGCTCGGAGACGCAATTATCCCTTGAAATGCAGTGTGGCGTGTCACTTGGATTCAGATAGCCAACAGCCTTTGCGTATAATGCACATCAACCAACAGAGAATTGCTGAGTCTTTAGATTGGGCACACATCGAGGCAGCCTGCAGGATTCTCCACCTTTTCTCCACTTTCGGGTGCTGGAAAGCGACTGCCTTGCGAGCGCCTTCGTCAGCTCAGCCAACCTTTCGATTCAACCACTTTTCGTTGCTCGTATCCTATCCATTTCATCGGGCTTCCTAGCGGCATCTGCTGGCGAAAAGGCTGCCCAGGCTTGACCCAGCTGGTGAGCGGCGAAGCCATCAGACAGAGCATATCTCGGCGCTCGATCTGGACCCTCGCCATGGGGTACAGGCAATTCGTAGCTGACCTGAGGGCAGCGAAGGAGGCCAACATCAACGATGGCGTCAGGGAAATTCGCACGGGAGAGTCTGAAGGAAGTGTGTCCTTCAATTATACACATCAGAAGCTCGTGTCTCCTTTGGAGATCCAAGTCTTGGACCAGAGTAACACCTCCAGTCTCGTCCTATCTGCGATACACCCCAGAATATATATCAATTAACACATCGTGCGACAGACATCGACGAATATCCAGAAGGATCCTCGTTCATCCTCTTCACTTCCTCCGATTGTACAGGGGACAGCGTCGTCTCATTTCTCAGCCGCCTGGCACCCAAGCTCACAGGAAAGTCCGTGCAGGAGGTGATAGCGAGCATCGCGCATCATCTCACTGTTTTTATTGAGAATCCAGTCGACTCAAAGAACGAACCCTCCGATGACGTTTTAATGACGGACCACTCCTCGCAGTCTGACACGTGGGACGAAGATGATGAGGACGAGGATTACGAGCACCAAGATGACGACGCCTTTGGGCTATCAGCAGGACTGCCACCAACTCGCCAGGAGCTTGAGATAATCATTCCCCCATGGCAGGACAAAACTGAGAGGCAACGGCATGATTTGGCACTAGCCATTGACGCTGGCATTTCTGTCGCCGTCGTGGGCGATAGATCCGGACAACTGGGTGAGATTATCGCTATGTCCATTAACGTCTCTCGCCTGGGCTTGACTGATGACATCCATTCCATCTGGGGTCTACGGAGCTCCGATCATATCATGCTTTTACTGCAATTTCCCGCTTGCTATCCTTCCCTCGCCGACTTTTTGACCCTCCAATCCCACCAGGCGGTCTATCGAGCACGACTCGGCAAATGTGCTTCAATCAAACCATCCCTTTCCTCGGCACGAGCTGCTCTGTCGGCCAGCCAGTATAGCCATGGGGACGAGACAGATGATCCGAGCCAGATGCTAGAAGGAGAGATTCAACCGTCGGATGCGGATCATCGAGTCGAGGATGATAAGTTCACCCCCTTGCATCTCTTTAACTCCATCACTACTCTGTTGAACCAAGAGTTCCCGGCCTTGTTGCGCACAAGGAGAGAACATGGTCTTTCCTGGGACAGCGCACAAGAGCTTCTGCTTCGCCGTACCGAAGGCGCCCACGTTCGGGATGCCAACTATTTTGGGTCCGACGCCCAGCACATCGCCGATGCCCTCGAGAAGGACGAAAAGCAGCAACAGATGCCGAATCTTCCGCACATTTTAGCTCAGGATCACGCTTTAGAGGATGAGGCGGCCTTCAGTATCCCCCTCTCTATGATGTTATTTTCCCTTCGCCGCCTGATCCAGAGCGGCAAGTATTGCGCCAGCTGCCACCAGCGAGTGACGGATGGATTCGAGGGCATGAAGCCGTACGTTTGCTCTCGGCCTCTGTGCGTGGATCAGTACTTCTCCTCCGGTATGGCGCCCGGCATTGAGCACGATATCATCAATTCGCCGGTTGTAGTGGATCTTCTCATCAGCTTCTTCTTTTCAGCCGTCAGCACCTCGAGGATTCGTGAAGTCCCCAAGGGTTTGGGACTCCTTACGCTGTATTCTGAGAATTTGATCAGTTATCACGAGGATCTCCACGCAACAGCGTACTTTGCCGATAGAAGGGTTCAAGTGAAAACCGGTGGTACCCAGCTCAGGGTTGGTGAACGGGTTTTTCTGATGGACGCATCATCTGAAACGGACCCATTTTCGGACGTTCAATCTTACCGTCAGTGGATTCTTATTTACGCTACACTATCCTCGTAGCTCATTTACTAACACTTATCACAGGTCTATCCAGATGCCTCTGCCGCGTCACGGCTCTTGATCTTGAGGGGTTCAACTTTGAGATATGTGCTTTCTGGAAGAGTTCGAGTGCTATGCCGGAACACCCCAAAACCCACCAGTCACTCTCCTTTACAACGACATATCTGGACGACGCTAGAAGCAAAAGAGATGGGAGTACCTACGTACGGGTCCTTCGTTATCATCATTTATTAGACGACCTCGAAACATCCAGTTGCTACTCATCCCTCACCGTTATGGCCTGCGGCATCCCCCCAGTCTCCGAGATGCGAGAGTTTCTTCTCGCAAAACCAGGACGACGCCTCTCCTCATGGGAGAAATTGGATCACCAGACCTACAAGCTCCTCCACTGGATCATTGTGTCAAACCAGTCGCTAATAATACAAGACAGTCCTGGACCAGGTCAATCTGCTGACGAAGAAGCCCCTTCAACGCGGCTAGTGGGAATGCCAGAAAATTGGATGCAGTTCCGCTTTCTCCAGGGCTCGCCTGAAAAGGAGCTCACCTTCCAGCAAGAAATTAAATCCTCGTTTGAGGAGCAGCTGGCGCGCCGTGAGAAACCGTTTCCCACTATCTTTGGGTGGCACGGTAGCCACGTTGGCAACTGGCACAGCATAATCCGAACGACCCTCGATCATATCAAGATAGAACATGGGCGATCGTTTGGTAACGGTGTATATCTCAGCAAGGACCTCAGCACAAGTGCTTCATATTCCGGTCTCAACGTTACCATGGTCACTTCTCCCGATTTGGTCAACCCACTACCGGTGAGTTTCGCAACAAAATTGAGTGTTTTATTAACAGTTCCTGACCACTCTATCTCGAATTACAGTATTTTACCTGGCCGCATTCCGTGCTACAGGTTGGTTCAGCAGTGGGATGCTGCGAAATCATCAACCAACCCGGCCAATTCGTCACTGCTGAGCCCTACTATGTCGTCAACAATATCGACTGGATCCAGTGCCGCTATCTCTTCGTCCATATCAATGTGAACACCCTGGCTGAGTCTGGTCTGCCTTTCCTTCAGCAGACAACTCGAGGCAGCCTCGGGAAGCTCAGACAGGATCCTGCGCGGCAGCTTTTGGGGCCCTCATCAAAACCCATAGACATGCCACGTTCAGCAGTTCCGATTGAGCGATTTAGAATGTTCCCATATCTTGCGCCTAAATGGATCCTTGCTGGGGAGAACAAGAGCGAAGAGTGGGATGTCACTGGAAGTTCCAAAGGAGTGGACGTCGACGGCATTTTAGGCTAGGCAAGGCAATGATACAAATGAAATGACGTTATGACTTACTTTGAATACAACATATAAAAGATCATGTGCCATCAACTCCTAAACATTTTTAAGCCAACTATAGGTATTGTAATGAGGGCACAAAAATTAGGTTGGGTCAAATTTGGGGTTTCTACAAGGGCATAACGATTATCGTGTGGCTGGACCAGAGTGAATTATATCAGGATCTGTTGTGACCCCTTTTGGTATCGAAAGTTGCATCATTGACAAAAGTCCATTCCTTCTGCAGGTTTATAATTAATGACATACCATGAAACCTTTCGCGCAACGTCGCCCCTTGACTTCTTACCAATCCTACAAGAAATAAGCCACTTAAGCCTAATAGGTTTCCCATAGAATATATTAAAACACATCTCAAGCCTCCGGGTCTAGCCTGGACATTCTTATAGACTAAATAGTGGGCATGGACGCATCTTAATTGCTGGAAACGGCGTCTGAGCTATGGGTAATAGAGAAACTGCGAGAGCGAGGCCCAGGCTTCATGTCTTGGCATGTAGGGTAATATGCAATTTTGCGGCGCTGCTGGCTCCTGCTTTTTGCAGACATGCTTTGAAACACTTCTAAAGAAGGGCGTATGCAACTATACGCCCGGGGAGGAAATGGCCGAGCCAGGGGGAAGTAAGAAGCCTAACTCTCTATTCCCTTCAATCATAACTCACAAATCTCACGATTCATCTATTGAATCCTTCCTAGGCTGGTATTTCGATAGTAGCCTACAAAAACCATTTCGTATATGATGACGCCAAGTTCCAATCACACTCGCTATGGGATATAAAAATAAATCAAAGGATCCCCATCACATCTCCCCTAGTGCGTCTATGGAAACCTTAAAATCTTCCCCAGTTCTAACCGCCCCTTTACGGAGCCTCATATCTTGTAGGCGTGGGTAGTTCGTTCAACTGCGGGGTGTTCTGATGTTGAACGTAGTGTGGTGGTGCTTGCGAATGTGCATCCGAGTTGCCAGCCCCAAACTCTCCAAGCTCGGGAAGAGGTTCGGACTTTTTCATCGGGGTTTCTGGAGCAGCGGCGAGCTTCTTGGCCTGAAAATTTCTCCAGAGAAAGAAAGCACATGCAGCGATGATCGCGATTCCAGCTAAGGTTGATCCTACAGCTATTCCCGCGACCGCACCCGTAGACAATCCGGACTTTTGGCCTTGTGATGCGTCGTCGTTCGTAGCGGACTCACTCGAAGCATCGGAGCTGGCAGCAGCACTGGTTGATGAGGCTGCTGTCAACAATGATGATGATGTTGTCGTTGTCGTTGTCGCTCCCGTGGCTCGTGAGACATTGAAATAGTGAGATTCGGCCGTCACTTTCGTAGAATTTGCTAAGGCATCGTACATTGCGAGCCAGAACACGGAGTCTTCGCCAGTAGGAGGGGTGGCACCTCCAAGAACGGCCGTCCATTCATAGCTCATCCTCGTAGAGTTCTCTGCCTCGCTGTCAGTTTCCGCTTCGATCTCGCTCTTTTCCCCGCGTGGAAAAGTTTTAGGTTTCAGGTCCTTCACATACGAAGCATAGGCTCATTGAAATACGTTACTCCGTCAGTAGCTGAGGATGGTAAAGGGAATCTTTGCCAGATCACCACATCGACATAGGCAAGGTCCGTATCCCAGAGGAACTCGACTCGTTCACCCTCCTTGTAAGTAGGATTGTCGCGGAAATCGCCCTTAATGCCGCCAGATGGAGGTCGGTTGAAGGTATTGGCCGATATTGCTGTTCCAGAGAGCCCAAGAAGGGACATAAGGAAGATGACCGAACGCATCATTACTACTGCTGGGTGCTGGTGGTGAAGGAAAGTCTGCACAGGTGGTGGAGGCTTAGATGCGACGTCTTACCTCGGTGAATGGAAGACATAGGAAGGAGAAGCAGTGGGAAGCAGATACGGAAAAGCGATTGATGAAGGGAGGTGTGTCCCCAAGTGCCGCAGCGGCAGGCCTTTTCTTAGCTCAACCCCAGCCTCTATCGGTTCAGCAACAATTACACCATCCTTCAGCAATTAATGTAACACTTAAGCTCAAGAAGAGCAAGGCCAAACACAACCCTGTTGGTGACAAGATAGACGATCCTCCGTACACCAATACGAAAGGGGCAATGGCCGCCCTTCAGATCCATGTCAAGATGCTGTGACAGAGTCGCTAGTTGGGATAATCCTAGTGTGTGTTCACTTTCACTTTCGCTTTTGAGTAATAACTCATTACTTGGCGCATCTGAGTATTACTATCTTACTGTCCACGGTTGCGTTTACATGCGCATTCCTTCGTCGCGCCGGCTCTATTGCCTGTCTCGACTTATCCGTGTCATGTCGGTTGATTTAGCACGAAGAAGCTCAGTGAATACTGAATTGCCCCATTGTTTGCATATATCTGCCTCGAGCAACTTTCTTTTCGTCTTTGCGCGACAAGAAGGCCAATTTCTTATATGTAGACATATCACCTGTTATGTCGAAAGTTAGGTAATTGATTTCGTTGACATCAAAACAAAGAACTAGACTTGATTCTCTTTGTAAAGAATGCCTGGTGGGAGCGGTATTGCCAGGGATGTTTTGATATCATTTCTACGTACCATTCATATAAAAGAGGCCTGTCAAGATTTGCATGTACTTACGCCAGTCTTCATCAACCCGCTTACACGGCCATCCAGTAAGCCCTAACGCTCAAAAATTACCCAACGCGATTATGAACTGCCAATATTTACGATACAATATCCAAGTAATTCACGGGTTTATATTGAGCTGCCATTAGGAAGCCATATTCCGAATAGGGGGCGTTTACAAAATAGAATAAGACCAGTGCCTACCCTAAGCGTCAATAATATCATTCAGTCTGGGTAGCCAGAGGTTCGTATTCTTGAAGCTAGAGCTATCCATTCATCAACTTGCAGTCAGAGTGCATAAAGTAAATCCAGCCCATTCTATTTGTCATTGGAACCATGAATGGAGCTGAGCCCATGCATTTAAGCAGATTTACACTAGCCCTTCACCAAGGCCTGAGACCGCACAACCCATTCACACGAAGCGTTAAGGCAACGATGAGTTCTTCATCCGCTCAAGCTCCTTCATCATAATCGTCCACAACCCCCCCTCGCGGCCCTGTCGATGTATGAGTCGCCGCATATGTAGCCATTTCCATATAGCCTCGAGGTCCTGCTTGGCACGGCTTTCACACCACCACAGGCCATACCTCAGCATAATAGCTAGCCAGTAGCCAAAGAGCCACAGTGCCCGCTCATCTCGTTGATAGACAAGAGAATGAAAATCCCCTTGCAACTTTCCAAGAAACAACAAGTTCCGGAATAAATTGTACCTGTTGGGCTCAAGGTGTCCCACGGTTGCGAGAATGGTGGCTGGGGCGCGATATGCGTCACCTAGACCGTTGCACTCGCAACCTCTGGTTGAGGATACCAGTCCAAAAAACTCTATCCAATGACCAGGGACACCTTCCAGGCTCTCGATGAGATGAGCGAATGTCCAACGATCTGTGTATTTGCCAGTGAAGATCATGCTAGTGAATTTGGCACCCTCTGTGAAGTATTCATTCATAGATAGCATGAGCGGACGAAGACCGGTTTGTAGTACTAGCCAGTTCAACCGGTCCTCCCGTGGACTGAATAGCCAAGAAGACTCAGCATCCATGATCTGTTGGGCAGGAAGTGTTTCAGACTCATGGTGTGCAAATGTCAGCAGATTGAGAAACGTGGCGCTTATGAACAAAGAGTTTACGCCTTTCTGATCCGGTACACGCTTAAGTGCTTGAAGGTGCTCTCTATATTTCTCGAGGGCCAGGGACCTGTGAAACAATTCGGCAATGCAATGCGCACGATGAGCTGGGACTCGCTGACGGATGTGAGTGGCTGTCAAGGCCAGCATAACGGCACGCACAGTCGGGTCAGATTTGAAAAGGTCCTTGGTTTCTGCACGGCAGTCGATGTTCGTGACATTTGTCCAGTTTTGCAAAAGGTATTGAATGAGATGTACAGTCGGAGTGCCATCGGGCGAGCTTGATGCTGGGAAAGGTATCAAGGTAATGGCACTCAAGTACGACAGCGAGAGTTGTTGGGTCCGCTTCGCGACGCTTTTATTTCTGTCTTCGTGTCCCCCATATTCACACAGTCTCCCGTTCCTGGAGCACCTGGAGCAAACAGGCTTCAGCTCGTCACACTGTTGCGCTGAGTTAGCAAAATTCCTATAGCTGAGCCCTATTTGGCTGTAGGTATTAACGGAACCTTGGTACTAACCTTGACTTTTTTCTTCCTACAGCACAAGCAGCCGGATGTAACCTTTTGATGGAACCTGCGCTTCTTCACGGAGTGTAGTTCCGCATCAGACCCATTAAACGAGAGCACTTGGAATTTGGAGCCGTCAGTCATTGCCTATAGTAAGCGTCAACTTGGAGTTACCAATGTTGAAAAAATGCCGAGGGCGGTCTCAAGATACGTAAACGAGATACGCTTACGTATATAATACCGAAGCTCCGGGGATTAGTGTTTCAGTAAGGGGGTAAATCCATGGTCATAGTCGTGACGGCAGGGGATGTTGTGCCCGAAACTCCGCCCATTGGAGCCAAGACAGGTCAGATTCGGAAGTATCGGGTTTAAGGTTTGCATTACGTATCGGTGAGGGGTTAGTTAGGCTCAGGTTATTGTTGGAAGGTGGATCGATCGAGATGGGCTACTGTAGGTGATAATTGAGAGAGAGAGCATCGAATAGACTATCAAGAACGCTCATCTCAAAATTACGTTTAAGCGAATATCACTTCCTCTTGCATTCTTGGACAGGGACTTTATGTGTTGTGATACTGGGTATGGTGTCAAGTTGTTAAACTCGAGGTGCTTGGGAACCCCCCCCTTCACTTACTTGGACAGGGACAAGTATCAAATGAGTCTTGGTTATTTCCATTAACCTATTCGTTTATCATTACTTTTTCATTACGCTTCAGAACTAGACTTATACTTGGGAGCGCACAGATACCTCAGCTTTTGCATCTTTACTACTTCAATTGCCTTTGTCTCATAGATATATTGAACCATATTGTAATTCCGTGGTAGGTACTAGGGATATAGGAAATCAAAGTCTTACTATTGAGAAGCGACATGAGTCAACCATATAGAATGGTCTACAAGCGCACCACCTATGTGTAATTTCTTCTGCCTATCCTAGAAATGAAATAAGCATACTATATTTTAGAATGCTGTTATGCCTAGAATCTATTTGTTTGAAGCCCATGTGTCGAACCACCTAACAGCTTGGAAAAAGGCCGCCTCCTTGGCAAATCTCTGCTCAGGATCAGACACGTTGGCGCGAACACCGAACCCATGCATAGTGCCACTGTAAAGAGAAGTCGAGTATGTCTGCCCAGTTTTCAAAAGCTGATCCTCAATTTCATGGCGGCGCTCAGCAGGCATTGCGTCATCAGTCTCTGTTACTACGTTAAAACTCTGTCCATCGCAACCTTTCAAAAAAGGTGCAACTTACCTGCAGCAGCAACTGAAACTGGACCAGTGATGCCTGCAATTTCCTCATTCTCGAGAAGGCTTGGGTGTGCAGCAAAGGCAGCTCTTACGTGCTGACCCTCGGAGAGCAGGCGGAAAGCATAACGGCCGCCGAAGCAGTATCCAGTAACAACAATACTATTGACGGAAAATCTTTCTCGAATGTAGTCCACGCTTGATTTGAGTATTGGGTCAATAACCTCAGGGCGATTTCGATATAAAAACCCCGTCATATTAAAGCTGGGATCAATAAGATCGACCGGTGCGGGCTTCCCGCCGAACATGTCCGGTGCTATGGTTAGATAACCAGCACGACCGAAGCTATCCGCCAACCTGGTAACAGTGAATGAGTTAGCACTCTAGCATCCCCTTTCTCCTTCATAAACAGTTTGTCTCTTGCTTACAATTTGTTCTCAGCCAACTGTATGCCAAAGACGTCTGTCAGGTACAAAACAGCCGTATTAGATGGCTTGCCAGTGATGTAGAAAGTCGCTAAGCTTTGTCAGCCAGGCACTCCGCCTATAACTTTTGTCAAACGATTACTAACTGTTACCAGCTTTTATCTCCTCGCCTATTGGCTCTCCAGTATGAGCAACAATTGATGCATTATTGACATGGGAGGCAGCACAAGCCTGAGAGACTAGAGGCATGCAGAAGTACAGTAAACCAAAGAACTGCTTCATGGTGGGCTTCTGTAAACAAAAAAAATCTTGGATCCGGATGTTTAAGAGTGGATTGACAGGGAGATTCTATACTCATCTTTGAGGGGACTCATTCAACTATATATACCTAGTGTTTCATACGTTGATAGAACGCCCAGAGCCCTAGAATGTGTTAAACTAATCTTTGCTTCTCGCTGACTGGCATTACCACATACGGTAAACGAGGTTGTGGAGTTCAGTGTAAGCGCGGATTCCCCACCACATGAATCCCGGCAGCGATCGACCTAGATACGACTGAGATTTGTAAGACTAACGTCAAGGGAGATAATTACGAGCATGTAGGATTGCCAAGCCCGTTTACCTATTTCAGATGCTTGCAAGTTCACCGAAATTTCGAGAGAATGGCCGTACATCGTGTCAACATAACCAAGTATAAGTATGCCTCTCGTTTATCTAACTGTCGAACTCATCTCTTCCTCAAATTACACTTCTCAAACGCTTTTACTCTTGAATACAAAATGAAGACATTTTGGCGATTTCTACCTCTTTTCTCGGCTACCACCAGTCTCGTCGAGGCTGTGAACCCGATGAAAGACTTGGTTCCCCGACTCTCGACAGGTGCCTGGATTACCACGGAACTTTCCTCTGCGCCACGATGGAGCGATTATGCTGCCCCCAAACCTGGATATATTGTCCATGTCGCCGAAGAGCTTGATGTAGCAGAGACTGTGAGTATTTGTTTCAATACAACGAGTCCTTCATTTACGAACAAAGATTCAGATCAAGTACTGTAACGAGAATAAACTCGAGTTTCTCGCTCAGGCCGGTGGTCACGGCGGCGCTACCACATTTCATCTGAGAACTCAAGATATCATCATCAATTTGCGTGGTCTGAACTCAACAGTTGTGAGCGAGAATAAATCTGAGATGCTCGTTGGGGGAGGTGCTTTGAACAGCGAGTATGTTGCGGCAGCTGCGGATAGCGGAGTTATTATCTGTGAGTAAACGAGTATGGAATCTTATTGGGTGGCAGAAAGACTAATTAACGCGTAGTAAACGGCGGTTGCAACTGCGTCGGTGTAAGTTTCTATACAATCAATTCCCACACCACCTGCTCTTTATGTAGGCTGGGGGGTCGTTATAATTCTATCTTTCAGTGAGTTATTTCCCATTGCTAACAACTGGTACACATTGTTAGGTCAGCGGATTGACACTGGGCGGAGGTCTCAGTTACTGGATGAACGAGTTCGGCAGTGAGTTGATGCTCTCCATTATCAGCCTTCTATGCAGCTTCTATTACTTACATGACTCATAGTGCCTGTTGATAATCTCATATCGGCAAATCTGGTGACAGCCAGGGGCGAGCTAATTGAAGTCTCGGAAGACAAGAACCAAGACTTACTCTGGGCTATCAAAGGCGCAGGTCCTAATTTTGGCATTGTTACATCTTTGAGGATGAAGGTACATCCCCGTGAAAATGTGAAGGTCTGGATGGCACAGCTGGTGTTCTCTGGGGACAAACTGGAGGAGTTCTTGAACACGATGAACGAACTCAAATTATCGCAGAAGATGGTCGTTAATTGGGGTCTAACCTATGTTTCTCCTGGACCCTCTTCAAGCATTTTCGCGGGTCTTACTTATTTGGATGGCGACTCTGACGCTGCGGAAGCAGCATTTCAACCGCTTTTCAACATTGGGCCCGATCAGACGATGTTGATCGGAGTCATGGATTATGCCAGGATGAACGATGCCGTGGACGCTTTTTGCGAAGACGGTGGACGAAAGCCCACTTGGCTGGTTGGTCTGAAATCTTTGGATTATCCTACTTGGCAGCAAGTCTCCGATCAACTGGCCACTTTTGTTAAGACTACGAACCAGTCTGACAGTCGCGTACTTGTTGAAACCTACTCAACGGACGTCCTCCGCGAGATTGGGTCTGATGGGGCATCGTACCCACACCGCGATGTCAACTTCCACGCTTTTGTACAGCCTATTTATGACGATTCTAGTCTCGATGACGCAGCCGATAAACTTGGCGCCCAAGTACGAGAACTTTGGAGAGAGACGGATGGCTTCGATAGTCCACGAACGTGAGTTGTCCATGTATATTACAACATCCTGCAACTTAATCCTAACAATGCTATAGGTATATCAATTTCGCCCATGGTGACGAAGATCTTGAAGATATCTATGGTGAAAGTCTGCCCCGACTTAGAGAGCTTAAGAAGAAGTGGGATCCATCCAACCGATTTAATCAGTGGTTCCCAATTGTCTAGTTTGACATCAAAATTCAAATGAGCTCCTGCATTGATCTTACAGCCCGGTTACGCGTTAACTGTTAAAGGTCGGGCGTAGGAAAATCCTGCAATGTTAAGAGTAACCCATATAGTGCTCTGTCGAGTCAGGATGCAAATTTTAGTTGTGTGGTTCTTCACATTGTACTGTCACACTGGGCTGTGGCTAGTTAAGGGAAATATTGTTTCCTGATTTCAAATTTACTTTGCCATTGCTTGGGGTGTTCTCAATCAGCTCTCCAGTGAGAAGTCCAATTTCCATGATCCAACTGACCCAATTAGAAATCACAATTGCTTCTGGGTAAATTCACGAATACAAAACCAGATTAGATGGCATATTTCATCCCGCTCTGCGCTAAACTCACAATCTTGCGCTCGGTAAACTCTTCAACGCCTGCCATTCCGCCAAAACGGCCGTATCCGCTATTACCTCCCGTACCACCATTGGGCAGTGGCGCCTCGATGTAGACTGTTGGCCCATTTATGTGACAACTACCCGCTCGAACCTGTCGAGCCACGGTCAGGGCTCGCATGACGTCCCTTGAAAACACGCTGGCACACAGGGAGAATTCACTGTTGTTGGCTAGCTCAACAGCTTCATCATCTGAACTTGCCTCGGTGATACAGATGATAGGACCGAAAGTCTCTTTCTGAAACACGGCCATTTTCGGCGTAACTCCCGAGAGCACATGAGGGGCCAAGATGGTGTTGTTCGGTCCTGACAACTCAAGATCGCCGGTGAGAAGTTCTGCGCCTTCTTTAATTGCATCCTGCAGAAGTCCAGTGATGCGTGTGCAGGATGAGGCCGTGTAGAGACCCGAGAGAGAGACAGACTCATCTTCTTCGTGATTGCCATATTTGATCGCCTTCACTCGCTGCAACAGAGCGGCTTTGAACTCAGCTGCAATGGAAGAATCAACAATGACGCGTTCCGTTGACATGCAGATCTGTCCACTGTTGGAGAGGGCGCCAAACACTACTGCTTCAACAGCATCTGTTATATTCGCGTCGTCAAGGACCACAACCGGAGCCTTGCCCCCAAGCTCCAGCACGCACTGTTTGAGGCAGGTAGCTGCCCAGCCAGCAATGATGCGTCCGACTCGATCGCTGCCGGTGAAGTTGACACGCAAGACCTTGGGATGCTTCACAGCGAATTCTGTGACCGCCGGGGAATCGCCTGCGGAGGTGGGCAGGAAATTCAGACACCCTGCTGGCAGACCTGCGTCTTGGAGAGCGCGCACAACGAGATGTTGGGACTTTGGGGAGAATTCAGAGGGTTTGAGGACCACTGTATTGCCGCATATGAGAGGACAAGCAATCGCGCGTGCTGTTAGATTGACCTGCATCGCAATTATTAAAACCTAGATTCGTATATTCGGATGTAAGATGACTCACTGGGGCATTCCAAGGGCTAATAGCGAATACAACACCAACAGGACATCTTTCAACCAGAATCATGGTTCCAGGCCGGTCGGCTGGGATAATCTCGCCCTTGATGTGTGTTGCAAGCCCGGCGGTGTCGCGAAGAATAGTAGCCGAAGCCTTGATGTTGAGCTGCACCCAACTCTTGACGGCGGATACCTCGGAGGATAAGATCTCTGGCGCATCTTGGTCAAGATAGGACTCCAGTATATCGGCAGCGCGAAGAAGAATTAGTCTTCGAGCTGATGGTGGCGTGCGGGACCATGAGCGGAAGGCATCATGGGCATGTTCGATAGCTTCTGAGTAATCATCAACAGTTGCTGCAGCACATGAGTAGATGGGCTTCCCGGTCATGGGATTAACCACCGGGAATGTAGACCCATTTGACGGCGCTTTGTAAGTGCCATTGATGAACAGTAGTTGGTCGTCAGAGAGTGAACGGGAAGTCATGATGGCTGTTATGCTGTTGGATGTCCGAGTTCTTCTCTTGAATGAAGCCTGACGAGGAGGTCCTACTTAGCATATTCATCCCCCTAGATCCTTACATTGACGCATTCCAGTCCGAGGCCCGTCGGCCCACAGCGGTAGTGATGAGCCGTCGTGGCGGATGCATGCTTCCGATAGCTCAGCATGTGAGGTTCCGTCCCCACGAACTCTGCGGGGTAAATCATGGAGTAGCAAGCGTGACCTCAGCACGTAAAAGACAGGGTATCCATTGATATGTTGGTTGCGACTTCAGGTGTACGGTGTAAATCGATATCCGCCATATATCCTGAACAATCTTGTGCAGCTTGGTCTTTAGCCCTCAGCGAGATTCTTACCATTACCTTCAAAACCCCCACCAACTATGGGAATTGAACTCACGAGCGGCGCGGCTGCGATCCTGTATGCCCTCGAGGCTGCAGGCATTACGCATCTATTCGTCAACTTGGGCTCTGACCATCCAGCCTTTCTGGCTGCTTTTGCAAGCAACAAACACAATATCCAAATTTTCACATCTCCCAATGAGATGAATGCCTTATCTGCTGCTTCCGGTTTTGCCCAAATAACGGGAAAGCCGGCTGGTGTGCTGGTACATGTGGAATGTGGTACACAGGGGCTCGCCGGCGCCATCCACAACGTCAGCAAAGGGAGAATCCCGGTCATGATATTCGCTGGCACAGTTCCGATTACTATGGAAGGGGAATTGAGAGGTAGCCGTAACGAGTGAGTTTGAAGAATTCATTGAAGGCTTGTGGGTGACAATCAGCTAATCTGCCCATTAGATACATCCACTGGATCCAGGATGTGCCAGACCAACGAGCCATCGTGAGACAATATATGAAATATGAACATGAGATCAGGTCTCCTCATAATGCTGTCCAAATCGTCTTGCGGGCTCTGCAGTTCTGCATGACAGAGCCCAAGGGCCCGACCTATCTCATTGCAAGCCGCGAGACGCTTGAGGCCGATACTCATCCCCCAAGCACCAAGCCTTCTCAAAAGCCAGAGTTAAACATGGCCGTAGAGCCAATTGGGCTATCTCCAGCTAGCATTGAACATCTAGCTCATGCACTTGTCCAAGCAGAGAACCCCCTGATTGTCACCAGTTATTGTGGTCGTTCGGCAGCAGGGTTCGACGCGCTGAAGTCACTGGCTGAGCTTTTGGCAATACCTGTCCATGAAAATGCCCCCATCTACAATAACTTTCCAACTACCAGCATCTTGCACCAGGGCCATCAATGGAACGGCGGGGGACAGCTGCCTGCACTGGCCGAGGCTGATTTAGTGCTTGTAGTGGATGCCGATGTACCATGGATAGGAGCACAGTCGCGTCCAAGGGACGAAGCGAGAGTGTTTCATCTAGACAGCGATCCACTCAAAGACTCAACTACTCTGTGGTCTTTGCCGTGTGAGAAGAGATGGCGCGCGGAATCAAGCCTCGCTCTGACTCAGTTGGTTTCATTCATTACCAACAAGGCACTTATTTCTGATTTAGTAAAGGCAACCATCGCGAGTCGAACACCCAAACTTGAGGCGCGATTCCTGGCCAGGCAGGATAGGCTTCAAGCCGCCGAAGTGCCTCCTAGTGATGGCAGCGTCACAGTTCCTTTCGTGATGTCACGTCTACGAGAGGCGTGCTGTGGCATCTCTATCGTTGGGTTAAACGAATCTACCACAAATCTTGGCAATGTAGCTGATCATCTGCGGCACGAAAAGCCACTCTCTCTGATTGGAAGTGGTGGCGGCGCTCTTGGCTGGTACTCAGGGGCTGCAGTGGGTGCACATATGGCTCTGCAGTCTCAAGGGCAGGAAGATCTTCTTGTTGCATTCACCGGAGATGGAACATGGCTCTTCGGGGTCCCATCCTGTGCTTACTGGATGGCAAAACGCTACAATACCCCATTCCTCACCATTATTTGGAATAATGGAGGCTGGGCATCCCCGAAAAACGCGTGCCTGAGGATCCACGATCAACTAAGTACCGAAAGTAATTTGAGCGAGAAGTTTGGCGTTTCTTTAAGCCCTTCGCCTTCTTTCGGTAAGATTGCGGAGGGTGCCGGCGGTGCCTGGTGGGCAGTTATTGAAAAGGCCAACGAAGTGGAGAGTTCGCTCCGGAAAGCTATCCGGATAGTCCGGGAGGAGAAGAGATGTGCTCTATTAGAAGTTAAGATTAAGACAATTTGAATTGTGTTTTATGTTGGCAATAGATCAATTGTGCTTCTGCATCAAAATATCACAATTTGCTCCCATGTTGTTGACCTAACAACTAATCACTAGAGCACCGTTCCACTGATAACAGATGGTTTTAGGAGACAAACAATACTCAATTATTCTCTGGGTCATGTGCTCATTTCGTTGTGGTATGTAACTAATCTATGGTTGGAAATTAAAGGAGAAAAAATAGCCCACGACGCACGCTATTAGGCTGTCAAGGCATCGGATGCATGCATCCGACGAGGTTCTGGGTCGAAGGCCAGGGCTACCTGAAGTTTGCGGGGTGACTAATGGACAAGGAACAGAGTTTAGCCAAGCGAAGGCCTTCAAAAAGGTCACGAAGGATGATGGGAGCGCCGGAAGGACGCCAACCAGAATAACGAGTAGAAATGTCGAAGCCGGCCGTCCACTCCATTGACGACCTGGAGGCTTATGCCTCAACTCATCTTCCAAAGCTTGCCCGTGACTATTTCAACGGAGGGTCGATTGATGGTGTCACGCTTCGGGCTAACCGACATGAATACAAAAAATGGTATATTCAACCTCGCGTACTCTGCGATGTCACGGGAGTAGATACCAGCACTCGTGCTTTCGACGGTGGTAATGACATTCCTTTCCCATGCTGTGTCGCGCCAGCAGCGATGCAGCGTATGGCGCATCCTGACGGCGAATTGGCGACTGCTCGGGGTTGCGGAGCCTTTGGGACTATCATGGGCTTGAGTACGTTCTCAACGACGTCTCTCGAAGACGTCAAGACGGCAGCAGACGAGGCACGCTTAAGAGCAGGATTTGAAGGTCCAAGCGAGTGTGTCTTGCAGATGTATCTTTTCGAAAATCGACAGACCAGCATGGACCTTGTCCGTAGAGCGGAAGGTCTGATGATTCTGCTCCTTATGCCTTCGACCCTTTTGGCTAATTTAGATAGATTCGGGATACCGAGCGATAGTCCTCACGGCTGACACTCCTTTCTTTGGAAGAAGACTGACTGAGATTCGGAACGGGTTCAGACTGCCAGCACATTTGCGGATGGCAAATTTTGATGCCTCATTGGAAGTCAAAACTGGGTCTGAGCTTCGAACTGACCAGATCCAAGGGATCGAGAAAGGCCAAGAAATGAAGCAAGCCAACAAACTCGGTAGATGCTATTTCTCCGCTTAAAATTGGGAGACAGCTGACCATTTGTGTAGATGCTTCGCAGACCTGGGAAGCCCTGCGCTACCTGAAGCAGCATACACGTCTCCCTATCTGGGTGAAAGGGATTATGTCACCACAGGATGCTAATCTGGCCGTTGAAAACGGAGCTGATGCCATCTTCGTCTCCAACCATGGAGGAAGACAGCTTGACGGCTCTCCCCCATCCCTAATGGTACTGCAATCTATCGCTCACGCTGTTGCTGGAAGAGTACCTGTGGTAAGTTCTCATTAGGCCGAGTTTTAGATATCAGAAACTAAAATTTTGAAGCATTTTGATGGTGGTATCCGGAGAGGTTCCGATCTGTTCAAGGCTATGTGCTTGGGTGCGAATATGGTCTGGATTGGACGTCCGGCTCTGTGGGCAATCGCATATGATGGGGAGAAGGGCATGCTGAACGCTTTGACTATCTTGAGGGTCGAGTTTTGTGAATGCATGGCCCTCGCCGGTTGTACATCCTTAAAGGACCTAGGTCCGCATCTTCTGATCCGGGCAGATTCCCGGATGTAGATAGAAAAGGCGAATTGTCGACTGCCCCTGATTGATTCTTTTTTTGTAGCACAAGAACAATATATTGAGAGCGTTTTGCTCAGATCCAAAATCTTGGTTCTGTTGAATCCGACCGCGGACAATTATATACCAAAACTTCTCGTAACAACATCCAACTGGAGTTTTAGCTCAGTTGGGAGAGCGTCAGACTGAAGTCCGACTTCAGTCCACAATGACATCTGAAGGTCGTGTGTTCGATCCACACAAACTCCAATTTTTTTTGCTTTTTTTTCTACATTCTCTACAAATTTCAAAAACAAGCTAGATGCTCTAGAAATTTCACAAAGCATTTTGTACTATCTCATGTACGTAATAAAATCCAAGGGGCAATCGTTGCTAGCAGCGAGATCTGAAATGTTTTTACACCCAAGGTGATGAGAGTGGGCCAAGGCACAGCTGGAGGAGACAGACTCAACATTCCAATACAGCGCTACTACAACTTTGATATCACCACTTTATGCAAATTTTGTTCCTAGAATAGACTGCTTGTTACTATTCATTGCGTATGTTCCAAGCGAAAATTCTCTTATAGCTCAACTGAAGGGTAGAGTGTGAAGAAGACGCACATCAAGCTGAAAGAAGCTGAATTTATTTCCAAACACTAAAACTAAATGCACGATCTGATATATCAAACGACAGGTTTCTATTCACTTTAGTGAGCCTTCATCTCAGCTCGATTTGCCACTTGCCAATTAGCACCCTCCTTCTCCAAAACCTCGGCATCGTGACTAAACAGCCACTTCCTGCGGTCGTCGTAGCCCCAGAACACAGGATTCTCCACGGCATTCAGCCTCATGCTCTCATCACGCACCTTCTGCTCCTCTCCATCCTCAATGTGCAGAATGTACTGGTGCTCCCGTGTCTTTTCTTGCACCAGGCTTGCCCGTGGGCGGCGAATGCTCTCATACTTGTTCAATGCGGTCTTCAGATCTATATCAAGAGCAAGGCACTGGCGCAACGTAGCAGCATCCTCGAAAGCTTGTGCGGCACCTTGGGCAAGATATGGAAGCATGGGGTGGCAAGAGTCACCTAGAAGAGCAACCTTTCCGGAATCGTGCACCCATCGAGTGAGGATTGGCAGATCGCAAAGACGCCACTTCATAAAGTCGCCGGTGAGGGCGCATAGTTTCTGCACGCGGGGCTCCCACTTTCCGAAGCGTTCACACAGCTCTCGGTTGTCCCCCTTGACGACCCATACTTCATCCGACGTCTCGTTGTGGGACGTGGCGCAGACAACGATGTTGTACATCTCTCCGTTGCGGATGGGGTAGCCAACGAGGTGGGCTTCTGGGCCACACCAGGAAGTAGTGCAAGGATCGGTGATGAGAGGAGCGAGGTCGGGATCTGCCAGTAGCTTCTCACCAGGGATGAGAATTCGATATGCTACATCGCCAGTATCACGAGGAATATCAGGCTGGCCGGTCAAAAGTGGTCGAGCAATGGACTTGATTCCATCAGCACCAATGACGAGGTCAGCGCTAAAGACTTCGCCGTCCTGAGTTGTGGCACTAGGCGCATTAAAGTCATATGAGATGACTCGCTTCTTGTTGAGCACAGTGACACCGGCCTTGTAGGCAGCGGTGAGAAGGCCTTCATGGAGATCGGCACGATGTACAAGATAATAAGGGGCGCCGTGAGTCTCGACAATGTTGTCGAATGGGACCTTGACAATGGTGTCTCCGTCCTGCCAGCGGATGAAGTGGTACTTGTTCGAAGTAGACTTCTTCATCTTCTCCATGTCAACGCCCCAGCGAATGAGCAAGCGGCTAGAGTTGGGAGGCACCCGAATTCCAGCCCCAGCCTGCAGGTCGTGCGTTAGTGGTTTGATGGGATTACGTGGTTGGGGCTAATGGGTTACCGACCTCTGCAAATTCAGGGGTAGAATCAATAATGGTTACTTTATGCCCATCGGTCTGAAGAGCCAAGCCAGAGGCTAAGCCTCCCAGACCGGCACCGACAATGAGAATGTTCAGCGAACGCTTAGCAGTAGGCATGATGAATGTCAATTCAGTTGCAGTCGTGTTTAAGGTGTGATTGTTGTTGTGCTGTTGAAGATATTGATGAGCTTGAGCGTGTAGTGATGCCTTTAATCTGACTTGAATGATGGCTAAATATAATCAGACGCTCATGATTGAATGCATCATAACTTGTTTCCACTCTGACATTCTCCTTTGTTTGAAGGAGTATCGCGAGCATGGAGCCGGTTGGGGCAAACCGCGGATACAGTCATCCGCTCGAGAACTCGCATCCGCTAGCGTTACAAGTGGTCACGATGGTATCGGATCCATGACTCCTGAGTTGTTCCACCAAACTATCGAACCCCAGCTGCCCCCCACAAAGTGGTCAACGTACCCCAGACTTTCCCCGCACATACCTTCATCCAGCTCATTATCTTCCATTGAGATTACGAGAGTATACATAGGGACGATCCCATCCGACAAGACCCTACGAGAGGGCACATCACATTGATGCAACATCCCCTTTCATCAACTCTCTGAGCTTTCTTTCATATCTCTGTTCCCTATTCCGCTTGCTCATTGCCGAGGGCAAGGCATCCCCAAAAGATAAGATGGCTGACGTCAAATCTCCAGCCCAGGCAGAGTCTGTTCGTGTCTCTCGCGAAAAGCAAGATGTTGACCATCTTGAGAAGTCTGAGAGGGCCTCAATCCGAGAGGAAGAATCAGACCCTGTCGAAGCGAGGAAGATCATTCGGAAGATTGATTATCGTATCCTCCCTCTTCTCATCCTGTTGTACACTCTTACGTTCCTAGACCGTGTCAATATTGGCAATGCTCGTCTCTGGAATATGGAGAAGGATCTGAAGATGAGCGGAAACCAATACAACCTCGTCGTCATGAGTATGTCTTCATTGTCAACCCCAGGAAATCCAAGTTCTCATGCTAACTCCTTAGCAGTCTTCTATGTTCCTTACATTATTCTCGAGTTACCATCAAATATGATTCTTTCGCGAGTTCAACCTCGATATTACATTTCCTTCCTAGTGATGGGTTGGGGCCGTGAGTCTTGCATTTTGGCTTTATGCATAAACACAACACTCCCTAACACAACTTCACAGTGTCTGTTACTTTTGCTGGTTTCTGCAAATCCTTTGCCGGTTTGATGACTGCTCGTGTTTTTGTCGGAATCTTTGAGGCCGGCATGTTTCCTGGATGCTTGTTCCTTATCGGTTCATGGTACCGCCGTCACCAGCTTTTCACTCGAATGGCGTGGTTTATGGTATCCAACGATATTGCAGGTACAATTTCTGGCCTTCTCGGTGCCGGCTTGGGATCTCTCGACGGTACGGGCGGATACTCTGGATGGTCATGGATCTTCTTCATCGAAGGTGCAATGACGTGCGCCGCTGGTGTTTTGGCCTTCTTCTTCCTTCAGCCTTTCCCTCACGACGCCACATTTCTCAAGCCGGAGGAGAAGGCATGGCTGCTTCGCAGCCTCGAGCTTGACTCCCAGAGAAATGGTATTAAGCACGAGAAGATGACAGCCAAGGGCGCTTTCCGGGCCCTCAGGGACTGGAAGGTTCTCACTGCTGGCGTTCTTTACCTGGCGGTCTGCGTGACGGCTTACTCAATTTCCGTCTTCACGCCAACTATTCTCCAAACTTTTGGCTGGAGCAGTATGAAGTCCAATCTGCTCTCCGCACCCATCCGCATTGCTTCAGGTATTGTCTCAGTCATTATGGGATACATCTCCGATAAACTCAAGCGCAGAGGCTATTTCTGCGTCGGTGGATTCTCCTTCAGTATCCTTGGCCTCTTCTTGGTGATGTTGATTCGCGACGGCAATGTTCGATACGGGGGGCTGTACATTTCGGCCATCGGTATCTACATCTGCCAGCCTCTTGTTATAGCGTGGTGGTAAGTTCTTACATCTGTTGATAAAGACAGTCTGCAAATTGTCAACTTTGCTAACCAGTTCCATGCAGCACCAACCAAGTTGTCGGCAATGTCAAGCGTGGTACTCTCACTGCTTTTGCCGTCAGTTGCGGACAGATTGGTGGAATCATCTCCGCCCTCGTGTTTCCATCGAGCGACGGACCTCAGTATATTCCTGGCGTGTCGGTCTGCATTGCCTTCCAGGTGACGGGCATAATCGCGGCCATCAACATGTGGGTGTGCTGCGCCTGGGAGAATCGCAAGCGAGAGGCAGGGAAGCGTGATCACTTACGAAACCTGCCGGAGGCAGATATTAATGATCTCGGAGAGAAACACCCCGACTTCCGGTATACCCTGTAATTCCTAGTTAGCTTGACAACGAGTCAGGGTTCGAGGATATCAAAGTGCAAGGGTTGCTTTAAGATGCCTTCCCTCCTCTAGGTATTTTGATTAAGCTGCGAAATTCTTGCAAATATTCAAGATACTCTTCACTTTGACCTTGTCTCAATCAGAACTTCATCTAATCCGCTTGTTAAACTTCCCACTCGCTCGTAATGTTCATAATATATCAATTACAACAATAACTAGCATTTTGTGCCTACAAATAATATATACACTGCGTCCCTCACGCTCAACTCGATGCGGGATCACCATATCCAGCCAGAAACAACTGCATATTCGACCACTCGGAGACAGGCATTTCTCCATCTCCCGGGAGTGGCATGTTCATCCCCATCGCATCCTCTCCAAATGTCATAAAGGGGAATAGATCCAGCATTCCCGTTGGGTTGCCGAAGTTTTGAAGAGACATTTCGTCCATGGACCCTGCCATGTTAGGATTGATGCCGGAACTAGGCGTTCCATATTGCTGTGGCCCAGCTTGTAAAGCAGTGATATAATTCCCAGGAAACTCCTGGCGCTTTTCGAGATTAACACATCCCGCAAACGTATCAACCACTCGAGCGAAGCGTTTCATGGATCCAGACTTGTCGGTGCCATTAATAACATCGCGAACCGTAGATACGAGGCTAAACAAATGAGTGTGTAGCTCCTCAGTCCCTGGTCCCGGGTCTTGCAAGTCCTGTCTGGGTGGCAGGAGAAGCCGTAGGATGAGAATCATGGCAGCACAATAACAGTAAAATATGTCCAGCCCAGTAAGCCCATTGAGAACATCAAAATGGTCCAGCAGTAATATGAGATAGCAGAGTTGAGACGCATGATTAACGCAGACAGCTGCGTGTGGCGATAGACGTTCCGGTTTAGACGATGCAGCCTGGCTAGACGCTTTGCGCATCATGGATACATTGCGGAGCAGGATGGATCTCGTAGCCACGATGGCAATATAGTGAAACTGAATGTGCAACAGTAGGACAGCTCGCAGTTGCGATCTTGTCTTCCACGCAAGCGATGCCTTCAGGTCCTCCAAGTCCAGTGCCCCCGTCCCTTGAGCAGCCTCCTCCGCCCCGGGAAGCCTAACCAAAGGTACGTTAAACCCAGGTACCTGGCTTATCTCAAATTTCCAATTTCTCAGGGTGGTGAGGACTTCCTCGACAGTGGGTACCGAGGACGGCGCTCGCTGGCTCCTACCAATATACATGAGTCGAGTTCGGCCAAGAATAGCCTGAAGCTTGAGCGACCAAGATAAAAGCTTGGCATCCGTGCCGTCGCTGCCATCCAGAAACCCCTCACGAGGAGCAACGATCTGGGCATCTGTCTCGTGGATGCCGCTCGGACGACCCAGACTCAGCTCGAGGAATTGGTCAAACGAATACAGAGTACAAAACACCAGCCGGCGGATCTCTCGCTCAAGAGGGCGAAAGGAGGACGCCATATCCGATCGATGAAGACCGAGGGCAAACGAGATCCTGGTGGCCGTCCCGACCAGGTTCCAGGCAGCGTTGCGCTCATTGTTGTTATGCAAAAACAATGCCAGCAAAAGCAGTACGCGGACATTTGTCAGGGAGCATTTCGATATGAATTGTGGCAGGAGACTTCGCGCCATCGATACGGAAGTCCGTCGGAGCTGAGCATGGTCGAGGTTCGGGATATTTCGGTTCGTAATAGATCCAAACACGATCACCATGTATAAACAACCAATCCAGCCCCAGTCTGGACGAGGCCGTGTCCGGGCGAGGTGAGGATTCCTTCGCGTTCGGACAACGAAGAGCTCATATTCATCTTCGAAAGTGGCGCGATGAAACAATGGAAAATCATCATGGACGTTTTTGAAGTAAGAGTGGATGAGTAACTCGAGGATGTCGTTGGGGGGCAGCTGTCGCACAATCTCTTCCATATCGGCAATTGGGAAACGCGCAAAATCTCGCGCAATGGCGGAGGTGATGGAATCAGGGGAGACCCCGTCTGTTTGTATCGAGTCGGCGGTGGCGGGATCCGTCTGCTCCGGCTGTTGTTCTTCGGCATCGTCCGCTTCGAGGGCCTGGGCAATGTCATCGCCGGTGAACTTGGCGGCTCCCTCCGGTTTCGTCGTGGCACTGCCACCAGGCGCACTATTTGAATCAACGAGATGCCGGAGTTGGTTCAGAAAGTTCAGAGTCCCTGAAGGTCCTATGTAGTGTTCGTGACCCGACGTGTCTTTGATCATCGACGCTTCTGCCTCGTCACTGTGAGAGCAGGCTGTGAGGCGAGACGATTGGTTTGGAGGCTCGGCAGTAGAAGAATGGCCGCCAATCGATGATGCGGTAGGAGTGAGCTGTCGACCTCCTCGTGATAACTCGTTCATATCTACCTCCGGTCTGTTTGGAGAGGTTATATCGGGCATCGTATAACCCATTCGACATCCGAGATTGACTAAATCGGCTGCCGACTCAACAGCAGCATCGGGGAATGCGCCTTTGACGATGGCCTCTAGACAGCGATATCTGCAGGCGGTAAGCCCCCTATACTTGTAAGGTATTGTCAATGGTGAACATACCGGTCACTTAATTCTTCTACACTACCGTAGAAGCGAGTTTTCCTCGGAGCAGTATACGAACAGGTCGCATTGTGCTCCTGGCACATGACGCATCCATCCCCGTTAATGGATGGAACACAACGGCACCTTCGCTGTATCGCGGTACAAAGTCAGCAAATACGACCAAGACGCAAGGGGCTGCTCAGGACTAAGCACACCTTACGACAGCGATCACAACTCTGAGCATTCCGTTTTCGGAACTCTTCCGGGATGCGACGTCCCCGGCGCCGGGCAGCAGAGAGTGAGTCAGGCATGGCAGCGCTAGGAAATCAGATCGACCCAGCTAGAGGAAGCGTGCTGAGCAGTGTTTCGGCTGCGGAGGAGCGAACAGAGGAGTCAGCGAATCGATGTCACCGACAGAGTGAGATTGAGATGGAGATGGAGATTCATCTGGGGTCGGGGCCCCGGTTGCAGTTGTGGAGAAACAGAGTTGCCAACCCACAGCTGGCGCGGGGTCATGAGGAGCTAGGAAGCATGCATCCGATGATGCTTCTGGTATTAGTGGCAGATTAGTACAAAGCTTCTGCGGTATATCATGGCTGAGGGGTCAATTTGCATGTGCCAGAGCCCAGTAGTTTAGAGTTCGTTTTGTTTACGGCATCCCCTATTACAGTCACCATGGCCAGCAAGATCTCACTCCCAGACTCAAGAACGTTATCATACGTTCTCGATGAAACTCCCAAGGACGGGCCCATTGTCCTGCTTTCAAACTCGTTATGCGCTCCTTTTGGCGCCTGGGATCACTTCGTTAAGATACTCAATAGCAATGGGTTCCGAACACTGCGGTATGATCAAGTAGGGCACGGTCAATCTTCATCTCCCCCAGAATTAAACACGACATTTGACTCCATGGCCGCCGACGTCTATGCTCTTCTTCAGGCCTTGAACATTCCAAGTTTACACGGCTGGGTTGGCGTATCAATGGGCGCGGCAAAGGGGGTATTCTTCGTTTCTAAATATCCGAAAATAATTCGCAAACTCGTCATTTGCGACACCATTTCAGCTTCCCCTGTCAATCTTGGTGGTGCCGATGTTTTTGGTCCAAGAGTTGCAGCCGCTAGAGAAGCTGGCCATCTAGAAGACGCTGTTCGGTCAACCCTGGATCGCTGGTTTGGCAAGACCTGGGTCGAGGAAAATCCCAAGGAGGCCGATCGGGTGAGAAATGTCATGAGAGGCACTACACTTGATGGTTTTGAGGCTTGCTGTCACGCTTTGAGAAGCTCGAGCTTTGACTTGCGGCCAATCCTGAAAGACGTTGGTTCCTCAGTTGAAGATGCCCTTTGTGTGGTTGGAGAGAAGGATGCGAACCTACCTCAGACTATGGATGAGATGAGGGAAGAGATAGAGGTAGGGTTCAGGGCGTCCGGAAAGGACAACATCATCCGTCTCGAGGTGATAAAGAATGCTGGACACGTTTGCTTCATCGATGGACTTGAACAATTCTCAGAGATTGTCGTGCCTTGGTTGAACAAAAATTAGAGGATTGACAGAGAAATTCCTTCCAATGCATCATTGAGCTCAGGCCCGATGATTCTCTTTTCAAATGCTCAAGAATAAATTGATTAAATGTATTCCGGTTCATAGATCATCAGGTCTAGTACTTGTCATGAATCTGCCCGTACTCAAATAAACGCTATAATGTAATTCAATTGAGTCTCATTTCTCCTGTCTCCAAACACAACCAGTTGGAGCCGCTGCATTCTTTTGATTATGTTGCTCTTTCATTTCCTTTGCAACGGATACACAGCCATTGTAGTTGTGAGTTCGGTTGACCTTGGACAACCCAGCATTCATCGGAAATATGCCGCTCCAGTTTTGATGACGCAAGGGCCCAATTAGAGAAATTACCGTAACAGGAAGAGCCAAGCGAATCCAGCGAGAAGCGTCATTCTCGGTGTTCAAGGATTTAGTTCCGCCACTATATAGCACCATTCGGATCGCATTGATCTGTCCGCACATCGGGAGATATCCTTTCTATGCTTTTCTTTTTTCAATTTCTCATTGAAACTTGTTTCCCTCATCAATCCATCACCATATTCTCACGCAATATGGCGACCTTCAGGCCGCGCTACGAAACGCTTAATTCGCTCCACTTTCAAGGGTCACAGGCCATACGGAACAATGACTCCTTTCATTTGTTTCCTAAGTTACCGACAGAAATCAAATTACAAATATGGAAAACTGCCTTCGTTTCGCGCTGCCGACTTATCACGATTCGCCTCACCGATCCTAGCGCTACAGAGCAAGTTGATCCATATGGGAGCTACGAAGAAACAGTTGGCTCTACCGATTTTGTCGATTTTAACCTCTGGCATGACAAGCCAAGTCCATGTAATCAGGAAATCTGGAAGGTCTCCATTGACCAAAAGCCCCGCCGTAACCCTCTGATGCAGATATCTCGCGAGTGCAGACAACTTGCAAAGCAGCAGTTCCGACTTCCCCTATGTTCGAATCCCGGCTCTGACCTGCTGCAGCCTACATTGTGGCTAGATCCGGAGAACGACTACATATTCATAGCACAGTTTGATGTGCCAACCCTGACATTCATCTCTTTCATAAATCATATGAGCCTCTCTGATCCCCGTGGGGCAGGGATCTTGCACATGGCATTTGACAGCCGATGCAGGGATAGCCTACGCGGGCTTGAGGCGTTATCTCGAGAAGCTACTCTTGCCAAAAACACGTTGAAAACCTTCCGGGAAGCGATTCTCGGGCTGAAGTCTGTCTGGTTCATTCACCTCCTCGGCACTGATTCGAGGATAATGGCAGGGGCACTGTCGGGGACGAGTAACAGAGCGATGGGCCTCAACCGAAGTATTCCGATCTTTGCACACGCGGTTGAATTTGATTTAATTACTCCGGACCCACGGCCAATCCAAGCAAGTCTCAAGGGCCAGACAGTGTGGAATGATCCGAAGAAGCCAGTTGAGGCATGGCTGAGGGTGGAAAGGGCGCTGGGACTTGACCGGCACAAGGTGGCAGGAGGCGCATCTGTATCAGCTAGGGCATCCATCAGTACCATTTCACACATTCTCGCTATGTCTGGGCGAAAAGAAATCATAAGCGACACATACTGCGATGTAAGGTGTTCTCAAACTATGGACTTGGCTCTCAGAATCGAACAGGAAAGCATCGACCAAATGGCTGACAGGGGCGGGTATTTGGAGGAAATAAGAGAAATGGAGCCCGTGGAGAGCAAGAAAAACGTTTTATCAGCAGCAGGTTTTTGGATCTTCCCTGAGGGTACGTTCGACACTCTATTTGAGCCTCCACGCTACGCGGGCAAGGCGTATCAAGACATGACCGGTCATCACCCGGCTCTAGGACTGTTCGAATTACCTTCATAATCCGGAAATGCATTTTATTTAAGCTGTGAGTGTGAGTATCATACGGTATCTCCAAAAGTTACTTGTAAAAATTTAATAAATGTCGTGAACCAAGTGGGTATATCACTTCTAAAAAGTGACTACCTCGCCTCAATGCTCGGTCTGGAGTTTTTTGGCAGGGCACTAAACAATATGGAACTCGTTGAAACATTCATCTAGATGTCTTGAACATTTTAAAGCTAATGTCTCTTTAGCGGTATTTCCGCGCTTATTTTAAGAGTAGGATAGGGCAAGAGATACATGCAATCAATGGGACAAAAGGTATTTGAGAAAATTAATATATCATTATTTGGAAATAAAAGTTATCGCTAGACGTTACTAATATACAGTGACATTATCCTGATTCATGGTCTCGTATCTGTTCTGAATATTCCTATTGCACCTCTACTGCCAGAGGATAATCCCATCGCACCTTCTTCGGTCGCCTGTTCTTCGGCCTGCGTCCGGTTGACATTGCGGTAGGCAGAGAGGAGGAGTAGCTGGTATGGGTCAGGCCGCTTTGGCCTTGCTGCTGGGGACGGTGTGGCCTCTGCGTCGCCCGGGCATCTTCTTCAGCTTGGAGCCTGGCAGCGAGAGCAGCGTCACTCTCTATTGAGTGATGTGGTTTGCGCCTTGGTTTTTGACTTGGAATGCTGTTTTGATTGTGGTTGTGATTATAATTATAATTGTAGTTGTGGTTGTAGTTAGGGTTGGAATTGGTGTTTCCATAGCCCGGTCGGCGAGCATTCTCTTCGGCCTGCAGCCTTGCTGCTAATTCTGCATCTTTGGCAATTTGGCTCTCGCCTGAAATTCGAAGAGGTCTACGCTGTGGGACCCAACCTGATGGGAGAGACGCTGTTCTCGATGACGACGGAAGATAACTAGACATCGCTGAGAAGGGTGACGATCGGGTTTTGTGCCTGTGAAATGCCTGATATGATTGATGCTGGAGAGTCGATCAAGCTATGGGAGCTAATCGGTTGTGCGGCTTCCCGCTCCCTCATATAAGCATCCCATCCCTGCCGTTGACAGCAAACATCGAGGCGGAGTATTTTGGCCGAATCCGGCGAAAATCTGCCTCCGCCACAGTGTTGCGCCGCCCAAAGGGGCTGGTGCATACCGACGGGAGTCTCGGCGTGGCTGTGCTTAGCTGCTCCTCAACCAGCATTCGCAGCAGCATTCCACCGCCTCTATGACATCACTGCCTTTTTGTCCCCATAAATGGCCTGAGAGTCTAGATGAAGAATCACGTGCACCTTCGTCCCTCCAGCCAATCACAGCTGAACAGACGGACAAATAATAACGCCGACCTTACGGACTACTACCCTATACTCGCACATCAAAGCAGGAGATTCTCATGTCCATCAGGCACAGGAGAGGAGGAACTAGTAGTATATCCTTAAAATGAAAAGTGTCAATCACATATCAAGATTAATTAGTGCATTATCTGGAAGCCCCCCAATCTGATGGATTAGAAGGTGTTTGTCAGCATCTACAATACTTGCTCAAGTGAAACTGTTACATAGCTCATATTAGGACAACCCAACTAGAGGTTTATTTTCTAACCCTTTTGCCACATTGTAGAATAATACTTGAAGACGATAATAATTTGAAGCTGATTATAAACCTTATCATAAGAAACTAAAAATAAAAATAAAAAATAAAAAAACCATAAGGTGCATGAATCTTGGTACTCTAGACGAGTGTAAGCTGACGCCTGGGAGTTGAATGAGTCCAATTTCCCAGTGTGGGGACAGGCTTATAAATGATGGGATGGATTGCTGAGTTACCAATCTCTCGGATGCAAATTGTATCCGACAGTTGGTAATAGTCTTCGTAGTAATTCAAACTGCCATGTCAAAGACCGGGACTCACTCTTAAAAGCCTGAGATCTTGCAGTTTGGAAATCGATCTAGTAACTCGAAAAAAGACAATGTGATCTCATTTTTATTCGATCTTTCGATCTTATCAACCAATTCTACCCTTAATTTCACTTGTTTGCTCTTGGTAAAGATGCTCTTTTCCACAATATCAGCCGCAGCCGCACTCGTCAGTATACATGTAGCCACTGCAACAGTAGTCCCGAGGGCGACTACATCAATCGACAATATTCAGTTGCCTGCCAAGACTGTTGCCAGTCTCAGTGAAATAAACACCTTTTTGGAAAACCTTGCGCCGCGACAAAATGGAGATCTTGTCGTTTCCATGCTTCAAAAGAACGCGACCTTGCATTACATAAAGGATCCAACATCTGGTCATGCGGAACTGACCCCTATCTACACATTCCCCAATGCGAGCGGGACGTTGGGTATAGGAGAAGTCAGCAAAGACACGTTCTTGATCGCCATGCACAACTTCAAGTCGTTCCTTGTCCCATTCCCTCACACCGGTGCTGTATGGGAATTAAAGCTTAATGGTGCTGGTCCCAAAGACTTCCGGGTTAGAAAGGTTGCCGACCTCCCGGATGTGAACATGCTTAACGGAATGGCCGTGATTCCGCCCAAGTGCTCTGGTCGTCGGCCCCAGAGACTCGCCTCCGTCCTGATTGCAGACTGCCTTCAGGGTCAGCTTATTCGCCTCGACCCCTCAACGGGAGCATATAAAGTTGTTCTTGACGTCCCAGAGCTGCACGCCCCTGCCGCTTCGCAATTTCCTACGGGCGTAAATGGCCTCAAGATCCACAGAGGGTATGTCTATTGGACCAACACCGCAAAGCTCACAGTGAACCGCATTGCCATTGATAGTGATGGCTATCCTGTGCGAAATGCGACGGTGCAGGTATTTGACATCTCGTCCTGGGGAGGTGCCCTCGACGACTTTGTCTTTGACGAAAAGGACAATATCTGGGGCGTCAACAGTCTCACTAACACCATTTATGTCTTGTACCACGGCACCGGCCCTTCAAGCTTATACACCACTTATCAGTCTGTCGCAGGAGCCCTCGACTCACTGGAGCTCCCAGGCCCTACGGCAGTCACATGGGGCGCAGGGAAGCATGATAAACATATCCTTTATGTCACTACATCCGGTGGAACCGTCCAACCAGTCAATGGGCAACAAGAGCCTGCCAAGGTTGTCGCTATCGATACTTCCGGCCTTCAGAAGTAGATAGCTAGGTTGAAGAACAGCCATTAATTACGTACAATTGTCCTCAAAAGGTGGCGAAGAAATTGAGGAGTGCATTTCGTTGTTCGGTCATTGCATGTTGAGAGGAGCTCGAACATAGCGGGCGGCCATTTCCGGGAAATACAAGTTGGGAACGCATAAAGTCGGTGCTGAACAGTACATAGATACAAGTAAAAGAACACATTTGACTTTTATTTTCTACTTAGCAACTTCACATTTCGCTTCAGTTGATAGATATTGATTTGATTGACTACATATCTGAGTATGCAGGATAGACTACGGTTGTTTCTCTCAAGGAGCGGCGTGGCGTCCTCGACAACGCTATGGCGCCTGATTAGTCTCTGAGCTTGTGGATTTAACTCCCTGATCATCTGTATAGTTCAATGCAAATTTTGGGGCTTGTTTGATTGGTAAGATCTGGCGTGGAAGCGGAGTTTGTGGTTAAGTCCGAGTCGGACCAGATCATACATCATTTCGTTGTGGCCCACGGCCAATTAAGCCATATCACGACATTTAACATGGTGGAATACAGGTTTGTTCCCGCGAATCAGTTGGACTCCGCAGTCGGTTTTGCGGATGCTGCTGCCAAAGGCCACGCGATCCGTTCCGGAATACGGCGAGGCTGGACAACAGCGGAACTTGCGGATAGTCGGTCTCGGGAAATAATAACGCAGGGAAAGGAATTACAGGGTCGCTTCCGGATATCGATGAAAAGCAAACGAGTTACCTCAAAAAGAAGTCATCATCCAAAAGAGGCAACGGTAATCGGTCAGGACCGAAAGTTTTTACGAGCATGTAGAAGGGTAGGTCCGTTGTTGATTCACTTTTCTTGTTCAGTTCAACTCCTAATTCTTTGGATAGATGCGGAGCCCATCAATAAACCAGATCGGAAACGCTCTCGATCCCTTTAGAAGCTTTCCTATCTCTCAAAACAAACAAGTCGATAAACTCTTCTATCATTGTACGTGCTGCATCCTGTATTGCTTGTCAATGCCATGTATGATTGACCCTCGCTTCGCAGTTTTGACAGAATTCAAATTGAATGAATCAAATGCTAGCACGAAGTCAACATGGTTCCCCTATGCAATGCAAAATGCTACAGTTATGCACAGCACGATAGCCTTGTCTGCCGCGCTTCTGATTGCTACAACCCCACGTGTCGGTCACTGCGATCCAGACTTGCGACAAGAAGGGCTATACCAGAAAGGCCAAGCAATGCGACAAATACGAGAGTGGTGCTTACAATCAAATGTATCCTACTGTGATTCGAATCGTGCTGCCATAATGATATCTATATCCACCATGTCAACTGTCGAGGTCAGCCCTTATTCTTGAAAGGGGAACATCCATTTCTTAGACTGACGAGTGAATAGACTCTATATGGAAATTTCGAAGCAGCAAAGGCTCACCTGTTTGGCATATACAAATTGTATGAAATACTGAACTACGAGCAAGAATTTTCCAATGAGCCCGTTTTACGCAAGTCAATAAGTTTGTAAGTTTGGAGCTCCTATCTTAAAAATTTCTTGTATCTAATACTAATGCCCTGGATATAGTGCAGATCTGTTTCTTGCATCTGCCCTTGGAAGTCTTCCCAAGTTCCCTTTATTCCACTCATACGATATCTCCCTTCCTCAAGAAATACACAATGAGGCAATACGGCCACAGCCGCATCCCATCATCGCCAGGCACTGCGGTAGATCTGTAGCCCAGGCATTCAACTATCTCAGGCTTGCGGTATGTGCTACTCGGTCCGAGTCAATACCATCGGAAACTATACGCATGTTGATCAATGTCGCGGATGTGAAACTTCTGGAAATATTGCACGGCGAAATGGCAGATTCACCTCCAATTATGTCTTCCAGCATTGTTATTCTTGTTTCGCGTGCTTCCCACCTATTTCTTTACATTCTCATCAGGCAAATTCCTATCAGGACCAGTCTCATTCGCAAGATGAGCGACAGATTGTACGATGCCATGGATGAAGCTATCACACAAACTGAGATATGTACAGACTGCCCCGAGGTGGTGGCATGGACAGCATGTGTCGGTCTTCTTGGCACCTGGGAAGAGGTCCCGGGGATAAGCTATGATGGCGCAAAATTTCTGACCGTACTTGATAGCATTGGACTAAGGGACTCGAGAGATTCGTCATGGGTGTGTGAAGATAGTTTGTACTCGTTCCTATGGGACGCAAAACGCTGTAGCCCTCATTTTCGAGGCATCATTGAGGAATGGATTCACGGAGGGACAAGTGAGTAACAGGAACGCCTTATCATGAAAAAGATCAACACCAAAATTTTGTGCTCTCAAAACTTTAGTCTTTCCAAGTCAAATATCATATCAAAGGAAAAGTACCGAGAAAACCAGATATGTTCGAACTAGAGTATAGTAATGGTTTCTGGTCGTAACTCACACTCCGTTCCGGCATGACGCTTGATAAATCCAACTCTTGCTACCCATCTACCCATCCGTAGAAAGCTCCCGTTGTCAACTTTCCGTAACAACAGACCATACGTGCCAGAGGTAGTTTTCCACATAGGGCTGCACTCCACCTCTCCAATGCAAAGAAAGTGGAGATTCTTCCCCAGAGAAGGGTAGTAGTCTGGATGTTGCTCTCGCTGCGAGGAGCGAAACGACCAATAGTAATCATCTGGTTCCAGCCATATCTTTTCATGTAGTAGAGTAGGCACTGTCAACCTGGATTGCGTAGTTGAACCTTTGCCAACCAGGGCTTGGGACGAGATCAACGGTCCCCGCAAAGTCACAGCGGCAGATTTGACTTGACCAAATGGATCACTTGTGTCTACTAGTTGTACTGAAACATCCATAACATGAGCCAGGATGTTTGGTTCACGATCGTAAAACTGGAAAAAGACACGATTGTCTAAGCTCGCCCAGCTCCAGGACGGAGCACGGTAGCTGCCTGGCCGTGGAGTGAAGGCTTCTGGGTGTGAATACCAGAGCAGTCCCCAAGGCATGATGTTGCGGAAAATTCCCGCACAGTAGTCTCCGCCAAACCAAGGGGCACATAGGCGAGCAATGGCAGCAAAGGCAACCAATTTGTCTTCTCTGGGGTGAGAGAGTTCTCGGTCCGTATAGTTCGTTAAGTACTCAAAGTATAAGATTAGAGTGTTGGAGCTACCTCTCTCAATATTGAAACTCGACTGATAGAGGCAGTCAAAACCCTGCCCTGTGTTATTGGCTACGCTGTTAGGCATGCATTCGGAGAGGGTCGTTCTTTTAGCACATGCCCACCAAATACGGTCACTCCCAAAATGCAGGGTTCTGGCTGATAGGACAGCTTCTTGAAACACCCATGCGCGTTGACTGAGAGGGAGGTTCAAACGGGAATAAGAGAAGTCCTCTTTGGTAAATATCGCGCAGAGATTTACCTGAGCTTTTTCTGAGGGAGACGATCGTTCACGATGTTGTGGATCAAACAAGGCCTTGTTTTCTGATTCGGTGTTTGGTTCCCTTTCTAGACTCTCCTGAGGAAAATCCGAATAGCTATGGAATGGCGTCCATATGAAGCAGTCTTGTAGAATGCGTGGATTCCTCTGGCGAAAGGCACCCTCATGCGGATTCGCCGAGACATCGATCGCAATGTTGAGTTCGCAATTTAGATAGACCTTATGCATCTCATTGGCATGAAACAGCCAGTCCAATTGAGAGGTGGACCCAGCTTGGAGGATGCAGAGAGAGTCGATCCATACATACGGTATCTGCAGACGTTGACAGGTTAGGATGGTGTCCCGGAAACTTGCGGCTAGTCGTTCGAGAGGAATTTCTTTGCGGAGATCTTCCAGATTGTCTGCATTCAACATGAAGAACTCGGGATTTTCACCCCAGCAGTGGCTCAAGGTTGCATAGGGACCGCGGAGGTCATCTTCGTCCCGTAGGACTAGACGTGGTCGCCGACCATCATGGCCGACATGAACGAGGCGTTTGGGGTACCATCCAACCTGCCTGTGCTTATAAAAGTCCCCGCATGCATGATTTTCTTTGCACTCCTCATGCCACTCTTTGGCTAGTTGAGCCACTGCTTCGTGCCCCGTATGATCCGGAATATCTCGCCCCGTTGTCACATCCGGTCTCACCATATATGGGGCCGTTTCTAGATTAGCAATGGCTAGATTGATGAAATCAGAATAGTGAGGAGGGAAACTCTGTGCATAAGAAATATGGATATAAATTTCTTCCTTGAAGCAGACTTTATCATCCGTGGCGTCTGCCCTCTTCTGGAAAATCAAGAGTTCTACATGTGGACTCCAACCCTCTCCCTTGCTAAATTTGTATTGCAAGGGCCAGGAAGGGTTTATTACTACCCCCCGCTGCTCGGGATGGTAACGGGCGAGTATACTGCAAATCTTGCAGCCATTCTCTGACGCGAGAATGAGGTTCTGTCTGGTTTTGTGATGGTACCCCTCATCTTGAGGATCCTGAAAGATCGAGACGCACAAGGAACAAAGCATCGCAGATAGAACAACAGTCGTACTGTGATAGGGAATGCCGCCAATAGTAATGGGATAGAGTTAGAAATTGCGTCGACCAAGCCAGGCAAGACTCAAGCACAGAATATTACCAGCTTCCCCATGCTGACGGTTCGACAGGCATATTTCGTGAGGCAAATTCGCACGTGACTCAGACTTGGCAGTGCAACGTCTGTGGATTTGCTGATTCATGTCTCATGCCTGTTCCATTGCCTCTGCAGGACTCAAGATCCGTAGGTTGTCTCATAAACCACATCGATTGAGCTATTGAGTACAAGTGCAGCGGCACGTGACCCCCCTTTTTAATCAGGGGCTTCATTCGTACAAATTCTCACCGTTTCAATATCGCCGCGCAATCCTTGGAGTCTTTCCACTATGAGCTTATCTATGCCCCTAGAGTATATTTTTCTGGAACCCTACTGCATTTTTGTCGTGGCAAGGTTCCAGTCCGAAAAAATGTTGCTCCTGAATTTGCAACAGACCAGCTAGAGGATGTTCTCTGTTGTAAGTCCCCAGCCTACCAGACACATTGCAAAAAAGGCAGAGCGACTAAAAATTTACCCGAATTTTTCGTATACCCTCCTCAGATGATGCATTCCGCCTCCAGGGCTTCATGTTGCGATTGGAGTCACCGCTAGATCTTGATCCTCATTCTCAAATGCCAGACGCCATGAAAAAGTGTTTGGGTGCTTTAAACAAACAACTATGCCTTGATCCTCATAGGCGATGGTATTTCGAATTCAATGCTGATCTGGTGCATATTCCTTGCTTGCAGCTTGCTCGTTCTAGGCTGCCTTGGATTTGCATCAGAACCTTGTGTCGAATCGGCTAGATACTACGACCTGTTGTCGGTTGGAGTAACTCGGTCTACCTTTTCGGCCTACAGCTAATGTTATTATTTATCTCTGAGTGCCTTTTGCGCTCAACAGAGTTGGGAGCTCTGATCCGGCGGATACGGCGGCGACTACCGACCGAGATACAATTGATGGTGTGTGAATTCTTGCCTAAAGGCCTCTTCTCATCGCTTGCAACTTGTTCCGAGACTGTGAGATGGCTCCTTCAGCCAGAATTTGCAATCCATACAGTAAGGGGGCATTTGGCCACTAAAAGCCCCCTTGCTACTGTTCATGACGTTGAAGCATTGGCGGCAAGTGTGCACGACGTCCTGGGTGAAAGCTACTTAGCGGGGTTTCATGCCATCCCGTTGAAAGGTGCTCATAAACATCATATTCAACTCTCCAGTCAGGATATAATTGGACTTCAAGTCTTGCTAGGAAGGTACAGCGTTGTTGGAGCAAGAGTTCATTACCAGATGACTCGATGTCTCCCTGGCTTGGACAGAGCGTGTCGAAATGGAGCTATTTTATCCGTGGGAATGATCTGCGGCGACTTCAGGTTCAATCCGATGTACGCTGGCCCATCCATCTCCTCTCTCGCATTTTGTGATGATAACTAATAAAGACTACAAGGAGATTAAAATGTGTTCTCTGGCCTTTCAGGCAGACACCAAGCCCGAGTCCCAGAGCACCATTTTCTGGAATCAGCACGCCAACTTTCATCCCCAATCCCGATACTCATTCATCAACCTTAGCTCTTCTAGCGACGTGGCTATTCCAGGCCATCCGAATGCTCGTTTTGTCAAGTATTTGACTCTGAATCTGAATGACGGCATTCAACAAAGCTTAACGATATTTTGCAACACTCGCTCGGTTTCCTGCATCAAATTGACGGTTCCCAGCAGTTGAAGATTGGAAGACCCTCGAATTTATGCTGCCCCATTACCTTTTACCTCCACCCTTCAGAGTCCATTCAGTCACTGCATGTTATTACTCGCCGTACAGCTGATATATTTATGGCGCAGGGCCCGTTGTATTGGTAAAAAACCCTCCCCCAATTCAGACGAAGCCTTATCACAGCAACACTTCAGCTAACGATGGTTTTCTTCCCAGGTAAGAACAACAGTAGGTCGTTGCCTTTACTATGGCCCCTATGTTCTGCCTAAGATTGCTCTCACCCAAGCTCACTTCTCAACCTTCGGATATGAAACGTCCCATCACTTTTCTGGCATCTTCTTTGACGCTATGGCCTCCTCTCCTGGTTGGGCTAAGACCATAGGCGTCACACTGGAGCCAAACCCCCAAGAAGCCAAGTATACTCCCACAACCCTATCTATCCCCGCGCTGAAATCACTCGAACCGAGATACTTTTTGTCTGCGAATCCTTATGGTGTCCTTCTGAGCAAATCTGCTTTCGCCGGGGCTAGAACCTTACGGGCACAGAAGCATGGATCACGATATACTGGTCTATTAGCTACTATTGCAGATGAATCGGTGCTGACTCTGGGGCAGTGGGACCCTAGTCAGTTGGATACAATATCCCTTCTCTACAGTAAAGAATAGGGATAACTCAATATAATTGTTTTCATCCTCTCTGAGCCTATAGAACAGGATGGTGTCGTGTTCAAAATATCTTTCATCAATATCGGTATGTGGAGGATATTATTCTATGCGATATCGAGACGGAGAAGGCCTGTTTCAAATGAGGAGATCTTGCAGCTGTAAGTATTCTTTCTTTTCCAGGGCATATGTGTGAGAATATGTTTCTAAACTTGATGTCCTCACTTTAGGAAATTGCTTGGTTCTTTACCTCCCAATTTGATATATTTGCATACTGGGACGGCGAAACCCTGACAGCGGTTTAATGGACAGCACTATCCCATTCAACACAGTAGACTCATTCTGAGGTGTGGTTGTTTAGAGTTCTCTTGGTAGCGGATGTTTGTTTTGTGTTTCTATTACCTACAGCATTTTGAGCCTTGTGTCAGGGCTTTACACGATAGCAAACATGTTTTATTATCACAAATATTGCTTTAATGAGCATAATCCCTGATTGCGCCCTAGAAATATGTTACCTGGAGCGGCCACCCAGGCTCGTCGTTTCGCTTACAAGCTAATTTTCAGGTTTCATTGTTATTAATGGCCACACTTTGCAAAAGTCTTTTCATACAACTTGTGCCATCGTACGACTAGTACCGTGATTCATCTAATATCTTGTTGGTGATATCCACCAAAGCCTTAGTTGCTAGCTCATTTGTGGCTCAACTCGAGTCGCCCCTAGATGCGCTCTAAGAAGGTAAGGGTAATATATCCATTGTTACAGGAGAAGCATCGAAGCTATAAAAGTGCTAATGCATTAATCTGTTTGAAGCAATGTGGCTCTAGTTGCTGAACTTCTTCCTGCAACGTCTTGCGTTTTGGACAGTAGGTCGCGTAGGTGCAATGAATACACAAAAAGAAAATTCCCGTGCGCAAAGCTATGATCAATTAATGAAGAATTCACGAGGATTATATGTCAAGTTCGCCATCGCGTTCTAGACCCGGTTCAATGGGTCTCAAGTTGCACATCAGAGTCCCAGTTGGTGGGGTGAAAGTCAGCGAATTACCCGGACGACCTCTGAATGGCTGTGATCCAATTCAAGGAATTCGTCTTAGGTTTGAGGTTGTTTCCTTGGCATTGTGCAATGAGCATTAATACCTAGCGTTTATTGAGCCTTCTGCAGCAGGGGCCCATGCAGTCATCAGCAGATATTGGGTCTCGTGCGGCGGGAGGGGCCTGCAGTCATCCTATAGTTCGTGTACAGCTGGCACACTGGCACCAACAGTATTCTCCGTTTTGGTGTGCTTTATCAGGTGTGGGTTACATTGGATTTGTGAACTTTGCATGTGAACTCTCTCAATGGGGAAATGATCAGTGGCCAACCCTCTCAACACAATCAAAATGCGAGCTTCAGCATGTTGATAATAATTCTTGGTTTTGCCAAAGCCACAAGTTATCCTAGAGATGAGAAAGCCACAATTGAAAAGCTTGATTTGGGTTAGAAGCAACTAATGATGGATGGATGATGAACAATTTCCCCTGGAACGGCAGCCAGGAGCGTTGTTCCAAACCCGTTTTCGGATTTAAAACCGGATCTCCTGCTTGGGCTTCAATGTAGGTACGTACCCAAGCAAAGGTAGCGAGCCCATGCGAGGCTTCTCGGTGGCAGTTTGAGTAGGGTCTAGTAATCAAAAACCTCAGAGAATTAATGCTCATATCTTTATTGAAAAGCTTTCTGGTACTTGCAAAGTTCCACCTGTGGTATCGACGCCCATTCGAATCGATAAATAGAAGATAGTGGCTCCTTGCTACTGCAATTGGGCACTATATCCTTGTCGAGATTCTCGGCATATTCCTCATCGCTCGACCACTGCCGAGATCGGCAGAGTTGACAAGTTTCGTCGACAAATTAGCTTCCCAATACTGACATTATCTAGATGCAGACAAGTCCGTTGCCACTCCCTGAAGGAGATACGGCGATCTTCAAGTGTTGGGGGCCAATATCCGATAGTGATAGATCACAGTAAACGAGTCCAGACGGATGAATGATTGCACTGGTCAAAGGTAGGAAAGATGATTCATAGTTACTGATAATTTTCTTTCCATTTCATATATTCCGTTCTAATCTCTGGAAGCCGTTTTATTTGAAACCCGCTTCTCGAGTCAATCCAATGTTGGTCCTGCGAATCTGCTTTCCGGGGTCCAATGACTAGAGCCATTCCCACCTCGCAAAAACACAGCCGTGCCATGAGTCGTGCTGACATGTGTCCTTGATTATTGCCTGTCTTTGCAGCAGAGGTGGGCGAGATGAGTAAGGCAAGAATGAGGGGTGGGGGCTGAATGTACGTACTTTGGATCTGAACAGGCATCCATCCGCAAAGAGATTTTTTTTAAGAACAAAACAATACCCAGTTCTCTTGGTGGCCCCGCGGCGGAATCATACCTTGTCACCAGTGAATCTGGTCGCAAATCATGCAAAATGGTTGTCCTCACGCCGGAGGAGTTGGCGGCCAAAATGGACTCGCTTTCGAGGATAAAAAAGCTGTCATTCAGGGTACGTCGCATTGAGATAAATGTATAGCGTACCAGGTCTATGAGAAGCTAATTGCTCTTTCTTGAGCAGGTGTCAGTGGGGGTTCTGGTTGGCATCTCCGTGTGCTCAGCTCTCGCAAGAGCAGCAATACGTCTCAGGATGCGGCAGGGTTTATGGCTTGACGATTATTTGCTCTTCTTCGCCGCCTTACTCCTGATTGCGACTGCAGGATTCATGTATTACATATGCGATGAAATCTACCTGGCCACCGTCGTTCGAGCTGATTCGACGCTCATATTTCAGCTCCCAGCCGACGAATTGACCCATATGATCGATCACGCGGTTCAAGAAAATGCCGCGACGCTGATTCTTGCCTGGACGGCGACGTTCTTCGTCAAATTTTCCTTTCTTGCCTTCTTCAAAATGCTTATTCGCCAAGTTGCGGGGATCAAGAAGTATTACTGGGGTATCGTGATTTTCACAATATTTACGTGGCTCTTCCTCATTTGTGAGCCTTTCATCTTGTGCCCGCACTTTGGTATCAAATCTTGTAAGAAATGTCATCGAACAGTTGAGGGCTTGTCGCCATTACTAAACTCAGCCAGTGACGTGCTTCGATCAATCACAAAACCTTCTCTACGTTTCCATGACTGGACTGATAACAGGACTAGACGTCCTTACAGATGTTCTAAGTACGCATGAGTCCCCCATTGTTCAACGGACCAGAGTATTAACCATTTGTGATTCAGTCGTGACCATACCTATCTTCATTCTTCGCCGAGTAAAGATGAGGTTAATGCAAAAAATCGCACTCGGGACATTTCTTTGCCTTTCTTTGATGATGGCTATCATGGCAATCATTCGTGTGAGCGGCATCACCGGCGTCGCAGGTGTAGATATACCTTGGACCTTTTTCTGGCAGTTTACGGAGGCGAGTGTCGCGGTTCTCATGGGCTCACTGACCGCTTTTCGAACTCTACTCGTGGGCCATGTTGGCAGAAACAGTGAACCCAAACGTTCTTGGCCATATTCTCGTTACCGGATATATAAATGGGGAGGGAGGAAGGTTAGTGCCGACGACGAGACCCAAGAGGGCCTCCCTGAGGTGCCGGGCGCAACTATGACTGGGCTCCGTACCTTTATTCGGCGCAACAATAGAGACCCCTGTCTTGCCACAGCCAATATGACGACGCACACTATGTTCAGAGAGCCGTCAAATGAGAACAACGATCAATATATGCCAAACGAGGGGGCAATAAGGGCTTCGACAGAAGGAAGGCATGCTCAGCCCACCCAGTCTTACCAACTTCAAGACATAACAGACCCGAGGTCCCAGCAGCCCGTCAAGGTAAGACCACTCAAAACCGTGAAAAGAGAATTCATGAATATTGATGATTGTTAATTCCATTATTCAGCATCCGATATCTACCTCCTCCCATGAATACACTGGATTTAGGGAGGACCAAACACAGGGTTGGTCGTCCCCGCCGACATCATTTGGAGAATCGACTACTATTAGGAGATGAAACTACGAGTAATTTTACGAAATAGAAAGCGGAATGATTTATGAAATGGAAAGGGCTGAATACCAGGCTCGTCAGGCATCATTTAGTTAATTTTCTTCGTTGCTGGCGTTGCTTTGAGTTGCCATGAAATATACCCATACTTCTAATTGAAAAGACGAATCTTGGAATGAATGGTACTCAAAACTGGGCGGTAGAATGTGTTATTTTGATGCAATTTAATGGCATCGCAGCATTTCACCACTGGGCAGTTATGTGATGCCGTCCTCATGAAAGCAAGTCATTGGAATACCACCAATGAGAGATTGTGTGAAGCCGAGGCCACAGTCAGCATTTGCTTGCCTCTCACTGAAGTCATTAAACAAAAGACACTGTCGATTCTAGCCCCATCATGAGGAAGAAAAGTAATCAATTCCGACGTTAACCAAAAATAGATATTATTAATTACTTGTACTCAATCGATGTGTTCTATCTCATTCTGCGAATGTCCTAGTAGCTGCATATCAATTGATATATCGCAATAACTCCATCCGTCATATTGCACCCTCTGTGCGTTTAAGGTTGGCCACCTACAGAACTTGGAGTCGTGGTCGGGATAGCTGCTGGTCCCAGACGGTCTATAAGCTCTGCAAACAACATATACATCACCTGTACCTCATCACTCTGCGTCTTGTGTTAGATATGGATGGCAACTTATTATTGAGACAGTCGGGATAGAAGGGGATTCGTCGTCTTACGGTAATACGATTTGTAAATGCGCCGATTTGGTCGGCATGATCAATGGTTGAATTTGTCCCCAAATGCCAGTAAATTGCCTTGGCGTCTGCAGGGCCGCTTGCGTCGAGCTGAGCTGCAAAACTTCCATGATTCACAGGTCCAGTCATTGGTCCATCCATTGATAAGGTATTAACGATGCCATCGTTGGGCTGAAACTCCTCCGATGTAATGCCTGGCATCGCAACTCCAGGTGGTATGTTGCGCCCTCCCATGGCATAGGCAGGGTACGACAGGAGTGGGAGCACATCTGGTCGGGGTATTTGATTGCCGGGTGGAGGAATCCGAGAGAAATATCCTAGAGGCCCGAGATGGTTGTTCGCCACGGCAATCATCCAGCCTAATGCTGCACGAGCTGATGGGCCGAGAAACTGTAACGGAGCTAGAAGAAGCCCCCCCACCCCGAACGGATTAATGGAATATGGAAATAATGCGATGAAGTCATTGATTTCTTGAGCAGTAAGGGTTTCGTTCGGGAATGAGGTTGTGGCACAGAAAGACATTGTGAAGTAATAGGTATGTCTCGAAGGAACCGGTGCAAACGAGTCAAGTGCGTTTATACCCCGAACACTGTTGTCGTAGAATCCGTTGTATCGTCCAACCCACCAAGTGGTAACTGCCGGGGCAATCCTCGCACGCATAGCTTGGTAAGTTTGTCTTGAAGGATTAGCGAATCCCCAATGGTCTAGGTGGAGGTCGTAAACCCTATCCTGTCTATCTTCAAATGAGCACGAGGTGATCAAGTCCACCAGTGGGTCTAAGCCAGTTGGCGTAATAAGATCCTATTGAGAACTTAGACATTGCCAGCCATCAATACTTTGAACAGATAAACTTACATTCACTACATCTGTCACAGTTGTACCTTTGTGTGGTGTGCCTATGGTGACCACGGAATTGACCCAGGGCTGGCGGTCAACACCGCGAAACGCTGTTAAGTTTCGATCACTTATTCCAGATAATAGTTCGATAAGGCATCGGACAGTTGTACCACCTTGTGAGTGGCAGATGAAGTTGACTTTATTAGTATCACTCCATTTCCAGTCGATAGGAAGGGCATTTCCTGAAGCCTGATAAAGGACTGCTCGGGGAGTTTCAGCGCCCGCAACAAGTCCCAGATCTTCAGCTGGGTGATTAATGCCAAAGTTCACTGGTACGAAAGTGGTGGGTGTGCCCGGAAGGTCGAATCCCCTGTGCTAGTTAGCCTTGGCACTTTTGCAGCACTTTGGAGACACAGTACCCGGCAGTGAGCTGTGCGAAGACCTCGCAGGCTCTCTCTTTATTGGATGAGATAGGGCCAATGCGAACCACAATGACGTTATAGTCCAACTGAGACAAGATCAAGGGCAAGTTCTCAAAACCACCGAAATAGTTCACCGTTCCAAGAAGGGGTCGTCCCCAACCGCTGAATCCAGGAACTACATATAATCGTATTAGTATGAGTATACCTCATCCGTCTAATGTCGGAGTGTTGTTACCAAAAACTATTGGGAATCCCTTTTGTGGTAGGCCCATTGCCCGGATGGCGGCAGTTTCCTGCCGTAGGTTGACAATACCCTCATTTCCATGGCTGATGGGATGCGTCATCGGATCCATCTTGACAGCAGTAATGGTTCATGTGACGATGATACGAAGAGTAGGTACCGGTTTCCTTTGTTTTAGAGGTTTCTTGCCTGGGGATATGGCAAACAGTTAAAAGCCATGGTCTGCTTGCTAAAGGGACAGTTGCAGGATATTAATACTGTACTCCTCAACTTCAGCCTCAGCCTCAGCCTCAGCGTAAGAATGCAATCAATCCAAGTCCATGCACCCATCCAGTGCTGGTGTGAACTTGTACAGAGCCGATGGTCAATCTATGGGCTGTCCACGGCTCTCCAAGGCGCTAATACTTTCACATGCTTTTCAGTCTCTCCAAGAGCCATCCAGACTCGAACTCTAAATTCAATAACACATAAGCTCACATGGAAAGCTGTTACTAATTACAGCCCAAGGAAGCCATTGAACTACGCCTCAGCATTCCAGTATGCTCCACTATCCACACAAGAGCAGGCGTGGCTACAAAGTTAGTTCAGCTATAAAGAATTCTGTGTCTGTTGATACTTAGCCCTCCTCACCTTGCTCAGCTATTCAACTTTCCAGGTGCTGTCTTAATGGAGGCATAAAAGTTAAGGTAAACTGAGTTTTTATTATGATTTTCTGTGAAGGCCCAACAACGCCTCGTAATTGGCAGTCAGAATTTTCAAGACCGTTCCTGAATCATTGCCTGCGAGTTAAAATCGCCCTCATTTATGACCGACTGCAGGGAGATGTCGCGCTTCTAAGCAGTTGCAACATCAATACTTCAAGGGGTGAATTCGAGCTTCGTAGTTCCTCTGTGAGGCTTTTAGCTTTGAACGCCAGCTGATACGGCTAAAACTGTGAGATACGAATGGAAACATTTTTTCACAGCGTAGCGATGGCTGGTTGAAGCAGGATATCTCATCATTGTCTCATAGATGGGCTTCCAAAATATCCCCTCTCCAACTTCTTTAGGGTACAGGAGAAAGTCTCGTACTTGGGTGCAGCTCTCAAGGTTACACGGTCCGAACAGAAGATGGGTTGGGGAGTCTGGCGAAAAAGATAGCATCAAAGTAGATAAAGCAAGACTCTTCCGTATCAAGCGTGAGCCAGTGTGGCGAGCTTTCGAGTGTTAATAAATAAACGCTCTTTTGCCCAGGTAGAGCGCTTGGTACGAAGCCGGTCAAGACATTGTCTGCAACGAGCTCAGTAACTCGAGGGGGGTTTTGTCGGCCTATCTTACGTTGAGGAGTCCTATCTACCAATTTTGCAGGCCTCCGCGGTTATCTGGGCATCTATCTTGTGAGAGCCAGACCTGTCACTGCCTACAATAAAGCCTCCATGTCTGTGTATCGCTGTCAGACAACAAGAGATCTGACCGAAGGCCTAGAACCCTTGCGCCACCGAAGGCGGTGGGAGATAAGGTTCAATATTACCCAGGGCAGATTGGGTGCGGCAAACTCTGTACAGTGGCTTAGGTATGAATTAAGGGACTGGAATGAAGGCGTGGTGGGACTAGATCAACTAACATACAAATTAGATCAGTAGAAGTCCCGGGGAAATGGGTCAATGAAGAGCAGATCAAACAATCTCGTTGGTTCTTTGTGTGAATCGGATGAAAAGTTCGCTGCGAAAGAGCTGTTTTCGCATCGGTGCGTACGGTGTGTGTCTACCCCAATGAGAGCAAGGTATCTGCTATCCAGCGATTCTACAAAGGTACTCCATATGACAACCAACGAGCTGGTATATTTTCTACCTGAAATGTAATGGCCAGTGCGGTCGTGTGTAGATGAAGGAAGTAGATTAGGACAGGTCAGTCCAGCCGAGAACCATGACCGCCCACCATTCAAATACCGTAACAGGATTCCAGTGTGCAGCTTACCTAAAGAACCTACATAGACAGAGATTTTTGTGTGGCTAAAGAGGCATCAAGTACAAAGTGAAAGTGAGTTTGTGCCCTTGAATGGAGTGTCATGACAAATCCATAGTTTGGAATGGACCGAGCCGTTGGCATGGGAAAAGGTATGAACGGGCCAGCTTACCCTGCCGACCAAGCATGGACTGATGACGACAAGCCCTTTGAAGTTAGAGAAGAACTCACACTCCTCTGTCGAAGGCACTACGGCACCGAGGGGGCAGAGCAACTACTTGATGCCGATCACATGAGGGGCGATAAGATGGATCCAGGAAATTGGCCAGGTCAGACCGCCCAACTACTGCCTTGATCGAAGCATGATAATGCAAGCAATAATCGGTCACTGCCTCGTTACTTAAGCCTGGGGATAAGCGGACACGAACCAATACAGACACCAAACTTTTGAGAAGCCCTCCATCGTGCCCGAACTAGCCATGAGCATCGTTCGCCTCAACAAAGAAATCAGAAGATATGCTAAACTTTAGATTAGGAAGCTTTTCATGCAAAGCTTCAACCTGAACTTTCAGCTCCCTTTGCTGCCCCCCCTGCCTTTGGATATTCTAGCGTTAACGCGCCTAATAAGACACCGTAAGCCTTTGTGGAAACTGTGAAGTCTAGAATAGAACGGATCCTCATACCTTTCTCTAGACAGAACTAGGAGGTTGTGCCTTTGTCACAATCATGACATATCCTGGAACGCTATGGATAAGATCGGATATACCTAAAGCTTGATGGATAGCCACGTTGGATAGCACGGTTTAGGAAGGCGTCTTCAAACCATGTTGGCCTACACAATGGTTCACAAAAAAACAGGAAAGTATTCTGGAATGCAATCGCTACTCAAAACTTGGATGGCATTTTAGCCACCATTGTAATATTGAAGTCATGGTTTGGAGAGAAGTAAACAGACAGCGGCGCCAGGAACATGCGCCCAGCGGTTGTGTCTCTCAGTTCAAGCCGAAGCCTGTAGAGTAAATGGAATTTGAATTTATGAGTATTTGCGGTCTCATGAAAAAAAAATGCATACACTTTTTCTAAATTCAAGTATGAGTTGCTTTCATATTTGTGAGCGGTGACGGAGTGCTGAAAGTGGTGAAAAAGGTAAGAGACTTAAACTCAAGCCCCTCACATTCTATATAGGCACTTGAACCTAGGTATAGATCAACCCTCGCCTAGCCGAATAAGTGATGGATAAATTCTTAGAAATGCTGTTGTTGGCAGGCTCCAGGCTATCGTAGAAACATCCAGATATGCGGAAGCCGTCAATCGCTAAAAAACTTAGATGGAAGGGAGATCAAAGGATTGCAAATCCGAGCCTGTGCTGACTTTACTTTAACGTACCACATAGGAACGATATCAAGTATAAAAGCGGTTGATTTCCTTGAGCTGTGAACGAAGAGTCTGAGATTGAAATATCATCACCTATCTTTACTTTACTTACTAGGACGAAGCTGTTCGATCTCTTTCCCACTTCTCATCAACGAACTGTTCCAACAAGTGTAAGAGTCTCCCCAAAACAAAGACTTTCTCCAGATGCTGATGTCATGTAGGAATTAACACCGCAACAATGACGTCCACTATGACTGAGACCGCGTCTGTCAGCACGACTCACGGCATGGGTATCGATATCCAATCGACTAAGAAGACCGTTGAAGGCCACACCATGACTGGCACAGTTTACTTCGAGAATAAGAAGATTTGGGGACCCAAGTCATGCCACGACAACTCGGTCGACATTCAAAGGGCCTTCAAGAGGGCAGATCCCCGCTTCGAGATGGCTCTTGAGAGAAAGTCTCATTCGGTTGAAGGACACACGCGCGCGCTCACCATCAAGTCTAACGGCAATACCATTCTGAACGGTCACTCCGTCCACGACAACATGGACGACATGGTTGCCACTATTAAGGGCATCCTACTCGTCAGCCCTACACCCTAAGTTGATAAGATTGTGCAACTATCAATCAAATGGCAGCTAGGATACGCACACCATATTTTAATGGGGATCAGATTGGGATGTTATTCAACATTATCTCTCAATAGACGTATTTCGAATTAAAACATACTAATCAGTGAAAGCGCCTTGATGAGAAACAGCGGATGTTAAGGATTATCTGCTACTTATTATCCTTAAATCCATTGAATCGTATCACCCTTGAAAGCTTATTTCGTCTCTTAGTTATGGAATGCCTCTATAGACACCTTTAGAAGTGTTTCAGAATCTTTTAATGGCCAGAAAAGTTCCGAGGGATAGCTTGCTAATTTCCGTCGTTTTAGGTCCGACATGTAAGTAGCCGCCACACTACTACCACTTCCGTCGAATGCATCAGTGTACACCTCCCCCAATACTACTCCATCTTTCTACTTATCACTGTCACAAGGTAGCAATCGTCCCGATGCAACCACCGAGGTATGAGGCCGCTATTCGGACACATATATTCTTTCTATCGAAACAGTACGCCAGCACATTCTCACTTGGCCAACATGCATGTTCTCGTTAGACCTCAACCAGATCTCATCTCGTGGAGGTCATGAAGAAACAGGTATAATTAGATATATAATGTAATCTAATTGATGTCCCCGCTAACTAAAGTCGAAAAACGAACGAAACTGCTCTTTCTTTTAGTGGGGCAACGCAAAGCCATCGACCCAGGAGCGATAGTAGCGATTATATACGCACTTCGTGAGACCAAAATTACCCGTTTGGGAAGTAAGTGCGCAGATGGGATTGGTGGGTGATTCCCAGTTTCATATGAAAAAAAATTGATGTCGGGCTAATCATGCCGTTTGGTCGTTGTAAGCTGCTGACTTGCTTCCTAAATGCGTAATTATTCATTTATGCCCTTCTTCCCACTTCCTTCTAAGATATCCTTGGCGTTTACTACAAAAGGATCCTACGATCCAAAAAATCTGGAAGCCAACGTCGGGTTTCGGACAACTCATTTCTCCTATCGTATCTCTTCCGTATATTATTTATTTCAACCAAGATGACAAAACCGCTAGTCTTGCTAACCGGTGGTACCGGTTTCGTTGGTCACGCAGTACTCGTGGACTTGCTGAAGAGCGGATATCGAGTTCGCCTCGCCGCAAGGTCCGTTAGCAAGATCAACCAGACTCTTGCCATGCCATCTATTGAGGCAGCCGTGGCTGAAGACAAGGAGGCTCTCTCATCTGTCGTTGTGCCTGATATGTCCTCACCCGGTGCCTACGATGTTGCGGTTAAGGATGTCACATATATCATTCATGTTGCGTCGCCTCTCCCATCTTTTGAGGAGGGGAAAGTACTATCAGCTGCCGAAGAAGAGCAGCGCAACAGTCACTTCGTTGCTCAGTCAAGACAAGCAGCTGTGAATATCCTTCAGTCTGCGAACAAAGAAGGCAACGACAGCATCCGACGAATCGTCATGACCAGCTCCACAGTCGCCATTGTTCCTTTCGATGTATTCCTAAACAAGGCTGAGGCTTTGGGACCAACATATGACTCAGATAGCCGAGTTCCCGTGCCTAGCCCGCCTTATTCAAGTGAGAACCAGGCGTATTGTGCCGGAAAGGTGGCTGCATTGAACGATGCGGAAGAGTTCATGAGAGTGCAACGGCCCAAGTTTGACTTGATCTCCATCAACCCTTCCTGGATCTTCGGGGTTGATGAGCGCGCCGTTCGATTCGATCAACTTCGTGACGGAGTATCCAACACTATGCTCGCCGATTTTCTTATGGGGGCGAAGAGGGAGTACGGTCTTGCCGGGACTGGCGTGCTCTGCAGTGACGTCGCCAGAGCTCATGTGAAAGCTTTGGATCCTACTGTCAAAGGCAACCAGTCATTCATCGTCAGCAGTCCGCTACGGTGGGAAGATGCAATCCCTATTGCGAGAGAGCACTATCCACAAGCTTTTGACTTGGGGCTGTTTCGAGCTGACGGGGAACAACTCACCATTCCTTTGAAACTTGATACGACAAAGGTGCGTGCTCTCGTTTCATAGCTCTCAGTCGTCACCATCAAACTAACAGAAATTCCCATAGATACAACATATCCTCGGAATCAACCTAGCAGGTTTTGAGAAGATGGTTGATGAAGTAGCAGGTCAATACGTCAACTTGTCACAAGCAAAGGGGCAGTAGTACAATATGGATTGTTGGAGGATCGAAGGTCAGGTACATATTGCATAAATCTAAGCATTAAATCGAATACGTCTGTAAATCCCAAAGAAATTACCACTCTATCTTCTTCTTTTCCGTGATAAACACGTTCCCCTGCATTCAATCAGCGCGTTTGGCGGTTATGCCTTTTCTGCGCCTCCAATAGTGCATTTCTTGAAGGGGTCATTTTTACGCCCGAAGTATTGTAAGGCATGCACCAGTCGATTTCGTCGTTACCACTGTTTCATCATTTTTCACCTCCTTCGCATCATGATTCTGTTGTTCCGTTGATTCAGGCGATAGAATCGGTGTGTTACGATCAGAAAATAATGAATTGTTTCATCCAATGTATGCATAAAGTGAGTAAACGTTAATGCATGTGCTGACACACGAAAACAAATCGACCCCGCACGGGATTTAGGTTGAACACTACATTCTACATCTTTTACATCTCACAATTCAGCGAACACTAACGTACATTCATCTCAGTATCACTATTTCCGCAAGATCTCCTACTCGACAGCATGGATCTAACCTTAGAAGAGCTTCGCCAGTCGAGCAAGATGGCTCCAGAGATGGTAGAGTTCCTGGCTCGTCAGCCCATGCCCGAGCTCCCTGGCCACGACCCCATCGCTCATCGGAACGCTCGGGCGGATCATCTCAAGGGACTGAGGCACCTCATGCCAGTCCCTAGTCCAATCCCGGATCTTGTGGTGGAGGAAGTGATATCCGTTGAGGCGGAAGACGGATTCCCCATTCCCGTCTTTGTGTATCGCCCGGCACAATCTACAGGCCAAACACATCCTGTAGCTGTATTATTCCACGAGGGAGGGTGGTCGGCAGGAGATGCCACCGATGAAGAGTTCAACGCACGACGCCTAACCAGAGATCTTGGCTTCGTATGTCTCAATGTGGAATACAGGTATGTGCCCTTACTAGCAGAGACTTCTTGTGCGTATTTGTACTAATGGACTCTTAGGCTGGCGCCAGAGCATAAATTCCCGACGGCAATCTCAGATAGCTGGAGTGTCGTGAACTGGATAACTCGTAATGGCTCTTCGGTGGGTGCTGACCTCCAGAAAGGATTCATCGTCGGCGGATCGTCTGCCGGAGGGCACATCGCGGCAATCATGGCGCTGCGGTCACAAAAGGAGAACCTGTCGCCTCCCATCACGGGCCAGTGGCTATCTGCAGCTTATTTGGTGCCATTCAACCAAGTCCCAGAGAAGTACCAGCGAGAGTACATCTCGACCTCCGAGAACATCAATGATCCCGTTCTTACCGGGCTCAGCGAGCAAGGAGAGCTTGGTCTCGTTGTTGGACTATTTGGGGCCGATATACACTCGCCGTTATTCTCTCCTATGGCGGCCGATTACTATCCCCCGTCCATTAATGTGGGAAGCACAGGATCGCTTGCAAGGGCGTTCATACAGGTCGGGGGCATAGATCCCTTAAGGGACCATAATCTAATATATGACAAAATCCTCCGGAAAGAGCACGGTGTCGAGACACGAGTCGAGCTATACTCTGGCTATGGGCACATGTTTTGGACGAACTGGCCTGAGATGAGTACCAGTAAGAAGTTTTCAGATGACATGATTGCCGGATTTAAGTGGATACTCTCCTAGGAGGCTAATAATGAGAAGAGTACATCATAGCCAATATAGAAAAGAGATGCTAGGGATAGAACTCGACGGGGTTGTACAGGAACAACAAGACAACTGAGCCATTGCTATTGCCATCTGGCTTCAGCCAAGTCAAATATCTGTTCAAAATAAGATAGTATCAAAGAACTATCCTTTGGGAACCGCTTGAATTTTGAACATATTTTATCCCGCGTTTGTGTACCACGGCCTTTGCTGGATGGCTTTACTCCATCTCCGCACGTCTTTCAGCAAGGTACATCTTGAGTTTCCAGGCTATTCTTCTCAGGCGACTAGCCAGAATAGGCCTCTCCTCGACACTGAAACTGCTTATCTCATCGCCCCAGTGCCATAACTCAAATTAAAATGAGGCCCAATTACTCATTGCTGACAGACACACAAAGTCCGCAACTGTTCATTCTACTCCCTAAATTCTTTGAATATTCGCGCACAACCCAGAAGTGAACCTATACTTTGTCCATTTGAGGGAGTTGGCCAAGCCACATCAACCGCTATGACGCACGTGGAAATCTGTTGCCAAATTTGTGGCGTGAGCTTCAACATTGGCCGCTACCCGACAAAGGATGAAGCAACGGCAGCGATTCCTGATACGCAGTGGTTGCGGAATACTCAAGTATTGCGTGCTCAGGCAAAAGGAGCATGCTGGAAAGACTGCTACTTAGCTACCCTCACAGAAGTGCCCTCCGACTCAGACTTTCGCCAACTCGTTGTCGAATCTATGGAGCCCGTCTCGAAAGTGAAATCGCGGCGCTACACTTCAGACGAGCAACATATTTCTGGGCCCGCATGCTTCAAGCCTGGCGGTTACAGCGGCTACTCCATAATGTCAGAGGAGATTCGAGGGTCTTGCACATTCCAATGCTTTGTTCCGAAGCCAAGGCGACGACGGTTGCTAATGAGGCCGATCAATGCCGGAGAGTCGGTGCCGGATCAAGACTTCTATCTCAGTGGGATATCAGATATCATGCCAAGCCAAGGCTATGTGTATAGCACGTGGCCCCTCGGCCGAGAATCGCCTGGCCTCCTTTACGCGAGAAATTGGTTTAGTAACTCAGAAGATGCAGAAAAGGCTGCGATGCCGTTTCATCCCACCTGTCTTGAAGTTTTCAGACGGGTATCCGCGTACTATCAAGCCGACATCGACAACCAGAGCCTCATGGATTGGTATCGACTTGGGGCTAGAGACCAAAGGCTCTATCATGAGTTTCCACGGCATCCTTCAGTGGGAAAAGCCCAGCGATATTGGCAGAATGGGCGGGACCAACTCTGGCTCCATCTCCCAGGCAGTGAATTCCTGGCAGCAAACCCCTGCTTCGTTCCAGCTCTTCCATCCATCATCGCCTCAGTAACCGTTAATCAAACCGCCCTTTCCAAACATTCCCATATCAGCCCAATCGCTTCTGGGGGAAATCAAAGTAGCGACTCTCTGAGTCGTCTCCCAATGGAAATCCGCCTTTGCCTTGCCAGTTTACTCAACGCTCCCGACTTTGCAAATCTACGGCTAGTCTCCCGAGCCTTCCATAATCTTCCCCAATCTTTCTATCGAAATTTTATTTTAAGGGAATACCCGTGGCTGTGGGAAATATGGTGTGACTATTCATACTCAATCTACGCCAGACTTGAAAGTTGGGAACTCAGACTGAGAGACACGAATTGGGAAAACCGCAAAGCGAGGCTTGAGCGAGATATCCGCAGCTTACAAGATGCGATAATATCTGGCGTCGATTCTGAACAGAACCTCCCCAAAATAAACACACTCAGAGATTGCATTGCTAAAGAGGAGGCCGAGTACAAAAAGTCACGAGAGCCAATTCCCCCACAAAAACTCCCCAGCGAGCCAGACGAGGTGGACTGGTTTAGCCTATATTGCACCTTGTCACACAACTTTGAAAACCTCAAGGGGTTGAGAAACAGGAAGCGTATTTGGAAAGACTGTGAGGAGATTGTTCGTCAGATCAAAAAGTATCGTGCAGAGGGCCTCATGAAGCCATCAGTATCCAATTAGCCAGCCACGAGCTAATATACTTGATTCGTCTGATGGAACCTAAGTCATTCTCACTCGTGAGTACAAATTTCCAGAATTAATGAGCAGCTTGAAAAGAATAATCGTGATTTTAAGATCTCTAGCTAGGAATTTATGGCATTGGCACTGTTCTGGAGAAGATTCATGCCTCCGGGAACATTTTGCGTGTATCGCGAGTTGAACTTCATTATCCTTTTCACCTCTATATATGTGCCCTGATCAACCGTCAAAGGTTTGGCACTAGCGTACCAGAGCACATTTTCAGAGCACGGACGTGTAGTTAAAGAGCCGGAGTATCTATACAATGTTAGCAGGTAATCGTTCTTCCATGTTGGAGACTTACTCAAACACGTTGTTGGAGCTGAAGTGGTCCTCAAGATCTGTGAACACTAAGGGGCCTGTGTGTGTTGCTTCTCCTGGTGTGGCAGCCTCAATAGCATTCTCGAACACAGACTTCAGAAGGGTATCGGCAGGGACTAGCCCAATGACAAACGCAACGACAGCTATGGATTTGTCTGGAGACACAATTAGGTATGCCAGAAATGCGGAATGGGGTACTGACCTGCTGCCTGGAAGACGAAGTGGAGCTCCATGGGGTGATATTCCAGGTCAATCCGGTGTTCACTTGGAGTATGGAAGTGGAATTGCGCCAGGTTATACGTGTTGTCTGCTGTTGTGAAAGTACCATTGGCAGGCACTTCAAGCGTCGTGCCCAGGTTCTCGAGCTCGGCACCCTCGGGGTAGCTCGTGATATTGAAGGTGAGACCACGATTTCCCGGAGCAACAGGAATGGACGAATTAAGATTGATAGGTGACTGAAAGTTACCCTCAGCGCAGAGTATGTTCGCTGACTTGTTAAGAGAGTACCAGTTCAGCGGGCCATCAAGGCCTGTATATCCAAAAGCGCCAATGGGAACATTCGACTCCCGAGGGAATTCTGTAGTTCCATAGTTACAAGCTGCCAAGGCCGTGTATACTAAGGACAGACTCAATGCCAAAATTCGATAAAGTTGGACCATCTTTAAACAAATTATGTTTTGGATAAGAAGTAGTACTTTCCCAAGTTCAAGATTTTGCTGGACCGATGTCGTTTTAGAAGGCCGAGCCCTCCCTTTATAGCACGCAGATCTTGACAATGACAACATTTTCATCTCCAGATGCTCAGAACTGTTGTCGGTTTCGGTTTCGGCAACCGCGTCATCCCGCTTATTTTTAGGAGAGTAATCATGTTACGGCATTATTTAGCCGTTGCCAATACCGTAGTATATCGTCTGCTAGCGCTGACAGCTACTGCCTCCTTGAACAAAAAAGGCAGGGTGATTATCCATGGCTACTGTGCATCCGGGAGGAAATTTGTGTTCACTTTCTTCCAAATGTCATCCCAAGATATAGATATGTAAGAAAACAGAGACACCAACTCGTCAAACACCATTGCAATGAGCGGAGATTAGCTGTAGCTGCGAGACAGGAGCAGTTGTCAAGGTTTGTGGGAAAACACGTCCTTGGTAACGGCTACTCCCAAAACAATATCTGGGGAGCCAATCATTCCCCTTCCATTGTCTACACTTTCCGAAACTTCCGACACGGCACCAGTCACCCGTCAGTATGAATCATATGTTACTAAGTCCTTAATTAACTACCTATATTATACCTATATTAGAAGATAAATTTTAACCTACTATTTACAGGTTTGTCCGTTATTTTAGATTCCGTAGAAGATGAATGTGTTATTTTGAATCTGAAGTCTTAGCTCTGGCCTATTCTTTTACTACTCTTTTCAAAAGAAACATATGTATATGTTATTCACTATCTATCTTCGTTGGATTAGCGCCCTAAGAAGAAGAGCTACTACAGACTTTCGTCTATATCTATTAGCACGTTCTAGTGGCGTACAGCCGAAGCCATCTCATGCTTCAATATCGGCACCATTTGTGATAAGTAGAGCAGCTATAGTCTCATAGCCTCTCTCAGCAGCCCATGATAGTGCCGTCTGACCGAAAGAATGATCTCTTGCGTCAGTATTAGCACCCTTCTCAAGGAGATATTTAACTGTAGGCTCGTGATCCACTTTGACAGCCCATATCAGAGGTGTTTGACCTTGATTATCAGCTGCTTCAATGTTCGCGCCTTTCTCGACAAGGACACGAATTGCAATCTTGTGCCCATTGTTAACAGCTTGTATTAATAGTGTCTCATCATTGTCATTTCTTTCCTCCATGCTAGCTCCTTTGTTAAGAAGCAAGCTAACTGTGCCCTCATGGCCATGCTTAGCTGCTAGCAAGAGTGGTGACTGGCCATGATAAGCATGGAGGTCTGCGCCTCTATCAAGAAGAATGCCAACTGTGGCTTTATGTCCATTCTCATCAGCTGCTAGCAATGGGGTGCGACCGTAGTATCGGTCCCTTAAGCTTGAATCAGCGCCTCTCTCAAGGAGAAGGTTCACTACAGCGTCATGGCCATTCTTAGCAGCTTGAAAAAGTGCAGTGCGATGATATGTTCGTTCCATCAAATCAACCCTCGCGCCAGCCTCGAGGAGAAGCTTTGCTGTAGCCACATGCTCATTCTCGGCAGCGCAGAACAGTGGCATCCGATCATCAGAGCATCTTATTTCGGGATCGGCACGATTCTGCAGCAGCAGCCTAACAATGCTATGGAGGCCGAGAAGGGAAGGCAGGGTGATAATAGTCCTTTGGTCGACTTGAAGTGGTCCATTCCATCTTCTATTGCTCGGGCGCTCGTGGTTGCGCCAGTGCAAATTCCATTGAGAAAAGCTGTGTGAACCTGGGTTGATGATTCTCATTACGCAATCAAGAAAAGCAGGATACGCCCCGTCTTGAGCTTCGCGAAAATGGTCGGCCCAATATATGGCTGAGTAGGAGGAGAATGCATAGGACTGAAAAGAAGCTAGCATTTCTTCTTTGGCATCATCCATTGTGTGGCCATCAAAATTGAAGAAGTCTAGGTAGCGCACACAGCATTTCGCAAGAATGTCGTTTGCATCTCGGAGAGTGATGGAGCCTTGAAACGGTGGTACCAACGATGGGGTCGTAGTTAATCCCGAATCAGCACGGATAAGAAATTCTCGTGCTGTTTGATGAAGAAAGTGGATGTTTTCTTCATAGATAGAGATAAATAACCCGCAACAGGATCTCAACCGCACCTTGAAGTCCTCGTCTGTTTCTGGGTCAAGGTCTTCCAAAGATTGCGATGTGCTTTCTATCTCCATGGCAACCTTCATTTCCGAGATTTTCAGCGGTCGACAAGCAGCTAGAATTACACTAAGAGCTTTTTGGACATATCTGTTGTTCTTGGACCGACTGAGAATCTGTTCGTATGCCTCATTGACAGTCCTGGGAAGGTTCTCAATAGCCAGATCGATTCCTTTTGGAGCCTTTTTGAAGTCCTCAGCCTCGAGGTGCTCAAATATAAGATAAACCCAGAGATAGGTGCGGTGGGAGTTGTGCTGGAGTTTATTTCTAAGATGATTTTCAATAGCAGGCGACCACTGTCTTTTTGTTGACGATCGTTGGATTCGATGTGCAATAACGTGATTTACCTCATAGCTGATCACTTCTGACTCTTCTTCTCCGGGGATATGGATTTCTGGAAAAGCTTCTGCTAGGCCATAGAAGTCCGATATAATTTGGCGATATGGTCGACTTGTGAGGAGAAACTTTAGCTTCCCATAGTTTACAGCACCGCTGTAGAACTGCTTCTCTATGCTCTTTATTAGGCTTGCCGACTCAGAACACTCATCAATCGCATCAAGTACAATAGTTACAGATCCTGTGCGGGGATCTTTAATAGCATTCCAGAAGATAGTCCATAGGGATATTGTTTAGTTGACCATAGCCGAAGCATCCCTTTCGTACAGTGGCATTGCCGTCCGTATCAATGACGGTTTCATAGAAAAGAGCTGGTGAATCAAAGCACAAAGTGCCTGGCGAATTGTGTGCTGATCCTGTGTTTTGAAGAAAAAATAGCACACATTCGTTGCTTTGGCTGTCTCTGGAAGCACATGATCAATCAGATATTTCGCAAGAACTGATTTGCCGCATCCAGGGTCTGCTGATACGAATAGAGGGCCGGAGTCTGCCTTCAGCCACGATTGGAAATGCTGGTGTTTCAGAAACCACATGCAAGTATTTTCCACTCTATCTTCCACACGGTGCTTGTACCACTCGTATGTAATATCTTGGGTACCGCTGGTAAGGCGAAAGAGCCGGAGACATTCCCGCTCCTGTTTTAATATTTCATTGTCAGCTAGATGCTTCTGAACTTTGAGTTGCTGTTTTGAAACATCCAATTGTTTGGTTGCAATCTTTTCAAGACCTATGAACAGTTGAGTCATTTTCTTTTCTGAAATTTTGGATTCATTACCTAATAGATGATCTTTGATTGTGTTCTCGAGTGCCACCTTGTTTGGTTGTATCTGATTAATAAGATCCTTCGTATATGCAGCAGCTATCATCGCAGCGTAGCCCTGCCATTTTTTGTTTTTGTGAGAATCTGAATAATCACAGATGCTGCGTATAGCAAGACAGGGAAAGTGGTTCATCAGACCTGTTACTTCCATTTTAAAGCACAAGATATCTATCTCGCTAGCTAGTTGATCTCGAATCAAAGCATTCTTCATCAATCGATTCCCCGATGCAATCAATCCATAGTGAATCTCTGGGTCATCATCGTCCTCGGGCAGCAAGTGTCGCAGTTTTAGCCCTCGTAAACCACAAGCTGTGAAGCAGCTTTCCTCGCCATTCGCATGAGTTATTTTACACTCATATAGTCTGTCACTACTTGGATCTGGTTGCTCAAATTTCTTCCGCAGCCTCTTGTTCTTTTCCAAAGTTCTTTCAACAGCTGTCTTGAGGCAATAACCTTTTCGCTCATACAAAACTCGTAGGCCCACAAGCGCTGAAAGTAAGACGGTTAGTGGCTGATTTAAGAACCCAGTAATTTAGAACTCTTGGCCTTAGATATTCTTACCAAAATCATACTGGAGTAGTCCGCCGTTACTATCTCCCGGATGGCTGACAAGCACATCGCCCAGGCGAATATCATGTTTCTCAGTAGGAGCCCCGTCGTCAATTCCCACCATAAGACCAATCTTGACATTTGGGAATATATATAGTAGATCCCTGGCAACTGTTGCAGCAGAGGTTGTCCCATATTTTCCTGAAGGCAAAGTCACGATAACCACATTATGCTTTCCGATTCGACCCAATATATAATGATTATTGTCATGCTGTAAAATATATTCTGGCGGGTCGTGTTCCTCATCAAGGAAGACTTGTGCAGCAATGTATTCAACTCTGATAGCACATATCCAACCAACCGTGTAGTTTCGTGGTTGGGACATTTTTTGCTCGAAAGCTAGGTCGCTACTTGGCGTGAAATTTGAAGAAAGAGGACAACTTTCGAACCAGCGCAGGACATCAAAACCAAACTTTTATTTAAATAGAATTGAAAATCTTTAGTCGGTGTGGTATTGACAGCTGACATCGCTTCTTCCTATCTGAGCGATTACGTACGGGTGGATGTGCAGCTCTCATCCAATAGGAGCTTTCTTGTTGGATGCCTTCTTGTATGCCTTGTTAGACGCCTTGGCTGATGATGCACATGCATGCTGCCTTCTATGTGAGGACTTTTCCTATATTACCATTCAAAAAGAGGGAACACGCTTGTCGTAGTTACGGTTTCCTAGCATTTATGAGCGAAACATAATATATGAGTATCTGGAAATAATGTCTACGATGGCACTTCTGCTGGTATTCTGCGATCATCGACCCTACTTGGGTAGCTTTAGTTATCCCGCTTTAAATTCAAATTCAAATTCATCATCATCCTTTACGCGGGAGCCATGTCTGTCCAGCTAGCGAGAATGTGAAATCAGGCGAAAGACTTATCTTTCACGGATTCCATTGTGAATGTTACACTTACAAATTTAAGACTCCAGAAAAAAAGACTCTGTGACTACCCTGGCTAGGGGGAGGAGACAAGATGAGCCAGCCATCCTCAGATTTGAGACGCGAAGGTCGAAATGGCCAGGGCTTTCGGTCTTGAGCGAGCCTTCAAAGCCTAGCTACCATATCAATGCTAGCAAATTGCCAATGCGCTTTCTCTTGTTCAAAAGATTGAAGATCACTGTTGATCCTAACGGGTCAAAGTCCATACTTGTTGTGGAGATATCTCAGGGTTACAAGGTCTTGTTTGACGCTAGATGGCGAGCGTCTTGGCTGTGCGTTTGGTGTATTAAGGGATGTGGGAGCTTTTCCGCATTTATTACCAGGGTTGGGAAGTAAATGGTGCAATAGTTAAGACTATCGCGACTAAGTTCTCTGAAATGAGACCTATTGATGATTTTTAGGCCAGGGGGTCTGTTTACCAGTTATTGCCCCCTGCCATGCTCGCGGCTCTGGGAACTAATAGTAGAGCAGAGTCTTCCAGCTCGTGGCCACAGAATAATGTATCCAGCTATGGCTTTATCGATGATGAAAGATGACATCTTAATGATCTGAGAGCCATGGATTATTCGAGAAGGTGCCCATGGAAACGATGGTCTGATTTGATTGCGATTTTCCGTAGCATCGCAATGCAAAAGCTAGCCCAGCTCGGCCCTTTGCGCATATCATACTCTATCGATCAAGGATCTGCTATGGCAGGGATCAAATTCAAGCGAACGATAGGGCCAGTTGCGTAGTGTGGGCGGGCAAGGCGGCTACTGCTGTCAAAAGTGCATCCAAGTGCATTAAACCGGACTCCTTAACCAGCCCCTCGGTCTGAGGCTGTCTGAAGCTGTCATTCCCCATGGAGGAAAGTGGGCTCTGAATGGCTAGTCGTCGCAAGGATCTTCAAATCAACAAGCGTTTTGTGCTCATCAATGCAAGCCGCTGGTCGTGTTTCAAGTCAAGGGGCTGGCCTCGTTTTAGACCCAATACCAAACGTCGAAGCAAACCCCTGGAGTAAATCACCCAGGATTGGCAATTCTGCGAAACAACTCTAGTGGTACATTGCACGAATGAGGAAGGCATCATGTTGAACATCGCCGGGAACGGGCTTGTGCCCAAGTCATTTCCCCTCTTTGTGAATCATGATGCGACTCCAAGTGTGATGATGTTGATAATGCTCGTCTCCTTGAATTATTGTCGGAATTATAAAACGAGTGCTTAACCGTCATATTGTAGTCTCCTTTGTTCTACCTCAACCAACCCATCATTCCATTCCTTTCTTCAGAGGCTGCTCCTCTCCCTTCATTCACCCATTCATTCATTTCTAGACATACGCACATTCTTTCACTTAAAGCTGCGAGCGGCTTACCATCACCATGCGCGTCGTCTCCTCCGTCTCAGTGGCACTTGCTGTGCAAGCCACCAGCAGCTGGGCTGCTCCCCTCACGCGGGACGTGCTTGACTCTCACAAGGACATCGGTGTTGTCCTAGTAGAGGATCGATCCACTAGCAGTCTTGGGGATTTGCTGGGACAAATCCCCGGTCTTGATGGCATCATCAATGGTACCATTGGTGATCTCCTAGGCAAAATTGGTCTCGGGAGTGTTCTCGATGGAGGCCTTGATAACTACCTCAATGGCAGTGTCATTGACCTTTTGGCCCAAATCCCAGGCCTTGAGGGCGTTTTGGGTGGCGGTGTCGATGGTCTTTTCAACAGCACGTTCGGCAACATTGCACACAACATTTCTGGCCTTAACACGACCCTCAACGGCGATTTTGATCTCAGCAGCGCTCTCAATACTACCATTGGCGACGTTGTGAGCAACACGGGTATCCTTGATGGCGGCCTGGATGGTATTCTCAACAAAACAATTGCCGAGCTGGTTTCAAGCTTTGGAGTCTCTCTTGATGTGGCTGCCATTGGCAACAGCACAGTCCAAGATATACTAGCACAAATACCAGGCCTATCCGATTACTTCGGCGGTATCATTGGATCTCTCATCAATCTAATTCCCGGCCTAAGCGATATTCTCAAGCTCACTGTCAACGATCTTTGCATCAAGATCGGAATCAGCGGCGGATTAAACGGCGTTTTGAACGTGCCCATCAAAGACTTGTTGAGCCTGATTCCTGGGCTGTCTGGTGTAGCCAATGGCAACCTTGACGGTGCTCAAAACGTGACAATTGGCGGTCTGGTGGACAATATTCCCGGACTATCAAGCATCCTTGATGGCGGAATTGATGGTATTCTCAATTCGACCGTCAAAGATCTGCTCAGCAAGATCCCCGGCTTGGACAGCATCCTGAACAACGGCCTGATCACTAGCATTCCCGGTCTTAGCGACATCCTGAACAGCACTGTCAGCGAGCTCCTGGGTGGTATCTTCAATCAGACTATCAACGGCCTCGCAACCCAGTTCCCAGCTCTCTCCGGCGCTATTGACGGACTCAAGAGTATCCTTACTGGAACTGTCAGCAACCTGTTGGGCAACATTGGTCTCTCCAGCACTCTTAGCGATGGTACTGATGGTGTCCTGAAGGTTTCTGTCAAGAGTGTCCTAGACAACATCCCCGGTCTTTCTGACCTGATCGGTGGCATTGACGGCAGTATCTTGGACAAGATTCCTATCATTGGCGATCTCTTTGGAAAAAAGTCATCTTGATATTTTGATATGAATTTTACGTAAATACGTTCAATGCCTATGGGCAGGCAGGAAGTCCTGGCCTAGATTCGAACATGTCTCTTTTAACGTCTCCGCGAAAGCTTAACAATAAGCTTAAGAATACCCGAAACAAATTCTATATAGCTTTTTCGTCTCTTTTTTTCTTGAAATTATGATTCATCTGATTTAACGTTTAACACAAGAAAGATTATTGTTTTTTCAAAAATTCAGTTCTAAAAAGTGTCGTGATATTGCCTAGAACATGATGAACAATCACGTCTATCATCAGGGAAGCCAAATATCAAAAGCCGCTCGTAGTTTGGTGCAAACAAGGCTTCCTTAATCTATTTTTTTTTTTTTTTTTCAAATACAGCTGTATTGATTGAGTATCTAGCGTCTCTTTTTTTGCCAATGCCTCCATTCAAGTTCCCGGCCTAGTGCTTCCAGTTCCTTCGCTTCTTTCATGATTTTATACAGATTGACTCTACTAATAACATTAGATCTCTTTCGGTTTCACCGCCGAAATTTGCCGTCATTCCCTTTATTCATTGTTTACCTTGTTTGGAATCCATTTGATTTCCAGATTTCCAGTATTCTGCACTAACCCTCGGTGTGACCGTAGCTCTAACAGTAGTAAGTAAAGATTAGGCATCTTCGGGGCCTAGACAAGTTACAGATTGTAGTAGATCTATCCATGCCGGTAGTGCAGCAAATCTTCACTCAAAGTAGGAGTAGGCCAAGCACTAGCCGCATTGTTACATACTAACTGTGATCCGGCCCAAGAGGAAGCGCAGTCTAGGCCGCCTTGCCAGCCGGTATTTGGTCAATTATTTTCGAGTTTCTCTCACAGGTTGATATCAACACAAAATGAATAATCTTGTTAGTTCTAGAATCATAATGGGTGTTGGGGAGATTTCTGTCTTCCCAAGGCTTTCATTATTGTGAACATTCCAGCCGTGATGCCCCCGCGAACCCACACGAGCCTTGTAGTCATTATTAGGCTTGGTCGGGATTATCATTTATCCAACAGAAGAAACCCATCAAGGGCAAATATCAAGCAGTACTTGGTACAAGGTGCCATATCTGACTCTATATAACACGGGCGCACCACATCTTATCCCAAAAGACGGTATTATCCAATTGAACATCGGCTCTAAGCACTAGGCTCAGCCCTAAAACATTAACTTATGATTATTCTGCGGCTTACTCGTGGATGGCTCGAAATCGGCCAGTGACAATGGATCCAGCTCCAAGTGTCGTCATAGCTTAGGTTGGCGTCGTATTCAGATGGCCACAGAGTTCCCTATTGTGTATCGTGAACTTTCAATTTGCATCTCTATTTGGTAATAAATTTATTCCAATTCGGATTTAAGAAGTCGATACTCTAGTTTGCCGGATGATAGAGTGGCTCGTATCAACTTACGCGATCAAGATACTGTGATGCCCTCGGGGCCGACGATCACCGGCAGATGAAAGCCAGTACAGTGTACAATCTTAGCACTGGTTCGGGTCACCCGTGGATGGGTCTCGGTCTCCATCTGAGCTGAACAGCCACTTCCAGATTAGCATAATCTAGGCGGTCTCGATAAACCTTCACGCCACACTGTGTGTCGGGAACGCCATAGAACCAATCCTAGACCCCTCTCGGAGTAAAGCTGTTCTTGCATCAGCAGCTCGACTCGGATGCCGTGGCTGATTTAAGATCCCAGCTCCCTGGCTACCTCCATTTGCACGCCGAGCTGTCACACACACGATCTCCCCGTCCTCTTGAAACAGAGCAGCAAACTCGCCTCTTATATCGACAACACTCTCGATATGCCGTCCTTAATCAGGTCAGGCTTGTGGCTGCTGGTCGCCAAAGCCAGCAATGCCTTCGATATCATCCCTCAGTTTCCCGATCCCATGGCGACCTCCGTTCCTTACCTCGAGGAGCGTGATGTAGATTCGATGGTAGGAGTTTTCATCACGAACGGCCAGTATCAAACAATGTACTGCAATCCAGGACGAACCCCAATCGATGTCAGCGGACGGGTATTGTGTTCCTCGCCAGGCCTGGATCCCTCTAACGCATCGACGCCCGTGACGGCATGTTCAGATTCGTTCGCCCTTTTTGGTACTACATCGGTCGCCTGGTATGCTAGGCCTTCAAATCCAAGATGAAGCGGCGTCAGCTAATATTCCCTCCAGTACATACCCGACTACATGCGGCAGTATGAGACTCCTGCTAAGTACTAATGCTGCGTCGACTGAGACGTGGATCGCATGCGGCAGCGCTTTACCAGCCACAATCTATCGAAATCCTCCACCGATCACATCCGGAGCCACCACCACCACCTCCAGTTCTTCTACCATGACTTCAACGACTTCCACGACTTCCACTTCACCTCCTCCACCACCCCCCTCCCCCTCAAGCAAAGCTTGGATCGCCGGGCCAGTCATCGGCGGTGTGGTAGGCCTTGCTCTCATCGGAGTCCTGGTATGGTGGCTCATGAGACGGAGGAGGCGAAGAGCTCAAGCTCAGCAGCCCGTGTCGCAGGTCGCCCAGACCTCCGAGGTTCCAAAAACCGGATCGCCTGCCATCACCTCTCAATGGTCTTCTCCAGCACCAACATACGGCTCTCCTCACAATGGATACGCCCCTACCTCCCCTACCGGGGCGGCAGTGCCCCCTTACCCCCCGGGGCCAGGCTCACCTTCTCAGATGTCCTCATATGGGCAGGGTCCTTCCCCAGTCCACGGTGTCTCCCCTCCCCCTGGCCAATACGCTCCGCAGCCCCAATGGCAAGCACCCGCACTCATTCACGAGATGCCTACGCAGAACTATGACGGTCCGGTCGAATTAAGCGGCAATACCGGCTCTGCTGGATCTGGTCCGTTTGAGGCCCCACCCTCGAGTAAATAGTCTGTCACTGGGTGTTGAAGGCATGGTGAAGCGTAGCTCTAGAGTGGTGTATATTCATTTGTCGTGCATCACATTGTTATACCAGAAGCAGCGAAGGTAGTCACTGTTAAATTTACGTGTATTAATATCAAGATTGATCATATTCATCTTTGCAGCCTTGCATGAGCTGTCCCATCACATATTTTCTTACTCCAGAGACAAGAAAGATGTCGAGGAGATTGCCATTACTACCCAGCAATCCCACCGATCCGTAAGATCCGTGCCGTGAGATCCGCAAAGATGAACAGCGCCACCCGCTCGTGTAAGGCAGGCTGGAGCGCCACGTGAGTGAGATGGTCGATCGCACCCGTTTATGTAGGAATCAACGGCGCTATGTTCTAACGGACACATAACTCAGCTTCCCAAGCCAATACGAGACCCATCACGTTGGTTTCGTTTTATTATACAATCACCAGTGTGTTCACTCATCGATGTCAAATGCCTAATAGACAGCCATTTGCCATAGACACTGCCCAGTCCACGTTCCCCACAAGATCGAGGTTCCATCTGGGGAGAATACCGGTTGGCCTGCCCGTTGCCGCGGCCCACCACCAGTCTGCGGCTGGTAAACTAGCAAAGACCGGCCTGAAGCTACCGAAATCCAGATCACCCCCACACATCCACCACCTGGGGCAAGGCTGGCAAGCCGGTACGGGCAACTAACAGCATTGGTCGACATGTTGGAACTCAGCCGGGGTCCAGGCCTACAGAGCATTCCTGGCTTTGGTATGGCCAAACCTTTCTCTTTTCAGCTTTCCACAAGTGGAATCGACTTGACGCATGTGATGAATTAGTCCACGAAATGGATCAGCATAGCACCAGTTTGTACTAGGTCGTTTATTAGGGTGATCGGACTGCAATATGCTTTGGGAATTTGGATGGTGCCAACGGTAAACAAGCGGTACGAGGAGGAGGGAGTCCCTACTCGGCTCAGTTCTCCAACCAATTCGACCACGAGGTGTTCAAATCAAGATCCCCTCGTGTTCTAGATCTGAGACGACATCTCTTCGTGAGCAATCGGTTGGGGGGGGCGCTGATCTTTCCCACATAGAGCAAATGTCTAGGATCTCGATCATAACCTCTCCAGGTTTCGTGGTCTAGTTGGTCATGATTTCTCGCTAACATATTCTGTTACTTCCGAGACGGTCCCCGGTTCGAGCCCGGGCGAAACCACATTTTTGCCTTCTTTCTTTTTGCCCTCTATTAACATTGTGAGGGACAACATACTCGGAGTACATTCAGAAGCTTAACGAACGAGAGAGTTGAGAAAGGCAAGAAAAACTAGGTAAATTGGTAACTGTTTAATTGGTTGACGTCATAGTGGTCTTCCATCAAGTCTCTGTTTCATATGAAGACACTGACAATGCTCAACGAAACATTTCAATAACCTCAATCGCGAAGACAGAATGAATTGATCTTTTTTCTTTTTAATATAACTTTGAAATCGTCAGGCAACTAATACTTTATTGTTTTTAACATCTTGTTCAATTGTCCTTTGCATCAATCCACCGCATCGTAAGGGAGATATTGGTGGTATAGGGTAGTTGGAACATCAGGTAAATTGAACAGGGATTGCTGTCATCCTCAGACGCGCTCCTCAGCGCGCCCTTCTCCCTTCTCAATCTCATTAGCGCAAAGCAGGCAGCGTGTGACATGGCCTTGGTGGCCTTGATCTTTGTCAATAACAATGATGCCCAGCACAGAAAAAGTGTAGACCAATCACCGGATGGCGCACCCGAGCTTCATGCCACGAAGAACTCGGCCCGCGTGATATCTCCACCACAACCTGGAGATGGATTCCTTGTTGGGCAATTCCTTTCGAATGACACAGAGCGTGTGATGACACGATCGGGATACCTATATGGACGAGACTCGAGATTTGATGGGAGAGGTATAGCCCAGGCCGAAGACGACCAGAAGACATGGATGTCTGGGTTTGTGCTCGGATTGGCAAGCGTGTATGATGGCGCTGTTTGAGGAATAATGGTTTATGATTGCTCGGAGGATATTTATTTCATGAGCTTTGACAATCGATCATCGATGTAATCTTGTGATCTCGTGGACAATTGTCCTACTATAGCGTCTTCCTCCGTTGCCAGCTCTGTCATCTGCCAAAATTCTGTGGTCGTAATTGGGGGTATCTGTCATTCATGCCATCTCTACATCTTTACTCCTCCAGCATCTGTTTCATCTCTCTGATAAACTCATCCGCCCTCATCGTGATAGTCATATGACTCTCGCCCTCGAGCTTCCTCAGCTCAGCCCCGGGCAGCCTCGCAACCGCCTTCTCCGCCATCGCAACAGGCACGTTGACATCCTGATCACCATGCCAAATAATCAACCGTCCCTCGTCCACCTTGACATCCTCCAGATCAAATCCCCAGCTGCTCCCGAGAAGCCTCGCCTCCCACGCCGCAGAGTACGAACCACCGTGCATCGACTCCCTCACCGAGCGGACCATGACCTCACGCACGATTGGGTTCGACTTGTACAGATCCCTGTCCATCGCTGGGCGCCGCTCAAAGTCCTCGTCCATGGTCTTCTCTAGATTCTCCGGGTGGTCCATGTCGCGCGCCTTGGACCCCAGCATGCCGTCGAAGACGCGGCTCACGAGCCCCGTCGCGTGCGGCGCGATCCACAGAAGCGCGCGCGTGGACAACATCATGCCCTCGAGGCCGAGCGAGCTGGGCATGAGGGCGGCGACGAGCCCGATGCCGACGAGGCGGTCGCGCGGCAGGGAGCGGTAGCAGGAGATGGCAAAGGGCCCGCCGCCCGAGACGCCGATGATGGCGAAGCGGCGGATGGAGAGCTGGTCGGCCAGGGCGAGGATGTCCTCGGGGTAGTTGATGATGGTGTGGTTGGAGTGGAAGGTGGACTTGCTGCTTCCCGGCCGCGAGGGCGCGACGAGGCGCACGCCGTGCTGTGTGGCGGCCTCGTTGAGCAGGTAGGCCTCGTGGTGCGAGCCTGGGAAGCCGTGCAGGTGGAAGATGACGGGGGCTGTGAGGTCGTCGACGCCGTAGATGGCGAAGGCGAGCGTTCTGCCGTCGGGCAGGATGACGGTCTGGTCCTCGTACTTGTCCATTTTGGATGAGCGTCTGTCTGACTGCTCAAGATGGATGAGCGTCTGTAGATGAGTGTCCGACTGCCCGATGTGGATGAGCGTCTGAATGCTCGATTGTTGATGAGATTGTTTGGTGTTTGGAGATGGAGATGGCAGAACGCGGTGGAGAGGCACTACGTCAGCTGTAACGTGGCGGTATTTTGGCTGTTTCTGCTGCTCCAGTTACTCACGCGCGGTGCGGCTAAAACCATCCTCGTGCTACCAATATCTTCATGCATGGGGCCAGATCCTGGCACGTGCCGTTTCATCTTTAATTATTCAAGGCAAGAGTCTGTTTGATTGGAATGAATTCCACCCGCCTAAATATCCAGGGATGGCGCTCTCTCTATTGCAGCCTGCGCCTCCGATATGTTGCGATGGTCAAGCACAAAACGTCAAATACCTACTCGTAGCAAGAAACTCGCTCAGCTCCTCCTATTTTATTGTGTGCTGCTGATAAAGGCTCGAGTGTAAAAATGTTTTAGTTGATGTCGCCGGCTTGGTACCAACAGCTTCTCTCTGATGCACGCCATAATGTTACGCCTGTTAAGTGAATGGTTGAAAAACATATCTCGGTTCAAGCCAAGAGATAGCTATTTAGATACGCTTATTCAAGAGATCAGTCAAGCCGCCTGCGCTCACTCCAAAGAGGCTTATAAAGGATTTGGAATCTTAGACCTTCCAGATCTTGACGTTATTCCTGAAACAAGTTATCATGTTTCTGGAGCACCAAGAATTAGAAGTTTCTCGATGAGCATGGAAATAGGCGAGAACAGTGCATGAGAATCTGGGAAGAAACCACAGGCCTAATTTCACTTCACCAAAACTTAGGTTGCTCAAACCAATGGAAGAGCGCGAGGCTCAAGGTCGCTTATTATGTCCTCTTTTCAAGTCTTGATTCTTTGTTAGCCTGGGGAAGACAAGAGGGATGAAAAAAATTGAACGCTTACACCTTCCACTTAAGACAGGCATCCTATGGCCCTTAAGCTTTCATCATCATAGTCCTTAACCGTGCCTCAAATGGAAAGTTAAGTGAGGGGGCTGGAATTAGCCTGAGGGGGTGGTGGGCAATTTCTCGAGCCTTTCCCAACAGCTAACTCCCATGCTTTCAACTTTCCACTCTTGACAACCTGTGCTCAACCACTCTCCCAATAGGGAGTATATGAGACCATGGGATGTTGATTAAACTGACATATGTGTCTGGATAATTTGCATCAGTCCAAACATTCTCCTGAAAAATGAGTTGTATGGTTAGCTATGATAATCTGAATGGTCATTAAGACTTGAGTGTCCATTGACAAGCTTCGTGCGGATTAAAAGTCGCATTCCGCACGCTAGAGAATTCGAGTTGATCTAGACCCCGGACGGATTTGATAGTGTGTCCGATGGTGGTGTCTTCTGCACAGTCCCATCTTGCACTCACAAAAGGTGTTCTCGATGGACGTGCTCAAAGAATTGAGGCTCTGCCGTAGCTGCAGCTACCGGCTATCGCGTAGCCACTTGCTGATGCTAGAAGGCCAAGAAGCGGGAGGCCTTCGGAAGACGGCAATGTAGCGCCAGCCCAGACGATGGCGTGCTCAGATCCTTGTTTCGTCTAGAAGAATTTGACACACTAAACCTCGAGCCGGGGGTTTGTGATGGATCCAGCCGGTAACGGACCCTCTGAAGGGCTGCATGAACGGATGTTTCGCCCACCCATTTCAACTCAGCTCGGTCGGTGTTGATGGGGCAAAGAAAATAAAAGATCCCTTTCCTTTTGGACGAGTAGATTAGCTTTGATCATGGTTGCTTCCCACAGAATGCCTGTAAGTGTGACCACCAAGATTCACGAAAGAACGTACCCGGATGGATATGTCATTTTCCTTCTTGTGTTTCGAGCTCGATCTGTCGGTAGTAGTCTGACCTCAACCAGCAGGCCACCGGGATGGGGCCGATTCAAACGAGTCGACGCATTTGAAGGTCACTGTATAAACTGAACTAGCAATTCTGAAGTCTGAATCGCAGGGGCAGCCCGGCTATCTACCTCCCAGCCACCAATAAGCACGCAGTATTCCTCCGGGTTTCCGCTCATCCAGAAAACTCGATCTTCCATTCTTGGACGTCTTTGTTGATTCGTCCTGTCATACTCGCAGGCATCTCATCACGCAAGCGGCCCACCCCTTGGCGCCATGATTGATCTGCCCACTTTCCGTCTCCAAAACGTGCAGAGCGGCGAAAATCGACCGGCCGCCGCTGTAGATGGTGAGAGAGAGTATGATGACCTTTCTTTAATCAGTGGAGGCCGTTCGAAGAGCGTTATTTGGTGGAGATAAGATTGGTTCTATAGCTTATGTTTTATAAATATCGCCCGTAAGCCCGATCATTGCCACGTTGGATCTTCAAACATCTTCTCCATCTACATTGGTTTGGTTCCATCCTTCGCTTATTTTTGGCGAGACTGGTGAAAATGTCGGATACACAGTCCCAAGAACCCAAAGGGGCCGTTCAGTCTGTTGTTCAGGCTGACCGCCCAAAGCCAGTCCTCTCCGAGAAGTATGCCGACGAAACATTGCGGCTGGTCGAGGAGTATGGTGATCAAGTTGGCCCTCTGACACCTGAAAAGGAGTCAAAGCTGCGATTCAAGCTCTACCTGTATATGATGGGTCTGATCTCAGCTATAAATCTGTTGCTTTTTGTAAGACCCTGGAATCATATCCTAGATCGACGGCGAGGCGCTGACATGTTTCAAGATTGATAAATCGACACTCGGATATGCCGCCATTCTAGGCTTATTCGAAGAGACCGGCATCACTAAAGCCCAGTACAACGATCTCGGAACATTTTTCTATGTTGGTATGTTCTCTCCCTTCCTCGAAGGCTTACCCAGACTCTCAAACTCACCTCTCTTCGTTTAGGTTACCTTGCGGCACAATGGCCAGGGCATTATGCGATGCAGAAGCTGCCCTTCGGCAAATTCATCGCGGTTCTGGTCTTCATGTGGGGTGTCGCGCTCTTACTGCACTGCGTTGCAACTAAATTTGCAGGCCTAGTCGTCCTTCGTATCGTGCTCGGCGCCTGCGAGTCCGTCGTTGTTCCTGCTATGGAGATGACGATTGGAATGTTCTTCAACCGCAAAGAACAGTCCTTCCTGCAACCCGTCTTTTGGGTGACGACGCAATTGGCCCCCGTATGCGCTGCCTTTATTTCATACGGCCTGCTCTGGAGCCATAGCCACGTCCTCCCGTGGAAGCTCTTCATGATCATCACGGGTGGAGTGTCCATCCTGCTCTCCATCGTCACCTGGTTCTACTATCCCAACAACCCCGGAGACGCCAAGTTCCTCACCTTGGAGCAGAGGGTCCACACTATCCAGCGTGTGCAAAAGTCGAGCCAGAGTTCCATTGAGCAGAAGCAATTTAAGAAAACCCAATTTCTGGAGACGATTCGCGATCCTGTCTCGTGGCTGTTCTGTCTCCAGGCATTCACCTTGATGATGTCGAACAACTTGACCTACGGACAGCAGAATCTCATTACCACGGCACTTGGTGTGGATAATCTCGGTTCAACCCTTGTGGCTGCCGCAGGTGGTGGATTTGGTGTGCTGGTTTGCATTGCTGGAACCATTGCTCTCCGACTGTGGCCATCAAACCTCGCTCTTCACGGTTTGGTATGGTGTGTGCCTGCTATTGCTGGAGGTATCGGAATGGTGTCGATGGCCTGGGATCAGAAGCTCGGAATGCTCGCATGCTTGCTTCTCGCTGGGCACACCTACGGCAACACATATATCATCGCTCTTGGCTGGACCACGTCCTCGGCCGCCGGATACACCAAGAAGCTTACGAGAAACGTCATGTTCATGGTTGGATACAGTGTAGCCAATCTATGCTCACCTCAGATTTGGGTCCCGAAGGATGCGCCGCGGTATTATGGCGCTTGGATTACCCAGATTGTCGTCAGCTGGTTCGGCACTCCCCTCATTCTCTTCATCATCCAGTTCGTCCTCAGGCGAAGAAACAAGGCTAAGCAGCAATGGATTGATAGCCTGACGGAGGAAGAGAGGATAGAAAAACAGCAGGGAGAGGTAGAGCAACTGGATGAGAGTGGCAATCTAGTGACCCGAAAGGTTGATATTGCCATGTTGGATCTCACGGATATGGAGAACCCCTTCTTTGTTTATCCAATTTAAGAACGAAGAGAGTATACAGTGTAAGGACAATTCCTGTTAGTGGACTATCATATGAGAATCGGGTGGATACAATGCCAGTACTCGTCTTTGGGTGGTTCGATGAAAAAGCTATAGTTTTCTTGCTCAGAAATGATGTGAAGTGATGGTGTATGTGAAGTTGAAAATAGATAAACAATGAACAGAGATTTCTCAAATCAATAAAGCATACTATCCAAAGCTAAAATAAAGAGCGTTCTACAGCTCTGCGCTCTCCAAGGCCTTGGCCACCTTCCCATGCCAGCAAGGCAGATTCTTTGCAAGCAAACATCCTAGAAAACCAAAACTTCAATGAGCTTGACTTGATAGGAGCACAATGGGCGACAGCGCTTACTCAATGGAAAGGCCGCCGAGGTCGAGAGAGAGACCGCCGTTTCCTGGAACATTGACGTTGATACCGATTTTCTTGAGAAGATCACGGAAATTGCCGTTGAGGATACTGAGATCAACATTATCCCAGTTGAAATTCCGCCAGGGGTTGGGGTTTTGACCATTATTGTTCTGGCCTTGACCATTCCCGCCTTGATTGTTGTCACCCTGACCATTCCCTCCGTTGGAATTCTCATTCTTGTTCCAGTTGCCCCAACCACGATGATGTCCATTGCCCCAGGTGCGTTTGGATAGCCCGAGTTCACTAAGACCCAACTTGGTCCCACCATCTGGGAGAGATGCTATGATCTTGTCAATATATTCTTGAAGGCGATCGATGTAGTTGGCGATGTCATCCTCGGAGCTTATCCAGTCCTCAGAATTATCACGCTTGCCAGGGAGAATAGGAAGGTCCACATCAACACTGACAGGGAGAGCTTTGTTGATTTTCTGGATATAATCTCCTAGCCCAACGAGGTAGTCAAGGAGATTCTTCGACCCGTTTGGAATACCATTGTTTCCATTCCAGACTGAGGTTCTTTCCACAAGGGGCGCGGCGTATGCCGAGGTGCCAAGGAGGGTGAGCAGGGCGTAGGCTGGGCTGATTTGAGGAGATTGAAGATTGGATAGGTGAGTTGAGTAATTCTCTGTTATTTGTTTTGAGCTATTGAATGATTGATTTTCAAAGCAGGCAGGATTCGTGCTGATTTATACCTGGCGATTTGCTTTGTACCCTTGAGGTAATGCCATAGGCTCATTTCGTCATGTTCAAGATTACAATGATAAAAGATTGTTAGATTCTGTCGAAATCCAAAGGACCTAGGTGATGTAATAGGCATGGAGTTTACAACATATATCGGATAACATGAGACGTGCAGAGGATTGACTACATTGTGTTTGTTACTGCATCAGTCACGTCATAGCTGGCTACAGCTCCCAGACCAACTGGTATCTGAAGTAGCCACATTTGTGACGGATTTGGGTTCGATCCTCATGTCTTGACAGATGGGCCTTATCGTGGCGAATTCTTCGCGTGTTATGCTGGTGTTAGCAGTAGAAAACCGCCAAGAAAACCCTTCTGACCTGCCTGTTTGCGAAAGAGAGGCTCAAAGGAACGCTGATGACGCATAGACGATCCTCAATGGAACCTGAGAATAGCGATGAGGATCCTGTCCGGCTCCCTAGAGCTCATTGAAATAGAGTGATTGAATAACAAACGAGGATTTGGAGTTAGAATGCATCTGAAAAAACTAAGTTTCAGCTGTTTATGGTTGGAATGAGACAACGGCTGCGCGGAAATTGCCGCCAACGGGTGTCACGATTAGGGGCGATTTCTGTGTCCTCGGACGTTTTGCATGCCAGTGAATCTTCGCTGCCCTAGAAAGTATGCAGGTGGTCGCCTCATGACAGAAGTATTCCCGTTAATAACTCTAAATAAAAAGCCAGCTGTCAAGCATAGCGCCACTCGAAGCCTGTCAATCTTCGGTTCTATCGCTAGTATTCGTTAGTCTGGCGTAACCTTAAGAATCGGCAACTTTCATACTTAAAGCGGACTTGGGCATTCGGATTTGTCATTGTAACTACGTCCAGGTGGCTCATCTGTTGCTGAACTACGGGTTGACGATTAAATTCCCCTTCCCATTTAGACAACGAGTATTAACACGAGTCGCAGCCTCTGGAGGAAGAGGCTTAGTATAGACCAATCACGCCATAGAGAGGCTTTTCGACATAATAATTTTAAGTCCACCTTTGGAATTTAGACATAAGCGTCCTATTTCCATAATGAAACAGGCGGCTGCCTCAGTGATAGCAAAATCACACACAAGCCATAAGAAATAGCTATAGTTCCATTTGCCTCGCAAGACCCCGCCAGAAATTACATCTGTCGATCTGCAGTGATGGAATATTCTCCATAAATGTAGAGTTTGTCTCTAACTTGAGCCGTCGTCCCTGGGCTCCTCCATTGCCCCACGATTCCCACACTGGAGCTGTCTCATGTTTGTACTTGTTTGGGTCAGCCGATCGAACAAAGCTGATGTAATAGTGCATGGTGATGGGGATAATGGGTGCGTTGATGTTAAGGTATGATCCCGCGTAGCCTCCAGCGAACCCGGGCCCGAGGATCGCATCAGTATCGACTGCATGGATAGTACCCAAGCCAGCCTGGATGTTGGAAGGATCCTGCATGTTGAATCTATAGTTCCACACTTTGTCTGAGTGGAAGTGCCTGGCAGCGGCCTTGGCGACCTCATAACCGGGACAGAGAAAGATAGAGTCGCCATATGCCGCTGAGAGAGATGGGTACCACGCCTCATGCTGAGGTAATGGGTCTTGGAGGGGATACGTCTGCAGAATTTGCTTTACTTCGCTCTCTGTAAGTCTGGGGAAGTAGTTCCGGAAGAAAAGGGCCATTTCATCAGGTGTTGCAGGGTTGGTGACAAATACTGAAGCTTCATCGTTGGTATTGGCCACGAGCACTGGGACTTTGACGAACTGACCCCGTTCAAATTGGTCGTAGAGTGAACCGCGGATAAAATCACCATCTACCACAGGAAGCCAGTAAAACTGGTTAAAGGGTTCATTCGTCGGGGCTCCTGGTAATGGTTGCGAAGTGTCTCCCGCTACTATTGACTCCAAGTCGGCAGATCGCAGACAAGCCATGACGTCGGTAGCTTCACTGCAGCCAGTGTCATTGGCAAAACGGTCGAATTGGAATTCCGCTCCTGCAACAGTTCTCTGACTGGGCCAGAAGTTGGACTGAGGCGCTGCACCAACAAATAGCTCCTCATCTCGACCTCCATAAGCCGTAAGATGATGGGTTACCGATCCTGATCCGGCTGAGGTCCCCTGAATAACGACACGTGAAGGATCGCCGCCAAACTGTATTAGAACACCAAATTAGACATTACTCTTCACAGACTCTAGGCTTTACATACCTTGGAAATGTGCTCCTGAACCCACCAGAGAAGCTTTCTTTGATCCAACAATCCTACATTCAGATCTCCGTCTGCTCTGATCTGTTCACTTGCGAGGAAACCTAATACACCAACTCGGTAATTGAAATTGACGAAGATAATGTTGTAGCCAGATTCTCGAATCACCATCGATCCATCATAATCATGATCTGCATTGCTCGCGTAGCCACCGCCCTGGATATAAAGCCACACCGGAAGCTTCGAGTTAGAGGTCGCATTGGATGGCGTGAATACATTCACAAATAGACAGTCTTCGCTTATGTTGTCGCTCGGCGTTTGGTCTGATCCTAGACAAATTGCACCAAACTATGTAACGCAAGATAGTCAGTTCATGAATATGGGAGAAATTCCACCCAACTTACTTCCTGGGCGGTCTGAATGTCCGCAACAAGTCCTGGGTCTTGAGGAGCGCGGAATCTGAGATCCCCCAAGGGTGCTTCTGCATATCTCATTCCCAGATACTTGTCAACGCCATAGGCTCTGTCACGAATACCTTCATATTTTGCATACGTCAAATCAACAACAGGGTTTTCCAACTTGGGTAATATAAATAGAGCCGACGCCCTTGAGAGGATGAACAACTGTGCGAGAATTTGGTACCACATCTGTTTATTCTAACGTCTGGGTTATTTGTTATGGAATCAAAGTGAGATAGACATCTTGCATTCTCATGGCTATTTATTACGAAAGGTAGGATGGATACATATACCGGCCGCTCGGCACAAGGTACGCTAATGAGGTCACGATGTAGTATCCTGGCCTGCAACCTACCAACCAATGCGGGGAAGATTAGCCGGAGGGGAATTGATCTTGAAAGAGGATTTGGTTTTAATTCCGCTGGAAGGTTTTAGTATTTCCATACTTTGAGTCTACATGAGGTATCCTAAACTAGGTATTGCACAGGCATCTGGCCACATCGTATGTGAAACCAGCAAGTTATAATGAAAGAACACTAAGAGAGCCCCTAAGAGAACCCTTAAGAAAACCTCCCAGACGTAAAAAATTCCGGATAAAAGCTTTCTATTCGGCCCTTTTGAGAGAGTCGTCGAATGCTACCGTTGTATTGGCTAACTGAACTACTGAAGGTGAGAATATGGATCGGTATCGGGTGAGATCTCAGCGACCTAGATAATCATCATGTGACTATTATATAATTGACAATGAGCAGAATCGCACACACCAACGCTTGATTTACTTCTTCGCGGATATCTCATATTTTATGTCAAGCTGCGGGAGTGCTGAGTCCTAACATAAGCGAACTCATTCGCATGTCGACGAGCACCTCAAAGTGAGGACGGTAGCTCGTACAACCGTTGTCTGAAAATGTCGATATGCCAGCTCCCACTGGCGTCATACCCAATATCAAATAGACTCGTACCAATAAAGACCAATAAGACCAAGGGCACCGATACTGCGAAAAAGGTCCAGAATTTCTCCATTCCGGGCAGATACTCATCAGACATGCTAAAAAGACCAGTTGTGAAAGCCAAAGGGATGAATACCATGCCGACGAGGGTCAAGGCCTTGACCGCTTTTGCTTCACGGATCGATCGTCTTGTCTCAGCCAGTGCCTGTTCGTTTCCCACAATCCCCGTCAAACCTGTGAGTGACTCGTTGAAGAAAAGTGCTCTTTCTACGAGCCTGTTTAGCTCATGATGAACGTATTGAAAGTCAAGGCTGGACTCTGTCCACGTAGTATCGCTGATGCTTCCTCTGCCCGGATATTCTAGAGGGATGTCTAGCTGAGTCATAATGGAGGAAGCGGTCTTGAGATAGTGAGCACAGCGGGCGCACATGAGTTGAATATCGCTCCACTGCTGTTGAAGTTGGGTGATTTTCAATTGACCAAGTCCAATTATTCGCTGAAGCGGGTATTCCATTGTTGCCAGATTGGCCTGGTGATAGGATATGAGCTGTAGGAAGTGTGAAGCTATAATTTTCTTCATGAAGACAGTCGCGTGTTGAGGCAGCTTCACGCCCTCTGGGAGAGTATCGTGTGCCGTGGAAAGATAATAGCAAAGGTCGTCATGCAGCCCATCCCTCGGAGGGCCTTGAAATTGGTCATCTGGATGTAGAGGAAATGAACGAGGGACGAAATCAGCATATCCTCCTTGGAAAGGGGTTGTCTTCATATTGATCATGTCGTATTCCCATTTCGAGGATGCCTGCTTAGACCAGAGATGGGCCTTTCTGATCGGGGGATCGCAGAGTATCAATACTGCTCAGAAGTTAGGCATAGATTCGCTATAGTAATATTTCCCTTCTAAGGCTTCCTCGTTTGACATACCTGACCAGCTATTGGTATCCTGGTCCTGAAGCGTAGTGGTCCAGGCCGAGCATTTCTGATGAAGAATAATTGGGTACTCCCATCCCTGCGCAAGTCTGCTTGTCCACATGTCTCTCCCACTCTCAGCACATGAGACGTTGAAGGACTCGAACCTCCTATCTGGATTTCGCAGCTCGTGGTACCCCATCATAATAGATTGGTCTTGGTTCAGAAGTGAAGGCAGACGAGTTATGGTGCTTGGTTCGAAGGGAAGACTGAGATCGGCAGAGTTGCGGTCATGGTCGGCGAAAAACCTTGGATCTATGCGGAGAGCATCGCCAAGTACTGCAATATACGCCGGGTTAAGTCCCTCCAACAAGTACACATTTCGACCCGACCGGTTGTTTTGGAAATGAAGCGCGAGTTTCTCTGGGCCGTCGACGCCAGTGAAGTCGCTGCGCCGAGGAGCACCATCGTCAGAAAAGCTAAATAGCGTGGCTCGAGCCGATCTATTACATAGCGGGACCGCATAGTTTCTCGGATCAGGGAGACGAAGTGCGGGCTGAAGATTACATGATGCTTTGATCTTGCTCAAGTACGGTTCGTCCGTACATAGCCAGCTCCCATCATCCCCCTCTCTGCGCGGGTCGGAAGCGGGGGGACCATAAGCGAGGTCCCAAGATGTGGTATGCGACATTCTTAGCGTGTTTATTTGCGTGGGCATATGCCTGAGCACGATTGACAAGAAGCTGTACTCACTGATCAGCCTAGCGGGGTGAAGAGATTTTCAAGTAAGCCCAGCCAGCGCGTCAGACAGGCATTGGATGATCATTGACCCCACTGAGCATCCAGTGAGGCTCACACAGCCTAATCCGGAGTTGTCATGATACATCTCTGGCATGCTGGAAAGGATTCAATGTGCATGGGTTTGGGGAACAATGTATCTCTAATGTTTTCAATTTTTAATGGCTAGTCTTGGCAATTTTTGCAGCCTCATTTAGAGTTATACAAGCAACCTGAATCCTCTGAACATATCAAGGCTTGAAGAAAATCAAACGCCCTCATTATACACTGTTTATTAAAAAACAAGACACCAAAATCAATTCCTGTACTTGAACCTGATCGATGGCCATACAATCTGAGCTAAGATTAAGCCAAGGGGGGGGCCGATACAAAACAACTGGTTGCATTTTTATGCTGCTACACAGTATCAATACGGCGTCAATGTATCGATATTACCACCCACAAAATATAACTCTCGTCCTAATCCTCTTGAACGGCAATGCGGCAACATTTCAGCTGGATCTCCTATTTTGCGGAACATTCACGATCAGAAAATAACGCAACGCTGTTTGTAGCATAGACAAATTGCTCGACCTTTGCGTTGTAAAGCCTACACTTGGAATCAAGGTTAGGAAGGAAAGCTTTGCACTGCTGGTCCTGAAGACATCTGTCACGACAAGAGTTGTACTCAGTGATCGTATCTATTGTAAGATACGCCTGAATGTTCGAGAAGCCAGCGACTTCGCACGAAGGCGGGCGCACGGGACAGTCCCTATCAGAGAAGTAGGCAAGGGTGCCTGTGTTGCCACCTACGCTGACGAACTGAGCAACAGCCTGGGAATAGAGCCAGCATTTCCCTTGATAATTTGGAAGAAATGCCTTGCATTGTGCATCTTGTTGACACCTCTCGTGACAAGAGTTGTAATCGGAATCTTCATTCGTAGAATAGTACGATTGGGTTGATGAAAGGCCCTGAATATTGCAACGTGGCGGATCAGGAGCTTTCGCAGGGCAGTCTCTGTCCGAAAAGTAGGCAAGGGTGCCTGTATTGCCACCCACGCTGACAAACTGGGCCACGACTTGATTATAAAGCCAGCATTTGCCTTGATAGTTTGGAAGAAAGGCTTTGCACTGCTGATCTTGACGACACCAATCGTGGCAGGAATTGTAGTCGGAGAACTCGGTTGATGAAGCATACCACTGAATTGCTGATAACCCCTGGACATCACATCGCGGCAGATCAAGAGCCTTTGCAGGGCAATCTCTATCAGAGAAGTACGCAAGTACAGGTGTGTTGCCACCGACGCTGACGAATTGGCCTACATTCTGAGTATAAAGCCAGCACTTGCGTTGGTAATTCGGAAGAAAAGCCTTGCATTGCTGGTCTTGGCGGCACCGGTCACGCCAGGAATTGTAATCGGAGAACTCGCTCGTCGAGGTGTAAGATTGAATTGCGGATAGACCCTGGATATCACATTTTGGCGGCTCAAGGGCCTTGGCGGGACAATCTCTATCCGAGAAATAAACCAGCTCAGGCGTGTTTCCGCCAGCTGCAACAAACTGCGCAACGGCCTTTGTGTAGAGCCAGCATCTGCGCTGATAGTTTGGGATGAATGCTTTGCATTGGGCATCCTGACGACAGCGGTCACGACAAGAATTATAATCTGAAAACTCGTTCGTATTGAAATATGGTTCGATGGAGGATATACCCTGGATATCACATTGCGAAGGAGTAGGAGTAGCTGTCGTTGATAGGCTGGTTGTAGTCGCTGGTGTTGACACAGAGGAACTGGAAGTCACTGGGATCGAGGTTCCAGGCGAATTCGTTGTGTCGGGGGAGGTAGTGAGACTAGACACGGTTGATGTCGAAGGAGTGGTCGTCGAAAAGATATCAGGTGTGGTTGTTGAAATGATAATGGAGGAAAATGAGCTTGTACTTGATATTGATGCGAATGACGAAGTGCTATCGGAGGCAAAGACGGGGGTTGTCGATCTTGTTTTACAGCGCCGCTTGGCATGAACTCCAGGAGCGCTCAACCCCAGAACAGCGAGGACCAGGAGCGTCTTCAAAGACATTGCACCTGTTGATCGTCGCCAGGTTTGGAGTTGAAGAGCGTATGTTGCAGAAAAGCAATACCAGAATCGAATCTGGACGGGACATCTCTTTTCATTTGTCTCGAACGGCTCTAGTCTCACCCTCTTCTTCGCCAGACTTTCAGCTGATGGGGGCGTGGGCCCTCGTAGGGCAGGTTAGCAAGATCAGCGTCGATCTAGGCTGGACCGAGCTCAGGGGCATCTCTAGTTGCAGGTTCCATTTCGACGCCACAAGAAATAGTTCCGCCCTGGAAGGACGCTGGCTTTTAAGTCTCCAATCATCGATCAGCATACGCAGACTAAGCGAGCAGCTGAGAACGGCGATTTATTTCTATGGCCTCCCTTGATCTGGAGGTAAGAAAAGCCGGCATTTTTCGAGTCACGTAAGAAATCTTTTTAAATACACTAGAATTCAACCCATCAGACTGCCCCAGGTGATTGTAGCAGTTCGGCTTTCCAGAGCATCTGCCACCTAAGTGTTCACAATCTTCAGAAGACCGTTGATGTTCTTCAAAAGCTCGCAGTCTATGGAGTCTTGGGACGGAGAAATTGAAATGAGGGGATGTTACATGGAGCACAGACGGCCCATAAAGTTAGGGACCACGAGGAGCAGCAGCCCGATGAAGAAATTCAACGCACCATTGAAGAGACACAAGACGAGTTCGAAACAGTTAATGGCACTGGAATCAACGGAAGCGCACAGCCTGAGGGCGGTAATGGAGGGGCTCACGATGAAGAACCTCGTGATGAGGTGCCTAACCAAATCGCCAACTGCGAAGTGGCAGAGCCGAATGAGGTCCGGCCTGATGCTATCTCCAGCAATGAAATTGATGCAGAACCTAGTCATCAATCTTCAAGGGAGCCTGAGGACAGCAGAAAGGGCTCTTATGACTTAGACTCTGAGTTTGAACCTGAGATCGAAGACGATTCAGAAGAGGGAGACGACGGATATACAATGGGTTCGAGGGTAGACAAAGAACTTGTTATGCCAGGGGTAAGAGATATACCACTCGCATGAAGGATCCTTGATATACTAATTCGTTAACAGAGCAAACGAAAACTCTCTTATGCGAGCCGTTCTCAGCCACGAAAGAAGCCTTGCCAGAGGGTAAAGTCGCCTACTAAGTGCCAAAGCAAGGAGAGAACCATCCGCTTTAAAGAGGTCTATGAAAATACTCGAGCTGGCCGCAAGGAAATAATTGTACAGTTCCCTGCGAATAACGGTCGATGGTATATAATTCGATGTGAGGAACACGGAATCGAATTTAGTGGCAGCAACCCACTCATGGATGCCGCATTTCATCTGGGCAGCCTGAAGCACGATAAATACTCAAAGGCCTACAAGGACGTTATCGAGAAGATGGGTATACGAGTCAAGTACTGTACGAAGAGTCGTGCAGAGCAAAATAATAACGCCATTACGAACAAAGCTGGTCAGAAGAACTCGCCAACGTCGACGGATCGGACTACATATAGCAGTCGGGACACGGAGGATACCCTCTGCGACGACATAGGGGCTGAAATATCACCCTACGACGATTCTAACGAAGGCAACGAGAACTCATACGTACGTCGTCAGCCTGGCGACATATGCCTCGTCTATCATTGTGGAGAAAGTATCCCAGTTCTCGTCCTTCCTTTTGACAAAATGATTGAAATTGGGATCAACAGCGACCTCAAGACACTGAATCTGGTCCAGACCATGCCAGACTGCTGTATCTATAACCAACTCACAGGCAAATACGGTTGGAAGGATGGGTACGAGGATGGTGGCCGGCTCGAATCGTTTAGAGCTCACCCTGGCCTATGCCTGACCCAAAGCACCCTGGAGTTGTGTCCCCCATTATGGGTAAAAGGAACAGACCTGGGAAACTTTGATCTAGAAGACCCTATGATTATGAAGCAGGGATACTACCAGCCGCTATTACGCCTCATACTGCAGGTACATAATAATCGGGCAGCTAGCAATGTAATAGCTCCAGGCAACCAGATTCCCTGCAGCTCGGGAAATATTGCAGATGGGACCGATGGCGAAAGCTGCGTGAGCCCGAGAGTGCATGGCGGAGAGATTCAACCTGTTAATTCATCCAAGCAAGGCGATGATGTTGACGACGGTCCAGAGGATGGCCGCTGTGGCCAAACCGATCGACGAGTAAACCAAGAGGACAACCGCCTACCTTCGGATAGCGAAGATGACCAAATCAATCGCCCCTCGGAATCAAGCGAACTGGGCTCGCGTAGTCTCCAGAATGATGGGGGTCAAGTGGGTGAACCTCAACCGGGAAGTGAGGCCAACAGGGATCGCTCGCTCGGACTGGAGGAATCACACGCTCTAAGTCAACAACCCGCGTCAAACTACACACTTGCAGCTTCTGACGATAGGCAAATCAATGGCTCGTCTACAAGTCGCCCTAGTATAGCCTCAAGGGCGGCTACAGCCCGTGAATCGTACATGAGCCATGCGGAATCTGGAGACGAATCAACAGCAACCCCCTCAACGGAGAGAAAGAGCCAGAGTCCACCGCCGACCATCGTGAGATCAGCCTCAATCCAGACCATCTCATCCGACTCAGTTAGTGGAATCGAACAATTAATGACAGGAGTAACTCGCAGTGATTCCGAGGGAATGACACGCGATAGCTTTGGCAATCTGCCAGAAAACCAAGCTGCCTCTGTTCAACCTGGCCCAATGCGACTTTCAAACAGCCCAGAAAGACTGCCTATGTCTAATTCTTTGGCACCAGATCGTACTCCTGCGGGCCAAGAAGTGACCACAGTTGCGGGAGTTCCTCATCAGCAAGCAATGAAAGTTGAATATGCAGTTTATATACCACCACCCGTTGGAACTCAGAGTGCCATGCCTACAATGGGAAATATAGAAGGACCTCAGCAAGTTGCAAATGGTTCCTGGCCATCTACTTGCCCGGGAATGGTGGTCAGCCCTCCTGCCAAAACTTCGGCAACCACAAGTCAAACACAGTTCATAGACTTAACAACTTCACCACCGGTCGGGGCTTGCTCCTATTCCGCGCTCGACACCAGCAACCAAACTCCCCACATGCAGATCCACCAGATTGGCGAGCTGCCAGTTTATCGAAACATGTCGCAACAAGTGGCACAGACTAACTCTCAGAGGCCCAGCTGTAATCAAGGGTGTCAACCCCAGAGTCAGGTTCCGTCTCAAGGACAGGTTGAGATACCGACGTACGGTACTCCGCCCATTCCGCAAGCTGGACACACTTTGCATCAGGCCCAGATGCAATATCAGATGCAGACTGGGTCTTATGCGCCACCCCAACCTGGAATACAGCACCCACCTCTTCACTCTCAATTCCGAGACCAGTCTCAATTCCAACCTGGGATACAATTCCAAGCTCATAATCAACCACGGAGTATGCCAGCCCAGTACCATTCTCAGCCTCAAACTCACCCACAACCACAGTTTCCGAATCAAATCCATCCTGGCCCTCATAACCCGCTTCAGTCTCCCATTCAAACTCAGCTACTGGCGGGACCACAGTCCCAGGTTCACTCCTACAGTCCAACACAGTCTTTCCCTCCAGTTCCGCCTCAGCCTCAGGGACCGCCTCAGCCTCAGGGACCGTATCAGCCTCAGGGACCGTATCAACCTCAGGGACCGTATCAACCTCAGGGACCACTTCAACCTCAGGGACCACTTCAACCTCAGGGGCAACCTCAGTCCCAGGGACCACCTCAGCCTCAGGGACTATCTCATCCTCAGGGACCACCCCAACCTCTGCAAGGACTTCACGTTTCGCCTGTAGTCAGTCTGCAGACACAGACTCAACCACAGATCCAGCCTCAACCGCAAGCTTGGTCGGAAACTCCAACAGCTGTTGTCCCCAGATCCGATTCGCATTCGCCGATCCAGCCCCGTGCTCGTCGGACTCCCATCATCCGGCTTCGGCCTCCACAATCAAGACAGACCCAAGGCCAACCAAAAACATCACCAGAGAGTAACGCGGGATCACCCACTTCCACCCTGGCAAAGGGCGGACAAGTAAGCCCCAAGGTACTCTCGACTCCAGGGTCCGGCCCCTACATCTCCCCTCCATTCTCGGCAACTTCCACCTCACCCACCGCGCCCGTAATGGGTGGCCTCTCGAGCCCCGAGGATGTCCGCGAACTCCTGGGTCCGCCCAAACAGACCGCTCTCCCATGTATGAACGTGCCCCCACCGGTGAACCTGTCAGTCGCAGAGTTGGAAGCGGAGCGAGCCCTGCAGAAGAACTGGCCCATGTTTCCGCGTGGACCGCTGAGAGACTACCTAGATGCGTATGTGCGGATGAACAATCGAGCTCCAGGTATCGAGGGCCTCAGGCTTGTGGGTGGTAGATCTATCTACTTTTGCCTATTTTGCCTGACGAGCACGGCGCAATGGAGTTCGGGGCTTGAGTTGATCAACCACCTTGACAGTATGCATCGAACTGGGTAATTCCGGCCACTTAACACTTGGTAGTGTCTATTGATGGACTGATGGATGCATCTATCTTCTTTTTCTGCTTCTTCTTATTTTTTCTATTTCTCTTTTCTCTCTCTCCTTTTTTTTTTTTTTTTTTTTAGAGTGTCCCGCCACACTGAATGGTTGAGAATGTACTTTCGCCGTTACGTGGGATGGGATACAGGCATGGAGTAGGTTGGTACCCAGGAGGCAGCTTCATCTTGTGTGAAAGGGCTAGAGGACTGTTTGTGTTCCGATATTTATGTTTAGTATAAGAGTAATGTGATAATTATTCAATATGTTCAAGTTGAGGGTTGCAAGGTACCAGTCAAGGAGCAGGCTTTGTGTGCCTGAATTAATTTTCATTTTTCTCATTACTAAGTAGGCTAAAAATCTTGTATCGCGAAATATTCCCAATTAGAGGGAGCAGTGCACTTGCCAGCATTCAAAATAATATCAAGAGTTTTCTGATGATGGAGGACTCGATTCGATGTTGGGTTGTTATTGGGGGATTTTTTTTCGTAATTTTTTGGGGGGACGGTTTGCTCAATTTGTTTTTGGTTCTCTTCTTAGACGCATTACAAGGCAAGCATAGCGGCGGCGACAGCCAAACCAGCGCCGATGAGCGGCTTGGTGGCACCGCTGCCCCCATCGCCGCTCGTAGTCGAGGGCTGTGAGCTCTCCGTGCTGCTCTGGGTGCTGCCGGAGGTTTGCGATGCGGATGTCTCGCTTGCAGAGTCCGAAGCGGATGTTCCGGCGGAAGTGGTGCTTCCAAGGAGGCCGGAGGAGGTGACGGAGGAGAGAGTGGTCGGGACGGTGATGGAGCTGATAAGATCTGTGGTGGTACCGGACGCTGAGCCTGATGTCACCGTGGCCGACGCAGTGGCCGAGCTCAGGATGTCCGAGATCCTGCTCAGGGCGCTGGATGGGATGTCGGTGACTGAAATAGGCAGAATGGAGTAGAAGCCGGTGGTGTCTTGTGCGGAAGCCAGGGCGGCGGCGGTGGCAAGGATGATGGGTGCGGACCTCATTGTGTCAAATTAAGTTGGATGAATAGAGGTTGATGAAACAGACAGCTGATGGATGGATAGACAGGGGATGATGATAAGATGGATGAAGGGGGGGAGAAAGAGTGCTGGATTGGAGAGCAGATGTAGGCTACGAATTATATAGACCATCTTACGTGGCCACCTACAGATGTGCACACTACAGTGGCACAACGAAATACGTACAGAGACCAAGAACAATCAGCATGGCGGGAAGAGAAGGCCAAGACGCGGGGGCTGGTGGTGTTGGAGGCGTCATCGCCAACCTCACAGGCTGTGATCGCCTTCACAACGGCTATTTATTGGGCAGCCGCCGGTACTCTGAAACACCCCATGATGGACAAAGAAGGCAGCTCCTAAGCATGACGTAAATCTTATGCTTAAATCCCACCAAAGGTTCCACGCCTGTGCGCTCATTGGCTTTGTTGGGCTGGAGCTGAAAGGGCAAGAGGAAGGTCATGCAAAAGGTCACGGCGGCTTTCCTCTTTGATTCAGTGGCATGACAGAAGCTCGTATTGTGTGTGCTGTAGCCCGTGAATCGTGTCTGCCTGTGAGGCCTGAGCCGTACGACAGGGGGAGGGCTGATCGCTCGTCTGCGCCACTGCGGATCACAGCACTGTGAGTATTGGCCTTTTGGGCGGGGGCTGGCTGTAGGATTCATTAATAATAATGGATGTGAATTTCGTCAATCTGCCTCTGAGCCTAGCAAACTTGCCATCATCATGTTGTGCCATTTGCGGCGTGGGTGTTCTACCCCAACAGTGTAACTCGAAGTTGAGCACTGCGCCTCCATACTTGAATTGATTAGTGGATGAAAGTCTCACTGTTCTCGCCCTCAGGGACTTTGTTTTGGGGCAGTGCTCACACTAGAATAAGCCTTGTACGCAGAAATCTGGCGGCTGATATGCGCATGGATATCGGATGCGCCCATGCATCCTGCACTGCATAATGAATGTATGTGCGAATAAGCTCATCTCTCTTTATTGTTCGCAATATCATGCTGCGTGTGCTCCCGCTATGGAATGCCAGTCGAGAGTAGACGCATCTGGTGGAAGACCCTCTGTCTTGGGATGCAGACTCGATGAGCGTGATTGTGGCCGGGCTTCATCATCTTCACAGTACTACTGAAAGGCCGCCTAAATCACCCGAAGCTCGGTGGTTCTAGGCTCCCGGGGGCGCTCTGGAATTCGGAATATCTTTGATACCTAGAATCTACTCATGCCCACAAAATGGATGGAGATTTCGTCTATTTGTCCAGGAACGGGATAGCACACCTAGAATAGCCCCGTATTTGCCCAGATGGAAGACATCCTATTGGTGCTTGGGAAGATAGTTCCTCGATGGATCATGGGATACACATGTTCTGATATTGCCAGGCACTAGATGGGCTTTATAACCGTCCTAAGTAGCTCGCTGCCCGTTGCCATTCTCCTTCTGATCTCATCATTCTTGAAACTGCCCTTGATTGCTTTGTTGAACAAGAATGGTGACACGAGAACGAGTGCCTAAGGCGACACAAGCCCACGACATTATCATGGCTAATCCCAGCCAACCGACCTTGGTATTGGTCCCGGGCTCATGGCACAGGGCTACCTGCTACAACAAGATCACCAAAATCCTCCAAGCAAGATACAAACTTAAATGTATCCAAGTCACACTTCCTTCTACAACCGGAGACCCCGATGCCACGTTCAAAAACGATGTTGATGCCGCCCGTGACGCAATATCTAGCGAAACTCGCGCCGGCCGCAACGTCGTGGTTGTTGCGCACTCATATGGAGGCTTGGTCGGGAATAGTGCAATCAAGGGGTTTGCACCATCGCACGACCCTTCCCTTGTCGACTCGTTCCAATCGACGTCGACCACAGGTCAAGTTATTGGCCTGATTCTTATCGCCTCTGGCTACGCCCTCACCGGTGTCGCTTTCATGGACCCTTTCTTCGGTCATCCGCCCCCTAGCTGGCGAGTAAATAAAGAGACCGGATTCGCCGAGATTGTCCTCCCGCCACGACAATTCTTCTACCACGACTTGCCAGAAGACGAGGCAGAGTACTGGGCGTCGCAGCTGACGCCCCACAGCCTCAAATCACTGTTAGAGGGAGGGGAGTTTGTGTATTCTGGCTTTAGGGACGTGCCGTCATGGTATATCGGTACGATCGAGGATCAAGGTTTGCCGGTGGCGGCACAGCGAATGACAGTGGCCATGGCAAGAGGGATGGGAGCCAGTGTTGAGCACAGGGAGCTACGGACCAGCCACTCCCCGTTCCTGAGTCGACCCGAGGAGACTGTGGAAATCATGGTGGAAGCTGTCGAGGCCTTTACGGGGAAGCCGGTAACGAAAGATGGATCGAAGACGCGAGCACGTGGCACAGATGTGGTCGTGCCCGAGGTGAGGCTTTGGAAGCCTTTTACGTGGTATAGGTTTGGGCTACCGTTACTCTTTGGACACTGTTTGGGGAAGTGTGTATTAATCTTCCAATGGAGTAGAAAGCTTTGGAGGTCTAATTAATACGGTGGACTCTGATGGTTGGGCTTGGCCGGTCTTGGCCGGTCTTGTTTCCTTATACTAGAAATCTTGTTTGAGTAGATAATATCATATTAGACGAATCAATCCCTCTCATTTTTCCGTTTTGGAAATTCAACGAGAAGTTTTCTAGGTTTGTGAGTAATATCTCTGCATAAAAATACAAATGGTATGTCCTTGCGACTGGTAAAGTCCATCAGAAGGATGAGCCGATGATGGGTGAGCAAGCAACATGACACAACCATTTGATGATAATATTGATGATGTTAAGGTTCACTCATTGTAGCCCGACGATAGAGTCACCATGGGGTTCACTGCGATTAAGCCTCAGAGCAAAAAGCTTGATATTCGTATCTTGACCCTGTCGTCCGCATGATCCCTTTCACGAACTCTAATCCCTCTAATCAACGCTACTTAAGAGTTGCCATCCCTCGTGTTTGAGGAAACACCCAACTTGCTACACAACCAAAGTTTTAACACTTCCCGCTTACAGCAACACACCAAAGTCTTCTAGCACAATACCACGCACACAGTCCAGCAAAAGCCGAGTCCACGCCAAAACATTACGATATTGTAACAACGACATCGCCATATTTAAATCAAAATGTATCTTAAATACCCTACCGACCTTCCATCCGCCACGGCTACAATCCAAGAACTCTCAACGCCGTCGACTGCGCCTACAGTCGAGAAAATAGTTCCTCTTCACCCTGGAGAGTTTCTCATCAAACTCAAGGAAGATGCTGACCCCGACGTCTGGAGGCATGTCAAGTGGGACGAGGACATCCACGGCAAGAGCTCTGCCGACAAGGGAATCTACACGGGTCTTGAGGAAGTTCTGAAATACTTGGAGAAAGAGGGTTACATTGGTTCGTATGACGATGATGTTCTGGACCAGATGAAACAGCACCCAGATGTAGGAAAAGACACTTTGAAAACTGGTTTTTGTTCGCATGCTAACTCTCCTGCAGACCAAATCTCTAGGGGATTGCCTGTACACATGGAACGAAACCGTGCTTGAGAAGAATGAGCTTGGTGAGACGATTGCCAAGGATGTGCCATTGTTCGGAACCGAAAGAGTCGACCAGAAAAAGGGGGACCGCAAAGAGAGGGGTAAGGGAAGAAAGAAAGAAAAGATTAAAAAGCAGAAGGAAAAGGAGACACAAGAGGGGCAAGGGAAGGAGCAAGAAGATCAGAAGCAGGAAAAGGACCAGGATGATCAGATAGAAAAGGAGAAAGATGAGAAGAAAGATAAGCAAGAAAAAGAAGAAGAAGAAGAAGGAAAGGAGGAAGAAGAAGAAGAAACAGAGGGGCAAGAGCAAGAAGAAGAAGAAGAGGAACAAGAGCAAGAAGAGGAAGAACAAAAGAAAAAGGAAGAGGAGAAGGAAGAGGAGGATAGAAGAGCAGCTCTAGAGAAGGAGCAGAAGGAGGAAGAGCAGATCGACAGAGAGCATATGGACGATGCTGAGAAGAAAGCGAGAGAGAGGCACAGGATTGAAGAGGAGGAATGGATTGAATGGTATCACTGGCTTGCTGTGCTTCCATTGTTCACGTGTGTCGTCTCGTAGGAGGCGAGGGGTGTGGTTTCCTTATGTAGGCACGCCTTTTTTGTATAATCAGATGAAGGTTTCTTTATTAATGAGAGCATTTGCCCTTGTATTATGGTAATGCGGTCTATGGGATGTTGCAAACAGGGGGCCGCTTATGAAATACCCAAAACATGAACGGGCTTGGTGGGATGTATGTGGAGAATGCGGGTGAGGAGATAGCCATTGAAAGACGAGCCACATTGGAGATCTCGATCAAACCGACTAGCCTATCCTGAATAGAGAGGGAGATGGAAAGGAAACGTGATTTGTGGAAATGGCTTAATTAGCCGAACATGGGTAAATTGGAGGCCTGTGTGTGGATGAAACGTCTTCTCTGTCTATCGCGGGGTTCTTGAAAGAATATATAAAGATGATGACCTGAGAGACTCGCATTGCTGGATACATTAGAAAAGGATCAACCTGAGCTATGATCTCGATGGTAACAATCGAACAATCACATGCGTCTCAATGATATGATGGTTCGACCGGGAATCTATTATGCTATAACGCTTCTCGGCGTCTCGGGTTATATATCGCTTGCTCAAACACTCCCTGAGCCGTATCTTCACGTTCCAGAAGCTCGGCAGCTTGAATGGCATAGTCTTGAATATTACGCCTTTGTTCACTTTGGACACAACACTTTCACGGGCGAGGAATGGGGCCGTAGCCAGAGTCCGCCGGATGTTTTCAACCCAACCAGCCTCGATACAGACCAATGGGCTCAATCGTTTTCCAACGCGGGCATGGGAGGGATGATCCTGACAGCCAAGCACCACGATGGGATGGCTCTGTGGAACAGCAGCACAACCACATACAAGATTGCCAACTCGGCGTGGGCAAAGAATAGAACAGAGCAGGGTCTCGATTCCGACGTTGTGCGGATGGCAGCCGAGTCGGCCAAGAAGTACGGCATCCGGTTCGGCATCTATCTTTCGCCGTGGGACATCCATCGAGACCCGGCAATGCCCAAGCCAGGCCTTGCTGGAACGATCTTTGACGAGCCGCAAATCTTTGGCGATGCCTCCCCAGGGGACTACAACGAGCTTTATTCCCAGCAGCTGACAGAACTTCTCACTATGGAGCTCAGCGACGGTTCCCAGATAGACGTATTCGAACTCTGGCTGGACGGCGCGAGTGGCTCCGACACAGTGCAGACATTCGACTGGGCCCGATACCGAGATATCATCCGGGATCATCAGCCTGAAGCTGTGATGTGGGGTCACCAAGGAGTTGATGCTCGCTGGGTTGGAAATGAGGATGGGTACACGCTCGAGACTAACTGGCATACCATCAATGTAACTCAGGATGATTCTCGCCTAGGTGAACAGGACTTAATGGTTGGGGCACGCGATGGCACATACTGGACACCAGCGGAATCAGACGCACGTATTCGAGCTGGGTGGTTTTGGCATGAGGAAGAGAAGCCCAAGGCAGGTGACGCTCTGATGGACATGTACTTGAAGACAGTCGGCCGCAGTGTCACATTGAACTTGGATGTGCCACCGGATACGAGAGGGTTGATCGAAGACGAAGATATTGCTTCGTTGATGGAATTCAAGGTCTTGCGCGAATCATTGTTGGGCAAGGGGGTCCTTAAACCAGGGGCGAATGTTACAGCGAGTAGCATCCGCGAAGGTGATAGCGACGCCTATGGCCCCCAAAACTTGCTGGATGGGCGAGACGATAGCTACTGGACTATGGAAGATGATGAAGCCACAGGATGGGTCGAGATTAACCTTGACGATGAGCGCCCTGTAAGTAGCTTCATCGTGCAAGAGCATATCGCGCTCGGCCAACGCGTCGGAAGCTACACAATCGAGGCTTTCGTAGGCGGCGAGTACACGATCGTTGTCAATGGGACCTCAATCGGTTACAAGCGCATTGATGTCCTCTCAAATACAGTGAGCACGAGCCGGATTCGCCTCAGCATCACTCAGTCAAATGCAGTACCAGTACTTCAACAGTTTCAAGTACTCGGGTCAAGCGATATTTCAAACACGACTCGTTGATCAGAATGCATCCTGGTGTACAGAGAGTTAGGTAATAAAGTGATAAGAACAGTATAAGAAGAGGATTTCGGTTATTTACATATGGTATCAGATGCAAAACACGCCTAGATGTAGCAATGCTGCCAGATAGAAAGCTGATCAGATGCTATCGTCTGCAAAGTAGCTCAATACCTGATCAGTGTTTTTCAGGGTGGCTTCCAATTCCTGTCTCTCCCTGGGGTAGCGCCCTATGTTGTCGTCTATTTCTAGGATAGAATCTAGGAGATATTCTTTCTCTTCGCTATTGGCAGCCTCATAGCTAAAGAATAACGGCCTTACCATGTCAATAGCAATGACCGATTCCAAGGATCGCACGTATGGTATCATCTTCCAAACATAGACGCTGACTTCCCTAAACTCGGTTGAAAGGGTGATGTCCGGAGCGCCCCATATGTCGACCAAATTGCGTATCATTCGTATGATGGCTAGACGGACAAGGAGAATTTTCTGATACATTGATGCAAGAAAGACTGAATCGAAGGAATATTTGTGTCCTGTGGTGGACTCATAATCGGGAGTTTTGGTAATTACGCCTGCTTCAAGCGCCTTTTCCCATAGTTTAAAGGGCTTGTCTTTGAGCGCTTCTCTGAGGCACTGCAGTTGGCCGCGGATTTGAAGGGCTTGGGCGGCCGCTTCAGTTGCCGAGGAATAACGGCATGCTTCTTGATACTCTGGAAGTAGTGCATACAGCTGTTTCGAACACCCATAGAGAACCCAGACGTCATCGATCAAATATGGGCGGACATCATTGAGGGGCACCATGTGATCTGCGCAGTAAGATAAAGCCTCTTTCCATGGTGATTTATAAAGAAAAGCATTTTCTTCGTTTCTAGAGTCGTCACGTAACTAGCATGAGGCTTGCGTGTTAGATGCAAACTCCCCCGAACGCTTAGAAAGTAGGAGGTACCTACTAGAAGCCCGTGGACTTCGTTTGTCGCAGCAACATCAAGCTCATCCTTAACATCGGGGGGTCCTCTCTGACGAAACACCTCTCTTATCGCCTTGAGGTGAATTCCCGTCTGATCAGGATCACGATTGAAAAGCCTGCTTGTTCGTTCAAGAAGTACCATAGCAGCCAGAGTCTCTACGTCACGATGTTGATCGTTGAGTAAAGCTCGCCCAAGGCTTCTCAAAGCCTTCCCATACTGAGGCATGCCCATGAGCCCACCCTGCTGGAGATCGCGGCGCCGAAAACTGGACCATGCAGAGCAAAACAGATCTGTTGAGTCGCGTAGACAGGGACTTCTGGCGAGCCGTTTCGGCAGCTCCGGCAGGTAGGTCATATAAATGCCTGCTACTCCTATCCGGCCGCGCTCCATGTTGCCGACGAGACGTAACCCAACGCGATCAGCGACAGTAGTAGGGTTGCTTCTGGGAGTGGCCTGCAGGAGGCCGTACCCGGCACTTTCATCATCAACCTTCGCATACTGAACTTTCCGCAGACGTAGAGAAGACCCTGAGTGGTTAGTTTGTGGCGATCCCTTCTTGACCGAACTCCCGTCCGAGGTTTTGTGGACAATGAACTTGATGAGGGATGTTGGCCCGGGGCATTTGACGTTCATGTGTTTACACTGAGCGCACGTTGGCCATGTTTCGTCGCACTAGACGAGCTATAGGTCAATTTCTGAGCATGCTTCAAGAGGCGGAGGGTCGAGGCACACAGCATACCTTGATCCTCCTCTGCTTACAGATACGACACCCTGCGGATTTTGGCACGCCTGGCATTACTGAGATCGCGCCCTTGACTTAGGCACCAGGTAATTAGAGATGCGTTGAGGACAGCCAAAGCATATAGGCACGAGCAAGAGAGGAGTTTGGCTTAATTATAAACTGTCAATATTAAATGTCGCAGGGAAAGCTGCTCTAAAAATACAAGGGTAATGTGTCATGACGCAGGGAACATATTTTGGGAAATTTTGGCCCCATCTTACCAGGGCTCGACTCCAATCAGATTCTCTGCCTGCTGCCAAGTACCCAGTTTGCTTATTTAGAGATTGGTGTTTGCTAACCAGGACAAGCTAGAGCTTTAGTTCCTCAGTCCTGAATAGGATCATCTCGCGCAAGTTACCCCTTTCGGCAGCATTGCTAGGCTAGTCGAGGTTAAGTCGAAGAAACCACGAGTGCCCGGTAAACAAAAGAAGAAGGCGAATTTACTATACCAGAACCAACAAAGTCAAGGAGAAAACCTTCGTCTTCTTCCAACTACAGCGTGGTTTGTCCAATCGGGAAACTCGAGAGTTAGAGCATATTAAAACATCTGGGTCTAATCTTTTAGACCAACATTGGTTGGTTAGCCAATCTAGAATGACCTTATCGACTGAATTGCCTGTCCAAGGACTCTGTACGCGCCAGCTCCCCAGATACATCATTGAGGCGTCAAGAGTGTCTCAATGTTGTCGAATTGCCGTAATACTGATAATCCAATTATAGTGGAACGAGATCAAGAGGGGGAAATCTATCACTCGTACTTTCTGCTGATGTTCGGGGTTCACCCATATCCTCACCATATGAGCTGTTCGCAATTACGCCGGGTGCGGGAGGGGCAGTGGTCAGAGGAGACTGAGAAGTTTTCATGATGAACTGTGCAGGTCTGGGCCCTCGAGGTGTGAACCCTCGTTGGTTGTTAGTAATGGCTGGTCCAAACTGTGGCCTCATTTGGGGATAGAACAGGAGCTATAGTGAGAATGCAACCTCTGGGATTGAGAGCGATCCTTACGCCCACCTTTTCTCGATCGAGATGAATTTGATCATAATACGTATATTCACCCTGCTCTTTAGTGTGGAGCAATCTGGACATTGTACCTACATATTGGATATAATAGTATCGAGGTGAATCAGTGGCGGGTTGGCTTTCCTTGCCACTATGGTCTGCGATTCAATCCTCCTCCTTATTTCAGAGAGATTTATCAGTTCTCAGTCTTTATACTTTGACTGTCTGTCCCTTCAACCTTCTCAGCTTCACTTTATTTTGCCCTCCCCTTGTTTGACAGTGAAAGGCTCTGAATCGTTAGATCTAATATTGGTAATTGGTGAGTCAACCGTTCATACTTTCTGCCTATCATTCTCGTGCAAAAGCCTCACCCTACACACAGTCCGTGACAGACTGTCGTGACTGTGAAAGGTTTTGTCAATATTTTCACCTCGGTTGATAAGTGATTTCTTAAGCCTGGATTCCGACATAAGTTAGACATCGCATATATAAGGGGAGTTCAAATGGTATTAGTGGTCACGTCCAAACCACTCTTTGCGAATGGGTCTTGGTAATTGCTAGCAACGGGCATATCCCGCGCGTCTATAAATACTTGGTACGTGTGCTGAGCGGGTCGTCATGCGGAAGTTTGCGGAAGTTCCAGTTTGAGCTATCAATCAGAAGCCTGAACCAAAAAATGACCACCTCTCTAAGGAAATAAAGTGTCCTCATGGCGGGAATTGATCTCTACAGAACACCTACTCATTATTGCAGAATACGTAATGTGATTGATGCCAATGAGTCGGCCATGGAATGCAATACGTTTGTAGGTAGCTGGGCCGTAAACCGGAGGCGCATCATAGCAGATGTAAGTATTCTGCTCTGGATAAAGGGGGCTCGTAGTCATAGTACCGTCTTGTGTCCTGCATTATGGCTCCAGATACGATTCAGCTTATTTCAGGTTAGACTTTAAATAAACTTCCTTTTATGATATCTTAATATTTTTATTTGCATGGACCCTCCTGTACCATTGAATCAGACCATGCAACATGTATAAAAGTTCACACGCAAAAAGGATTAACGAACACAACGCAGTGAGCAAATGAATCCTTGCCACATCATTACGCTACTTTGCCCATTATCGTGTGCGGGAGTGAATAACCCTGCTCTATACAGCCTTACTGGGCGTAAAGGCTTGAAATCAGCCCATCTGCTTGGATGCCAAGGTGGCGAAGGATCACTGACCGCGGCTGAAACCCGGGGGGTCGGGTTGCATATCCTTGTCTGCAAGATACATCCGTTTTCAGCAGAGAGGAATGAATGTTTTTAAGGATTCCTTGCCCAAACATCAGATGGCCGTATGACTTTTAGCAGCATTATCTGTTGCTTAATGTTTTTGAAATTCATTCTTCTGGCAGTTTCTTTACTACACACGCTTTGCTAACATCGATGAATTGCTTAAATCTATATTCTACTCTTTCTCGTTGTATCTGAGTACTACTCTCCATCAAAGCGCTGGTATGGTGTCGCGGAACATGTTGATAGGCGGAGAGAAGTCTCTAAACCAGAACGAACCAGCCGGATTCTCAGGTCAGTCAGATTCGACTGTTGAGCTGACGCCAATCAAATGGATCTCGGCCGATACAACCTCCGAACCTCAGAAACATGCTCCTGATGGCAGCCTCCCATCTCCTATGAAACAAAGTGAAATTGGTTCCGGTGTCCAATCACTGGAAGCGAAGACATTGTCAAAGCATTCAGAATCAGCGATTTCAATGAGAGATCCGGGACGGGGTGGGGGTACAGCCGCCAAATGGTGTCCTTTCTGGCTGCGTCGCGCTCTTCTTGGCCCCTTTTGCGTTTTCTTTCTCGCCTGTGCCATAGCTCTTCCAGTGATATTACATTTTTCACAAAAGAACCAAGGACTTGGCATCGTTCGTCAAGATCTTGGTCAACTATGGAGGTTTGGGCCAACTGCGAGTATGTTTGTGTCTTGACATATCAATCAATGCCTTGTCGTTTCTGATCTGTTTCTTTCTGCGTTTAGTACTCACCGTTATCGCGGCTCTATGGGCGCGTGTTGAACTACAAGCAATGCGATTTATGGCGTGGGTTCCTCTTCAACCCCAACACAGGCGAACTTTGTCTCGCGAGGAATATACACTCGACTATACCTCGATGCTACCTCATGAGGTGCTTATCAAATCATCGGGCAACAAGCACTTCTTCGTCTTCTTTGCTGTCGTTTGCTCGATTTTAATAAAGGCTATAGTGATTCTATCAGCCAGTGTTTTCGAGCTTTCGTACACTCAAGGCGCACATTCTGTTGATTTGAGAACGCTCGATTCGTTCAATATCCTAACAACAACCCTGGAGTCACGATCTGTTTCTCTCTCCACCCGAGGGCTTTATTCAGATGTGTCATCTTCACAAGCCAACATCTCTGCAACAACTCCATTCTTTCACGCACGAGCACTCCAAGACTTCAATATTAGTTTCCCGTTTGGAGTTTCCGAGCTAGGTGCATATCAGACATTCATACAGTCAACAAATGATGGAGCGCGTGGAAGTGTTAATTCACCAGTGACGGCCACAGTCGACGGCCTATTTCCCGAGACGGAATGCCGCCTCCTGCAAAGCTACAAATTCAACAACATCACGGAAGAAGAGCAAAAATCTAAGACTGGCTCTATACCTACTGTCAGCTTACAATTCGAAGGCTGCCCAGAAACAGACATACGTGTCAACGTCTCGATTGTGCCCGTGGATTATCAAATAACCCGATGGACAATCGCAAATTCCTCTACAAGCCGCGAAAGATGCTCTTCGCTAGAGTCTGAGTACGAACAGTTCTATTACGTTGCAGAGTCTTGGAATACAGCCCGTAATTCCAACTTCAGGCCCATACAGAGCTTGGACAAGGTGGCCGCTGTGCTTTGCTCGGTAGGCCTTCGGTCATCAAGAGTAGAGATCACAGATGACGGTATCAATCCAGCCTTGAAAATGTCACCAAACCAGGATAGTACGCCTGTTAATACCCACTTCTGGTCTCTTTTGACCGAGTCTATACCTGTATCAAAGGGACTCTGGGACAACATAACACGAACCGCGCCATATGGACCTATCGTTGCGTTAGCCAATTTCAAAAAGACGACGCCCCAGCAACTGGGATCTTCACTCTACGAGAGTAAGATTCTACAGGATGTCGTTTCGAACCTCACAGAAACTATTGGCCCTTTTGTTGCGCACTATCACTTTAAGCAAAACCAGAACCAAACCATCACCGGTTCAATTATCCGACAAATGCCACGACTCAAAGTAACACGCAGCATCTGCATCGCGATGACAGTACTTTTCAGCACGTTGGCTCTTGTTGCGTCGTGGATGATGCTTACATCTCGAGACACGTTTGGAGCTTGGCCCAGAAATCCCACCACAATATTAGGATCGATGACCTTCTTTTCAGATAGGGAATTGAATGCAGCGCTTATGCCCGATAACGGGCAGAGCACCAAAGACGAGTTGGCCCGTACTGAGGATAGTCCCTTTGCCCTTGAGACCTGGCTTCGTGGTTTGTTTTCTGCCTATGCCCTAGCACTCATCATCGCCCTTGCAGTCACCCTGCGAATCTCAGAAACTTCTGATGGGATCGCTACTGTGCAAAATGACACCTTGTCTATTTGGTGGAAGTCAATGCCTGCATTGGCGATGTTCCTAGTTGCGTTGTATACTGCTTCCGCTGCAATGGCGGTGCGGGATCTCGGTGTTCTGTTCCAGCTCTCGATAAAGCCCTGCAGTATTCGGGACATCGACATGTCCTTCTTGGATATGTTTGGCCTTCAAGCACTATATCACTCCTTGCGGCTGAGGAATATGTCAATCATTCTGCCCCAGCTCCTTGCCATTTCTTGTGCGTTCTTAACAGCCCTATCAACGATCCTATTCACCTCGGAGCTGGCTCGAAACACCACGACAGAGATAGCAATCCCGGTGAGAGATAAATTCACAACACACACCCAGCAAGAACTTTCCGCCATGGACAACTATACAGCTATCCTGGATAGTATAGGTGCCTTGATTGTGTCGAAAGAAAAATCAAACCTCACCTGGCCTGAGAACACCTACAAGGATTTGATATTTCCTCGTCTAGAGTTGGCTAATATCCAAGACCAGATATTGAACAACGATATGTCAGTCAGTGTCGAAATGACGGCGGCGAAAATTTTTCCAGAATGCCGTCGGGTCCCCAACGAGGAGTTCAAGGCGGATGTGAATTTCACAGCCAAGTCAGGGCATCTGCCCAATACCAATCTGACAGTTACTCGGGATATCACTTGCGGAAATGGGACTAAGTTTCCTCTCTCCAGAAGTCTGACCTGGAATAGCAGCGAGAGTGGCGTTGCATATGTCGCGACAAGTTTTCCATCCGACGATGACCATTACGGTCTCATGCCCTGCGATCCTAAAAGCGAATACACGAAGCGCCCGCTTCCGCCTTGGAAACTGAGAGACTATTTCTGGGCAAATGTGTCAGTTTCAGATCGCCGCCTTGAACACCACTCTTATTGGAGGTGCAATTACTCGTATTGGGAAGTTCCAGCCACTGTCAATTTTGTTCATTCAAAAGGAAGTCTACACCTGGATTACAACAATCTCCCTTCTTCGGATGATTCTAAGCGGATCCCATGGAACACTCCCATGAGTCTTATTGGTTTAAGTGACCCGTTCCCTCTGCCAGGAGACAGCAACATAACGTTGAAAACAACCACCTCAATGTTCAGACCGTTCTTGGAACCTTTTGGCAGCATGAAGATGGAGGCTTTCGGCGACCCGAACCAAGAAAGTGAGATTCTTGGCAATCTGCATTCACTTCATCGTATAGCATGGGGCCAATTGGCAAGCCAGCTGGTTCGCTCCGATGAGGTTGACCCTGCAACTCGAGCCATGGTCAACGCCAAAGTACGAGATAATCAGCTGTATCGACTTTTCCAAAATCGTGCTGTTACAATCGCCCTCTTGAGTATAATAGGATTGGCATTCATTGTCAATTTTTGGGTTCTAATCTCAAGTGCACTCCGAAAATTCTTTGGAAAGCGACTGTTACTCGACATGGAATTCAAGGGTCTGGCCCCATGCGGGGTCAACAGTATTGCAACGATGGAGTCATTGCTCCACGGTTCTAATGCCATATCCGCAATGCCTCAGGAACCATATAATAGATCATTTGAAGAGCTGGACGACCATTTTAGATCCGCCCGCTTCCGCTTCGGGTGGTTCATGGGAAAGGGGTCAGAAGGGAGAGAGCTGACTGTTGGGGCCTTGGATGACGACAGTTTTCCTTTTCTTGGCAAGAAGGGGTAATTACTAGTTGGGATACTGTGTGTTTATGAAAAATGATTCATAGTTTAGCCGCCCAATCACCCAACACGGTTGGCTAGTAACTGTAGGAAGTTGAGATAGATGATCGTATCCTGTTGAGTTCTGTTAGTAATAGCAAGGTAGAAGTTTATTGTTAGGAGTTTGGAGAATTTTAAGTAATAATCTGCTCATTTACTAAATACTTTGTAAATACATCACCCCAAAGGTTTCCCAAACAGTCGATTTTTACCACCCGCTGTTACTCCACGGCTATGTTCACCCCCTCCACAGAACACCAGATCTTATGATTCCAACTACCAAAAGAACATCTATTTCTCAGTTACAACTGTCTATATCACTTACTCACCATTTGTTCAAGTTTGATAGAGCGCTACTCGCCAAAATCCGCGACAAAAGCTGGCGCTGTCTCTGACATGGATTCAGAAAGTGGAGAATATCACATCTTGCTCGTGATTGATCATGGTTTTCGCCTTCGTCATGCGTATGAGGAAAGCCCAGACCAATTTGGCAGCAAGACTGAAAGAAATCACACAAATATCGTCATTGACGGACACAATGGTATAAAGACGGCAACGGGCCTCGCTGATGTTGATACTAAACGGGAAATTCGGAGAGCCAGATAAAGCGGCCCGATCGTTCCGATGGATATTTCGGCTGGTGATGGTTGCCAATCCCCCACACGTGGAGTACTGAATCCCTGAGATCCTAGGGCCAGGGTAAGATGGATGGCCTTAATATTATGACACGGCTAGTCTTAGAAAGTCCAGTGAGTTCTTTTACATATCTGAGCGTGAACATGAAGTATGTTGTTTCTGGCGAAGCAGAGTTGCTCCCAATGCGGAGTTCTTTACTCATTGACCGGGGGAGCTTGAGCAGATATGCCAAAGTGCTGTCTACTCGAAATGGTTCAATGAATTGCCTCATCTGAATCTACAATTGTCATCCTTGCCTTAGTCGCGGCAAATTCAACATGTATCCGGTCAATAGTCTCAGGGGCTCATGTCGGGCGGAATTTGATGGCACCGTAACAACCAGTATAAGCTTATCCTTCCATTGGGTGGCTGATGCGGAAGGGATGCATTCAGCCCCGGACAACCTCCTCCCCTCAAAATCGTGAGTGATCGTGCCACTGTAGGCTTGAGCATGACGCCATAACGAACAATTGGTCATGATTTTTGCCGGACGCATGGCCCTTCCTGCCGACCTGGACGGCAGTGAACTCTGCGTGCTGATCAGCCAAATTGTTTCCTTACAGGGCTGTCATGGAACGTAGCCTCCGAAATGTAGGCCTGCCAATCTCCATAAATTCGAAACACAAGCCCACATCAACTGTTCAAGTGAGACCTTGGCGACCGCAGTTTGCATGAATACACTGTCACCGTGTCGATCAATTGCCAAAGGGCCCGGGAATGTCTGAGGCCTCTCCGAAGACCTCAAGGCAAACTTACTCCGAGCTCCTTTCGAGCCTTCTGGCCTCATTCTCGTGCAGCAAAAAAAGTATATATAAACTGCCATAACCAAGCCAGAAGATAGATTTCGAACAACACCATCAAGAGATCCGCACACAGAATCGAAGCACACCATGTCTCTCCGCGTCATCTTCTCGGCTTCTGCCCTTTTCGCCGCTGGCCTTTGCGCCCCTGCCCCGGCACCAACAGCTGCCCCTGATGTGACAGCCACGCTCGAGGGCAACCCGTTTGAAGGCGTCGATCTGTGGGCCAACGAGTACTACGCTTCAGAAATCCACAGCCTGGCCGTGCCTCAGCTTTCCGGGGCCTTGGCTACGGCTGCGGCCAAGGTCGCGGAGGTGCCAACGTTCCAGTGGATGTAAGTCGAGCTGTGCATTTCTGTGGTTGTTGTTTGCTGACACAAGTTCTATAGTGACACTTTCGCCAAGATTGATTCGATTGCAGACACTCTGGCAGACATCAGAGCGGCCAATGCGGCCGGAGGCAATTACGCGGGACAGTTTGTCGTCTATAACCTCCCTGACCGTGATTGCGCTGCTGCCGCGTCCAACGGCGAGTATGCAATCGACGACGGCGGCGAGGAGAAGTACAAGGGGTACATTGACAAGATCCGAGCGCTGTTCGTCGAATACTCGGATATCCGCACCATCCTCGTCATCGGTAAGCTCTGACACACGCTACAAAATGAGATGAAAGTATACTGATTTTGACATCTTGCAGAGCCTGATTCATTGGCAAACCTTGTCACCAACCTGAATGTCGCGAAATGCGCAAATGCCCAGCAGGTCTATCTCCGAAGCACCAACTACGCCATCACCCAGTTGAACCTTGACAATGTGGCCATGTATCTCGATGCTGGTCACGCAGGATGGTTGGGATGGCCAGCGAACCAGGCCGGAACAGTCGACCTGTTTGCCAAGGTCTACAAAGACGCCGGATCTCCCAAGTCTCTCCGTGGACTCGCGACCAACGTCTCCAACTACAATGCCTGGAGCCTGTCCAGCGCCCCCTCGTACACCACCCCCAACGAGAACTACGACGAGCAGAAGTACATCAACGCCATCGGGCCCAAGCTTCAGTCAGCCGGCTGGTCCGGCGTCAAGTTCATCGTCGACCAGGGCCGCTCCGGCAAGCAGCCCACCGGTCAGCTCGAATGGGGACACTGGTGCAACGCCGTCGGTACAGGCTTCGGCCCCCGACCAAGCACCAACACCGGGAACACTCTCGTCGATGCCTTTGTGTGGGTTAAGCCCGGTGGCGAGGCCGATGGTACCAGCGACACGAGCGCTGAGCGCTATGATCACAACTGCGGCTATGAGGATGCGTTGAAGCCTGCTCCCGAGGCGGGAACTTGGTTCCAAGCTTACTTCGTGCAGCTTCTTAACAACGCCAACCCCTCTTTCCTTTAAGTGGAGAGGTGAGGTGAAGAGAGGTACCATCTGCGGAAAGCCGGTTTCAAAGTGAATAGTTTCTCTTTCCTGTATATACATAAGTCAGATTGTCTATAACCACAAAAGAGTATCCTAGCTCAATTTTATACTCATCCGAAATTAATCGCAACCAGTAGACGTGATTCAAGACAAATTTCATGAGACTGAAGATTCCCCGGACTTATTTAACCCAAGAATCCGGTTCGTAAGTAGCCTCACAAGAGTCTGGGAAATGGGGAAACTTTGTTCTCCCATGTGGAACTGCCCCATCTTGGCCTCTTGATTCGGGTCTCCAAATTGGGGCATCCCGTCAACTGGTCAGATCACGATGTGGCATCAGGAAAATATCACCCCACAGTCCCCGCTCGCCCCCATCTTAAGTGAGGGACGTATCCTTTGAAGACCGAGACCAGACCAGACGAAAATCCCTCTTGTTGATCTTACCATCTAGCCTAACATCTATAATTAAGTCTAAATCATGGCTTTCTCCTCCCGATTGGTTATTATTGCCGGCGGCATAGGTATGTCCAGATTCCAGCTAACCACCAAAATGACCCGTGAGTGGACATCTCAACTGACCAGACAGGCGGAATCGGAAGCTCTGTGGGCAAGCTTTTGCGCGAACAAGGTGCAAAGCTAGCCCTTCTCTATGCTCCATTCGAGGCAGACAAGGTTGCTCAGACTCTAGAAGAGGTATATGGCTCAAAGGACCACCCGGATATCAAGACCTATGTCTGTGACATTACGAGCCCCCAGTCTGTCCAAGAAGCGTTTGACGCCATCGCTGCAGATAACGCCGCCTTCCCTAGCTTCCTGGTCAACAGTGCTGGATACGTCAACCTGAGTCCTCTCGAGGAGACCACCCCAGAGGATATTTTGCGTCATTACATGATCAACTTGTATGGCCCTACTCTGACCGGTCAGGCATTTGCTCGGCTCTACATCAAGGCAAAGGCCGAGAAACCAGACGGCCCTGGCGGGAGAATCGTCAACATCAGCAGCCAGGCTGCCCATGTAGCGCTGGACCACCACGGTGCCTACTGCGCTTCAAAGGCCGGGCTCCAGGGCTTGACAAAATGCCAGGCAAATGAATGGGCGAAGCACGGCATCACCTCCAACACAGTCAGTCCAGGCCCAGTTTGGACCGCTCTAGGCAAGAAGGCATGGGCGGATGACAAGGTTCGAGAGGAGTGAGTTACACCATGATTCCCTCGTGTGGTAAACACGGCGCTGACACCATGTCTCAGATACCAAAGGAATGTTCCGACGGGGCAGTTCGCGGAGCCCGAAGAGGTTGCGCATATCATATCATTCTTATGCCAGGATGCGTCGAAGAATATCAACGGGGCAGACATGAGACTGGATGGAGGTTATACGGCACGATAGTTTGTACGCAGATTAGCTTGGAATGAATTCAACAACCAACTTTTATTGTGTTTTACGTGCCTTCCAACTCATTGCTTTTCGCCGCTAGCATTCGCAAAGATGGCTGCCTCCCACTCAGTAAGCAACTCCATGATCTCAAGCGAGTCCTCCCAGGTAGGAGACGGCCGTGCAGCCTGCTTGTCTCCCCTCGCAATGCAGGACTCGACATTCTTGACCTGCCATCCAAAGGCATCCAACGGCGACTCCACTACAATCTCCTCAACTTCTCCTTTGTATGGTTTGAGCTCCATGATGCTCTTTCCAGCTGGCGGAAGCCATGGATTCGTGCGGAATCGCAGCGAAGCCTTATCTCCCTGCACCACAAACGCAGAGTCGTTTCCAAAGCTGTCCGTCGACTGGATCGTGGCGAGCACTCCATTTCCAAACCGCACATTCAGCGATGCGTCACGAATGTGGGAGCCATCCTCGGCAAGGTTGCCCAGCCCAGTGACCTTGCGCTGTTTGAAGGCATCCTTGCCGGAAGCGACTTGGATCACCCAGTGAAGCAGAGAGACGGGATAACATCCGAGGTTGTAGATAGTACCCATGCCCAACGGATTGGCCTTCTTCCAGATGTTGGCGGCGTAGTAGCCCGAGACGCCGCGGATCTCGCCCAGGGCGCCAGAGCGGATGATGTCGGCGAACTTGGCCATGACCGGGTGGCTTAGATACATGAGGCCCTCGAGGAAGAAGACGTTCTGCTGCTTGACCTCGGCGATGAGAGCGTGGGCATCCTTCATTGTTGTGGTCAGGGACTTCTCGGACAGGATCGGCTTGCCCGCCTTGGCTGCGGCGATGGATGCCTCAGCATGGAGGTGGCTGGGGAGTCCGACGTAGATGACATCCACGTCCGAGTGCGCCACGAGCTCTTCGATGGTCTGGAATCGGTGCGTGATTGCGTGTTTCTCTGCGAAAGAGGCCAGTCGTTCCGCGTTTCGCCCAAAGACGGCGATGACTTGAGAATCGGGGCTGGCGTTAATGGCGGACACCACCGTGTTTGAGATGAAGCTCGTGCCGAGAACACCCCAGCGAAGCATTTTGGATGGTAATTCAGGTATCTCCTCTTGTTTTATTTGTGTGCGGGAAGAAAAGTGACAAAAAGGACTGGTTTATTGGGCGAATTGAAGGGTTTGATGATCACCAGATGAGTCAGCGATGTTTTCACGCCTCTGCTAATCCTGATCTAGAAGGTCTTCAAAAAAGAAGGCCCATAAAGATGTGAATCTATTCCGCACGCGTTGGTGAGTTTGTTCACGGCCCATGAGAGGATATGAGACCTCCACAGGGGCTTGTTCTAAAGTCATTTCCTGCTCCAGTTTCTCCGTCAGCTGGAGGACCAACCCCCTGAAGGGCAAGTGGCTATGTGACAGGGATGAAGCTTAATAAAATGTAAGCGGGAAGCTCGGATATCATCTGGGTTTTTGTCCCGACACGGCAGATGGACATAGTCATAAACGGCGGTGATATTAAACTCGACGAGCATCTCATCCCCAAATTCTTTGTGTCGGTGTCTGAACCGTTCAAGAACTCCCTTTGCTGTCCTTTCGTAATCTTTACCTTCTCAAGTCATCCATCACTATAGTCCCAGGAGGTCTGCCATCATGCTTTCCAAAATATTACGTGCCGCAGGGGCTTTACCGCTCCTCCTGGTGGCCGCATGGAGCTTCCAGACCATGGACCTCGACAAAATAGCAGCAACCGCGATGCCCTCTGCGCTTTCCAAGACAATCGAGTGGGATGGGAGAAAGGTCAACATCATTGACTTCCACGGCGTTGCCTTCCTCGATGACCTGTGGCGAGGGGGCACCGCGACGTTTTCCGTCTCTTCCTTTGGGTATGACAGCATTGCCGCCTGGCAGGTCTTTACGTTCCTCATCGACCTGGGCCCAATATACGCCATCTGGATCCTCGAATCTACTCGAGGAGCCCACAAATGGTCGCCTGCATACATGTACTTTGCTCACTTAACAGAAGACCAGCCAACAGCCAGCTAATTTGGTTCACACAGTCCAACGCTCTTCTCCGTCGCAGCCCAGGTGCTCGGCATAGGATCGGTAGCGCCCATCTTCTATTTCCTATGCATCGTCTTCGGGCCGTCGGCATCGAGGCTGGCCGCCAGCGCGCCTCAGCGTCGTACCGTCTGGCACCAGAGCAACTTGCTTCTCATCCCAATCGTGCTCGTTCTTCACACCGCTGAGATATTCGGCATGTTCTTCGCCCAGAGCTACGATGCACGTCACTACTGGACCTGGGCATGGCAACTCTCACCCCTATGGATCGGCATTGCCAACCTTATCTTGGGCCAAGCCATCAGGCTTTTCAAGGTGCCATTCTCACCATCAGCGGCATCCAAGCTCATGCTTGGGGTTCTGGCCGTTGTGTCTGCCTCCGTCTGGATCTACACAGTTGCATTCTCCCCTCACAGCATACCCACACTTTTTTTCCCCGAGGCCGGACCACAGGATGGGCTCATTCTGCACAGCAGAAAGGCCCTGCAGGCCGATGAAGTGGCGGCATATGCCAGCACCTTCTTGTGGCTGATTTACGCTTTTGCCGACCTCTACCTGGCAGGTCTTGTGGGCACCGTCTGGCTTATTTACGCAGCCTTGCTCCCACTTGTCACATTGGTCGTGGGCCCAGGTGCCACGTATGTGCTTGGTTGGTATGTCAGGGAGAGCATCCTGAGCTCAGCCAGGCCCAAGGGCAACTAGCCAAAGTAAAGAATGTTCTGGTAAAAGAGTATACATAGCGGTCTAGTTATTGGCGTATGCAAGCATGCGGCGGGTCTGGAAGCAGAATGCGCTAGCTTTCAAAGACAGATGGGAATTGATGGTGGCGTGTGAAAAAGTCAGGAAGAAACTGCACATATTTAGGCGTTAAATACACCACCAATTCCAAATCATGGCAAGAATATCCCTACATAAACCATCAACAACATTAAAAAGACCGTGTGGGCCATCGTATGTTACAAATGGCTTCCTAGCAGCCGTATGAAATTCCTTTGCTTTGAACATTCTCTTGCAACAAGCTCCCTATTCATGGGGAAAAGATCCATTGTTGGCCTCCATAAGATCATCCCAGAAGGCATCAGGGTCATTAGTCATAAATTCATCATCCATATCCCATTCAGACATCTGATCAACATCATAGAGATACATTTCCTCGTCAAGAACGTCCATAAAGTATGGATTTTCAGGATCCCAGTGTTGGTCGTACATGAACTCCATGTACTCGTCGTCGAGAAAATTCCTCCCCAGATAGTCGGCAGCCTCGCGACGGGCCGCTTCAATCAATCGAGGCTTGAGGATAGTGTTCCAGGTATCAACGTACCTCTCAAGCATGATGCCGCCATGTTTCTCCTGGCCGATCCTGTTGAACAGAGCTCTAAGAGGCTCGCTGGGCCTCCAATCACCAACATCCCAGATCACCCTTCGATGCACTGACGTTCCTCTAGTAAGACTGGTGACGGCTCTTGCTGTCTGGGACAGCGCCTGATGAGGGGCAATATACCAAACGCCCCAGTCTGCTTGACAGGCGTTGTAGATCTCCGGGGGGCGATCCTTGACGACGATTGATGTCACCAAATGAGCCTTTTTGAGATTGGGCATCTGCAGACACGCCTTTCCAAACGCCTGCAACAATGGCTCAATTAGATTGTCGTCCGGCGTCGGTGTGTCTTCGCAATGAGGCACTGCATACTCCATGAACCGGTCGAAATCAAGCTCCTCTTCGACTTCTGGTGGGGGCTCGCCATCATCGGCATATCCAGGGGGCATGGAGCTAGACGCGGCAATCAATTCCGGAGTTCCGTCCAAGACTTCCGGGCTTGTTCTCAAGCCGCTGAAATACCAACCATTCGAGGACCTAGAGGCGTAAAAGTCGACCTCGAGCGTTTGCAGATTTTGCCAGAAGGGAGCAACCAAGGAACGGCTTGGGCCAGGCCAAAATAGCGACTTGTCAATTGTGCCACAGAAAGCCAGTGACTTGAGGTGGGGGAGATGCGCTGTCGATTCTCGAATTGAGCTGCACAAGTGATCGACCATTCCGTTGGGCAGCCTGGCTGCAAAGGAATCCTCTTCTCGGTTGAGAAAGAGGCCAAAATCACGCAGCTCAGTCGCAGTCGGGATGGTCTGCTGGACCCAAGTTGTTATGGCCTCCCGATTCTCGGCCCGCAGCAGAGGATACCGGTCTTCCATATCATCCACGAGGAGGGTAGCCGATCGCAGGTTAGGGAGCTTGGCAGCAATCTGAAGGGGAACGCAATGGGCAACCTTCCGGCGAAACTGGGTGACCAAGAGGCTTTCAACAACAGGCACTTGTGGCAGATCATCGGATGCCAGGAGTTGAATGTACGAATAGAGGTAGCGCTGGTCACCCAAATCGCTTTCGAAGAAGGACTCAGAGACATCATCGGGATCCATCCCAGAGTACTCCGGGAGCTCGTTGTCCGAAGGAGACATCAACTCGGTGATTTTCAAGTTGAGCGAGGAATCGACCACCGGGTCCCAGGAGCTCAGCGATTGGAACAGATGCTGGATGGCGGCAGTGAAGGCCTGGTCATGGGCGCGACGATCGGGCTCGCCCTCGTAGCGGCGCCGCAGCTGCAGGTAATTATAGCTGGGCAGCCGAACCTTGTAGTAGATCGTGCGGATAAAGCGACGGCGGTGACGCGTCGCGAAGAAGGAATCGAATTCATCTATCTGGTCACTGGAGAGGATGAAGTAGCGGCAGGTCTGTTTCTCAACAGCCATCTGCCATGGCCGCGAGATGGTCGCATAACTGGCGAGCTGCGCCGTCGGCTCCGCTGCCAAAATGGACACAATCTCGTCGTAGATTTCCTGTGGGAGGTGGTCCATGGCTGGCGTCTGCGCGCTGACAGAGGCAGAGGCATATGAGCCAGGATGGTGGCATTTAGCAGCCTGGAGCTGGATGATGGTTATGGGATCATCCGCGTGTGAAGCAAGAGAAAGACGCGCGGGGCCAAAACGCAGCGGAGGAAAGAAGCTCCAATCACAGCCACTCACCAGCCACAGTTCTCGCCACAATTCTCGCCACAAGCAACATACCTTCGTCTCCCTAATATTGCCTACCCTGTACACTTTATCACAACCATCCACGCGTTGTCTTGTACGAAAGAAAAATGCAAGAACGATTTATGACGCTTCTATAAGGTACTTGTTTGCTCATTTTTACTACAATACTGTGGCACACGTATCAAATTTATAGGCATTACGCCACACAACGGGGTCTGGTGGTAACGCCCCATGTTTGGAGTTTATTCAACAAAACTTGAAGGCAACGTGGTGTCCCCTAAGTACTTCGCCCAACTGCCATGCCTTCTCAGTTTGGATAAGAGCCGTCATACCATAGTCCGCTTGAGTAGCTGCTTCCAAGCACAGTGGACATACTCACTGCCGAACTGAGCTTCTTCGACCAGCTCACACGCGTCCCGCTCGCACCAGAACCCGAGTTTCCATACTCCGCGTAGTAAATGTTCGAAGTGGACTGGCTATCGCTCCATTTCTTCCATCCGGCAGAATTAATGACATTGGAAAGGTTAACATTCTGGAAAACCACGCGAGCATAGTCGCGCCAGGGTCGGCCCAGATAGTAGCTGCCGCTGGAGACGGATTCGCCTGATGCTGCCGCCACGGTGCCGCCGTTAATCACGTAGTATGAAGGGTTGGAGCTCGAGTCGCGTCCGTTTGCTGGTTGGAATTAAGTGAGAGAGGTTCGCAAAAAGGGGGAAATTGGGGAGTAGGGTTCTTTACCTGTGATGTAGTAGCCCCCGTTTCGGACCCTGATGTCGCATGACTCGAACCATGCCTGCGCTCGCTGTCCGAAGATGAAGTCTGTGGCTCCGGTGATGAGGCAACGGTTGAAAATTTCCAATCCCTCGTTGGCCAACACGGTATCCTGGAAGCCGTAGAATTGACATCCGTAGTAGCCAGATGATGCCTGGGCACTGAGCGCAAGAGCCTGGCTTCCCTTACCATCTGGAGGCGCCGTCGATTAGTGATGAGCTCTGACTGACGTGAAGAGTAATGGATAGACTCAAGGGATTGTGAGGAGAAATCAGAAGAACGGATCACATACAAGAGTTCACGACATTGAGGTTGTATATTTTAGTGTTCGCTGCATGCACACGGACCGTCGCACTTGCATCGTTATTTCCTGCGCTGCCGGCATTATTGTTGTATGTAATAATCGCCTTGTTCGATGAGTACGATGTTGTGTCTGTCGTGTATCCGTAGATGGTCAACTGCGCTTGACGGGATGGAATGTATACCTGCTCGGTATACGTGCCTTGATTGACAAAGATGCACTGGGTTCCAGAGGCAGTTGTCGAGAGCGAGTTCACCGCTGCCTGCAATGTGGTATATGAGCCACCAGATTTGGCAACATGGACACATCCTGATGGTGGACTTGTTCGGCTAGCGGCAAAGACACCGGCGATGATGCCAGGGAGGAGGGAGATTGAGACCTTCATAATAAGTCAGATTGTTTCCAATTTGCAATACTGTAATAACCAACTGTAAAATTTACGCATCTAAGGCAATGATCTTTATATAAACAGACATCGAACAGAATAACTGCAAGGGCAACGGAAAAAAGACACGGAGGTGTGGCAGTCCGTCTCCCAATTGGGAAGAATCCATTCTTTGGCCTGGGGGATCGAACAGGGTAAAAAGGTCCAATGTGACCTTTTGAAATCGGTGGGCTACTTTGGAAATACCGATATGTGGATGGAAAATTTCTTGGAACGGGAATGCAACCACCGTAGAGCAACAGTGAAACAGGTACAACATGGACGCGAAGCAGAGATTCGTGGCATAAGTGTGGCCATGGACCACTTGAGAGAGCGGAATGAGACATCATGTTGCATTTCCCAATTCCGTATTCATCTTCCGACTTTGGTTTCGCGGCGAGCATTTGCTTGTCTGAGATTCACTTCAAACTTCCCCGCATTACATCTTCTAGGCCCCTTGCTCATGTGATGGTATCCTGGCTCATGTTAGCTTCGGTACTTTGGGGGCCCGGAGGAGAGTCTGGAATACGAGATCGACGTTTCAAACCCCTCTCCGGGGGTAGTCCTCCAAGACAACTATACTCAAGCCAAACAGGGCATCTTGAGTTTGCAAAGATGAAATGTGCGAAATCCTCATATTATCCGTTGAATTAGGCACAGATGATGAAGGCGCCATTCGGTGTAAGATATTGGCGCTTCATGATTTAGCAAATCATGTCACCATCAGTGGTGCCGTTTCAAGTGATGCAGTTTCAACGTGTTTCATCAAGCTTAACCAGAGCCGTATACGAGCCGGAGTATACAAATGTCCCCCGTAGTTGTGCGCCGGCACACAGGGAGCAGCTGCATTAGTGAGCTTCATTCAATGTGTCAAGCAGAGGCTCTGAAACGCGTTGTTATTAATTTTTCCGCCTCCATAGCCTGGTGAACAGAATGATCTTCGTCCTGATCTACTGGTACATGATTGAATTAATGCTTAAATTTTGGGTACATCACTCAAGACAAGATTTTGCACAAGCGAAAACAGGCATGTCAAGATTGAAGGTGAGATGCGAGGAAAGTAGGCCAGCAAGTTCTACTCACCGTCAGTACTGCACCGTAGGCTTCATTTCCAGTCATGTGACAGTAGACAAAAAGATTGAATATGGATTTCAACGCCTGAAAATCTCCTCAAACTGTCCTGAGTCGCATTTGGCAACCCCTTTGTGGCATGGGAGGTGCTTGCAAGGCGGGCCGCCTCGTATGTTCTGGGACGCCAGTTTATGACTTCTCACGTCTACATGTTAGACTCTCGTAACCCCCCCGGATATCACCTGAGTGACTGGACCAGCCATAAGTTGACTGGATTACAGCACGCCAGTGCGGGGTGGTCCAATCAAGGAGGGACAGAAACTGGCAGGACACGGTGTCCTGTTCCCAGCACTTAATGATCAGCCAAGTGTTATTTCTAAGCGGACTCGTTAGTGGTTATATTCCACCTTGCCCATGCTTCAATCGCGCCCTTCCACCCGGCTAGAGACAAGCGGTCATCCGAATTACTGGATGCGGTGGTCGTGGCGGCTTGCGGCGCTGGCGGGGAAGAGGAACAGACTCGGATATCCGTAGGCAATGCGGGTATCTGTATGACCGCTATAGTGCAGATCCCAGGGGCCTAGTGTAACCTCCAGTTCGTCATCTTTGGCTAATCATCTCGTTGGCGTGTCTAGGCCATCGTGTCTGACATCAAATCACACTATGCTCGGGAAAAGGATTATTTGTCAGACTAGTGATTTGTAATGAATGGGATATAAGCGTTGCCGCCATGTCAATAACGCCTTTGCGAGTTGGATATAAGAACGCATCGAGCAGAGACAGAGCAAACGAAAAAGGCCAACAGACATAACATCACAATCAAAACCCAAACACTCCTGCCGAACATCTCTATAGATTTTATTCCCACACTTTAGATTTAAGAAAGAAGATGTCTTCTTCCAACACACCCCTCCCAGTTTACCACTACCTGGACATTGGCCGACTCGGTCGTGGAGAAGTTCTCTTGTAAGCGGTCCTGCATCACTTTGAATTATCATTGAATAGCCTGCTGACGAAGTCTTTGACCTGAACAGTTTGTTCCTTAAAGACGCTGGCATTGAGGTCAAGGATGTCCGTTACGCCTGGGACGATACTTGGCCAAAGACCAGCGAGAAGCTTGTTCAGCAAGGTTTGACCCGGACCGGCAAGCTTCCAGTGCTCGAATACAATGGGCTGAAGCTGAGCCAGGTAAGTGCACCCTAAACTATGCCAAAGTTCATGATAGTTGCTAACGGAACTCGTCCAGCACGTCCCTATTCTCCGTTACCTCGCCAGGGAGCTGGGCAGCTACGACGGAGTGACCTCTGTTGAGAAGTACACTGTCGATTCTGTCGCTGACTTATACGTTGACTGGAGGGTAAGCGCAGAATTCCGGGGATTTCCATCCGGCAATCTAATAGAATAGAGCTAATATAATCAACAGTATGAGTGGGTTGCCTGCCTCCCTAAGCCATCCGATGACTACAAGGCCAGTCGCCCCAAGTACGTCGATCTCATCGCACAGTACTATTCCGACACTAAGGGCCCGTACCTGCTTGGAGACAAGATTACCTATGTCGACTTTGCTATTTATCAGTCTATTGACAACGATAAGCGCGTTGGAGCTTTTGTAAGTGAATAATTGGTCGATTAGCCTCCGGTAGGTCATATGCTAATCTGCGAGAACTAGGCGAACCTTCCCCAGTCTCTTCTCAACTTGGTGGAGGCTATCGAAGCCAGGCCTAACATTGCTGCCTACCTTAAGGAGAATAAGGCGGCTTAATAATTGGTCCGAGGACAATTGAGCATTGATACTTACTGATGGGCTCGTTGAAACTACTTGAATTACTTAGGTAGATGTCCTTGTCAAACGGGCTTTCTAGACGTGACTGTCTTGTTAACAGAAGACCTCGCAAATGGATCCTGAATAAATATCATATTGTCAAGGAAAATTAACTGAGATTTGTATGACGCTATGTAAAAATAAGAAGACAAATACTAAAAGCATCCAAACAAATTGACTGCTTATGGGGTAATGGAAACAAAAAAGAGAACAAGGCCAGCAAATATCCCCCCACTACCCCCTTCTCTTGAACAATCTACAATCTCGGATTCCCTCAGCTCGCGTGCACTAATAATAGCGATACCTGTAATCGCTGACTATATCCAGAGCAGCCTGCCGGCCCCGCGCCTCGATTCTTGCCTGCACTTCTGCGGCATCCAGCCTCTCCTTTGCCGTTTGCTGAGACCGCGCCACGGCCGCATCAACACGCCGCTGGAGCTCGGGCGCGCGAACAGAAGGGAGCACATGGCGAGGTACAGGCCCCCTCTCTGTCCAGACGCCGTAGTGACGAAGGGCGTTGTTGAGCCCGCCCAGGCGTTCGTCGGGCTCCGCCGCGATCTCGACGGCCATGATGTCGATGAAGCCGTTCTGGCTGAGCATGGGCATCCCGCCGTGCGGCAGCTGCTTGGCCCTGGGGTTCCGGACTACTACTTTGTGGTCGAAGTACCAAGCTTCCCAGGCGGCTTTTAGTTCGTAGTCGGCCATGTCGTCTGCTGAGAATATCAGGTTCCCGTGACGGCTCCGCCTCCCTGAAAGTGTCCATGAGTTAGTGTGAGATGCAGGATTGTAGCACATTGGATCAAAGCGCGGATGCTGTGGCTGAAGATAAAGGGTGAATGGACGTACAAACATCGTCATCTGGAGCAAAGTGATTAATTTCCATGAACCCCGAGAACACTTCTGGCGCAATATATCCCGTGCCTCTGGGATCAAGTCTCTTCCAAAACTCCTTCATGAGAGCTTCAAAGACCGGTGTCGGCCGGCCGTTGGAGTAGAAGAAATGCTCATTCCACGCCGATGGCGCTGGGGGAGGCTCATTGGGGACTGGAGGGAAGCCAGGCGGAGCGCCGGCAGTTGAGGATGTGTTTTGCTGCTGTCGTTGGTGGAAGCCAGGGGGAGGGCCGCTGGGCGGTGCGTACTCCTCCTCTTGCGGAGGCTGCCCGCGAGGGGGCAGAGGTGGTCTGGACTGCATCGGATATCGTCTATTTCTTCACGCCCACTCAAGAACAAGGCTCTATGAGTCGCCGATGACGCACGAGGCGGTGGCGCTCTTCAGCTGTGGGATCTAGTAGGTGAAGAGGTTAAGGTTAAATCTCAGGAGTAGCCTCGTCTTTATTCGGAATGGAGATGGCTTCGACCCCTCTTCTCAGGCCCGCAGCAAGGCGCTCCCTCTGCATGCTGTCAGGTGGCTCCCGGAGGGAGCAGCTGAGTCTAGACTTCTGGAGGCCAATACTTGGCCCAATGAATCAACCTCTGTCCGCAAGGCATTCTTTCAGCTCTGGCTGGTGGTGGGGACACAATGGTCCGCAGCCAAGCTGCATGTACGCATGTCCGCCTTTGCAGCTCGCGCTAACTCATTCTGCTGTTGGGCAGGACCCTTGCTGTTCCTCTGGTGCCGAAATTGCCGATCGCTATCCTGTGTTGGAGAGATTTCCTGCCCTACCAAGACAGGACCTACGAGATGGCTGCTGCTTGATCTTTATTAGGGAAGACTGACTGAGATATGTGTGGGCCTGTATCTAAATACTTGGCATCCATTTAGCAGCTTTCACGACGGATAAAACGGTAAGTTAAATCTAGCCCATGGAGGCGTGAACAACGCACTTCTAGCAGCCCGATAAGGGATGAAACGACGGATTCAATATAGTCAACGTCGTAGAACGCCGGCTGAAAAGGGTAGAAGCGGGATTTGAAATGACTAAAAAGCTCCATTATCTCTTGATCAGGGGGTATGGAAGAAAAAGCCAGCTTGACGTCGTCATTTGAAGGAATGTGGCCGTCCTCTGTTGCCTGAGACTCAATACCAAAAAGCGGGGAATATCCCCGTTTCAAAGGCTTCTTGTCTACCACTTCGTTTGCCATGTGACACCTCGTTTTGCCCGGCAAGTGTAAGGATAGAGCTGGATCCTAGGAATGAGGGCCGCGCGGGTGACGCATCTCTGTCACTCTGCTCTTGTGACTTTTGTCTGACTGTTGGGCTGGAGGGTGAGCTCTCAATGTTGGGGACTACGTTGACCTCGAGATTGCTTTCTTCTCGAGGTTCTCTCGATTGGGAAGAGTGCGGATAGGAACAGAGATCCGCGTGTCCACGTTTGATGCACGTCAAACAGGGCTGCTGGCGGTTGCAGCGCACTTTTCGCTCCCGGCATGGAAGGCATGATTTGCGGCTACAGGCATCGTATCGATCCCGCAGCACCTTCCGCAAGCTTTCAGGAGACGGTATATTTCCTGGGGTCATGTTTGGGCCTCATTGAGCCAGTAGCAAAAAGAAATCACAATGCAAGCTGTTTTGACGTGTAATTGTTCATCAGCAAGACTCTCGATTCCCAATATCGGATGTATCGGGCATTTCTCTTCATGGTCTGATTGCGGTTAGTTTATTACTGACTTAGGATCATTTTCCCGCTTTTCACATGACCAAAGAGCGCTTTGGAAAATATGATTGGCTATGACAGAAACGTGTCTCAGTCTGGCAGTCTCTTGAGAAGAGCCCTGAACAAAGCTTCTTACAGTGGACATTCATGAGCGTCCTGTATGTCCACTGGCTAACCCCTACCCAAGCTTCACATGAATCGTCTCGTCCTGTGTCAAGCCAATGAGTATCACTGAGCAATGCTCCAGATGGCCTATAGAGGGGTAAAAGCATATATTTCCTCTAAACTGTCGCTGGCAAAACAAAACTTTTTTCATTCTACCTAGGCTCCAGAGAGTTTGCCTTGGGCATTGTTAACAAAATCACAACCAGTTGGGCTGCTCAATTTTAGGTACAGGGGAGTCGGAGTTATTGGAGAGCAGGTCAAGCCCCGAAAGTGACCAAACACTTTCTCTGCCTTTTCCATGCTATATTAGCGGCAGGAGTCCAGTTATCGGACAGGCCCGTTGAACAGAGATCGAATCTTTTCCACAAACACTGTAAGCTATTGGATTTATGTACCCGATGAACGCTAGCATCTGATCTTCATCACCCGTGCTACAGTGCGACATGCTTTAAACTATCTCGGAACGTTTGAAGTAGTTCTGAATCCGACGATAGAACTAATCCAAGGCTTGATCGTAATATCGCAGATCCTGCAGAACGATGTGAACCCGCGCGGGGCTTGGATCCTGAGCGGAATAACCATTAGATCTGCAATTTGCCTTGGTGTTCACAAGAAGGGACCGAGGCCGGAAAGCTCTCAGCTTTCTTCCGGAGATGCTGCAAAGCTACGGTGGGAACTCTATCCATTTTGCCTGCTTCTTCATCTTTCTGTTGGCAATACTGATTGAATCTCTAGGATGGCCATCGTATGGCAAGACACGCTTTTATCCATGGCATTTGGCCGAAATCCGTCATCCCATGAAATGTATCACGAAACTGACCTGCCACCACTGGGTCGGCACGGCTCTGAGCCTGTGGGTTTGACCTATAGACAGGCGATGAACTGGATATGTCATGCGTCAATGAAATACTTCGTGGTTCCAGCTTCTCCGCCTGAATCGGCAATCTACAACGATATCTTCCGCACATTCGCTGAAATCCAAGCATCTTGTGCGAAGCATATGCGGGAAAGAAGCGAGTGCCAGTCTTTGCTCGAGGTGCAAGAGCATTACAGTTTCATACTGCATAGAAACTTTGGAATTTCATACCTTTGTAGACCCATTCTCTCCAGGCAAGGAAGACAAAAAATGAACCAACAAGATGCCTCGGACATTCTTTCTCGGGTTTTGGACGCTTTAAAACAAAGCGCCACGGCCTTCATATCCCTCCGATCGATTTCCAACTACTCTACTCGGTCCTGGGCATTTCTTCATAATAGCCTCTGCTCTGCCCTGATGCTGGGGTTCATTGAGCAAACAAAGGGGCTGGAGGAAACCAAGGATATCCAGACCCAACTTATAGCCAGCCTGGAAGCGAGCCAGGAGCTAAAGAGAAGATCGCTTTCGAATGCTTATCCAAAAGCTCTTTGCGCCCTCAAGGCCCAGCGTAAGCTGGCAGATGAATCAAACTTGACAAAAACTACAGGCCCCGGAGAAGCTGCCCCTGAAACACTTTCTGCACCATCCCCTTCAATTGAGAACGCTAATTTCAAGGCAACTTGTTGGATCTTACAGATTTGAGGTAGGTTATCTTAAACTACATGGTAACGTCCCATACTGACATCAGTAGCTCATTTGATATGGACGAATGGGTCCGCTCCGTGGACTTTGGCTCTTACTCGCCCCTGGAAGCATACGATTTTATTATGTCAGACCAATTTGCACCTGGATCTCTATTTTAGAACTATATCATGACCGGCCAGCCTCATCAACATGACATCTAATATACCCCTTACAATAAGTCTATGGCATTCAGCATGTCGAGATCCATCTTGCACCTTGAGGTTAGAACCCGTAAGAGTGCCAGCGATCAAGGGCTTTTTGCTGAAGCTCGGAAGGAAACGACTCCTTAAAGTCGGCTGCTTCCCAATTCTTCCCAGTCGTATACTCCACTGGGAGCAGGCAATCACACACCAGCTTGCCTCCCTTGTTCGCAGGACCATTTCCATGGCTCATGTACGGAATTAGCGGGAACCCGGGAACATCTTCGTAGCTATACTCGTCCATGACGGGGTGACAGCGAGTGGTGAATGCCCAAATGACCTCCTTGAAGTCATACACATCGATGTCATCACCGACGAAGAGCAGCCGATGAATGGTGGATCCGGGCTTTCCTCTAAAGACCAAGTCTCCCACCTGTCGGCAAAAAGCCTCGGCGTTCGTCTTCATTGCCCGTAGCTTGTCGGTATCGACCTGCAGCGCAACCCATGTAACCTGAGATTCGAACGGGGAGAATGCTTCTTTGATAGGCAGGCCGTTTGATTTAGTTATATAGCCTATCTCCGCCGCAGCAAAGGGCCCAATCATTGTGTGCTAAAATAGTTAGGAGTCTGAGTTCAGATTGATTTCATCAAGAGGGGCTCACCGTCTCATCTGTAAGTCGGCCGCAGGCACGCACTGGCAGAATAGGGTCCTTTCGATGGGTAATCATGTTCACTGTATATACCGGCATGAAGTGCGAGTCGTCTTTGAATACATATCTAGAAACCTTGTTAGTACAGGTTTGTTTTTCAGAAGAAGCGAGCTGGATCCTCTTACCCGTGCATTTCTCCGAAAGGGCCTTCACGTGCTGTTTCAGTAACGGAGCAAGTTCCTTCGAAGACAATCTCAGATGTTGATGGCACAAACAGGTCATTGGTCTCGCACTTGACAAGTTCAAGAGGCGAGTTGACCATGGATCCGATGTACTCAGCCTCAGAAAGGCCATCAGGGAGCGGCATACTGGCTGCCATGATTGCTGCTGGCGGAACACTAAAGGTCAATGCATATGGCATATCTTGACCCAATTCCTTCCACATGCGGTGTATAACCGAGATGTGCTGCGACGGCATGACGAGCCCAACAAGATGGTTCTTGTCATGGACCATGGCTCGGGCGATGGACCAATTAGTCCACTTTCCGTCCGGCCACCGGACAATAAACATTCCATAAGTTTGGACGTATTTCCCTCCATCAGCTTGGTGAAGTGTTGGTGACGGGAACTGATTAAGATCGAACTCGTCAGACGTAAGACGGAATTCCTTGCACGGGCCCTTTTCGACAATCTTGGGAGGAATGGGAGGCGTAGTTTTGGCAGACACCATCTTGTCAAGTATCTCCTTCATTGATGCCGTTGGTGGAAGGTTGAGATGTCGGGCCAATCTTCCGTATCGACGCCTCGGATCAGACCTGAGGGAGTTTGGAGCACCCAAAATTCTCAAAAGGCCATTCGCATTCTGCCCCTTGAGATTGTTGAATAAGGGTGTCCTTTCGTCGCTCTCGACAACCTTGCGGATGATTGCGCTAACTTCGAGGTTCGGGTCACACTCTTCATTGATCTCAACGAGGTCACCGTCATCTTTGAGAGCCTGGACGAATGCTCTAAATCCCATATGGGCAAGGGCCATGTTGTTTATAAATGGAGTAGATGTGAATTTGTGTTTATCAAGCAAAGTTGTTGTGCTTGCTACGATCAGACTTCAGGCATGCCAAACAGCCAGTCTTATACATCTGAGTCACGGCATCTCAGATCCAAGGCTTGCATTGTAATAATTCTTTATGACATAAAAGTGGTCTGAACCACGTACCCAGTGTGCTCCGAGCAAGTCAAAGCGGCATTATTCGAACAGACGGCGCATCTCGGGGGCCTCGGGGGCCTCGGAGAGCTCGGAATATTCGCATTAGCCACGCGGAGAACGCCATCGAGCGAAGTCGGCACAGAAAATTCCGTCTCATTGTTCGATATTTATATTTGAAGGGGTAAGGCATATAATCTCGTTTTTGCGGACAATGTACACTGGATGTGGTACATGCGACTCTAGGAATTTGTTAAGCCCAACATCTAGGCCACACTCCAACCCTCTCTTATATCTACCAAAGTCCAGCTGGGCAATTTGAAAACGGGAATGGCCAATCGCCGGAAAAGAATCATTGTAGCACTTACCGGGGCCACCGGGGCTGCCATTGGCATCCAGATCCTTCAAGTTCTCCGACGGCTCAACGTCGAGACACACCTCATCATCAGCAAATGGGCGGCAGAAACAATAAAGTATGAAACTGATTACACCCCCACGACGCTAAGAGCACTGGCAGACCATTCTTACAACTCAAATGACTTGGCCGCACCGATTGCAAGTGGCAGCTACCGAGTGGACGGGATGATCGTCGCTCCCTGCTCCGTCAAAACGCTTGCTGCTATCAATGCGGGTATCTGCGACGACCTCATAACACGGGCGGCAGACGTATGCCTGAAAGGGCGCCGGAGGCTGGTGTTATCGGTGCGGGAGACACCATTCAGTGAGATTCACTTGCGGAACATGCTGGACGTGACACACGCAGGGGCCATCATTGCACCGCCTGTCGTCGGATTTTACACCAGGCCAGGATCTGTGGAGGATATTTTGGATCAAATGGTGGGACGATTGCTTGATTTATTTAACCTAGAGGCTGGCAACTTTGAGAGATGGGAGGGTATGCATACGCATGCGTCTACCAATGGAAATCACATAAAATGAGTAGTCTCCTTGGTTGATCACTATAAGAGTGACTTTGATTTTTGACAGTAGCAATAAATCATTCATTGGCACTCATCCAACCGATCAAAAAAATATTAGAAAAATACGCACAATCCCCATATTTATATACTTGATAGTGGTCCGACTCAACAGGCCGAAGTAATAAATGAAGTTGTGACCACAACTAAGGTAGCTCTTGTTCAGGACCCAAAAGGGTGTTTGTTAAGGACAGCTTAACAGGGTGTCTCCTCCAAAGCTTCCAGACTGAGATCCATCCAGGTTAATCCCTGATTTTCGCCTTCCCTTGCAACATTGAATATCAAAAATGCAAAAGCAATGCATCAGAAGAGCAAAAATGCGTAATCTGGGAATCGAACCCAGGGCTCCCCGACGCTGCGCGGATGGCAACGGAGAATTTTACCACTAAACCAATTACGCTCGTGGATGGTTTCTCGACTCTTGATTTGGTCCTTGGGCTGACAGGTTGGAGGGTGACGGTTTTGCTCTCACCCTGGACTCAGCTCGATGATGCTTCGCGAGTAATACTATACGGCCGATCTTCCCACTACGTCAAAAAAAATAAAAAATAGAATGCGTTGTCAAGTTGAGAGCCAAAAAAAAGCTAGTAACAAAAATCATTCTACCCCTTGCGTATGGCATACAAGTCCTCTTCTACTCCCCTACCCTCTAAACAGTCTCTAGTTTTGTTCCATCCCGCTTTACCGAACCACTTCTAAGCTCTAACCTTCTATCTCCTCTATTATTACCTATCCCCATACATGACACTATAGTCAGGCCTCATACCCTGAACTCACCGCTCTGCTCTCGATACGCAGGCCATCAAATCAGCTCTCGGCAAACTTAGACCTAGCGCGTAATTTCTTTCCAAAGGCGTAAATGGCAACTGTTCCGAAAATACCAGCGACGCTCAGGCCTGCAAGGACGGTTACGCCCCTGTCCACACCAAGATTGATAAAGAGGGGCCTGGCAAAGACAACGGCACCGCCAGCGACTCCTGATCTCCAAATACTGTTTCCTGCGAAAAGAGAGGCGGTGTATTTGGGGTAAGAGAATGGGATGTAGATGAAAAGAGACTGCATGACCCAGAAATGTCCAATGACAAATATGACGACGCCGACCAAGGGAACTACCCAATGGATGCTGGATCTGGACGTCCACGCGAAGATGAACAGGCCAATGGGTAGTAGGATAGACCCAACAATGGCTGGCACCAGACGATGCTCTTGCTCACGGAACCCATTCTTGATATTGTCAGGTACCATGTAGTACTTGAGGTACGCAAAGTAAGCCGTGATACCAATGATAACGCCTATAAAACAGGACAAGAAAGTAAGACCAGTCTGTCCGAGACTAAATCCGTAGAACACCGGGAACACAAGAGGAAATACCTCGAAGAATGTGTAAAAGACTCCATAAAAATAACCTGTGTATAGGTTGACGAAGAAAATGGATGGATCCTTGAGCATAATCTCCATTGGTCTGACGAGTGCCGAGAAGACAATGTCAGAAGCCTTCATGTGTCGCTGATCGATCTCGCTTTGAGATTGAAGCCGTTCGTTCCCAGTCAGCTTCCGCAATCGTCGTGCACGTCTTAAGAGAATCGTGGCACTGGACGTCTCCGGCAGGAATAGTAGCAGCAAGACTAGATCCGGTGAGGCCATCCAGACAATCTCCCACATTGGCCATCTCCATCCCTTGTACTGTGCAGCGAAACCTCCAATGATAGGTCCAAAGGCAGGGCCAGCCCACGCTGCAAGCACCCACCAGGAGAGTCCATATGGAATGTAGATCAAGGGGAACATATCGCCTATGGTTGCACCCCCATTCGCGAGGGCGGGGCTACCAAAGAAGCCGAGGAAAAATCGCAACACCAAGAGGCCGCCGAAACTGTTTACGACAGCTTCGGGGAATGAGAGGATCCAAAACACGATGAACGTGAGGTAATAAACGGGATTGCGACCAATAACAGGGATCTCGGACAGAGGGGCAAAAAGGAGATCACCAACGCCGTATGCCAGAACATACAAAGCCAATCCGAGTGTGGAGGCAACAGCACTGACATGGAACTCCTCTTGTATACCTTCGACTGCGGTGGCATATATAGGGCCAGCACAATAGACAACCCAGGTATAGATGCAAAGGACGAACGTGACAAAATATTTCTTCGAGCGAGACCAGTTTTGAGGGTTTTCTGGGTCGTCAGTGGTGTACCAATCAACAAGAACGATGCCATCTGCTGTCGTTTGAGGCTCGATCGGAAGCGATTTGGACTTCTGGAGTTGAACATCGCGCTCGGCCTGCATTCTCTCACTGCTATATGGCGCGGTGCGATGGCTTCGGACAGTCTCTATTCGATGAAAACTTTCCTCGTCATCACCACCTCGGTGGACGATTTGGGCAGTTTCTACTGGATGTTGATCCGTATCGCCAGCAGGAGTACTGTCGCTGTCCTTCAGTGCAGTCTTCTCGCTTGGGTTTTTGCTTTGCTTGAGGCTCTGAATGTATTGGGACGGGATCTCAAATCCAGGCTTTTCTTCCGGATACTGGAGGACTTTGTTCCGTGAGATGAGGCGGATTGTTTGCCCGAGAGGCGTCTCCCGGATCAAGTCGAGCATCTTGGGGTTGGGGGAGGAATACTAGAAAGATTTAACGATTTGCAGTTCACAAGAGTGGGTGATATCTTGTTAGTTGAGGTGTCTGGTTATCAGCCATGGAACAGTCTCGTCTTTGGAAACGGTCGATGAATATATATATCTACAGGTCCTAACTATGGCACTCCTGGCACGATTGATGACAAAACATACGGACAGTGTTTTCTCCCAAATCTCAGTTGACAAACCCTGTTGGCGATTTGATTCCAGGATACTACGTAAAATAACCGCCACGGACTGGGATTAAATTGCTTGAAATAAGCAACTGAGATAAAGTCAAAGTTGTCTAACTCAAGAAGACATTTAAGATGGGAATCAAATTTCCATTCTGGGAGTAGCGCTAAATTTCTGGCCAAGAAATCATCATGAAGATCTGCTTCCGTGATTTGTCAGAACTTTGGTCGTTCCGTTATTCCGCATCTCCAACCCAACGCAAAGACGACAGATGATCCCCTTCGTAAGCATATTGTACGTTCCATGGTGTCCTTTAGAATTTCCATATACAAAGTTCTGCTAAATGCTCCGTGGCTTGTTCCTTGTTGAAATGTGACTGGTCCTCTTAGACCGTATGGCCATCTGAAAGCTAACATCCTCCGCCTCGTCCTCCGTGAACATACCTGATCGATCCACGCAGCCCGAGCTTGCTATAATCAAAACGCGAACCAACCCATTCCTACATCGCAATCACTACTAAAGATTCTAAAATCCGCAGCAGCATGTGCTCATGATTTGTCGGAAGCCTACAGTATGAAGAATACCGAGATCCGCGAGTGGGATCGCCGACATTGCCGATGCAAGTCGTAAGTTTTCCGACATCTTACATCGAAGTGACGGCCGCTTAGCTGCTACAAACGAAGGAACTGTTTAGCTTCTGGCTACTCCTCGATTAATTCTTGAACCATTGAGGGAATAAAACGCGCAGTTCCTCCAAGCTTTTGATCTGATGCTGTGAGGCCTGAGATGGAGGAGTTGGAAGGCCATCCTGGATCAAATGCATTGCTGTCCATCCAAAATCCTGCGCACCTCGACAGTTCAAGTATGAGTCATCTGTTCAAATGTCAACGGACAGATCAAAAGAGTGGTAAGGGTGTGAAAGTCAGGTATTGTCCTTCGAAATAGGCCACTGACCGACAAAGTAGCAGTCCGCGATGCTTTCGATACCTGCGTCTTTCATCGCTTCCTGGAACTTTTCTCTTTTTGGTTTGTGAAGCAGTGGCACACGGGCATAGTCACAGTAAGACAACCCCTCGAAACAGTCATCGATTTCCAGATGACGCACGACCCTCTTCACGTATACATCGTCTGCGTTGCTAAACAGCCACAGCCGAACCTTGGACCTGTCAATGTCCTGCAACAGTTGCCTAAGCTTGGGATCGGGTTTAAGGAGGGTCTCGATAGGGAGGCCTTCATCGATTGTGGAGTTGTAATGCTTCGCGTCGATACTGTGATGACGGACCAGGCCTTCGGGCAGAAAGCCGTACGTTTTGGAGTATTCGACGCAAAGTTCGGCGGCCTGTTCCCTATTCAGCCCGGTATGACTTGTAATATAGTTATAGATCCCTTCAGCTGCCTCCTCCTGGACTCCACTATCTACTCATCATTCAGGTGAGCCTGTGTCTCTTTGCCAGAAATGTGTGAGCTGTCTAGCACTTACCTTGAGGGTACAGGCAGTTGTCAACGTCACTTTGATGGATGTTAACTGAGAACTTCTATCAATGGGCTGTCGGACACGAGTAGCGTACAAGAATAACACCGGTTTGGTAGGAATGCCCTTCTCAGGTAGCGTTGCTGGCGATTGCCCAGGTTCTTTAGAGAATGCCATGCCTGTCAGCTTGCAAGTTGATATCGCCGGGATCGCAATCAAGCAAAAAAAAAAAGAAGTGTAGAAAGAATTAAGGCAGGGAGAAGCCTGGAAACTAGCGTTCTTATATAGTAACGTGCAGTGTTTCCGACGAACAATGGAATGGGAAGTATATATCTCTCATTTGAAGGATATGTCAAACGATCTGGGACATTTTGGGATCCTCCCCGCCTAAATAAACAGCATCACGCGGATGCCATTAGGTCAGCATGCTTACGAATAAGCGGCCCTATCCCCCATAACGCTAGTAATAACTGGTAATATATAATATAATCTACAAGTAAGCTGATCATATAAGTAAGCCGATTACTTCTATCCAGAAATTAGAACTTCCTCTTTATAATTAAATAATTTTCTACTATAAAATAAATATAACTTTATATAAAGTAAATATTATCCTTATAATCTAAGCTCTTAATTAAAATCTAAAATTAAGTATTAGAATAATAGTAAAAATCTATTAAGTTCTATATATAACTCTTTATAACTAATATACTAATTATATAGTAAAATATAATATTTAATTAAAATTAATAAATCTATTAAAATTTAAAAAGAAAGCTATTATCTTATATATACTTAAGCTATCTATATATATATTTCCTCCTAGGATATATAGTATTAAGAAAATAATTAA